ATACCAAGAATCCTTTCTAAAGCATTTCCTTACCCTATGGAAATGGAAGCAAAACGTGGCAAAAATTAGCACAGCAGACATCCCCACTAGTGAGAATTCATTGGGCCAATTACCAAAACGACCAAGAAATTTGCCATTTCCCACCAATGGACACGAACGTCACCCCGACTGGAAAAGTAGCTTATTGGCGGAATTTTGCAAACACTGCATTTAACAATGTCACACCATTTTCCAAAATGAATGCACCCCCAGCCCACATTCACCTAAAGTCTGATGCTCAACCATTTGCACATTCATACTCCTATTCCAGTACCCATACCACTGGAAAGAAGCAGTGAAATCCAGTCTAGACAGAGATGTAGAAGGGGTATTATAGAACCTGTCCCTGTAGGGCAACCAGTTGTAATGGCTGCAGTAGAATGGTAACAATTGCAAAGAAGGATGGCACACCCAGACGTACTATAGACCTCCAGCACCTTAAACTCCCAGTCATTGAGAGAAACTCATCATTGTCAGACACCATTTCAACTGGCATGTCAGATACCTCCTAAAACTAAAAAGACCGTACTGGATGCTGTAGATGGATATCACGCCATAGAACTGGATGAGGAAAGTCAGCATTTAACGACTTTCATAACTGAATGGGGAAGATACATGTACAAACGAATGCCTCAAGGATTCATTGCAGCTGGAGATGCATACACAAGACGTTATGATGATATTATAAACAATACACCTCGCAAAGTAAAATGCGTTGACGACACGCTACTATATGATACAAATATAGAAGAAGCCTTCTTCCACACTTGGGATTACCTAGCAACATTGCGCAACAAATGGCATTGTACTGAATTCAAAGAAATTTAAATTTTTGCAGAGACACAATTCTCATTCGCAGGATACAACATAACACCAGATGGCATAACACCATCAGCAGAACTTCTCAAAGCAATTAGAGATTTCCCAGTCCCTAAAGACATCACTGGAGCCAGATCTTGGTTTGGTTTAGTTAATCAAGTTTCATGGGCTTATTCAATAAGTGAAATAATGTTACCTTTTCGTGAACTCATAAAGCCAAACTCAAAATTTTACTGGGATGAAGCTTTGGAAAAAATATTTGAAACATCAAACAATTACTGTGTGAGACAGTTAAACAGGGCATACGTTCCTTTGACACAAAACGTGCAACTTGCCTCCAATGTGACTGGAGCAAAGATGGGATCGGATACGTTCTTCTTCAAAATACTGTGATTGCTCGATCGATAAAGTTCCTATTTGCTGCAAAGATGGTTGGCATTTGGTTTATGCAACTCCAGGTTCACCCACGCCAACAGAAAGTCGATACTCACCCACCTGAAGGAGAAGCATTAGCAGTATCCTGGGCCCTTACAACACGCACGAATGTTTACCTTAGGTTGCCAAAACCTCATTGTGTCCACAGACCACAAACCCTTATTGGGAATCTTTAAAGTCGAGACCTGGATAGTATTAAAAATCCTCGAATACAAAACTTGAAAGAACACACCCTGCGATTATAGATTCACAATGCAGCATTTGCCCAGGGAAATGGCACAAAGCACCCGATGCTTTATCACGCAATCCACAGCCTTGGAAATAACAGGATACGAAAAATGCAGTGATGGACATAGCACGAAATGACCCATCATCTGATGATAGTAACAACAACAGAGCAGTGCGAAGCTCGTGTTCACGCAATTCAACAATCTGTCATCAACTCAATAATGATGACGATTGCGCTTGTGACCCTGGATCACATTAGAAGCCATGGAAAGTCTGACAAAAGCTACAACATACTCATCAAAACAATTGAGAATGGATTCCCTAACACAAGACATGGGACACCGCCTGAAATCCGGGATTATTGGGGTGTGAGAGATCGCCTATCAACTAAAGACAATGTAATACTAATGGACTCTCGCATAGTTATTCCCACTCCCCTTCGCAAGACCATACTGAGGTCACTACACTCTGCGCATCAAGGGATCACAGGCATGAAAGCAAGAGCAAACCAATCAGTCTATTGGCCCGGGCATGAACGCCATGATCCGAAACTTTCGATTTGGATGCCTCACATGCACGAAATACGCTCCATCTCAAACTAAAGAGCCAATGATATCGAGCCCGGCGCCACAGTATCCCTTTCAACACATATGCGCCGACTACTTTGTACTGGGGAACCACTGCTACCTATCTGTTGTAGACAGATTCAGTGGTTGGATCAGTATTTTTCATTACCCACCACATCGATCAATCACTAAAGAGCTCATCAACTCATGTCGTGGGTTATTCACATCCTATGGAGCACCAGAAGAATTTGACTCAGACGGTGGACCTCAATTCACCTCATCCGAATTCCAGAACTTTTTAACTGATTGGGGAATAAAGCATCGAAAGTCCTCAGCATCTTACCCACAATCTAATGGACGGGCAGAGCTCGGAGTTAAAACTGCCAAGAGGATCATTCGTGATAGCACATCACCTGACGGTTCTCTGAATAATAATAAGGCAGCACAGGCAATCCTACAATACAGGAACACTCCTCTGCAAGACATTGATCTCAGCCCAGCTCAGATACTTCTGCATAGACAACTGCGGATCACGTTCCTACAAATCCACAGCATTACCGTCCCCATCCACAATGGATTATATCTGCAGGGGAACGTGAGCAGAAACTAGCTAACCGCCATCACATCATTATCGACAAATATAACAACACATCGAGACAACTCCCTCCACTGTCAGTTGGGACAACAGTCGTTATACAATCACAAGTCCCAAACAAGCCACGACACTGGAACAGGACTGGTCGAATTGTAGAAATCCTACCTTACAGACAATACAAAATCAGAGTAGATGGCTCGGGAAGAGTGACTATACAAAACAGACGATTTATACGACCTTGCATCATCATTCAACCTCCGCCGATCATGCCATTCTCACCAACAATTCCCCCCAGCGGAGAGAGAGATGAAGACATTGGAAACTCTGGGAGTCATAATGCAGGAACTACTCAAGACACTCCGGTGGAAATACAACCAAGTCATCATGTGAGCCCATCGCTAACCAGCAGAGCTCCAAGATTGCCTAGGGCGCTTCAGAGGTTACAGCCCTACAACAAGCCAGGACGACTTGAGGAGAACTATAATGTTAACTGAACTGAACAAAACATTTCTTAATTTAAAAGACTCTGCGCCTCTGCCGGAGGGTGGAGATGAACATTACATTATATTTCATTGCATGTTTTAACTGTTTCGTTCTTGTTCTTTAGATTGTATTTTACTTAGATTGCTTAACTTGGTTGGCCTTGTACTATAGTTAATACTTCATGTGAATTGATTTAAATAATATTGTACATTCATTTAATTTTCTTGACTTTTGCGGTAAATTTCTAAGTGAGAAATAACTGATTTATTTGTGTTTTCGTGCTCACGATGTTAATTTGTGACTTCATTGCTTAAAAATATATAGTTTGATAGCTTCTATAAAATGGATGTAGCTGTTTATGCTGTTCTTGTTGTAAACTGCTTGTGGTTATTACATAAAATTTATTCGCAAATGTGAATCAGCGTTGTTGGTGCCGCTGCTTTCGAGGTCACTCCCGACTCCTGTCACACAATTGAAGTATTTTTTGTTGTTGGTTACATGTATGCCATATTTTTCGTAATCTACCTAATAAATTATGATTGACTGATCAAGTCCGATTTTGGTCAGGCAAAACATTACAGGAATACATTTGTGTTAGTGTGCTGTAGGGCTCTCGAATTGCATAGTTCTTATGTATGTGTTGTAAACTTATGGTTATTGAATTTCCGGGAACCTCTTATATTCAATTTCGCACCAGGATTGTGGAACAAGCTGTAATGCGTTCATTATGTTCGTTTTCACACAAAACTGAAGAATTTATTTAGTTACCAGATGTGCGCTACGAAACTCATTTTCTGGGCGTTTTCAAGGCTTCGTCTCACGGCCCATATCCGTGGTAAGGATCTACAAGTGTTTAATAACTTACTTGTACATTTTTCAACAACGTCTTAGCATAACTTAACTAATAATAACTAAACAGCGCTATGGAAAGCCTGCCCAACTCAGCGCAAGGTCGAGCAGTAATAACTAATATTCATCCGCTTGCTAACAGCTGGTTTAATTCAATTGTTACGTCATGCAGAAGTCATTGTTCCTTGCCCGAAAATGTAGAGAATATAGGACAGATCGTAGCACATATTTCTTGTAGTAAAACCGTCTTTTCCGTAAAACGTGCAACTTTTGGAAGTGGGAACAAGGCAATATTTGTTACTAAATTTTTAAGGAACATTTCAAAATCATTTTCAGGTAGTTACCTGATGTGCGCTACGAAACTCACTTTCTAGGCGTTTTTCAGGGCCTCGGCTCGCGGCCTAAAAATATTCGAATTAAATATTGATCATGCAAATTGCAACAAGTAAACCTATTATTCAAAACGTAGTATTATAAAGAGGTGCACGCGCTCTATTACCGCATATGCTAGGCAGTTATTTAGGCACTTCAAAAAGTATAGAAGATAGAAATTATCATCAATAAAAAAGATGGAAAATAAAAATATTAGTCACAATGATCAGCCTGGGTAAGTATCTAATGAATGTACTTGAGTCTAGTAGTGGTATTTGAGAATAATAAATTGTTACCAGTAGGAACTTTTCAGGCACTTTGGAAAAAAAAGGTAAAATAGCTTAGCTAAAGGCGTAATAGCTTTCGAAAAGATGATGAATTAGTAGTTTAAAATATTCAAATTAAATATTGCCATACAAATTGCAACAAGTAAATCCATTGTTAATATTAAAACGTAGTATTATAGGAAGGCGCACGCGCTCGATCACAACATATGCATGCTAGGCACTTATTTAGACACTTCGAAAAATTCTTATATTACTACGTTTTGAATATTATCATTGGGTTTACTTGTTGCAATTTGCATATTGTATATTTAATTTGAATATTTTTAACTAATTCATTATATTTTTTAAAGTTATTACTCCCATTTATCTTTTTTCGAAATGCCTAAAAAAGTTCGTAATTCTCAAGTGTCTACTTTAAGTCCGTCCCTTCGTAGGCACAGTTTCCACTGTACCGTGAAATCGGCACAGATTTTTAGCAGGTGTTTTCGCTCTCGACAATCAGACAACCTCCTACTTTTGAGCCTTATCCGTCCTAATGAAGTAATCTGTAAATGCCCAACTCGATCGTAAACGGTTTGGAATAGGAAAGGGCACGGTGAAGCAGCAATCGAAGCGGAAACGAGTTCATGCGGACAACACTAAAAGGCTGAAGGAAGAAACGGATGAAGTGGAGGGAAAACGGAAGTTGAAGTGTTCCCAAAGGTGAAAAATTAAAAAACACTAAAAGGAAGAAGTGGATGAAATTTCTTCCGACGGGTAGTTAGGTGGCTGAAGTCACTAAAAAGCTGAACACTAAAAGGAAGAAGTGGATGAAATTTCTTCCGACGAATAATGAGGTGGTTGAAGTCACTAAAAAGCTGAACACTAAAAGGAAGAAGTGGATGAAATTTCTTCCGACGAATAATGAGGTGGTTGAAGTCACTAAAAAGCTGAACACTAAAAGGAAGAAGTGGATGAAATTTCTGTCGACGAATAATGAGGTGGTTGAAGTCACTAAAAAGCTGAACACTAAAAAGAAGAAGTGGATGAAATTTCTTCCGACGAATAATGAGGTGGTTGAAGTCACTAAAAAGCTGAACACTAAAAGGAAGAAGTGGATGAAATTTCTTCCGACGAATAATGAGGTGGTTGAAGTCACTAAAAAGCTGAACACTAAAAGGAAGAAGTGGATGAAATTTCTTCCGACGAATAATGAGGTGGTTGAAGTCACTAAAAAGCTGAACACTAAAAGTAAGAAGTGGATGAAATTTTTTCCGACGAATAATGAGGTGGTTGAAGTCACTAAAAAGCTGAACACTAAAAGGAAGAAGTGGATGAAATTCCTTCCGACGAATAATGATGTGGTTGAAGTCACTAAAAAGCTGAACACTAAAAGGAAGAAGTGGATGAAATTTCTTCCGACGAATAATGAGGTGGTTGAAGTCACTAAAAAGCTGAACACTAAAAAGAAGAAGTGGATGAAATTACCTTCCGACGAATAATGAGGTGGTTGAAGTCACTAAAAAGCTGAACACTAAAAGGAAGAAGTGGATGAAATTTTCTCCGACGAATAATGAGGTGGTTGAAGTCACTAAAAAGTTGAACACTAAAAGGAAGAAGTGGATGAAATTTCTTCCGACGAATAATGAGGTGGTTGAAGTCACTAAAAAGTTGAACACTAAAAGGAAGAAGTGGAGGAAATTTATTCCGACGAATAATGAGGTGGTTGAAGTCACTGAAAAGATGAACACTAAAAGGAAGAAGTGGATGAAATTTCTTCCGACGAATAATGAGGTGGTCGAAGTCACTAAAAAGCTGAACACTAAAAAGAAGAAGTGGATGAAATTTTTTTCGACGAATAATGAGGTGGTCGAAGTCACTAAAAAGCTGAACACTAAAAAGAAGAAGTGGATAAAATTTATTCCGACGATTGATGAGGTGGTTGAAGTCACTAAAAAGCTGAACACTAAAAGGGAGAAGTGGATAAAAAAAATTCCGACGAATAATGAGGTGGTTGAAGTCACTAAAAACTGTACACTAAAAGGAAGAAGTGAATAAAGTTTCTTCCGACGAATAATGAGGTGGTTGAAGTCACTAAAAAGATGAACAGTAAAAGGAAGAAGTGAATGAAATTTCTTCCGGCGAATAATGAGGTGGTTGAAGTCATTAAAAAGATGAACACTAAAAGGAAGAAGTGGATGAAATTTCTTCCGATGGATAGTGAGGAATACTTGAAAATTTAATATATTAGGAATTGGGTAATTTAATGTTTGTTCTGTTCGTATTTATGAGACAATGTCCTCGTGGATTCGTTTTTTGTTAACTTTTTATATGTTATGCTCAGTTCGAGCCTGGCGAATTGAAGGCCATGACATTCTCGTTATCTTCTTTTTAATTTTGATGTAATGTGCAAACAAATTATTATATATATATTTTCATATCTAGCTGTTCTAGATCAACAAACCTTGTAATTTATAATATGTTTGTGGCCCACCTCAAAATGCCTCTGAGGCTTACCAGTGGCCCATGGCCCATTGGTTGAGAACCAGTGGTCTAACAGGACTTCGATTTGACTAATACATCATTATTCAAAGTCTTCGTGCGTGAACTGCTTGCAAAATTTATAAAAACAGATATTAAGTTCAAGGAATGAAATACGGAATCAAAAATAAATTATATTCGGGCACAATATCACGGCAATCTATTATTAATCTTAATGTTCAAATCTATGACCGATAGCACTATTTTAAATGCTTGCCGTATTAATTTAATTCTGGTAACGTAACTCATGGTATATAAAAATATATCGCAGTAATCTGCAAACATGAAATGCATGGTAATATAGTCATGTTGTAGATAACAGTTATTCCATTGTTTATTGTATGCAAATTCCTTCATATACTATAGATCAGTAGTCGGCAACCACCGGGCCGTGGCCCATCGCCGGTCTGCGGAAAGGTCACTACCGGTCCCGTTGACGATAATGATAATATTATTTGCTTAAAACTGGGAAATTTGATTTGCAAACGGCGATAAGTTAGATCAGAGTCGGCGCAAAAGATAAATATCAGAATACAATTAATTTGGCTTTGAAATCACTCCTTAATGTCATTAAAATCTGTCGCTGATGTGAACTCATAGTTATATCAATAATATGAAACTTCGATCTCCGCCGACCCACGGGAATTAATAGTTGCGCAAAAGAACAAATGGCGGGAATTTAAAAACGTTCAGGGGGACAAAATGTCAGCGCATATGACGAAATTAACCAGTAAAAATCGCTTTGTTGCCGATTTTCAATGTTTCTATTAATTTCCAAATCTACCTCCGACGTTCTGGACCCTGCTGCGTATAAAAAATATTCGGTATTGGACTATTCGGTATTTGTTAAGAATATTCGAATTATTCGATTCGAAAAAAATATTCGATTTTGCCCACCCTTTTCTTGGCCGCCATAAGAGTATAAAAACACGAAAAATTGAGAGTCGTCGAGAAAGAGATGCGTGTTTGTCTCTCTCAATTAAATTCCAGCCAGAATAAAAAATTGAAACTCATCGAAACAGGCCCAGATATTACATTAAAATACCATTTCCGTTCCTAGCTCATCGGTAGCTCTGAATCGGAATATGTGTAACGTCTTTTCCAGCTGAAGTTGACAAGCTAATATTAAATCTCGTTAATTTATTTTTTTCCGAAATTATCGATGTCAGTTAATTGCATAATATAGTTTATTTCCGAAAATCTCATTTGGTGTTCCGTCACAATTTTAGACTAAAAAAAGTGTTCCGCGATACAAAAAAGGTTGAAAATCACTGGTGTACGAGGTTAGGGATCAGGTTGTGCGACATCTTGGTGCGCATACTTCAGTAGTACCAATATTTCAATTTCAACGAAGTTTAAATTAAATTTCAATCAAAATTAAATGTTTTCTAGAAGTCGGTATCTGATCGTTTATCAAATCATGTCAAGGCGTACCATAACTTAGTCGCAGAGAAGGTGTGCTGTTGCATATTTTTAACAAAATTGCAATGAACTTTCGGGTATACGATCCATTTAAATTTGCGTGTGATAGAAACTTAGGTCAGTCACTCAACTGACAGATTGAAGGAAATTAATTACCCACACAGCACGTCAGCATCTCGAGTGATGATCAGGGTGTGTTGCGCTGAACATGAAAATGAATGAAGGCAGATCAATAAAAGTAAATAACGAAAAATTCATTTACATTCCCGTCTGGCAATTGGTGTTATTTGGAGTGTTTGTTTTTCTTCGCTAAACGGCTCTCTTTCTTTCGAATCGCGTAAATCAGATTCGAAAAAAATTGCGATTTGAATCGATTCAATTCATAAATCTAAAAGGGGCATGCCTACTCATCAGTCCGCTTTCAGGGTCTTCATCCAATCTCACTTCCGCCGGGATATGTTTTGGCTATTTAACTCTCCCAATGTTCGGTATTTTAGTGACTTCAACCACCTCAAAATTGATAGGACAAAATATCATCTAACCCTAACGTACTTCTTCCTTATAGTGATTAGATTTTTAGTGACCTCAGCCACCTCACCACCCGTCGGAAGAACTTCCATCCACTTCTTTCTGTTAGTGTTCGGCTTTTCAGTGACCTCCGCCACCTCATTATCCGTCGGAAGAAATTTCATCCATTTCTTGCTTTTAGTGTTCAGCTTATTAGTGACTTCAACCACCTCATTATTCGTCGGAAGAAATTTCATCAACTTCTTCCTTTTACTGTTCAGCTTTTTAGTGACTTCAACCACCTCATTATTCGTCGGAAGAAATTTCATCAACTTCTTCCTTTTAGTGTTCAGCTTTTTAGTGACTTCAACCACCTCATTATTCGTCGGAAGAAATTTCATCCACTTCTTCTTTTTAGTGTTCAGCTTTTTAGTGACTTCAACCACCTCATTATTCGTCGGAAGAAATTTAATCAACTTCTTCCTTTTAGTGTTCAGCTTTTTAGTGACTTCAACCACCTCATTATTCGTCGGAAGAAATTTCATCAACTTCTTCCTTTTAGTGTTCAGCTTTTTAGTGACTTCAACCACCTCATTATTCGTCGGAGGAAATTTCATCAACTTCTTCCTTTTAGTGTTCAGCTTTTTAGTGACTTCAACCACCTCAATATTCGTCGGAAGAAATTTCATCAACTTCTTCCTTTTAGTGTTCAGCTTTTTAGTGACTTCAACCAGTGACTTCGACCACCTCATTATTCGTCGGAAAAAATTTCATCCACTTCTTCCTTTTAGTGTTCAGCTTTTTAGTGACGTCAATCACCTTATTATTCGTCGGAAAAAATTTCATCCACTTCTTCCTTTTAGTGTTCAGCTTTTTAGTGACTTCAACCACCTCATTATTCGTCGGAAGAAATTTCATCCACTTCTTCTTTTTAGTGTTCAGCTTTTTAGTGACTTCAACCACCTCATTATTCGTCGGAAGAAATTTCATCCACTTCTTCCTTTTAGTGTTCAGCTTTTTAGTGACTTCAACCACCTCATTATTCGTCGGAAAATATTTCATCCACCTCTTCCTTTTAGTGTTCAGCTTTTTAGTGACTTCAGCCACCTAACTACCCGTCGGAAGAAATTTCATCCACTTCTTCCTTTTAGTGTTCAGCTTTTTAGTGACTTCAACCACCTCATTATTCGTCGGAAGAAATTTCATCCACTTCTTCTTTTTAGTGTTCAGCTTTTTAGTGACTTCAACCACCTCATTATTCGTCGGAAGAAATTTCATCCACTTCTTCCTTTTAGTGTTCAGCTTTTTAGTGACTTCAACCACCCCATTATTCGTCGGAAAATATTTCATCCACCTCTTCCTTTTAGTGTTCAGCTTTTTAGTGACTTCAGCCACCTAACTACCCGTCGGAAGAAATTTCATCCACTTCTTCCTTTTAGTGTTCAGCCTTTTAGTGTTTTTTAATTTTTCACCTTTGGGAACACTTCAACTTCCGTTTTCCCTCCACTTCATCCGTTTCTTCCTTCAGCCTTTTAGTGTTGTCCAGTTCATGCAGAGAGCGTTGTCTGAAAATCTCACTACTGCACCATGTGCACTTATTTTTGTGCAGTCGATTCTGGTCACTTACAAGCTGAAATATCAGACGATGGTTGGTCATTTGTCTACTGTCTTACTGGCAAGGCGTGGAAAGGAAAGATTAGCAATGATGACATAGCTTCAAGTGCATCTGATTTGTATCAAAATTTAACCCAATATAGTGAAACAGCGATCAAAGTATTTTCTAATGAGAACTGTGAAGATATTGTGATTGATCTGATAGATTGTGAAAATGATAAGAAAGAACTCTGCTGGAAAAAAATTACCAGCACCAGTGTGAAATATTCTCTTGGATCTGTGATTTTGGAAAGATGTGATTCAGCTGAAGTGGATAAAGTCTTGAATCAGGCATTCGGTGCAATAACAAAGTTGAAGAGAGAATTGAAGGAGTCACAAAATGAGAAATCGAAAATTGAATCTGAGAAGAACGACTTAGCATGTCGATTAGAGGATTTTTCTCGACTAAAAGTTGAATTAGAAGGAGAACTATTCACTAAATTCGTTCTGATATTAAATGAAAAGAAATCAAAAATTCGTGATTTGAAAAAGGAAATCGAGAAACTGAAAAATCCAAAAATTCAATTTCCATCAAATACAGTAAATAATAATGGTGATGGAATCAGTAAGGAAGTATTAGTCCAAAAAGGTCTGCAAAGTAAAAAACTAAGATCTGAAACTAAAAGAAATATATCTCATGACAATTCTTTGACTGAAGAATCTGAAGAATTAATTAAAAAGATCCCAAGACGTGAACGTAAACAACAGCAGATTTTTGCTTCAGTTGTTCCCTCAACAAATTCCAAAATTATATGCAAATCAGAAGAATCTACAAGCCCATCAACTTCACTGGTAAATGAATATGATGAAACAGTAGATGCAAGTGGTATGATTGATGGATTATAGGCCATAATGCTCTGAAATAGGACCCAAAAATTTGGAAATAGTGTTGTATCATACACCCACGCAAAGGTGTAATTTATAATATTGGTTTGGATAAGACAGCATCATTTTAAAAAGAAAACTAATGCATTTAAATGAAATCTGAATCACAAGATCACACTAGAACTTGAAGGTTTTGTTTTTCAACAAACTGAGCCAGTGCTTTTTTGAACATCTAACTGTGAGATTATTCTGATTGTTCCATAATATATAAAATAATTAATATAACTGTCTTCATGAAGATTATGCATAGTATTGTTCTGAAATCTTGCAATGTTGCACTAAATATTTCTTTTTAAAATAATCTACAGCAGTATATGAAGTTCTTGTTTTATGAATGAAATTTGAAAGTTTGAAACAACAAAATCATACAGTATTACACTGATCTTGAATGAAATGTATGAGCCAGTTTTCAATGAAAATGAAATCCAATTTTGACTGTATTCAATATTCTCTGTCTCTCTGCTTTTTTTCCAAATTTAAAATATTTATCTTAAAGATTTTGAACATTCTAAATTATAGCTTGTTCCCTTCGCTTTATTTTGGAGCAGATTAAAAAATGTTTGCACTAAATGTTTTAATTTGAGTTTATGGATAATTATAGGCATCTCATTGTCAACTTGTGTTGATAAACAAGATTCTTTTATGTGTTCCAGATTATACTTTATATTTATTTAATTAGAAAGATGTTGTCACAATATAATGAACTTATTATCTGATGTTTTCACATCATAGCATGGTTAATTGCCCATGTATTTAGATATTAATTTGTACAATTCGATTATATATTTTATAGTGTGTCAGGAAATAAATAATGAGCCATATAGATCATATATTGTTATGCTACCAGTATATAGATTTCTACTTCGCTATATTCTGAATGAATCAAACATTTTACTAGTTATGGCATTAGGTAAGAAGTTTTTATTATACAACTAGAGTAAATTATCTATAAAATTGCATTCACATTTTCTTTAAAGCTAATAACAACAATGTTTAGTTCATTATTATCAGGTATTTTTCATATTTGACTTTTTTGCTCATGCTAATATCTTCTCGAGCTACAGCTGCCAAACCAAGTTAAACAGTGACTTGCTTGGAATTATTATTCATGTTGCCATCTACATGCACATTTGTCATCTGTAGGTCTGTGGTCGACAAAACTATTTTTGCATAAAAATGTTCTGGTTTACATTACCTAATTTCTTTGATCGGCCTAGTAGACATTAGTCAGCTGACTGATTCCATGCATTCTGATGTAATCAATTGCCTATAAGCTTTAAATTGTCTATTTGTCACGTTACTTTCCTCAGTAGGGAAGTCTTTCATCATGTTAACATATCAACCAGTATAGTGCGCTTAATGAAAAAGTATGTGCAGCAGTATAGGATACTTGTCAAATATATGCATATGTAATACTAAATATATTCAAAATTGTGAATTTATAAATAGATTACAACTTTGGTTATGTAGGAAGGTTTAGATAGACAATGATGGAATTGGTAAAGTTCAAATTTTATATTACCATACTTGGAAAATGTAAATTTTTAGTTTGTATCGAATAATAACTATTTCTAAATCCATTTTGAGCACTCTGGGAGTTATTCCTCTGATCTGGCTATCTTGACAAATAAATTTTCATACAATTTTCATCTCAACGGAAAAATATAATGGAAAACATAGGAATAGCCATCTCATCTTCATAAGAACGAGTGTATAATAATATAATGCTTTATCAGTGGATACTTACGGTACTATAATAGCTCTCTAAATAATATGAAATGACACGTTTTCTAATAATTTTCTAGATTTCTTTGCAATGATTCTACTTGGCCTTGTCTACGCTGTTGTCAGGTGGGCAGTCAACCATTATCGAAGTTTAACAAACAACAATGAAAGTGGATCTTCTACGTTTAGTTTATTTTGGTAGGTTTTGCTTGTGACGTAGACACGTAGTATAGTTATTAGATACTGGTTTTTCAAACCTGCCAAGATTAGATAGTCAAGTCCGAACCAGAAAGATGTTTGTACAGAGCCTTGTTCAGAATGAAGGTTTTAAAACGCTCCATAAAGAAATATTGATTGTAATCAGGAAATCTTACGATTTATCAATAGTCAAAATATCCGCACCTGTCTAAGATTAAATCAGGTTGAAATTTGCACGGAGAACAAGAATTAAGGTCGTCCAATACAGGCTTTGGAAAATTCTGTTATTTTATACTCGACCTTTAGAATTATGTCCTTCATTATTATGTAACAATTCTGTTTAATCAGCCATAGAATGTATTTTGTCTGCATCACCTGAATTACTTTTTTACATTTTGTATTAGTTCTGCGAAAGTTGATTGGGAATGGGTTGAACCAATGCAAGTGGGAGAAACAATGACATTCAAGGTTAAGGTGGGTATGGTAATTAACATATTAATAAACTAATATGCTCATAAAATTTGACATTTATTTGGAGTCCAATCCAGATAGCTATCTTGATCGGAACAAGCACAAAGCACAGACATTTCTAGGAAACCTCAGATTCGCTATTTTCCTAGCTATATATTTATTTACTCTTCATTAATTATCAATTGCTTTTACATAAAGATATTTATATGTGTTATTACTTTGTCTACTTCATTTCTTTATATATATATAAAAGAATATATATATATACAAAAAGACAAGATATCAATTTTATTGCACTATCATAATATTCGTAAGACATACTTATACTACGTCTTTGATAGTATGACTTTCTTTAATACAGTTCTTTGGTTTGGCGGGATTACCACGCAGCATATCTGATGTAAAAAATTTGAAAATTGAAATAATGAAAAATTCATTAACAATTGCTCATGTTGAAGAATTAGTTCAGAATGAACAACCACCACAGGAAGGTCTGTAATCCTGGTTGTTGTATTTTATGTAAAGCTATAAGCAACAGACGTATATCTTAATCTTTTCAATGCTGTACGTAACCAGCATATTTGCAAATTCCGAGCATGATCATTGATCAACTTTTGAATACTCATATGATGTTCTGGGCTTCTGGCCTCCAAATGAAATCTCTTGTGCATGATAATTAGTGATGACAGTTTTAAAATAGTAACAGAATGTGTCAGTATTCAAACATAGTTCACTTGTAACTTCAACTTTTAAAATTTCCGTAAGGTTCAAGGCAAATCAAATTCGCAGATATTTTAATATCTTACCAGATCAGACAATATCTGAATATTTTGATGTTTTTTATTATCTTTGACATTCCAATAACTTATCACCACAGGAATCGTGAAGTAACTTATTTTAGGTTATTGATAACAAATTAAAACCTTTTATATCATTATATAGTGAACGATTGATTTCTGTGCTGGGAAATGAAAAATTCCAAATAAAATTGAATGCTTGGAGCTTTTAAAACTATAAAGTACTAAATATTTATTTATTCAGGTGCAGATGCTCCGGTTTTACCAAACTCAAATTTAATGAAAGTGTCATTCACAGTACGAGCGAGTGGAGTATACACAATAACTATTTATGAAGATGGCAGACTTATAGCAGGAAGTCCTCATAAAAAAGTGTTCATACCTGGTTTGTTCATTTGACATTGATTTTTCACGTTGTCCAATATATTATGAAAGAAGATTGACAAGATTCTTTTTTTTATGTACCGTCCTTAGATTTTTGAAAAGTTCGTTTTGATTTTTTGAAACAATTCCCATTTGTCTATGACAGGGGTCACCAAACTTTTTTGACCGCGGGCCAGGTATGACTCAAATTGTGTTGAAACGGGCCGGATGAATATTTTTGTCAATGCAATACAATAAATTCACAAATGTTGGGAATATCGCAGAATATAGATCGAGAACATCCTAGGAAAAAAAATTAACAAGATTTATATATCTAGACAACTATCCTGAGTTTAGCTGTTATCAAAACGTTGCTGTCATGAATTAGAAATGTTACAAAATCCGCGGCAAAAAATGTACGCATCACGTCTGCTAAGTACCGTTACGTCGTGTTGAAATACCGCTCATAAAAACGACTGCCTGCTGTAGCTTGGAATTCTATGATATTTTGACATAATTTAGATAAAATAAACAACTATTATCTGGTATTTGAATTTTTTCATTAGCGCATAAATTTTCCAACATTCGACGCTTTTAAAAATTACGCCCCAGTTATACGTAGTGCAAATTATTGATATTGTCTATGGACACCAATAAAATTTATATGGACGTGTGTATTTCTTGTCTAACTTGATACTTACCAATTTTTATGAAGTTCGTACAATCAGAACATCGTTAATTATTACCCACAATGAACCACTGTCAAACTATCATGCACAACTCCAGCGTTTATTTGCGACGATCTTTCGGCGGTGTCAATGACTGTTGCCAGCATAAAATCCTGAAATTATCTCAATATACCATAGATGTGACGCACATCGAAAGATTAGTGATTGATATGTCTTATTTTTCCATATTTAGTACAGTTCTTATCAAAAAAGTAATACAATCATTATGGAAAAAATTGGCTGTCGGGCGGTACTAAAATTCCGATATCTCCGTTATTTCTTGACCGTTTATTCCAAACTTGGTATTGTTTTCTATTTTTACTCAGATCATTCCACTGGAGCAGTTTTTATTTAAATCGGATGAACTTCAATTTTTTTGTAACATACCTACATGAATATCCGCATTAAAGCAGTACAAAAGTTAGTGTGGCTTTTGAAATTGGAGAAGTACGCGAGGGATTACAGTACTGTTAGCACAAAATGCACATTCGACGTTTATTTTAGCACGAAAAACAATCAGTTTCGTAGAAAGCAAGCGCCACGAGTGTACAAGTGTATCGCAGAAAACGTTACGTACTGGTAGCATTCAAAGTCGCAAAAACGAAGTTTTGTTTACAACCACGACTGAAAATGTGTCAGGGTGACAAAAGTGTCTGAGCGGATGCGGAAAGGCCTATTATTACATCACTTTTCTGCATCTTGCCGATTGGCCAATGTTACGAAATAAACGAGGACGACGATGCTCGTGAAAATCTTCCTTGGAAAAAAATTTAGCCATTTTTGCGTGTTATTGCGAACCGGATAAAATGACGTCGCGGGCCGGATCCGGCCCGCGGGCCGTAGTTTGGTGACCCCTGGTCTATGATAACGATCGGCAACCTGCGGCTTTGGAGCCGCATGGGCTCTTTGTTCTTGGAGCCCTGTCTCTCAAGAATCTAAGTAATTATAGCAGTTTATGTTTCCCAGCCAGAGCAGTTACTTTTTCTATGGACATAATGTAAGAAACACACTGAAGGTTTTTACGCATAACTGCAAACTTGTGAAAAACAGAGTGGATGTTGCGGCTCCGAGTAGGTTTAAATTTGATGGGAATGATGTCAAATGGCTATTTCAATGCTAAATATTGCCGACCTGTGGCTTATGTGATGTGAAACCGAAATTTGATAGGTAGTATAACTTTTAATGAACTCTGCCATGGTATAAAAATATAATAAAAAACAAGACAAAACACAAAGACAGAATTCAGTATAGTTGCCAACACTTGAAATTACCTCATGGGCAAATTTAACTTGTGACGAAGAATATGAACGAAAAAACACTTATTGTAACTTAACTATACCTTTTTTTTGTTTTTTTAATACTAAACTGAATTGATCGATCTTTATCTCAGGTCCTCCTGTTGCATCTAGAACAACTTTAATCCGAACATTGAATTCATCAACTGTTTTACCAATTACACAAAATCTTCCTCATGTGTTGACAATAGAACCACGGGATGAGTTTGGGAATACTTGTGCGAATCGACTTCATCAATATGATTTGAGAGACAAATTGTCTTTGATGGTGTCGGAGGTAGGGTGAAAATTGAAAAAATTTTTTTACATGATTCAAATATAGGTATGTCGAGTTCTCTGATGTCTACTTTTTGTTAAAAGTGTATGCCATTATTATTAATACTTGGTAATCTGTAACAGAAATAATGCTTTTGCTGCATAATGGTACTCAAAAAGTTTTTAGTATTTGAAAGTTTGCTTTGTTTTTTTGTTCTGAGTATTGAATTTAAATCGGCCTATGCTCGTTTATTCATATTGATACATAGATTTTTTTTTGTTCTCTTTTTCAATAGATTGGGGGAGATGAAGAAGATTTTATTATTCCTGTGAGTACGGATTTACGACTTGCAAATGACACAATTATAGTGGATTTATTTGTTCCAATATCTGGTTGTTTCCATGCAGTTACTACATATGAAAATGAAATCATCAATAATGGAGAATTTGATCTTGTGGTTTTAACAGGTATTCTATGTTGCTATGAAGATTGTTGTATCTAAATGCTTTTTTGAGCTGTATGACACTCGAAGATTTTGCCATTGTACACATACATTGGTTTTATTTTATGTCTGTGGTAGTTTCAGTAGCCCTTGACTTTGATTTGGCCGTCTGTAGCTTTGTTCAAAGATGAGTCTGCTTTACTTCTGAGTAATCAAATCTCAATATTTACTATCATATATAACTTCATGACCCACACTGACAAAAGATACATTATTTTTTTGTTACATTGTTTTGTTTTTGTGAACAGGTAAAATATGAAATATGATACCGAACTGTAATTATAAAAAAGTAAAAGACTTAATGAGAAATTGTTTATTTCTGTGATTACTTTATAAATACTGTTATGCTGCATTATATTTTATAATTTTATAGAGGAAGAAATGGAAGAAGTTCAAGAAAATGTTGAAAGGCGAAATTTAAATGTTTGGTATGAAGCAAAATTATTGGATACTTCACATGATCAATATTCAAGTGTAAGTAAATGGATTTGTTATTTTTCTTTTTCTAAGTTTTTGTATTATTCCCCCAAAACTCTGAATGATAATAATTATGCAAAAAGCCACAACTGAATCATGGTTCCAACAGTTAGAATAGCAACTATCTTTTGACATATATATCCCACAGGATTCCAACCCATGAGAGGTCATTAGCTATTTAATATTTTGCATAGCCTACTCATTGCTCACCAGTCGCCACAATAGACAACTGTTATTCCATAGGCAATTATGGAGCTGTTAACTTATGTTTTACAATTCATTTCCCAGTAATTCAGTACTATAATGATGAATCCGTTAGTTAGTCAAAAGGATTATAAATATCATTATATCATAATTCTGTATTATAGTATTTATGCAGTCATACGTTTGGTATTATGACAAAATAATAATTATGAATAATATAAATTGTTTCAATTCACTGCTTAAGTATAATTCATATTATGAGGTGCCATGAGATCATTCTGAGTCTATGTGTAAATATATCACTTTATTAAATTGTGATTTATTTAGAGATTAGGCAGATCTACTTTTTTATAGGTTTGTGAGCTATTGGACTATTCAATTACTCAATTTATTCAATTACTTACCGGTATATATATATAAATAATTGGCGAATAATATTTACTGTAGTCTCTAATTTTTACACATTTGCACAAGTGTATTCTATGATTTAACAGACATTATCCGTGTATTACAATGTTGTCTAGTCTTGAATTTGACTTCAGTTTGAGATCCTCATGTTAATTGGAACCTTATATATGAAACAATTTTTTTTCAGCCAAAAGAGAATCGAAGTTCTTTATTTTCGAGAACATTATCTATGGGAGATATTCCTGGATCGTCAACATCTAACAATAAACCATCACTGTCAGCATTCAGGAGTCGTAGAATTTTGTCTTCTACCAGTTCTGTTTCTAAACCGAAATCAGTATATTGCTATATAACTCCTAAGGTAAAATAATTGTATGAAAATTCGGTTCTGCATATGATTTTCGCTACAAAATTGTACTTATCACATGTGACGGTTGGTCAGATCACTTTGTTGATTTTTATTGTTTCAACTTAGTAGGATACAGGCAAGTTAGCTTTGATCAGGTTAGATTTGTTAAGTGTCACATTTTGCTGGTCGTGTTGCAGGGTTTCAACTGGTTCTAAGTTCTTTCTCCTTTCACTTTCATCAAACATTAACTTTTTACCCGACAAACTATACCTATACTATATTCTAGTTTAGTAAATACTTGTATCATATGAAATGAGAATGAATGAAATGAACTTGTATCATATGGAACTCTTTGATACTTTAGTATTATGTTGATTTTTTGTGATACTGTTTCAAATTAATTGACTTCAGAAGTATTTGTTCATTACTAATTTAAAGGGTAAATGCTATTTATTTAGTTACTGATTTTGCACATTAAAAAATGTTTGAAAAAATTGTCATGTTTAGTCCCGAGTGCATTGAAAAAATATCAATAGCAGATAACGGCAGATATCAAATGATGGTAAATAAATTTTCATGTATCACACAAAATACCTAATCATAACTTCTTTTAGGTATTTATACATATCTCTGTATTTGATTTTTATGATTTCTTTTTCACAGCAAATAGTTGTTAAAGAATTTTACTTCAAAATATTTCCAAAACGTTTACAATCTTTCAGATTATGTCAAGCAACAAAAGTGAGTCATCTATATTGGTAATTATATTAAATTAGTAATTAATTATTTTCTAATAATTATTTACTGATATTGATTTTCAGATCACTGTGTTATCTCCAGCAAATAAAAGTCCTTCTCCTGTGATTATGATCAATGATAACTGTCAACCCGCATACACACTGTCATGTCCACTTGCTTATATTTTTATAGCAACTTTCATCGGTATACTGAACAAAAATATTGGTAAGTAAGGTCATCTGCTGATGGTCGCTCACGTTTTGTCGGGGTTATGGTTGGGGAATGGAGTCCTATTTTAAAGTTTATAAAATATAGTAAATTTACTATCATTGTTAAGTAGCAACAATTCTTGTTGGCATACAGACACAGTACTGTACTTTTGATTTCAGACATCATATCTCGAGTATTAGTGTTATTAGAATTAGAATTGTGTTTTGTATTCATGTTGTACACATCAAAAATGAGTACACATAAAAATTTATTTCATTAAAATACTTTGAAGAGATTGTTTTGAAGAGATGCATTTGTTTTGTCTTACAATTTACAAAAATTTACATTTTATCAAGATTCTGCTGTTGAATACATTCATTCAGAACAGTGGGGCGCCCTGGGGGCGTTGAACTAATTCAAAATAAAAGTATTTGTTAGATTTGATCCTGCTGGCCTTATTTTGGATCTGTGCGTATTTTCCTACGAACGTATTTACAACGCGTTTTTTGAATAAAATAGACTTTCGCCTTACTAACTGTTTATGTAGCTTATTGTTAACTAGGTATTTTTGAGGTGCCGCGTGAGACTTGACAAATTCTAAAAAGAGACAAATTCTAGAAGGCTTAAAAGGACCACTGATTTAGAATATTTGGAAATAACTCTCGATGCCAACCTATTCTTATATTGAGAACCTTCAACATCATATTTCCTTTCATCTAAATTTCATTTCAATCGGATTATCTACTAGTAATGAGATATTGATTAAATACAGTTGGTATAATTATCCTGAATAATTCAGAATTGCTCATTTTATATTTGGATGAAATGACATAATTTTCATTTACTTTTTAGGTGGTTCAGATTCATATGAAGAAAAAGTGAAATATTTTCGACAAGAACTTTCCTCATACCATAAAATATCAAGGTTTTCTCGAGGACAAGTATATTTAACAGTGAAACGAGAGCAACTTCTATATGACGTGAGTGCTGTTGTTTGATTGATATCAGTGTGTTTTGAAAAATTATGTTATTGAACTGTAAAATGACGTTCCAATTTATCATTTGAATTAAAACATTTTAAGATGCTTTTTTGTTTTTGTTGGCGTGATTTTGAATTACGACACCGTGCTGCAATTCTGCCAAGCACTAGCGAGAAGTATGCAGAATAACTGTAATTGATACCCTAATCAGAGGTGTCAAGGAATTTAAGTCTTTTGCAAATTTAGGTAATTTTAATTAAATCAATATTCAAATCAAATCCTTCAATATTTAATCATTGAAAATGGGATTTATGTCGAATATGCGCTGAATAAATTTAAATTTATTCATTTAGGTTTTATAAAATTTTAAAATATATTTTTTTTCAAAATCGTTGATTTTCATGTGGACAGTGCCTATTGGTTAAAGCATTAGACCTAAATATCTATAATTATAGCAGATCAAAATCTCTGGTTCCAATTCCATGCACACCACATCCCCCAGGGTGTGGTAAATTGATTAGGCAATGCCAAACTAGGAAGAATACGTCCCTTCCAATCTATAGTAGCTTTTACCTGGGCAGAGCCTTGTCCGGAGCAATGAAAATCACACCATAATCGGAATTATTTTTGTTTCAGTCGTATAAAACTACAAAGCATCTTTCTGTAAAAGATTGGCTCAAACAATTTCAAATAAATTTTGAGGGTGAACTCGGTATTGATTGGGGAGGATTGAGTAGAGAGTGGGTGACTCAACTATGCAAGATTTTGTTTATTCCCGATCAAAGTTTGGATGAAAGTAGTAGTGGAGATTCAAAAATCGACGGAGCAGATATGTTTAAACGATTGAAAGATGACAATCAAGCACTGGTTTGTTACATTTCATATTTGTACTTTTCGAATTAGTTCTCTCTTTAGGAAAATTATGTTCAAACATATTTAGAATTAGTGGTAGAAGTACTAGTTGAATAAAGGCGCTCCAGAAGTGTGTGTACCAATATGAAGGTAACTAATTTTGTTCACCTACTTTCCATCAAGTTGTGTACAGGGAGGGACTGATTACTATGAGCAGGGGGTGTATTCACTTGGCTAAAATAGACAGTCCACGAACTTGATCACCTGTATTTTATGTAACTCCTCTAACTGTAGGCTAATATTAATAGACCAACCTAAGAATTATCAATAAATCTAAAAAAAATTAATATTGAATATTTTCCATTTGCTCTTACTGTTCTGTTTTTTTTTCTGAGGTTGATTTTGAATCATAGGGGTTGTTCATTTGATGCTTCGTTAAATTGGTAATTTTCCGCTCTGATTTTGTAATTTTCTCACGTTGTCTAAACTGAAATATGTCTGCATGAATCTGTGCCATATAAATATTGATAAAAATGATTGATTGACAGTTTTATGACCTCTGTTATTATTTAAAGCTTGATCATTTCCGTTTGTCTGCTGTATACTAAAAGTTTTTGGTAAATTTTTTTATGCAAATTATGATTATACTCGTTCAATTTGACATTTCGAAAATTAGAACTTTACTGTTCATTTAAAATGTTCAATTGATTGAATTAATCAAATTTGTGTGATAATTTACTTTTTTTTTAATTTATGTGTTACATATTTATAAAATATGGTCTAAACAAAATGTATTTATGTACATGCATTCATTGAGATTATTGTTTCACTCACAAATTTTATCACCAATGGGACAAGAAATAATCTGGTTGGGTTGTATCGTACAATATTTTGTTTTTAATTTAGAAGACTCTTATTTGGAAATGCTATGACAATTATTTTCGTTTTCTTCAGGTTCTTCCCAATTCAAACGCAACATCCGGATCGAAATTAAAATTTTTCGAATTTGCTGGAAAACTTGTTGGAAAGTGTTTGATTGACAGTTGCTTTGAACGAGAGCAAATCAAATATGTGACAGCTAGATTTGCTCGATCATTTCTTGCTCAAATAATTGGGCTAGCTGTCACTTTTAAGGTTCGAAATTTTTGGAACTAAAAAAATTTATATTATTCAATTCAGACTATTTGAATTAAATTTGATTGCTAACATTTTACAGCAGTCACCTTTAAAACAGAACTCATTTTTCTGTTGGATACATATCAATTTTGATGACTGATTTGATTTTTCAGTTTCTGTTTTGACCTTTATTTTAGTCTTATTTGGTCGTTAGTCCCAATTAATCAAAGCAATCTTGTTGACTGTTCTAAAATAACACTTTTGCATGGTTTTGCTTTGGGCCTCTTTTTAAAAAAATGGCGATGGCCGAGGAGTCCAGCAATCTTCTCGCACATAATTTACCCACCATTGGATTCGAAATTTGGATTCCTAATTAGCATGATGCGCCATACCGCCGTGTAATGACACAAATTTCATTAATTATGTATTTATTTGCAACATGTGGGTGTTGTGTGATTCATTACATTTGCTCATAATCATTTTGGACAAATCATGATTAACTATTCATTCTTAATTTCAGCATTTTGAAAGTGATGACCCTGAATTATATAAAAGTAAAATTCGATATATCATTGAAAATGATGTTTCTGATTTTGATCTATATTTTTCTGAAGAAGAGTATCATTCTAATGGGAAACTTTCACAGGTATGAAATTTGGAGATGTGCGTTATTTCCTGTTATATTATGCTGATTTTCAGATAAATATTGTCACATGATAGTTAACTTATAGTAGTTACTGAATATGCTATTACAGTGGACTAATCATCTATTTGAATGCGGGGGGGGGGGGGACTTTTTTGCCAGATTTTCATGACCATAACTCTCTCTCAGGATATCCACTTCAAAATGATATGGTTCTCTGTCTTCTTCCATATATAGTTATCTTGATTAATTATTTGTACAAAAAAAATGTTTATAATTTTCACAAAAGGTTTCGGCCTATTTTTATCACTATTTTTTTAAAATTTCATTCCAGGTTGTGCCTTTAAAGCCCAATGGGGCAAAATTACAAGTAACAAATGAAAATAAATTGGAATATCTGAACAGGCTTGCCCAATATAGGTTGTCCACTTCAATAAAAGATGAAATAGATGCATTTAATAAAGGTACGTTGTTCTTGATGTAGTTAAGATTCAATGAGGTTGCTCATAAGCAATTTATTCACTATTTATTATATGTATTTTATCACAAACTTTTGTAGGATGATAATGTAAAGTAGAATATAGAACTGTAATTATTATAGAGTGGATTTGTTCAGCCAGATAATAACATGAGAGGTTTTTGAATTGCAATATGTTCATATACCATAATATTCCTAATTGTCAGTTTTTTACCGTTTTTCTGACTATTTTTGCCATATTTCTTATTTATCTTTCAATATTAGATATATTACCAATAGTGTGTATTCATTTTGCTTGGTGGTTGGCACATCATGCTAAGCCTTATTAATAACCCACTTGCCATTGTACCTCTGTGTACCCTACGCAGGTTTTTAGGTTTGAATCCTGTGGGGGATAATTGGTCCATGGCTAACTCTTCCCATTCCCATACATATTACCTGGTAACTGGACGAAAGGCTGTGGTTTGCCATATGATTGAGCTGTCTTACGTCCTCTCCTTCACCTTTCCCCTGGAAAAATAAGAAAATCATATTTTTACAGCCTATTTAGGCATTACAGTGCTGGACAAAACTATTCTATGAAGCCTTCTTATTTGCTTCCAGGTCTTAATTTTCTTGTACCTGATCATTTGTTGAGCATGTTTGATGAAAATGAGTTGGAATTACTCATGTGTGGATCAAGTAAAATCGATGTTCAAGATATGAAAAAATATTGTAATGTTGAAAACAGAAGCCCAGCTTTTGTGAGGGTAAGAAGTAGTTTTGTAAAATTAATAAAATGTTGATATCTTAGCATAATAACGAAGCATCGGAATTTGTATTACTGAAAGTGAATGCACCATGATCTAGAAAAGTTCGGAGAGATCTGCAAGCTAATTTTGAATTGGTAGATTTTTTAAATTTATTTTTAGACTTTGCAATGGTTTTGGGTTGTTGTATCAAGTTTTACTCAAGATGAACTTGCTATGCTGCTGCAATTCATCACTGGATGCTCACAATTGCCACCAGGTGGATTTGCAGATTTATCACCAAGATTGAAGATTTCATTTTTGTTTTATCAAAGCAATATTCTTCCCACTGCACATACATGGTAACTATTTTCATTTTAAATCCAGTATTGATGGCCGAAATACAGAGTGCTACACAAAATTGATACACCTTGAAATGTTTTGGTTGTGGTAATACGACTGCTTAGGCCACTGGTTCTCAACTTTTGTTACTCAGAAGTAATTTTCACTCTAAATATCAAAGTGAAAATGTCTATTCTTCAAACACAGTTTTTTGCTTTTCTTGTAGTTTGTTTTTCCCTCGCACGAAAAAGTTAATGGGCTACAGAATTTTTGTGCAATGAAAATGGGCCACGAAAGAAAAAAGGTTGAGAACCACTGGCCTAGGCAACGACTGTATGGGATCGTTCTTTCTGTTCAAAATACTGTATATTATATCTATTTAGGCACTATGTCAACTTTTCCCAACCTGGGAAGAATTTGTATGCTTTCGAGGATGAAATTTCACTTTGTAGTAGCGTGTAGTATTACTAATGTTTCGTACTGACTGATTATTATTGAAAATATGTAATGTTATATGCATATTGCATATATTACGAACTATTTTAAATGCATATCTCAAATAATTTTGAATAGCACTTCATTTTTTTAGCGAACGAATTGGTTTTTTGGGCTATGCTATGACAGTTAACGTACTTGAAATTCCCAGAATTAAAAGTAATGTGATCAATTTTTTTATATCATGCAATTGTAATATCGATATCGGGATATACGCCCAACTTTTGGAATCTTAAAATCTGAAGAAATACAATAATGTAATATCCCTAGTTCATCAGCTAAGTAATCGAATATCAGACAGCACATTGAACCAAACAAATCTTTTGCTAGTTGAGTTTCTATATTGGCAATATAAACTTCAGATACAAATATTCTTTAATTCATTACCTCATAAATATTGTTTCGTTGGTTGAACCCTTGTCCACCTTTTGATTTAAACTTTTTGCTATATTTACTAATCGTTATCTTATCCAGGTTTAAAGTCAATTTGCTTCATGTATATTGCAATTTATCATTTTTCATATATTTTCAGCTTCAATGAGCTTTGTCTTCCATTGTATGATTCATATGACAAACTACACAAGATGTTGAACATTGCTATCAAAGAAGGAGCTGTAGGATTTGGAATGATTTAAGAATTGTTGAAAGATGTTTTCTTTGTTTCAAATAAGCTTCCAATTTCTTAGATTTAACATTTCAGTTAATCCGTAACTCGTTGGACTTGCCAGCATGAGTAATTGATAAGACTATGGCCATGAATCTTCTTTTGAACCTCATTATTGTAGAATGGATTTCTCAGTTTTCACCCGCTTGTAATTTTAGGATTTACATATTTATCTCTAAATCCGTAACTCGTTAGACATGCCAGCATCAGCAATCAGTAGGGCTATGGCCATGGATCTTCTTTTGAACTTATTTGAGGAATAACAAAGAATAAATCAGGATTTTTCCTGCAGCGTTTAGCCCAGAGAAGGAACTGTATAGGACTAACTCGATAATATGGTTAACAATATACTATTGTCTGGTTATTAGTTCAAGTCAAGAATACAAAATAATCGTTCCTGATGCATGGGCTTGATGATAGTCTGAAGTAATAATATATTGAGATATTTATGATTATCAGGTGGTTCTTATCTCTGCACATATATGAGTGACTGGTGTTAAGACCTTCCAGTCAGATTATTGACTTATTTTTGCTGTCTGAGCATGAGTTGGTAATATAAGTGGTTTTTGATAAACCATTCATTTATGGTCGCTCAAAATGTAATGTTTTGTGATTGAACTACAGACTTGCCTGCAAAATTCGCAGGTGGTTTGAATAGAGAGGTTGGTGTTTGGTAATTTTTTTAGCATTGTCATCATGATAAATTCTGTATAAATGCTTTTACTTCTATGCATTGTTGTTGTTCACAATTTCGTTATGCACTTTCCTTATATGTGTTAGCAATGTAAAACCTTGTAATTATGGAAAATGTGATCCTTTCATCTTCAAAAATTTTGGCATTGTGTATTTTCCTTAATATACTGGAATTTAACAGTTATTGCTACTAGGATTTTGTACTATTCAAACATGAGCTTATTACTTATCGATCTCGATCTGTAAGTATGTTGATAGGTTTTTGTCTGTTAGACACTTTCGTATGTTACGCGATATCTCCCGAAAGCGAGGTTGAATCTGCTCGGAATTTTGCATGTGTATTCATATCTCTGACCAGAAGCCTGTTGAATTTGGATGAATTATGTCGTATAATTAGCGAGTTATTATTTAATTAGTGATGGGACACGTGGTGTCGCTATTGAGTCACAGCGAAGGATACACGCTGCTAGATCGATAAGTCGACGTCTCCGCTATCTCGTGTTAAGTTCTTATTGCATTTATGTTGTCTATTGATGATTTCGGGATTAGTGTTCCATTTGAATCGACTCCGACATTTGGAATTTGGGTTCCTATCAGAAAACTGGTCATAGCGCTGTGTGGCGACTGCCAAACATATTATTAGAGAAGCAAGCCATTGGATGGCAGAAGCGTTTGCCTGTGCAGGCGGGGTAAATAGGATTTTTCATATTGCATGTATGTATGTTAATTCGTCTCGTAATAGTGTTAAAAAAATAAATGAACGATTATTTAAGACGGGATGCATCCATGTTTGGTATGGAATTAGTTAGGCTTTTGTATTCAGATGAATAGACCTGATTGTGGAGGAATTAGTAACCGACCAGCGTTTACGTGAACCACCCTACGGCGGCGAGGAGTCCAACAATCCTCTCGCACGTAATTATTCCACACGGGAAGAAAAGTAATTAAGAATTGCTGTGGCAAGTGTATTCCTAACGCTTAGCACGATGCGCCATATCCGGCAAAACGTTGTTATCACATTTGGCTTGCATGTAATTTACAGGTTTACGGAAGCTATTTTCAGTTATGTCGGCAAATTTGAAATTACGTAAAGTCGCAATTATTGACTAAACGCACTCAGTTCTAGAAGAAAACATTTGTATGCTCGTATATCTACGAGTTAAGAAATAAGCGAAATTTATATTTTTGCAGAATTTACCAAGCGGTTGAACAGTTCGTCAAAATTATCACGCGAAATCGTCGTAGTTACGGGTTGCAATCAAAATGGAAAGGACCAAATGCTGCCGCGCCGTAATTTATAGATGTATAAGGTACATCGCGCGCACAACTGTCTGTTCCAACCTCTTAATAATGTCTAATGCGGGAAAACAAAAATTTGCGATTTGCAGTGTCCAAAATAGCGTTTTTTATCTGTCTTGTGGCTGTTAAAACAAAACCTTTGGTGTTTTTCGTTTTATTTGTAATATTTTATAAAACCGCCTTATGTTCACTCGAAAATTTAAGTTGCGGATTCACTCCTTTGATCATCTTCCCGTTTCCGATGATCGCATAATATAGAGATTTGCCGATATGGTTACCATACATTTGAACCCACGTACATATGAACCCAACCCATGGGTGCTAAAACCCATGGGTTAGGGTTAGTATCAGTCAGTCAGTAGTTTATTTTATCACAAACCGAATGTAAACATTGAGTATGGGTTCAGATATCCGTAAAACAAAAAAATTGCCATAGGTGCAATAGTATGCAGGTGCAATTGTCATGGGTTCAAATGTAATGAAACCGCCGATACCATTTTTGTCGCCGATACCGATTCGATACCAGCTAAACACGCTGATACTGATACTACAAAAAGGCCGATACTACCGATATTCCGATACCGATACTACGTAATTATTACCTAAATATGTGTGCTCAGTATGTTCCCCAGCTTTTCTCTTTAGGGGGGTGTTTCAAAATTGGGGGGGGGGGGGGGGTGGTAAATAATTTGCTATTAGAAATAAAACTAGGCTATTTGTATTCTTAGAAAAATGGTATGTATTTAAGAAACGATGTACATGGGGGGGCCCCCAAGTTGATTGACGGCGAGCCAAAATCCACAGCAGAATGAAATTGTAGGGCCAGAAAAGGGGAGCGAGGAAAAGTGCGGGACGACACGGCTGGGGTTTGAAAATTTTGAAATATAGGCACCAAAATAGGCTCTAAGCTTGATTTTAGATACACCTAGCATCGCAGTTTGTTATGTAATAATATCAATAATTATAATATTTAGCTGATAGAATTCTAGGGGAATAGATAACAAGCACGGCTTTCAACCGTAAATATATACTACTACGTTTCAACAAGTAATTTGCAACTGATAGTGACTAATGAAGTTACTTGCTCATCTGGCATTGTATGAATGGCTACTTATGGCTTGTTTTGTTACACATTTCTAATTTTTTTGAACATGTTTGTTTGACTTTTGTATGAATTAAATTTTGAAATACGCTCGTCAACTGATCATAATGTCGCATAATGTTGTATTCCTTCAGAACTGAAATATTTTGTAAGAAGACAAATCGCTGAAGTTTGATTCTTTTCAATACAGAAATAAAAACGCTGTCATTCATCTGAAAAGCGTCTGTTTTCAGTGCCTAGTTTTCGTTTTGTGACATCTTTAAGCTTTCTTAATATTTGGCTGATATCTAAAATACTGCAGTGTATAATCATAATACCCATACCTATACATAAGATACCGGAATAATTCAATTGTTACGAAATAAACGTGCTTAAACTGTGATAATGATGTAACAATAGACGGTGTCTAAAACTCAAAAGGTACCACATGAAGGGTTAAACTATTTCACTCAAGTTCGGCGGGCCATTTTAAATCGTCACGCGGGCCGTAATTGGCCCGCAGACTGCGGTTTAGAACCCCTCAGTGTGGAATCGCACCTTAAAATTAGGGGGGGGGGGGGGTGTTTGAAATTTTAGGGGGGTGTTCACCCCCTATAGGGGGGGGGGGGTGTAGGGAAATCACTGTGTGCTGTGTAGGGCAGAAGGGTTTAACTTCAAACAATGGTCTTTGAGCGTTGTTCATAGTACACGTTATTTCAGATCGAAAAAAGAGATATATCACATAATATGAAATTGATGTTTGGTATCCAGATGCTTTAACTGATTTAGATACATCGTACAGCAGGAGTCGACAACCTTTTGTCGCTCGCGGGCCAAATTTAAGGGTTGCAAGTCATCGGCGGGCGGCACATATTTTTTTTAGAAAGTTGAAAACCGAACTGATGATACTTTTTGTAATAAATATCAAGCAGTAAAACATCTCTCTAATAGAATATAGATTTATTTCCTCATTGCATTGCATCTCAAAAAAATTCATTTGGATATTTTCAGCGCCATTTTCTGCCATTTGTCTAATTATAATCAAATTATAGGCTCATTAAACGAGTAATTGTGAATTTTATACTTATTAGATTATAATATAATTCAGTTTGCGCGTGTCTCACAATAAATTCTGTTACGTAAAGAATATAATCATCAAAACAGCTATTTTATAACTATAATTCAGTGAAGCGTCGCTGGTCGGATTTTATCACTCCACGGGCCGGATCCGGCCCGCGTGCCGTAGGTTGCCGACCACTGCCGTACAGTGACGCTAGTAATCTCGGTGTTCAATTAGAAACATCATAAGCTGGGATGTCCAATTCCAATTTAATGTAAATATCGCGACCTTTGAATATCGTTATTCGTGTTTAAAAGAATATCGAATATCGTCCACACATTCTAGCGCCGCCGTCCTGCGTTCAAATCATTCTGTCTTCCGAAAATTTCATAAGGAATCGTTTCGAAGCCGAAGTCTGCTGCTAACCGAATATATACTTGAACACATTTTAAAAAAATATTTTCGAATCTGAAATTTTGAACATTCCATAATTCCCCACATAAGTTTTATTCAATTTACCAGAATCCAGGGACATAGGTATTAGGCCTAATAATATTATCATTGTAAAGCAGCTATAAATACAAATGGCATGTGTGATAAGATTTCTCGCTTCTAAGAAAAGAGAACTAAGAACATGTTTGAACACGGTTTATTTCATGTCTGATCTCGAATCTAGGCGAGACGCGCTCATTGTGCCCGAGACGCCCTGACGAAAGTGCAGAATAATTTAGATAAAATAACTATTCGTAATGTATTACAAGCAGTGGCGTAAACCTGGAATGTCCAATTCGAATTTAATTTTCAAATATCGTTTTTAGTGTGTATATGAATATCGAATATCGCGCACATATCCCAGCGCCGCCGTCCACGTTTTGATAGGAAATATTCTACAATTGTTTAATTTTATATATTTTTTCGTAAGTGAAGACATTTTATTTTGGCGCGACAATAAATTACAGCCGACAGGTGTGGATTTAAATCAGCGCCGCCTTTCAAGTGCTTATAACATGTCGAGGATATTTTTGCTTGAAAATATTTTACAACTATGATCGTATATTTCAACATAAACGAGATAGTCAGGGCGGCCACGGCAATAAATCTAAAAGCATCGTTGTCGTAATTAATTGTTTTCATCCTCAGTTTCGATACGGGGTCATTACGTAAGTAATTTTGCCGTAATTACGGAATTGATTTGGTCGATTACGTGCAAGTCTCACATGGGTTACTATGACCTTTTGGCAGTCCATGTGTGGTATGTAATTAGTTATTTGTTTCAGATTCATGTAGGGCTACCAATCGTCCCGGAATGGCCAGGACAGTCCCGGAATTGACTCTGGCGTCCGGGTCCCCGGGACAGGATGCGTTTGTCCCGGATTTTCTGACAATCATGGCATTCTAATATAAAGGGACATGTAAGCGTGTCGGCTGTCGGAAACGGATGTAGCCTAATTCACGCGAATACATTTTTTTGAGGAAAAACGATTTCTTTGCTTTTTGAGAACGGCGCTTATCAGAGACTGGGGCATGGGAAACATGGCCGCTTTCTTTTCCCAAGCCACAGGTGGGTGATTCTGAAGTGATGCATAAAATAAAACGATGTACCAGTCTACAAATCTCGCAGAATATTGTCGGTCGGTTCCATTACATTTGAACCCACGTACATTTGAACCCATGACAATTGCACCTGTATGCTATTGCACCTATGGATTTTTTTTTGTTTCACGGATAGTTAAACCCATACTAACCCTAACCCATGGGTTTTAGCACCCGCATATAGATTGAACCGGTGGATATACACATGGGTTCAAATGTACGTGGGTTCAAATGTACGGTCACCTTGTCGGTCAATTGATCGTGTTACGGATACTGAGCATTGGCGTTGTACTCCAGGAAGTTTTGACATGTCTGCTATTGTTACAATTGGGGAAAATGTAGTAAGAGAGGAATTTCTCGGGGTTTTAATGTCTTTTGGCACGAAGTGTTTATGGCAGCGGATGCCCATAGATGCAACACAGGACCGTTCCTGACTAATGCGATACAGTTGTGTGAAGCCCTGTCTGGGGTATAGATAATAATTGAGAATTAAGGTAGTGTAATAGAAAATGAATTGATTTTTAGATATTATCACCTTTCATCACTGGTAAAGTAACTTTACCAGCACCGCGGAGACAGAATAAACGCTGGCATATTAGAACGGGCCCGCTGCTACCGCATAGGTTTGTGGATGCAGTTTACGGTTACTGTAAAATGTAAATGAACGTGACGCTGAGTATCCATCACATTGATTAAATATTATGGGACAGATAGCGTCCGAGAATGTCACAGATCACGAACAAGACATGGCTGGCCTACTAATTTGATTACTTCTTGCTATTAATACCCATCGATATCCGTATTATTGGAACATGTTATAAAATTATCAGTAACTCTCGCCCAGTCTTATTTTTGTAAAAAGAACACTTCAATACAAAACCTATTGTGCAACGAAGTTTCATACTTTTAGTACTCGTTTGAATATAATTGACTGTAATACCAGATAGCCCAACATTTTTTGTCAAAAAATGAGTAGCCTCCTGTAACAATCGGCAAACCATACATGTTCAGCAGTATACAGTCAAAATCTTCATAACGATGGTGAAAATCGCTTAATGAAGTCACCTTCACGCACTTGATGAACCAGCGATATTACGACGATGTTTGTTCAATGCCAAAACTTAGCGCAAGCCAACTATTTGGCAGGAAAAAAACAATCTGCATCAAGGACATATTGTATTCAAACACATCCCATCAATAACGGTTAGGTAACAAGAACGCATTTTCAAGATGAAACGGTTGTGTGAACTGAAATATTGAAAGTGAACACTGACCCGAAAGAAAATATTTGCCTGGTTCAGCATTAATACACTAAATAGTGTGAAGATCAGGTGCCAATCTTTTGTGTTATTTTTTGTAGATGAGCTGCAAGGAAAATTCATATGCTGGACATACCCGCCTTTGTAGAATATATCAAGTGCCACATATTGTGACAAGCGCAGATACTCGAATAGAAATAAAAATGAAATAAATAATGAAGAGAAATAGACCAATAAGCCAAAAATTTATCACAAAACAGTCTTGAGACAAGACATATCCCAAGATGTTGGATAATAAACAATTGGTGAGAAAACACAAACAAAACAAGAGCCAGAAAACAGCTCTAATAAAAGCACCAATCAAGTTATCAAACATTGCAATGTTCTAGTTTTTTAACTCCGTTCAAAGCTATAACTGAGCATATTATCTTTCCTTTCACGTGACTAATCAGCACCCCAAGATTTGGAAAAAATTTCACTTTATCGATATGTATCATAATAAACAAGATGAAAAGTATCAAATTTGTCTAGCATTGGCTTTTTTATTTATATGATTTTACCGGATTTTAGACAAACACAGTTGCTTCTTCAGTTTGAGAAAGAATTGTAATTAAACAGAATTCAATACCCTTATCAGGATAAGATCATCAAACTGCTTGCAGCAACTATACAATTTTTTTACTTACATCTTCCAAAAACCTCAAGTAAACAGTCAAAAATACCAACATTTATGAGCAAATAATGTTAAAACTTAGAGAGTATGATACCACACTCAATTTTGAAATGTAAAGTTAAAAGCATCTCACAAACTGTGCTAAAACCCGCACTCGCACTATTAATAACAATAAAGCTTAGAACACCAAGGTCATGCCATTTTCATGACAGAACTTTTTTATTGTCCACACTCGGACCAAACCAGTCTTAAGCCTTCATTGTTGCCTGCATCGCAGGTATGAGGTCTCTCATCACCATGTGTTTGGCACTCTGGCAAGATCATGTTGGCAAACGTTACTTGTCCAGTCCAACTGGAAGGACTACAGCTTCCTCAACTCAGCAACTGGTAAACCAGTGATATGCTCGCTTGCGACATTTTTTAGAAAAAGGCGCTCATTCACGCCATTATCTTGCGATCTGTCACGAAGATGGCACTGGTGATTGTTGCATTTGCACTCCCGTCATAGGCGAGTCCTGCTGAGAGTGCGATCTGCTTGTACTAGAATGATGTGAATGGTATGGCCCCATGGGTGGGTGTCCAACTCCACCCAGATTAGCACCCATCATACCAGTTCCTTGTCCAACGTAACCCATTGCAAGACCAGACGCTTGCATTCCAAGCATTTGATATGGGGGTAAAGATGGATGCTGTTGCAAGGCCACACCCAGTGGGGGCATGTCACCAGAACCCCCTTGATAATAAGGAGACATACTTTCAGGTGGGGGTGAATCGCCCCCATATTGGTTAACAGCAAAACTGGGAGGATTTATTCCCCCAAATCCAGGCTGGTGGGTGATGCTGCCCAAGGGTCCCAAAACACCACCAGTCGAATACTGTTGGCCAGGTGGAAACACGCCAGTCGTTAATAATTGATGTGGTATTGCATCAAGAATCGGTGCTGCATTTGTAATCAATGTCTGTTGCTGTTGCAAACTACTTCCTCTGTTAGTATGTCGAGGTGATGCAGACTCAGTCATGGGGTGAATAGATGAAAAACCTCCTCCACTTGATGACGGTGACTTGACATTTGTTGACAACCCAACTTTGCCTGCAACTTGTGTTGTGGACGGAGACATATAGGTAGCAGTTCCATAGCCAGCTGTAAAACAGAATTATTTTAACATTGCCCTTTTTTCCTGGCATTACTGTGATACACCAAGCCAATAAATAACAGTCTCAAAAACTGTAACACTACAGAAAATATTTATGAGATTCATTCATAAATACATTCAGAGATGCAAATTTTTTTCATGCACATTCTGTTTTATTAACAAGCATCATATTCTTCCAGGGCATAGTCACTACGACAGAGAAAAGGATTTACCAAGAACAATTTTGAGTAGCTGATTATCACTATGTGTTCATAAATGAATAAATTTTATACGACTTATCAAAAAAATCTTACCTGGTGATGCATATGTCACAGGTGCATCCGCTGTGTAAACTTCCGCAGTAGTTGAGTATGTAGCCTGTTGTACGCCAGGGTCAGATCTAGCGCGACCTCCTGAGGAACTGCTTCCTGCTATAAAATATTTATACCATTAAGACTAAATCGATAAACTATCTCCTAGGATTTTTTATGGTAGTGACGCAATACTCCCGATACTCATAGTTTTAAAAAATCTAAACAGATCTACACTACTAAATCATTTTTTCATTATATAAAAAGGCAATTCCCCAGAATAAATGTAGATACCTTTATTGTTTTGACATTCCTAGTTCAAAGCAGTTCAAATAGGTCTATAGATTAACTTGATTTGATTGCTTAATAGGATTTTGTTCTGGTCGAAGCCATAAGTAAAGATATTGAATGAATTTGTAATTTTGTACCACTCGATAAAGGCACAGCAAAAATAGTTGTATGGCAAAATTACAAAATATCTAGTCAGATGAGAAAACCTCTGGTCATCATCTCATCTAGGCCTAGAGTAAAATGGGTAGGATATACTGAACTGGGCCAGTATTGCTGATTGTCAGGGTGGTTTTACCGTAAAACATCTCAAAAAATTTAAGAGCATCTGCTGCTAGTGGCATTTCAATAAAAATGGCAATGGGGGAATGTAATTCGAGCATACACTTTTTGAGATATGTTTTATAAAATAAATGACAAAGATATTGCATGGACAATTCATATAACATCAGCTAATATTGAAACAAAGAAGCACTAGGAAAAGACAATATTTCCAACAAACCGGAGGAGCTGCTCAAATCTTGTGCGGGACTCGTGCTTGTATTTGTTGAACCGTCTGCGGTTTTCTTAAAAAAACTATGTTGGAGAGAAAAGAACGGGGTCAATCGCTCTTTCGGATCGAAGGCAAGCATGCGATGGATTAAATCTGAATAAATAATGACAAGGTTATTGATTTGAGCAACCTATAAAAGCCTATAGACAACAGTATGGGCAAAAAGCAACAAAAATTCAGTATATGCTAAAGAGGGAATGAATACCACACCTTTAAATTTCAAATAATCTTGCTCTGTGTGACCTGCTTCTCCCAACCTTCTGCCGCCTGGGCCGCCAGTCTCAACACCCAAGACATCATGCAGTTTACGTGACCCTGGTTCTCGATACTGAAATAGTATTAATAAGTTTATAAACAAGCTATGGATAAACTATATTTTAACTAAGATAAATGCTCAATCAAATGTATCACCATAGATCAACATATGAATAGGGAACAACATCATATGTCAAGATGGCCTAGCATTAAAATGATTAACTTACTTTTTTGTCTTTATGTCTTCGTACTCTCCATGTACCGTCTGGTAATCTTTCAAATATTTTTCGGACTTTTTGTTGCGAACCATTTTCAAGCATATGTGCAGGTGGCATTCCTAAAACTTCTATTATTTTGTTCATTTGATCCTCCTGTAGATTCAGATATAACAGATTAGAATAAGGAATAAGATATCTAATGACAGATCTCCTTGTGATATTTTTGATCCCGAATACATTTACAAAAAATAAAGATATGATCGTTCATTTACACATTCTATCAACAGTTTGTGAACAATACAAAACAAATTTTGAATGATTCAGTCAAATTTTTGTTCTAATCTATTTCCCATAACTCATTTGTTGGGCATCATTAGCCAGTTTATGTCTTACACAGAGATTGTCCGAACCGGTGCCCTGTTTCTATTCTTTAATATATTCGTTGAATTTGGCACGAAGGCATTCATATTTATCTCTATAAATTAATTTCCTGTTTCAACATTCATTTGATATTTTCATAACTGTGTTATATAATTTTTGAATTTGATGCACTAATAATGAAAACAACCTCTACACACAATTACTAAACAATATTGGGAGTAACCCAATCTAAACTGAAAAAATGGCTTTTCTAAATACCAACCTCATTAGAACCAGCAAACAATGGTTCTCCCGTGTGCATTTCAACTAAAATACAACCGAGAGACCACATATCTATCGCCATGTCGTATGGAATGCCCAGCAAAACTTCTGGTGATCGATAGAATCTTGATTGAATATATTGGTATATCTGTAAATGAAATGTATAAAGTGAATTACTATGGAAGACTTATACAAAGAAAAGAGGGGAAAATATCAACAAGCAAAAAAATATTTTATTCAACTTCTTCAAAAATACTGGTAGTTTAAAATACAGAAATCATGAGGATTGATAAAGACAGAATACAATGTAGCGGTAGTCGAGAAAATTATATAGGCACATGCATAGAACTATATTTATTACTAGACTTTAGACCAAGGTTGTCTGAAAAATGTAGTTGGTGTGAGATTTCAATTATTCAAGACAATCGTTTAAGGATTCAGAAAATAAAATTAATATTTATCATGAATATATATTCCACTATTTCTTGTCTCTAAAACCACTATTTTATAAATTTAGTGAGTGAAAAATGGTATGTTTAGTTGCAAAATCACTTTTTATATTATTAGTAATCAAACACAATTACAGGATAAAATTCTAGTATATCGAATATTCAGATGTGGAGACTCCTAATTTTGACTGTGCTAGGTTTATCAGAGCACATGATGTCAAGCGAGTGGCAATACAAATATTATTTAGATTGTGCATGTCATGTGAGGCAGCCAATAAAATGAAGCAAGAATGCTGCCAGTAAACAACAATTCTGACATTTGAAATATGTGAACAATGGAGCATAGCTTAATGGAGGCCAATGTTAGTTATGACAATATTATCAGTCTGTCATGCTTAATTGACAAAAAATCAAAACTAAATTTGGAGATGTCATTTTCATCTCCAAAATATGTAACTTATATGAATGCCCTGGGTTAGCTGATGTGAGAGTAAACATATGACATTGGGTAATGATTTACTATTACCAATGATATCTTATTTAACTGCTTGTATAAGGTTCATATGAGATCACTGATGCAACCCCCAACTGACATAATGGTACATTACAGCAGTTACATATTTGAAGCTTATAAGTAAAAATATTAGAGCACAATCTCACTAATAAAACAGTTACAGAAATCGTACTGCAGAAAATCGAATAAGTTTTTCAAAAAAATTAGGAATTTGCATTCTAGTAACAATTGCTGTACATTGGAGGAATTTGAAATATTTCAAATCAAACGAGCAAACAGAATGAAAAATAAAATATTCACATTCCAAGTTGCATATTTCATTGACACACTCAGCAAACTTCAATTACAAACAAAGCAAATTTCAACTTCAGTCAATATGAACTAGAATTCTATACTATGGAACAAAACAAAAAAAAATTTCAAATCAAAACGAACAAACAGAATGAAAAATGACAATATTCACATTCCAAGTTGCATATATCATCAATACACAACTCCAATCGATATGACCAATTGGCAATTGTGACTCAATAATAACCATGAACTGAAATCCAGTTAATGATTTCAAAACATACTAGAATAAGTAAGACAAACCACACAATACTCCCATCAACTCTTAACTCTAATCAAATCGACCACCCACCCATACATCAAATACTGTTTTTGCAATCATCACAAATATTATTCCAATCAGTCAGTAAAGGAGTACAACTCAAAAAAAACAATTCTTACGTAATCACTAAGATAATCAACTTTAAACATGGACTCACCCTTTCGCCAAGTCGACAAGAACTTCCAAAGTCGACTATTTTTATGGCACTTCGTTTTGGATTACATAAGAGAATATTTTCCGGTTTTAAATCGCAGTGAATTATATTGATTTCGGGAGTCGACAAAAATAACAGAGCCGTGCAGAGCTAAATACGTAACAACAAGTGGTTATTAAAGTGAAAATCTGCAATAATAAGAGTCCTATAGACAAAAGTGCAAATGTATAATGGTCTGCAACTCTGCATCTATTCATATAACAAAAATTATCTTCTGTAAAGCAGATCTGATATGAACTAAATACTGTAATTATGTCCCTTGAATGATCACAGTGCATTATTAAAATCAGATGAAAGCCAACAGATCAATTATAAATAAATACATCTTGATGGGAACATTACTAATATCAAATAACTGAATTAGCTTATACAACTTAGGTTGCTCAGTAATGACCAGGCCCTCAAAGTTGGCATATTCCACTGTCTTCAAAGAAACTCAAAGATCGTGTCGGGGGTTGATTATAATTTTCCAAGATTCCATAATCCGGGTAATGGCAATATCCTTTCACACACTTTTTGTATAAGCATCGACTACTGGTAACAGAAATTAAACTTCAACAAACCTGCTGTGCAAATTTTCTTGTTAAATTCAGCGAAACTCCTCGAAAATTTGTGTTTCGTAATAAGTCGTACAAGTTATATGATAACAATTCAAAGACGAGACATAGATGATTTCGGAATTGAAAATGCCGTTTTAATCGGACTGTAAAAACAGAATGTAAAATTATGGTACATAAAAAAATATGCAATATTGAATTAATTTTCCTTTTGTACATGACATGAGCACAATAATCAGAACACACAGACTACATACATTCTGCATAATTTTTCTGTAAAAAAGATTAATTCGAGATAGCACAAAACAAATAATTTATGTACAAATTTTACCAGAAGTTGAGGAAAAACATTTTATTGATAGTTCTTCCTGTTTTTTTGCCAGAAGAAGAAGAATCAGTAAGACTTAAGTTAAATTTCTTGGTTACGGTATATTTTTACTATGGGTAAGTTTTCACTACTCAATATGTTATACCATAAAAATATTCTCACCAATATAATATTTATTTTCAGAGTCGTATCGATTCATGAGTTCAAGCAACCTCACTTCAATAAGTGCTTGCTTATAAAATGCTTTTTTATTTTTAATAATTTTGATCGCGACACATTCTTGTTCTTCATGGTCGTATGCTTTTGCCACCTGCATAAAAACAAACACACTTTCCAGAAATTGTTGATGAAAAGATGGAAATCGCTGTTCAAAAAAAAATTCAGGAAAGAAAAGGGTTCTTTTGAATGGATGGCCAACATCAAAACCAAATCTACATCTTCACTAATGCTCGTTTATGTTATGAACCAGAAAGTCTTGCCATACCAATGATGAAACCATGTTTTACAGATTTTTAAGTTGAGTAAACAATCTGAATATTTATCATCGCAATTCCTAAATGTCCATGGCACAACAAAATTGAGATTAGGCCATTTCTAGCTATTATAAAGTTATACATAGATCATTGGGAACGTCCCAACCATACCTCATATATAAAGAATTGCTCTTAACACTTACCTGACCAAATGAACCTTTTCCAATCAAAGAATCAATTTCATATCTATCGTTCCATTTTTCACCATTTTTGATGATGTAATCGTAATTATCATCATCATATCCTTCATTATAAACTCTTGGTTCTCTAGATCTGTTGTCTACAGCCGCTGCCGCTGCTGCAGCTGCTTGTTGTGCTCGTTTCTTCTTTTTTGCATAGTATACCTGATATAATTAGGTTTTCATAGTTATTCATCAGACGAGGGGATAAGAGCGACTATAAAGCTAATTGGAGCAAATTCTCTAGAATAATCCAAAAAGTTACATAGATTACAAAACACGCATACAAAACTTATATCCAAGGCATATAGAGATAGAGTAAACTTGTTTTCAAGTTAGCATGATAAATATGAACATGTTCATCTAGTTTTCATGTTTCGCGGGCATTTAACTTTCATCGACTGCATGATAATTGCCAAATGCCAGGTATAAGAGTAGAATAGGTTCATAACAAAAGCACTTCTATTGAGATTCCTAGTATATCAAATTACACAATCATTTTTTTTTTTTTAAATATATTTTTGAAGTTGTCTTATATTGGTTTCCATTAAAATAAAAATATTTAAAAATTCGGTTTGAGTCATATCATAATATTTGTACCAATTCAATTGGGATTGGCCATTCAAAAATTGACCATGATATCACAACATCAGAAGAATAATAAAATTCAATGCCAATATATTTATTCCATGTGCCTGCCTTCAATTACTTAAGGATGAAAAATATATTTAGGTAAACAAATCCGGAAAGGAGAATAATCAGATGAAAGAAATAAGTCTAGACAGGTCAATGGAGTTAGCACTGATATGGCTTCGATATCAGTCAGTGAAGCATTCACAACAATTACTTAATCATTCTCAGGGTGTCAAATATGCAGTGTATGAGCATTACTGAACCCTTTTAAAACGGTCTTCTAAAAATAGCATACATAACAAAAAGGTTTTATTGAAATCATCAGATATTGCAAACTTTGAATAATAAATTCAATTTCCAACATAGAGATTGCACTGTGGTTGAGAATGTACAGATAATTATGCCAAAAATAACTTGAAATTACTGTTTTAATAATGGAAGTGAGCAATAAAATCTGATTATTCAGATATAGACATCACTGGTATAATGGTAGATACATGTTAATAAGTGATAAGGATGAACAGCTGTTCATGTTATCCGCCTATTTTCATATTATTTTGTAATTATAATAGAACATATCACACTGTTGCCACTGTAATATCAGCACATCAGTATGACCAACATTCATACGACTCAAACTCATTGTCATGCATCACTTAATCATATCTAACAAAGAAGACTAAATTCAAGAAAACTGTCTACTGCATAGGATATAGTTATTATTGAATTCAATATATTTCCACATTTCCACAGTATACTAGTAGCATATGACATTGCTTCCGTGGGCAATAAAAAACCAAAAGTACCATAGTCCAAATAACCTTATCACTAACCTCATTAATGTGCTTATATGTCTTGATCAAATCGACTGAGAGTTTTCTCATGGGAGCGTTGGATGAATCACGAAATGACATGGGAATCCTGGACATCTGTTCCTGTTCATATCAAATAATTGTTATCACTCAATAAATCCAATCAATCAAGAAATCATTGATTTGTGGCCATGCACTTATAGAAGCCTACAAGGGTGGATAAATGCTGAATCTAGGTCACTAACTAATTGACAATAGTGATTATTTAAAGAGTTTCAATAAGAAAAGTTTTTACCAGACATGCTATACAATGCCTCCTTGAAACAAATCATTGCCGTTACGATTCAAAGTGGCCTTATATCAAATAACTTCAATGTAAATAGAAATAAATAAAAATTTTTATAAAATCTAAATGTATTTTTTCAAACAGTGATACATATTAATAGTTTCATATCATCACAAAATTGTACATATTTCAACCACAGCTCTATTCTTTGTAATATCTTGACAATACTGTTTGAAGCCCTACAAACCTGTTGCTGTTGTTGTTGGTCATACAAGTTTCCTTGTGCTTCCTGTCCCGTACCTCCTTGTGCCATTTGTAATGGGTGGTGATGATTGCTCGTGCTATTGTGATGATGAGAATGAAAATGATGATGAGATGAAGAAGAAGACTGAAGTCTGTGACACTCTCGGCACCCTTCCTCTGAAACAAAATAGTTACAGTATGTTAAAGTCATTGTATTTCGTGAACAAATTTCTGTAGTAAATTGTATCGCTAACATGCAGTTCAGTCCATAAATGTCTAAACGAGATAGTGATCGGTGACCGCCGGCGCCGACTTATCGATCCAGCGTGTATCCTTCGATCTGACTCAATAGCGACACCTCGTGTCCCATCACTAATTAATTAATAACTCTCTAATTATAAGACATAATTCATCCGAAATCAACAGGCTTCTGGTCCGAGATATGAGGAATGCACATGCATGCAATTTGGAGCAGATTCAACCTTGCTTTCGTGAGATATTGCATAACACACGAAAGTGTCTAACAGACGAACAGACAGACAAATACCTATCAACATACTTACTGATCGACATCGATAAGTAATAATTAGATTCAAAATTATCAAATGGGGTTACACAAAACTAACTAACTTTTCTTGCTCTATGCATTTGCACAAGTGAATCCTTGTACGAATAAGTCAAGATGAGTAGATGACTATTCTATTTGTTCAACAATCTTGCTGCACATTAGCACATTAACAATGCCCACAATTCTATTTCTCTCTATTGGAAACAAACTCAATATTGCTATTAGTTTCATGCATACTAGTTGAAATACGTATGTCTGAAGAAGTCTGACCTCTGTCAGACAAAACGTTATAGAATTTTTATTTGTGTTAGTGTGCAACAAGTCTCTTGAATAAAATAGAATATATATGTGTGATAATGTGCAGCACATCTCTTGAATTAAATTAAATATTCAAAATATACATAATAAACTTTTTTTCAGTAAAGAGATACTTTCAATGTTTTCATTCCACAAAGTTAAAGTTTGTCGAGTTCCTTGAGTAAACTGTTGGTTACAAATTTTATGGTTTTTATGGTATATTTAAATTGCGGAATTAAATGTCGAGGAATACAGAACTATCAAAACAAAGTTCTAAGTGTTGTTTTTAAAATTCTTTCTGTACAAAATATTATTCACTCACATACATTGATTGTCACAATAAAAATATGTCTACAGTTTGTTATCCACAGTTAAAGCTTATTATGAGGTTCAAATGGTGTATTGGTAAACAAATTAAGTTTGTATTGCACACAAAAGCTCATTCTTGACAGTGCGAAAAAAAAATTTATTCAAGTAATAAGGCCCATCTCCAATCTAAATTAAATAAACAGGTATTTATTGCAGTAACAATAACTAAACAAAGATAAATACTTTCAACATAATATAGTTTACATGGGTTGACGAATCAATAAGCCTTTTCCCAGTCCTTGTTTTATTTTCATGGAGTGAGAACATGATTATAATTAACATAATATATTCAAAGTAAATATTTACTGCAGATCAGCTGACGAATAATTATACAATCTAGTTTAATTAATCAATCACGGCATGCAAAACAACACAATGGCATGCAGAACAAGGAATGACTCATGATATTGTGTCACTCTAACACAAGGTTCAAAGTACAGGCAAGTGAAAGTTATGACATATGTGAAACCCCTTTTATTGTTTTTTTCGCAAATACCAACCATATATAGTTGGATGAGGTAATACATCTACAATTGTCGGGTTCAACAAAACCTTTTTATGACAACTATCTGAATATAGATATGTATCAATTTCATAGCCCAAAGATATTGATAACATCTGGGAAAGTGTTGTCAATGATGAATAAACATCAGATGTTTACTTTTTTCATGACAATCATTCTTCCAGAAAAAAATTCCAATATATAAGATACTGGAATAATGGTTTCATTCGCAAACCCACACTCCTTCATAAGAGAAGTGGTATCAATTACGCAAGAAAATTGAGTATTAATCTGTTCATAATAATAGAAACTAGACACAGGCATATTTTTTCGAAATGCACATATTTTCAAATTAGAAATATTCTACAACAAGCATTTGATAAGATCTCCCAATAGACACGGCTTCAGTCAACAACAAATTTCACTGAATTTTAATTTTTATCCTCCACAAGTATTTCCAAAATTTCGGTTTAATTACAGCCCAAATGAGTATGCAAGAATGCGTATCCCTAATTATGATTTGTCAGTGGTATGAAGTGTAATTGGTAGATCAATGACTATAAATTGAGCCATCCATCATCATTTACAAATATGGGAATGAAACTTGGACAAATGCCAGTCACATCAATCAGATGAAACTGAACAGACTAAACGAAACAATAGTATTTACTAGGAATTGCCTGAGTATGCATACATACAAATAGAATACATATTAAAATTACTATACCTTTTCTTCGTTGTCCTTCTAGTATATCAGCGAACGGATTTTTGCTGCCAGGTTGATGTAAATTAAATGAATGTCGATGAGATGCAACGTCGCTGTGATCAGCAACACCGAGATTTAAAGAATCTGAAATAGAAACAATTCATTAATATTTTGTCTGACACATGACGAAAATGTTTAAAACAAGAGACATTCTGTTTGTTGATAATTCCAAGCTGCCATCTAGTCTAAGAAATAGACTGCTCTCCATTTTCACATTGCTGTGTCAGATTGCAAAGATAATAAACTCGTAATGGGCAAATTCTCACCAACACCATTGCTTAATGTTAGCAACCCTGAAGTAGAATCATTTTCATCATTCTGGTCATTATTTTGTATTGGAGTCCAGTTACGTTGTCCGCCATCATTCCAAGCACGCTTTGCGGGATGTCGATGATAAAATCCAATTTCTTCTGCACTAGATGTAGGTTTCTTTTTTGGGTGCTTGACTCCATGTTGAGGAGGGGGTGGCGGATTCCTATCATTAAACCACTCAATACGACATGACGATAGAGCGTTCCATGAAACGTGCTGTTGTTGTTCAGGAGCAGAAAAGTTGTTTTGTGGTGCCACGTTATAGGGACGATGCCACATGTTTTCTCTTGTTAAGTCAGGTGGAACTATAAAGCTGGACAATGCTGGCTGACCCGATTCAGACTGCTCTGGAGACTGAACCTGCTGCTTAACAACCATTTGGAAAGTGTCTGGTTTTTACAAAGTTGCATATAATCCTTCGTACTATGTACTCCAATTTAGCGTAATCCAAATTCACAGGTAATATTTTGATAAATCCTCAACAAACATTGTATTAGAGAATACAATCCACAAATGATGTGCACAAAAAGTACAGTCAAGCATTTTAGGGAAGCCCAATCACTAACTTCCAAGGCTATACAATACAACAAAATGAAAATTTAAGATCATAAAGAACTATTTAAATCTGTATGCTATTTACTGGTATTTTCGCGATAAGGAGCCTAATCACAGCCTTTGCTCTCAACTTGCCTTCATAAAAATGTGTTTTAGAATAATCATTTGCAGCAACAAATTAAGCACCATTACCACGTGACAACATTGCCTGCCACTAACGCCAGCGATTAATTCAAATGATATTCTAATTTGCCCCGAGGGTTCACAACCCATTGCTCTAGTTACATATAGCCCAGGGCATCAAACCAATGTAATGCAGCCCACACGCAAGTAAATCTTAGCAGCGTAATCGTTAGCGCAACATTGTGGCTGAAACGAAGCAACACGCTTTGTTTCACTTGGCATTTAAGCTATCTCTTCTATAATTAGCCTTCGTGCCTTTCGCAATGCACTTTCACTTGATTGTACATCGACTGCTGACCGCTATAAATCTTCTTGTTAATTACACCGCGGTACTTCCCGCTTTCAGCGCGAATCATTTCACAAGTCATCGCAAATAGATCGGTAATAAAAATAAACGAATAATTTTGCCAAACTCGATTGCTCACACATCACATCCTGCGGTGGCACAACAAAGCGTATGAACCGCCTAACGTGTTTATTAATCAGCGTCTGACGTAAATATGACTCATGGCGTTGAACGCAGCGAAAACCAATCGAATAAGAATATCCGACATCACGTGACACCAGCAAAAGCGTCGAGGTGTCAAGAGCAATCAATTATTTGCTTTCGTCAGCCCAGAACTATCGAGAAATATTTCTCATTTAATACGTGAATATGACAAAGTCCAAGACGATGTAAAATGAACTGACACTACCGCACATGGTTCCTAAAAAATAACGCAACGCTACATGATATCGATTAGGCCATATCGATAGGAAAGCTGCCTAAAAATATCTAGTTCTTCCGACAAGCGTGAGTTGAAACCGAAATCGTGACTAGATTCGATCAAACTAAATTAATGAGACACAATGTGATACGCGTACATTTTAATATATATCAAACTTCAATGGCCCGTCATTTCTTATTTTAACAAAATAACAACCGAAAGACATAATTTTTAAAATAATCGTTATATAGGATTTTTTTGAAGTCAAACATCCATATTAACTAAAATATAAGTCATTGATACTATCGCTGTTCTGCCTATGTAATGTGACGTGTCTTGGCTTTCGACCTGTGGTATTTTGATATGCCCACACACGTATTCGTAAACCATTAACAAACTCAAACGTTAAATGTAATTACAAACATACGATCAGTGAATTACTTCCTCGGCATAAAATATTTGTAAATTACCCTCAAGTTCCACTAATTTTACGTTATAATACGACAGAATAGAAAATTGCGCGTGCGGTTAACCTAAAGCACGACTTGGTGTATTCCGCTTTCAAAAATACGGCGGCATCTAAATTTGACAGTGACGAAGCGAAACAGATGACAGCTGGAAAAAGATATGACGCCTTCAAGATACGCAACTAAGGCGATAGACGTTTTGCTCTTTTAGCGACGACTCACGTAGTTCAACAGGGCCGGTTATCGGCTATGTATGAAGGATAAAAGCGGAGAAGGATTACTTGTTCTGTAACGCAGCGCTATCCGATGCACACACGGAAATAAATACGCACCGACATCAAGGGGGAAAAAAATCTCAACCACTTCTAGTTTGGATATCAACGGTAACTCGGCAACGATCTATTTTAAATTAACCGACTACCAACTAACGACAGATAGTATTGATGCACACCTGAGCACATATAAATACGACAGGAACATTCCCGGGAAGAAAATGTGCGCCACCCTCAAGTTATACCATCATTGGTTCTAATCAAAGGCGAAAGCAAATAGTTTTCAAAACGCTGTTGCCCAGGACCAGAAAAATAATTCATCGACCTACAAATATTCATAAGATGTATAACTAAAGTGGCACAACAATCGCCAGAAGTTTGAATTTTCGGTTCAAACTGAGTCGAAGTGCCGTACCACCGTAAAAAGACGACTGACTAAGTGCTGTTTCAAATAGATGGAACTTCCCTGTAGGCTGAGTTTCGCATGGCATGAATATGTTTTCCTGTTTATTGTAACCCACTATCCGATTTACCAACTCAAAACGCATATCGTCAACAATTCTTCTGTTCAATATACTGAACTCAAACCAATCTACAGTTGGCTGATTTTAACTTCCTGTATGGGTAAAGCGATGCCTTTGAGAGCATTTTCAGGCAGAAGGTAGAAAAAGAATTCCTATGCGCGCGAAACTATCCGCATATTTCCACACCTTGTTTATTTAGTTCATTTTAGTTTTAACAAAACAGGCTTAGTTCGAGTGTGTCGTCACCAGACATTGACCAGTCGATAACCTGTGCTTTCGTGGCCTATAATACGTTGCACTACCAATAAGAGCTACATACGGGTTAAACAAAACGAGAGAACGACGATGCTTGAAACTTAATAGAGTATAGCCAAGCGTAACAGAAGAAAAAGGGAACGAGACGATCATGTGACTGACATTGCGCAAACCACCTGTGGCAATAATACGTCACGAGTTGCAGGCTTAACTTGTCTGCAAGCGCGGTGTATGCGCCCTTGTCACTGTGTGGGGAGTCTCGCAGCTTCGCATTTAGCGCTGAAAAAAAACGTTATCTAAATATAATAACCCTGAACTATGGACGGAGCACGGAAGAAGATCAAATTACAACTATCCTATAGCGGTAATCGAATGTTTACCAAAATACAAGTTCAATTTCCGCTCTTGAATTAGCGGAACGCATCCTAATTTCGAATTCAATATCTTTACCAATTGCCCATTCCGTATGTACCTCGCTACTACACCCACCACGGGCGAATGATCAGAGTTAGTTCAAACACAATAAATTATTGAACGCATGAAAACAACGTCTGGGTGGTGTTATGCATAATGCATATGGTAAACCTAAAACGGGTGGAATGCCATTTAGAACAGTCTGTATCGGTGAAATGATATAATAAATAGTTCAATGTATTTGAATCTAGTTTATTTTGCTGTGATTGCGTGTGAACACCTATACCACAAGCTACTGCTACAATTTCACTACACATGCCCACTATAACACATCACTCTTTGGTATTGTTTTGTGCAAATTACAACATGGAGCAGAACCTCAGTGAAATTTTCTCTTATCAAGATAATATTATTCTGACTAGTTACAGTCTTATTGCATGAAACAACTAGACCTCAAATTCATACCACTGTACCTAGCTTGGAATTTTTCTTCCACCAAATTTGTTTACCACTTAACATAAGCAGCATGAAGCTCGATAAAGAATAAATCGAATATAAGGATAAGTTTGTGTTATCTACTAATAACACTTGCCCAAAAATTTTCAGCTATGTTATATATTTAATATTCATTCAGTCAATCACTAAGGCGATGCGAAGTCATATTATTTAGTTATTAACAAGCTTTGAGTTTTAATTAAAGAGGTTATATATTGACATCCCTGATTTGATCATTTTTCCATGTTTTGTGTTCCAGAATAAAATTCTAGACAATTATATTTCTACTGGATATACACATAGATGTAGCAAGTGATATTTACAGTGTAATCCTAATTGCTGTTTGTTTTTCCTGCTTAATAAGGAAGAAGACGAGATTGTCCTGCGATGAAATTTCATAACCAAACATTTAATAAAGTATGTACGGTAAGCATTTTTTATTTATATTTTATGTATCCTTCCTTGCACACCGTTCCTGAGATCTTCGAGTAAATGACGGTAACAACAATAAAGACAAATAGAAAATGGTGAGAGTTGATATCAAAGTTTTAACAGTTTTCCAGAAAACCTACTCAGGACAATAGACATCACAAAACTATGTTTGTCAAGTAGATTAGTACACTTGTCCTCAGACAAGCTATTATATGTTTGAATAGTGGTGTTGACTTGGAAAATTGATCATATACAACTGATAATATGTGAGTGTAGAAGTTCCATTTGTAATGCATCTACCAACATGGGCATGCTGTACTCTTGCATATTATAGCATTGGTACATCCAACATCGCAGACAGATAACCCATCCTGACTATAAAGCAAATTCTTTCTTTTGAAACTATGAATATCTAAATGATTCGTGTACTACAACAGTCGCAATGGTTTGTCATAAACTGATGGGAAGCTATCATAAACTAATTGTTGGTCAGATATACCCCTATCATTTAGCACAATACTGAATACAATTTTCAAGTGATTAGTGCAGCAAATGAACAATCATTGAAGAGTGACGATTTGTGACCTAACTTTTGGCACTGTCACTTTTTATCAAATGCAAATCATCACCCCATCCATCAATCAAAAGTCATTGACTGGATTGCAATCATCATCTGCCAACTGCAGTTTATTATACATTCACTTGTCGTGTATTAATTTCTTGATCATTCATCAACTAAACTAATAGGTTCAAAACTTGCTGACTAATTTTCAAGATCTAGATGCATGACTCTTCTGCCTTTATCAATAATCATAATCGACAAAATACTTTGTTTCAGACTTGCTGGCAATTCTCCAACTTGAACCAGGATTTTCGCATGTGGCGGCTTATGTATATTCAATGTGATGATAAGCAGGTTATACTTTATTAACATGAAAAATTGATTCCCCTTCCATCAAGAAGATTTTATAGTTTCATCCACCACCACCACCACATATCTTGTAATATTCATCTATATCCAATACAAATGCAAGAAGCACTTGTTTCGAAGATCTTGCAAGCAAACTTATTTATTACAATAGGAAATAAATGAAGAAAATATACAAATATGAACCGTACTAACCTTGGAATGTTAAATAAATAATATGACATGTATTGGAGAAATATCTTCATTCATGCTGTCTTATTGTTCCATCTTTCATAACATTCTTCAGACAACAAGTATTGCTAGTCAAACATGTAGATCCTCCTATATTGCACACAGCAAAAAACAGTACACAACCAAAATTCTTTTAACACCCTTCCACAATACTAGCAATAACCTGGCAAAAATAAAACAAAACCATTGTTAAGATATTCTATCTATCACTAAATCTGCAAGTTGGGATAGGATTTACATGTTTATCCCGGGAGAGAGAAAAGCCGATAAGACAGCTTAAGCATATGGCGAACCACGGCCTTGCCAGTTTTTTGTTTTCGGTAGCATGGACTTGGTGGAGGCAGTTGATTTCTGGAATGGAATGTTGAGTTCTGTAAGGAGACTCATCTACAACTCCATAAATGAAAAATGGAATAAACTCAGCGCATAAATACAAGGGCTATGTATTTGCACTTTAACACAGAATTGTCAAACATCATTGCATATATTTTTGTAAAGAATTTTGAATCCAACTGCTCGATCAGATATTTTTGCAAATGGTGCATGTAAATGGAATTTGACTCTGAAAATGTGGTATTAAAAGCAGAACATGAATAACATGAACTGAATAACAGTTGATCTTAACATAGTAAACAAATTACAAAATCATGGCTGAATTGATAGCAGATTGGGCTATGCTATGATGTTGTTATGCTAATCTAATTGGGTTGAGATATAGTGATCATTAAGCTTGTGTTGTTACAGTTCAAATTAAACAATTATAGAAAAAGTTCCATTTTATGCTAAAGATTAAATATTGTTGAAAAAATTATGTCATATATATACTATGAATTTGGAGACTTTTTTATATTTAGTATTGGAAAATATAAATTTGAATTATTCATTCACCAAATGCGTGTTGGTGAGAGTAGAATTGTGCATGGAGCTAATTTAAGCCCAAAAGATCTTCTGAAACAGCTTGACACCCTTTGCATTGCAAAGGTACCCCCTGTGAAATGGAGAGAGATATCCAGAATATCTGTATCTAGATATCTTCAAACTATATTAGACCCACAATCAGACCAAATTAACATGGACAAAATTAGATGATACTAATGCTCATTTCCATTTTCCCTTCTTATGCCTTGTCACACAGTCATTTGTTAAATCTGTATATCCATATTTCGTTTAGTCCTGTTGTTTATCTATGTCGTACCGGTAATGCATAGTACAGTCTGGCAGTAGTACATTCAAGCATCCATTTGCATGTATATTCCAGCAGCGTTACCATAATATTTTTGAGTATTGTAAACTTATTTCAGTATTTATTTACTACCGTATGTATCAGAAAAACAGTGAAACGAGACAGAAAAGCGTAAATTATCTACAGTAGACAAACAATACAGTACGGTACCGGTAATGAAGACCGTATGGTCGTATTGCTCCCCCAATTATAGCTGTATAGGTACTAAATAACATTTGTGTATTTCGTTTTTTTTTTATTGTACCAATGCTTGTTTTCTGGTTGACGAAACAACAAATTTCACTCTCTCAATACGCATATACAGACAGACAGATATCAGGATATACTTGACTTACTGTCCAAGATACCTTATTCAAAAACTTTAATCTGGGAACTGACTTGTATAAATAGATCTAACATTATTTTATATATAATCGTAATGCAGTCCTACAGTATGGTATGGTACCGGTACATCTTGTTTTAATAAAATGTAGACTATTACCGGTATTTAGAATTTTGTCAAATTGATTCTTTCAACGTGACTTCTGGACTTGTCTGCTTGTGGTGACAACCACCATTAACTTCCAGGTTGAAAATTTTAGAAATTCACGACTTAACTATCCGGACCATCCAGGCATCAGAATACAGGCACTTCTGCACTTAGTTATCCCAGTACTGCAGTATGCAGTTATGGTAGGTACCATTATGAAGATTAAGCAATACTACAGCATGACAGCTGTACAGTCCTGCAGTCAGAGTACCGTAACTACATTAATGAATTAACTGATACTGGCAGCACATGGTGTCTGAATCCTAGAAAGTTCAGCTTCTGCAGTGTGGTTGCAAAGCAATTCAATACACAATTACATCAGAATTCAAATTCTGCAAAATACGCTTCACCGGATTTGCGCGGGAAAAAGATAAACAAACGATGAACGAACGACGCGTCGAGACGCATTTTAACAATGCCATCGCGTCAATAAGAAGCAGATGCATTTCTTTTGCAAAGTACCGCCATTTACTTGTCTATTCTACTCCTAAATATACATTATGTGACACGCTTATACAACACTACATAAATATGACAATATTCCCATATAAACATACAGTATTGAATAACAAATTGAACGAAGGAAATAGCTCTCTCAGACGCGACAAAATGGCGGAAATTTCAAGCTAACTGGATTTTCGAACTGGAGGCGTAAATAGTCGATCAGCGTCGCTATTGGAGATGTGTGTCAATATCATCGATTATGTTTTAGACAAAAGACGCGAGAGGCGCTAATGAGCTATCAAATTTTCGTTTATTGACATAATATGAACATTGATACAGAGGCGTAGCCAGCGTATTTTGCGCCCGGGGCAAAATATAAAATTGGCGCCCCGACCCCCACGTTCAATCATGTTTCTATTGCATTTAATTGTATATGTAAAAACAAATTATATATCGTCACGCTAATAACCGAATTGCGTAAGTCATTTTTAGCTGTTTTGAGAAAAACGTAAAAAAACTTCCTAATGATATTTCTATGCCATTGAGATTCATTAATTTGCCATAGTTAAACTTTTTGATCGTAGCCGGATTTAAGTTAATTTGTATGACGCAGTCATGTGACGTCATAATAGCGCACTGTGACTTAGGCAAAAATGTGTCTATTACTAGGGGACATACGCAATTTTGCAACTCGACTATATGTACCAGTCCTGAAAACCAAACAATCCCTAATCTGTTTCAACTACATTATTTTTTATGTTTAAAAATATGTATTTCATCAATATAACACGCTCTGCACACTCACCGAAATAAGACTAAAGTTAAATATAAAGAATAAAACATTAATGTACCCCTATATAAAAGTCAACCAAGGTGAATTGGACTCACAAGTGCACGCCTTCCTATACAGTAGTATAAATTGAAAATTATTAGCGCTAAGCTAGAATCTGAGATGCAAAAACTCGAAAATCCTTCGCCGAGGTTATTTTGCCTTTTGCAAAGCTATACAAAATAGAGCATATGTCCCACTCAGTTACTGTCAAAGATGATTTACATAGTCTACAATAAATTCATTTTTTCAATTTCACTTTCGTAAACTGGTTAACACGTCGTCAAAATCTGTTTTTTTTCCAATGTTTCTCTTTCAACATTTAGAAGTGCAAAATCACTGAGACGATCCTGTCCCGTTGATGCACGCGAATACGACAAAATTAGTTTCAATTTGAAAGACCGTTCACAGCTTGCAATTGAAACTGGTATTGTTAACAAAATTTGTAGAGAAATTCTCAGATTGGGTAAAACGTTGTCTCCAAAAGACACAATAAAACCAAGAAGAGCCAAAAGAGTTTCTGGTTGACCTACAGTTCTGCTACTGAGCAGCATTCTGCAATCTTCAATTTCGGTGAAAAGTTCGTGGCCATTGATGTCCGTGTCGTAGAAATTTGCAAAATCTGTGCAATCTCGACGAATTGTCGAAAACGGCATTGGGGTCTTTTAGCACAGTATAATATATTTTATGTAACTCTGCCGCAAAGTACGGTACTTGGCAACAGCGAAATACAAAACCACGTATTACTCAAAACATGTTTCCGTTTGTCTCCAGCACAGAACTAATATCAACTTACATCGGAGTGCGCAGGCAAGAACTTAACGATACAGAACCACATCATTAACCCGGTGCATTTTGTTACCTAACGTTACCAAATCAAATTTTGCTTTGTTTCCCAGCAAGATTTTTTGGCCATGTAATTACGATGGAAATCTGACCGTGCGCGAGCTATGTGCGTGATGATGTCGGCAGTCGTAAGTGGTCTGACCAAGTGTGCAGTTTGCCATGTACTAAGACTAGATGTCTGCCGCCGGTGCGATCTTGCATGTGACTGTATTTTACCCTTGTGAAATTTTTGCAAGCCCCATTTTGGCGCCCCTGTACCTTGGCGCCCGGGGGCATATGTACCCCACTGCCCCCCCTAAGCTACGCCTCTGCATTGATACCCTTTTGCAGTAATTCAATTTAACTTATTGGACACGTCAGTGTACATAAAGATCAATATATGTTGTTGTTCTTGATAGTATTATTCTTCTCTTTCGTCATGATGAAATCGCTTTTCCCTTCGAATACTGGACCAATTGCTTTGAAATTTTCAGTGGTTAAAGATTGATTTTGCCAGAAGGATATTACTTTCACTTATTTCGAAAATTTCTGTGGACTTAAAGAGATTCGTTTTTTATGTGTCAGAATAAAAAATAGCGACACCTTGTGACGTGTTCATATGTTTCAGCACAGCTCTCTTGTATTTATATTATAAAAAAAACTGACGACGAGCGGCTACGTTATGTGCTGAATCCGCATCTCATCAGAACTATGCGGAAAAAATGAACGCTTATAAGACAGCTTAATCATATGGCGCACCACGGCCTCTCGTCCAGTTACCAGTCTATGTCGGGTATGGGATTAGTTAGCAAGTTATTTGTTTTAGAGGCATGGATGATGGCGGAAGCCGTAACCGACCAGCGGATACGTGAACTACCCTATGGCAGCGAAGGGTCCAGCAACCCTCTCGCATATAATTATACCCACGGGGGTGACCGTACATTTGAACCCATGTGTATATCCGCGGGTTCAATCTATATGCGGGTGCTAGGACCCATGGGTTAGGGTTAGTATGGGTTCAAATATATATCCGCAAAACAAAAAAAATCATAGGTGCAATATATGCAGGTGCATTTGTCGTGGGTCAAATGTACGTGGGTTTTAATGTACGGGAACCACCCTAGGGATACGGACCTACACAAAGTAATCAGAGGTGCGCGACAGGCATATTCTTAACGCTCGGCGCGATGCGCCCCACGACCGCCCGAGTCCAATACTCTTACGGAATACAAACATTCTGGCGCAGGGCAAAGATGAGTGTTATCCAGATGTTTACAATTACTTGACTGCCGTATGTTCAAGTCCGATACTATTACCAAGCCATGAATTATGCGATTTACATTAATGTATGCAGCTTCTAAAACTTAAACGATTATTTGTATGCTTCGTATGACCCGTACTGATTATTTAGTTTACACACTGCTTTCTCTGGCGCCATTGGAAAATATTTGATTGCTTCTACTGTTACATAGAAAAAGACGTTTTTAGGACATATCAGCCATAAAGATTTTAACATGTCCTATGCAAAGAATTGATGAGCGGTTCGTCATTTCTGATTGCAGCTGGAGTAGCCAATAGCTAATTTACCGATTTGGCGTTATTTGTAATATGAGCGGAGAAGAGATGTCTCTATCAGTGCCCATTTGTATGAAGAAGTAAAACAGAACTAACGCGATACACTTCAGCAAATGACTGAATAAACATTATGGTTGTACATTCGCAATTGCGCGAGTTAGGCGGATTAAGTAACATTGAAAGATTAGTGTTATTTAACTCGTACAATAACTCTATTGTGAATATATGTTTACGTTATTGATAGGTTCAATAACGAAATGAAGTTATCCATCGAAGGTCTAATTGTTGCACCATGTACTCCGATGCACGAAGATGGGTGAGTTGTAAAATTATATTATAACCCATAAATATCTTGTAAACGTTTAAAATCGTCAGAGCAATGTATAGGCATCTGGATATGTTAGATTAGAATGTAAAAAACTAAGTAACCAAAAATCTACGTTGTGTGTAAGTTGTTCGATTTTGTCTTCTCATAGCCTACGTGCTTTTTCCGATAAAATTTGTAGTGTCTGGGGGCCATTCAGGTGTATGTGGTCCCAATCGCCATTTCATTAATGGCCTTATACGGCTTGTAGGACACATTGGACTGTCATTTGACATGGTCTCTGATAGGGGTTACCGATATAGCTCGTCAACTGCATGGTCGATGGTTCCTCGTGCATGTATTTGGATGGTTATTTGGCAGTGGCCGTAATCAATCTCGGCAACCGCGACTATCAGTTATGCGATGACAAGCGCTTCATTAGCTTTAATTCCATGCGTCGCACCGATAGCAAATTGTAAGCAAAAGTTGTTTTATTTCATTATTAACAAACTTCCACAAATCAATGTATTTGGCATTTGCATGGTGCGAATCTAAATGGCGTTTGAAATGTTATTGTCACTGTTTCAGGTCAATCAATGTCAGTCCGATTGCTGAATATGCGGTGTATTTGAAAAACAAGCAATGCGTTGACAACATATTTGGTAAATGGATGGTTTATTTCTATATGTAACTTTGTGAATAGAATACCGTATACGAGTAAGTTTATTTTACACAGTATGTGGAACAACTGGTGAGGGTCAAAATTTAACGATTGAAGAAAGAAAGAAGGTTGGCGAAGAGTGGGTTAAACAAGGCCGAAAAATGTAAGTCGTAACGGACCTAATTGGAAAAACATTTCATATTATTATGACCTAGTAGTGCTTTACGTTCGACGAGACAATTGAATAACTATCTGTACGAATAGGAATGTGTAATAAAATTTTCTGACTGACCAACATTTGATTCTAGTATATACATGTCAAATGCAAACATTTTGAAATGCCCATTGGGTAACCTATGGTGTCTAGTAACATTTACAAGTTCAATAAACTGCTTTATATGCCAGAAAATAAACGTTTAATTTAATGCAGTAAACATTCTCAACCTGAAATTCTCTGTTCTAAGCAAATACAACGGTTTATGAATTCGTTATTCAATATGGATGCAACAGTTATCCATTATGTTTTAGATTTAAGAAAATAATCATTCACGTCGGTGCTGGAAATCTCGCCGAAACTCAGGACTTGGTGAATATGTAGTCATATATATATTTTGAAATCGGTGTAACGTTGTATTTTATCGACGTAATATGAAGAATGCATTCTACAAGAAATGTAAAAAATAGAATAAAAAAATTAAATTGTAGTTTTATTTATCGCACGAGAGCGTCTTTGTGCACGCTAATATACTCGCGCTTACTCGTATTCTTCACGGCTCTATAGCAAAACATTTCTAATGTTGATGCCGATGTTACAACGAAATAGCGCCTATATGCTAAAAAATGATTCATTGGTATAAAATAATTATTATTATGAGGACTTTGACCTGACATTTCAAATCTGATATATATATATATATATATATATATTTTCAAAAAAGGTCGGTGAGGACGTATCTAAAATTACATAGTCTTTGTTTTTAACGATAAATCCCTTTTTATATAAACTTAATTCATTTATGCCTGGCATGTCACTGTCATGAGAATATAGAGATATACCTTTAACAGATCCTCAAACTATAGTTGAATACGGATCATTGCATATTGAAATATCATTGCAAGGTTGAAATGTTATTATAAATATATATGCTCTTGACAAGATCAACCTCATCTTTTTTAATAGGCAAAACATGCTACAGAAATGAAAGCGGATGCAGTAGCCATTGCCCCACCTACATATTTTAAGCCAGCATCGGTACAAATACTCGGAGATTACTTGGCAAGCGTAGCAAAAGTCGTTCCAGATATTCCAGTATTGTTCTACCACTTACCGGAAAGAACAGGAGCCGACTGTAAGTCGCCATTTTGTTATAAGTGACGGACGGTTACGAATAAATGCTGTATATTTCAGTTGCCCATGAGCTAATTGAGATGAAAAGGTTCCAATCTTATGTCTGCTGGAATAAGATAATTCTATTAAAACACTATCGATTCTTTAGCTCTTGACGCAATATATATATATATATATATATATATATATGTAACATAGGTAGTGGTGGGATTCAGCGGGTTTGCGTGTACTCGTTCTTGGAATGTCGTGATAATCAGCGAACCCAGCTTTCAACTCTGCTCACGTCCCCAAGGAATCTGCATTCAACTAAGTTCGATTTGATGTTATATCATAACAATTTCGAGTTATGTTAAAAAGATTTGTATAGTTAAAATTCTGCGTTCTCGTTTTTGTTCTGAACGTTATACGACCACAGCAAATGGGTAATGTACAGCGGACGACTAGCAATATATTGGGCGCTTTAAAAGGTATGTATTAGATTTATATAAATTATAAAACGTATCATGTTTATAAAGCTTAAGTAATGACATACATACACTTTTGGAATGAGGGAACCTGTTGTAAATTAGTTTGACACAAACGAGAACCCGTTCTAAACAATTGAATCCATCACTGAACATATGGACTTTTTGAAATTAATTTCCCTATTTGCAGTTGCAATGCTAGACCTGTTGGACAATGTTGTAGATAGAATCCCAAATTTTGCTGGGATGAAATTTGTTACATTCAACATGGGAGACTTTGGTAGATGTCAGCAAAGATATGGAGACCGAGTGACCTTATCATTCGGAAAAGATGAGGTATGGACAAACTTTATTTAGTATTTCAGTTGTACAACCAATCAGAGTAGATAATTCAACGCTAATTTTTGTTTAATATAAATTAATGGGATTATTTTCCATCTAGACCATAAAACAAGGCAAAACTAAAATTAAACACTACAAAAAGTAGAAAATTTATTTCATTTAATATACAAAGTCTAATTTCATTTGAAAAGTATTTTATTAAGTTGTTGACTTCTTGCTAATAACCAAAGTTCGTGGACACCAAAAAACAGTTCCTCACTAGCTTTAGCTCAATAATTTTTGAAAAATAGGTTTATACCAGATTTCAACTCTGCTCACGTCCCCAAGGTATCTGCATTCAACTAAGTTCGATTTGATGTTATATCATAACAATTTCGAGTTATGTTAAAAAGATTTGTATAGGTAAAATTCTGCGGGTACACCGCAGTTAGTTTTGCATGCCAGGCAAGCTCAACTATTTGACTGGACGTAGTACTAATTGTTTGCGATTTACCCAAGCACGGGCAAGCTAAGCATCGCGTTATGCCACGAAGTCCGTCAAAAGAGAAAATGAAACTGTTAGTAGCCTAAACAACAAAATACGTCACTTCGATTTTTTTTTCTGACTATTCAGTTTCCATACTGCAAATGGTAATATAAAAAATGAATCGGCTATACTCCAGATAACTTTTAGGCACTACTCTTCGCTGCATTGTCAGGCGGGACTTCATTCGTTGGAGCGACGTTTAATTACATGGGTAGTTTATACAAAGAAATGTTTGACTTGTTTACTGCAAATGATATTAGAGAGGCAATGAAGAAACAGCAAGATATTCAAGTAATTTCGGGAATAGTGGGTAAGTTGTACTTCCGATCGCAGTTTATTTGATTTACATAAATATCGAAATACAAAAATGAGCTTCTTTGACAAAAAAGTGTCTCACTTAGGTTATAAAATTAAAAGTTACTCGACGTGTCAGGGACTCTGTTGAAACTGTTGATTCAAAATACGGATTAGATATGAAAAATTTTCTTCTCATTTTCTTACGGTATTAGATAATGCACTAACAACAATGCTGAAAACCAATTTTGTTTAGGACAACACCTAAGAGGGGTGACAGAACGCATCAGTGGAATAAAACTCGGACCCTCTCGATTACCGATTGCTCCAGTGGACGAAGACGGGGTTGAGAAAGCAATGAAGTCGATTAAAAGTTCGGGACTTATGACGTTATAATTGGAGCTCAAACGTATAAAGGAAATATGCAAAAAAAATTCTCGTCAATTGTTAGTAAGACTTATTAAATTAGTATCAAGTTTCTGCCATGTAGCTACTGTTCAACAGTACAACGTTAGCTGTTAATTACTTTTCAATTTTAATATATGGAATAATTTGCAATTTTAATCTACTCCAAGTACCACACGTGAAGACATAAATATTTGTTGCATATGAAGGGTATTGCAATCATTATACATTGAATAAATACTTTGAACTAAGGGTAAATTACAAAACGTATATTTATTGTCTTTAGGTGAAAATTTTCTATTGCCCATATGCTGGTGAAGGGGCATATATATTCAAACTTCACGAAAGATCAGAAGAATAAAAAATATTACTTGGTCACGTGGACAAATTTACGTCACATATGCGTCCTTTTAGCATAAATCTGACTGATGCATAATTGTACTTTGGCCTTATTATGTGCATCAAATGGTTCAAAACAACATAAGAGATAGAACATGCGAATGTTTGTCTAGCAGTATTCACAGCACCGGTATGCATGATGTGCGCGGTAGTTGGTAAATATGCGATTGTGATTTCATGAAAAATAGGTGAATTCAACAAGCATTCTAGCGTTTAGGGTAAATATTAAAAAAAAGGTCTTCTAATATATTATTTAGATTATGTTGGATCGAGGACAAATAGCCATATATGTCTACAAGTTACTTAATTAGCATATGCAGGATTCCACTGTAGTTTAGGCGTAGTTCGATTTTCAACCAGTATATCAGAACTAACTAGCTAACACGTAAATATTGGATTTTTGTCGCAATAGATATGTGGGATTTATTAATTATCATTCAACCATCAAATTGAATATCTCCCGCGTATACCTGTCTAAAATATACATAATATACTAGTTCAGATTGGCTTTTGCCTATTTAAATTTTAATCCACTTTTTTTCTACTTTATCCACTCGAAGAATTCCATATTTGTCAGATCTCCGATAATTTTATCCATTTGTTCTTTTGGCGTTGGTAGCATTGATAAACGAGGTGGTCCGACATTTATACCAGTAATTCGACTCATCAATGCCTTTCCTATTCCTATGTCTAAATCTGTTTCAAAATAACGCAAGATGTTATCATAGAAATTAGGATAACAAAAAAATATGAAGAGGTTGAGAAGAAAGGATAATTAGACTTGACAACAATAATTTTATCTACAGAAAATATTTCTTAACATAACAGCCATTCCTGTTAAATAACTTTAAGTAGTATTATTGGTTTTTACTCACCAGCGGTCATCAAATACGAAATAAATATCTGCGATTTGTATTGTTCATCTGTCGCAATTTTAACATCGTTCCGTACACAAGCATCATATAATCTTCGATACAACTTCAATGCATAGTTGTATGTACTTCCAACGCCAGACTGAGCTCCCATTAGTAATGCCGCGCTCATTTGCTGTATAAAACAGCATATGAAGAATATACCCAATCATATCGGGAAAGAAAATAAGTGTAGCAAACTATCAATCACGTCGGCCTGAAAACACCCTTCTTTGTTTTGAATGAAACAGTGTTGTATGTAGCCGGTTTGCTCACAAATCAAATAAATAATAAAGTAACAATAAATAAATGTGGAAAAAGATAAATACCTGGTCCCAGCCATACCACATGAAATTTTTCTCTCCATAACAGTCAATGCATCTTCCAAAGTCACACAAGTCAAGACTAGTAAATTTTACCCCGGCAAAGTTTGGAACTCAAATCTTCTCTATTTTTTCAATGACTTCTTTTATTTTAACTGTTTTATTTTAACTGAAACATTTTGAGGTAATCACAATATTCTAACATAAGTGGCCCGACTGCAAGCCTCCAAGAATTAAGCTTATAAACATTTCTTAGGTTACAGTCTATATGCCGTGATGACGTCATAAAACCGCTCCGCCAACTTCATTGAAATTATTGGAGCTCGGACTACTTCGAATATCAATAAACCAACAAATACCCAAATTGAATGCATTAAGACTAATTTATATAAGGACTTACAGTCAACTCCCGTTATTGTGGGCAGATGATAATACATCATCCCCGTATTTGGTGCGGCTTCAGCAACTTCTGACAGATATATTGCAAGATGTTTGGGAGTTTTCGGGGGGGCTTCCGAAGTGTGCGAACCAAGATGGCGGATATCGGAATGTAATATGTGTACTAGGTTAGGGTTAGGTCATAATTTTAGGTATAAATACTACGGGAGGCTCTTGGCTAGTCTTCGAACTGATAATAGGACTAAAATAAGGGAAATTGGAAAAAAATGATCGCCTAACCCTAACCTGTTACCCATGTTACGTTCCAATGTCCGCCATCTTGGTTCGCATACTTCGGGAGCACCGTTTTCGGTTTAAAGTAAAAACTGGAAACTGTTGCTATACCGGCAGCTCCTATTGATTCGGCATGTTTAGCCTGGAGAAAGGAATGAAGGCATGTTCTGAGTAGGTTATTTTTTTGACATTCTATAGTCACCTACCGACCCCTGATATAATTTTTCGTTTTTTATGGAACCCCAATTAACATAATTGAAAAAAAAACACGAAATACTCGTAACACGAAATATTTGTAATTCAAATATTTCTATTTCAACAACGAAACAGAAAGAAGGTAACAAGCGTGAAATTCAATACCTAGGTTGTTTTTGCATTTCCTTTGCAATCTTCTTGAATCCTGGCTCTACGGCGCTCAATGCAATTCTTACACTCATGTCTTCACTCTTTGCACAATTTTTTTTTTTTTTAATAGTTGTTTAGGCAAAAAATGCTGATTCACACAAATATGTATTAGGAAATTGACAAAAAATTTTAATGCTTCTTTTGCAATTGCTGTAACCGCTTTGTGAAGAGAAATCTAAAAAAATTGCTTTCCATGTTTTTAAAGGTATTAAAAAATCGGGTTGCACACTATTTTTACTATATTCCAACAAAAGTTGAACAACATGTAACTATGGTGCGACAATGGCGTTCTTTTTTGTTAGCTGCATAACAATGACTAAAGTGACGCAACAACCGAAAATATTTCTCTGCACTGTGACTAAACCTCCTGTTTAACGAATTGGCCTACTTGTAGTTTGAATAAGACACGGTGGTCTAGGAATATTTATAATGACGCATCAACATGCTGAACCAAAAAATGATTTCCCCTTAAAAGCGCGGAACTCCTAAGGAACCCTATAAACTCACGGAACCCCACTGCGTATGTTGCGGAACCCTAGGGTTCCGCGGAACCCCTGTTGGAGAGCACTGATATATATTATATAACGTCAATGAGAATATAAGTTCACATTGATAACGTTAAGTAGAATAGATAAGCCCGAATTAGTGTTTGATTGTGAGCTGTAGCCATCGCTGAATGACTGCTTTGGATGTACCTCTTGCTCTGCGCTTCCAAATGATTCGGGCAGTGACATGTTAATGAGAATTATTGAAGTAACAATGCCATGTACGCTTCTGAACCTCTCCGATAAATAGAAAAATTCCTCACCAATGTTTTAGTATAAACAAGATTCTGAGTTCCAACATGAACAATGACATTCCTGATCCTGCGAGAAACCACAATATCGTCACGCTAATAACCGAATTGCGTAAGTCATTTTTAGCAGTTTTGAGAAAAACGTAAAAAACTTCCTAATGATATTGTTATGCCATTGGGAGTCAATAATTTACCATGGTTCAATTTTTCGATCGTAGCCGGATTTAAGTTAATTTGTATGACGCAGCTAAGTGACGTCATAATGGCACACTGTGACTTAGGCAGAAATGTGTCTATGACTTGGGGACATACGCAATTTTGCAGCTTTACTATATGCACCAGTCCTGAAAACTAAACATTCCAAAAACGAATGTAATTCTCATTATCTACAATGTTTAATCCCCAAAATAGCTAATCAGTTTCAATTACATTATTTTTTATGTTTAAAAATATATATTTCATCAATATAACACGTTCTGCACACCCACCGAAATGAGACTAAGATTAAATATAAAGAATAAAACAGCAATGCACCCAATATAAAAGTCAACCAAGGTGAATTTGGACTCGGACAGTAAATATCAAAAGTGCACGTCTTCCTATACTGTAGTATAAATTCAAATTAATACGCACTAAGCTAGAATCCGAGATGCAAAAACTCAAAAATACTTAGCCGAGGTTATTTTGCCTTTGTGACGTCACAATAGTACTACAGTAACAATGATAATTCATTATGACGAAACAATTGCAGAAATGTGCATGCCATACTAAATCTCCATTTTTATGGGTTTCAGAATTTTTAAAATAAAATCTGAGGTAACAGACAGGTGCGCAGCATTACATAAATACCTATTTTATAAAAAACTCAAAATCGCCAAAAATGACTTACGCAATTCGGTTATTAGCGTGACGATATATAACACGTAAATATAAGACATAAAATAGAAATGAATACACTAGTTTAGGCCCATATTCTGAAGGTCAAAGCAAAATCTAAATTGGTGAGAAGTTCATATTTTGAGATTTCTTGAGCTCTAAAAATGACGTTTTATCATAACAGTCATAGAATGATAACTTGAATATGAACCAACAAACTAGGAGGTAATATGTAGCATACCTTCGTTTTGCAGCACCGATCCATTTTTCAGTCACTTTCTTTCGTTCTTCCAATGATAAGCTACAGCCTTCGCCAGAAGTTCCTAAAACTGCCGTAAAAAAGTCGAAAATAAACATTTCAAACGTTAAAAGACAAAATAATAGAGTGAACTGTCTTCACACTTGTACTATGCCGCTCATGGCAACAATGAAACTAACTGAATACATTTGAAACTTTCTCCCCTTTTCCAAGAAATTCACATATTCATCAATCATTTTCAGATTTAATTCCCTAAATTGTTAAACACATAACCGTTCGTTATTGATAGGCAGCAAAACTTTATCAATATTGAAGAATATATATTATAATACGTACCCACCATCATCGTGCATTGGTGTGAATGCAGCAGGGACGATTCCTGTGAGGGTGAGCTTCAACTTTTATTTACCACGGAATTTTTTTTAATAAACTATCTTATTTCTAGAGTTAGACTACAAAAATACTGCTTTTTAAAATGACTGGTCTGAATGACAGCTAATTATCTGCACAATTGTGTCGTTGCTAGTCTAACCATTGCAAGCACGTTGTATATCGTTTTACTTTTTCGCAATGAAGTTTTTGTCGACAGCAATGATTCTATATTTATCATATGTTTAGTTAAGTAGTTTAGCCTCCAAATGCCATTCAACTCTTTCATACTCCGTCCTGTTTTGACGAAAAAATTCTATCTTGTATCCTTATCCTAAACAATTTTGTAATCCATGCCACTTTACGATCTTTTGGGTTTGACCCGCCTAACTGACAGCAATTCACCGGTGATGGTAAATAAAATCGTCCATGATAACGGTGCGATGATAAATAAGACTTGTGTAAATAACTCGGGCGGTCAGCAGAGACGCTGCTAGTGCTGGGCGAATACCGAAACTGGAGTTAGATAATCTGTTTACTAATTTGCTATGAGGAATCAATTGGTACCGATATGAAGCCAGATACACGGAGAAAGGTTAAAGAAACTAGATCAGTGGTTCTCAAACTTTTTTTGTCCCAGAGCCGCATTTCAAACCTCAAAGTTATGAAGAGCCGCACACAAACAACGCAAGTTAAAATAGCAACAAAACTTAAGCGCGTAATTAAAATACCAAGTCATCGTAACAACAACACACGTAACAACTAGGGCTGGGCAAAAAAATTCGAATAGTAAAATATACGAATGGCATTTTATTATTCGAATATCCGGTACCATTTGAAAATTCGATTTTGCCCACCCTAGACGAACAGCCATTCAATTTGGCTTTGATTTCTAACAAGTTTGTCAAAGCGGGTCGTAATCGTGGAGGATACAAGGTGCAGTAGCTGCTTGAGATAATCGCCAGATATTTCGGGACTATTTTTGATTACTGGAACAAAATTAAAATGCTCTAGAAATAAAAATATTCATTGAGGTATTTGATTTATACATAATATTCGGCAATGCGACAAAAACTAAAAATCCACGAAAGCAAGCCAATGATAACAGCCATGTCTAAAATCTTTCCAAGTAAAAAGTGTCCGAGTGGCCGTGAAAACGATTACTGTTGCGTCACTATTGCATTTGGTAGATTAGTCAACACTACGCAAATAAACATGGGGGAATCCATTCGACTTAATAATAGACTTCTGCATTTTAATTTCAAGCCAATGATTAGTTTTCAATAAAAAACTACTAAATTTTCTTTGAAATAAATAAATTTTTAAAGCATTACCAAGAGCCGCAGGAAAGGTTGTTGAGAGCCGCATGCGGCTCTTCAAAATATCATTGTAAAAGAAAACTGCGTTTTGCATCATACAAGGAATAACTTTCCGTAGCACCTATTTGCAGAATATGACGAGAAGCGATGTTATTGGAGGTAAGTGGTATCTCTCGCGAGATGAGTTTCTGATTTTGATGCGAAACAAAAACTTTACTTCTATTGGTGACAAAAGTTAGTAAAGGTTGGCGCGAAGAACATGAACTGGCGTATTTTTTTCCATTCTAAGCAACTTAAGAATTTATCCGATGTCCACCTGTCCGTTATTTTTTTTATAAAGACAACAGTACATAAAAACCCATTCTTTTGCGGAAACTTTACTTAACTACAACCATAAAGGACAATTAACCTTTTGATATCTTGGAAAGTTTAAACATGAACCAAATATACTTGAAATTTATTTAATTATTGCACACTTCGGCACTTAAATATGTACATGAAACGTAATACAGGCAAAAATGATTGAGGAAGAAATATAAAAAAAAATTAAAAAAGATTAGGCAAGCTACAAAGAAGCTGCTAAAATTAGGGAAAGTCAAGTTAATAGACCATATTTAACAAAAAACGTTTAATATATATATATATATGACTAAACAAGTTAATTGGAGGTATAATATAAGACTTGATTCCCAGCTGATCACAGTTCCCCTAAATAACTCAAAAAAATTATATATATTTAAACCATGTCAATTAATACATCCCAGTTGACAATATTTCTATACTTGTCATGTGTATTACATAGAATTCTTGTGAAGCATAGTTTTGAAGGACTTTCAGCTAAAAATATTTGCTCATTTACGTAACTGCAGAACTGAATGTGAAATAAAAAATAACTCCCTTTATCAATATTTCAAACAATGGGAGTCATAATAAACAGGTGAACAAACTCTATTCGGCATGTAAAAAAGGATTACGGTAAGTAAATGATACAGAATATTTTCAAGGTCGAGAACAACTGACTAGAAAATTGCAGTTAAACCCTGATTGAAAACAGGTAACAGGTAGGTAATTCATGCCAACTCAATTTTACCCATAAATGCTGATGAAATGATATGCACTATAAACAATATACTAATAATCACATAATATTACTATGATGTACTATTATATATATATAGAAAAATTGTTTTGAGGAATGTCATGTATGAATGTGAATAAAATATCAAGATATTTATAAACTGGAATCCATTGTAATCAAAAAGTCTACTTGAGCCATTCAAAAAATCCCATCTTAGTCAACTCTCCAACCAATTTATCCATTTCTTTCTTCGGTGTAGGAAGCATTGGCAACCTTGGAGGTCCTACATCTATGCCAGTTGATGGGATCATCAATGCCTTTCCCATTCCGATATCCAAACCTATCGTGATATTTAAAGAATTGAAAAAATATTTAATTCATCACTAAAACATACGCCCTTCAATGCATATTAGGTAAAGCTGAGCATTTTCAAATACCTGATGATTCCAGATTCGAATCAAATATTTTTTTCGAACCGAATCTTGAATACTTGGAAATTTATGTGGTTGTATTGACTACTCACCTAATTATAATGGGTCCTTCAGACCCATAAATTAGTGAAAACATGTAATATATCACTCGGACAAGTCGTTGAGTGTTAACACATAGTAAGAAACATGTTTCATCAACAACTAACTTGGAAGAAAAAAACCACATGCCAGAATTTTATTTTAAAATTATGATATGAATAAAATAAAATGAGGGATTCACCGCGATCTGTGGGCGGACAAAAACAAACAAAATGGCAGCAATTCAAAATTCCCATCTGAACGGATTCGAATGATTTACTATTCGATTCAAAATGCCAATCTCTAATATTGGGTTAACTGAATTGGCATCGCAGATTACAATCTCATGTTGAAACTCATGCCCTCCAACCCACCAAGTGTGTATTGAATTTAGTAGGCAATACCGAACCGAAAGAATTCTGGTTCTTCCAAATAATAGTAGCTCCTTAGACATCAGTGGGTACTTTTATATGGATAAAGCAATAAAGCATGAGTGAGCGTTTTGAGACTAAATAAATGTTACTTTTATAAATGTGAAATTTTCAAACTTACCTTCTGATAAAAGATAGGAAATGAATTTCTGTGCCTTGAATTGCAATTCTCGAACCAATTTTAAATCTTCCTGTTTGCAAGCATGATATAAATTCTGATATAACTTCAATGCATAGTTGTATGTACTTCCAACACCAGATTGAGCTCCCATTAATAATCCTGCACTCAGTTGCTATTCGGAAAGTATCAAAGAAAAACAATAACATTTCATTTAGCATGAATACAAGGAAATTACTATGGTCACATTTTCTTCCCTAAAACTTTAGCTCTGTATAATTTACTACCACAATATTGAATTGAAGAAATCGATCGAAAAGGATAGTTCGGTAACTTCGGTTATTTATTCATTTTGTAATGTGTATGAATCACATTTAGTACAAAGAACATTAATCAGATCGTACAATTCTTATATTACTACTGACCTCATCCACACCGTAGCATATTGAATATTTATGTCCATAGCAATCAATACATCTGCCAAAATCACACAAATCCGGTCCAGTGTATTTTACTCCAGCAAAATTTGGCACTCCAATTTTCTCTATTTCATCAAAAATCTCTTTCACTTTGACTGTTAACAAACAATAGAATATATTTAATCATGTTTGTCACATTTGATTGTTGGAAGGATTATAAAATGAAAAATTTCAATCACTCAAGGAATTTTTTATGAATAATTTGAAGCTCTGGATATTCTCGTTTTTGAGAATAGTGAGAATCAAAATGTTTTATCTGAGCAATTGATCACCAGATTATAAACTATCATAATCACAATTTTTTAATATTAAATTAGGTACACATCATAATATTACAACAAGATTAATAATGAACTATTAAAAATGGACTTTATAAAGTGAGGAACATTTTTATACGAACAAATATTCCAGAAAAGCCAGACAAAGAAATTTCATATGAGTGCACTGCGACAACATTATTAACATAACTTCTTCATAATCCTATAGACCTGTATCAATTATTTGAAACGGTAGTTTGAATTGAAAATATTTACAGTAAATATTTGTAGCATAAGATCGGCAGACATTGATTGTTCAAATTTCCTCCTTTCATTGTTTTGTGAATGCTAATTGTATCCATATATTCAAAAATGTACTACTACTATCTATTCCGAAAACTACTATATCAAATTTTAATTGTGCAGAACATTAGGGGAATAAAGCGACTCACAATTCACTCCAGTGAAGTTAGGCATATGGTAATATAAAGTTGGAGTATTCGGAGCAGCTTTGGCAACTTCTGCCAGATACAGAGAAAGATGTTTTACGCTTTTTGGCTTGAAGTAAAAGCTTGATACAGTGGCAATACCAGATGCTCCTATTGATTCTGCATGTTCAGACTAGAAAAGAATATTTTTCATATACTTTCATTCAATAACAAATATGGCGAAGACAACTGCTTTCACTACGTTGGATATTAGGTCAATTTAAAATAGTCAATAGCCTCGATATAAGAATGAGCTATTGGAAAATCTCTCACAGACCAGACAAGTCTACATAAACCTTCTGAATATAACATTCGATTGACACAACAGCATGGAAATAGGTTGTACTTTTTAAATCCTGAATAAATTGCCACATTGCCATATTGGAAATCAAAAATATTATTATTTTAAAACGTTTTCTTACCAACGTTTTTGTGTCAACTAAACTTTGAGATCCTACATGAACGATCACATTTTTTATTCTGAAACAAAATATTTAAATATGTAGTAAGAATTTATGAGTAGACTAGATATTTAAACTATGTCAAACATAACAATAACAATCAGTCCTGTACAAATATTTTATATAAAGCCAAACATTATTTTAAAATGATAGATACAATTCCAGATTGGAGGTATATTTTTTGCCCACATTTTGCAGTTGTGAATTAATGTTATTACTATTATGAGTATTTTCACCTATTTTTGGCAGATTTCATCCATTTTTCTGCAACTTTTTTTCTTTCTTCAACTGATAAACTACAACCTTCTCCAGCAGTTCCTAAGACTGATATGTGTGGTAAAAATAAAATATGTAGAATAAATACAGCAAATAAATTGCTTAGGCAAGGTACATACAATATACATGATTTAATTTTTACCATTTTTGACTCACTATTCAAAAAAGCATAAGTCAGTAAGTAGGCTTAATGACTGCCCATGCTTATTCAGACAATTGAAAAAAAAATGCAGTCAAACAAATTGTTAATTAAAGATGAGTTACATTTTGGGTCACTATACGGGTTACTCACCCTGTTTTCCTATATTTGATTTAGTGTACAAGAAAATACTATTTCTATATTTATTGAGAAATTAAAAAACTTACTGAAAACATTAGAAATGTTCTCCTTTTCCAGAAGATCTACATATTGGTCTATGACATCCAAATTGAGGTTCCTAAATATATTTAGAAGTAATTTCATGCATTTAGAAGTGGTAGACTAAAATGATTGAAACCAAAATGACAGAACTTGAATGTATCCGTTCAAGAAACAAACTGTATTGAATGCAACACTGCAGTAGGAAAAGTTTGATATATAGACTAGTCCAGCTTATTCTGGAGCATTTGCCCAATAATAACTTACCCATTTTGATGCATTGGAGTAAATGCTGCAGGAACAATTCCTTGAAGATCTAACTTCATTTTTAAATCTATCTCTCTTCACACAAATATTATAGAACTCTATAGAATTTAATAACGGAATAATGTTGAATCTGCAAACACAGTACCGGTGCTGCAGTAAGAGGCATACTTTCCTGCTTTCAGTTTCTGGTTTCACATAACATACGGTATTTTCTCTCGTGGTTTTAATACATATTACAGTACAAGCAATGAGTCAGTTTCTTATTACCGTATTAGGAAACCTTCATTCTGTCATTATCCATTACAATGCAGTAATTTAAAGCGACAAGACCAATGAAAGTGAACTCGCGAACGCGCGTCAATACTTTGCGGAAGTACGGTACCCGTTTGAAACCAACAGTGGTTAAATAACCAAATAACCCGTCTGGTTGATGGCCATTGGCCAAGTGTTTTGAGTCAAATTCCACCCTTTAAATACTGAAATAGGTCATCTTAATTTCCTCTATACAGGTTTTTAAAATATTTCAATATTCGTAAAACCTTGAAGTTGAAATAAATAAATCTGCGTAATTACTCAAAATCGACGCTAAACGACTTCCGCGGGGATTGCATAGCGTGAAGTAAAAAATAGGCCAGATTGCGCAAACATCACACAGTCACATGCTGCACCGTCGGGCGACTCTACTACTTCCAAAATAGCTTTTACTAGCACGATGCAGCAGCATCGATGCCTTCAATAACCACTATCCCACGCGTGAGATATATATATTATGCACGATAAAGAAAAGACGGAATGAAAAAACCAACTTTAAAACAGTTTATTACCTAACCACAACCCCTACTATTACTTAAGCAAAGGCAATATGCAAATGACAATCAGAGGCAATTTGTCCGCGTGAACTGGAATGCAGCGGCGGATGATACATCTACTCTAGTCAGAATGGACCTTTCCCCGAGCATCGACTTCCTTGTTTATTTCGTGACATTGGCCAATCAGCAAGATGCGAAGAGTGACGTAACAATGCCCCCTTTTCGCATCCGCTCAGACACTTTTCCCACTCAGACAGATTTTCAAGCGTGGCTGTAAACATTACCTTGTTTTCGCGTTTTTGAAATCTTTCGTTAGTTTTCAGTTGTGTTTCGGGAACTTAAATAAAAATCAGATAATTCAATGATCACGCTGTCTTCCTAGGAGTTTTAATTTAATTGCAGTAATAAAAATTATTGTAGAAATAGCTGTGATAGACTAGCCTGAAATTCTTTACCGGTACTTTTAAAAAACAGTTTGTTGTATGCGATGAATCATAATGATGGTTTGAAACACATACCCCATTTTACAGGCGCCAACTCGCAAAAGCACTCTTAAAATAGCCCTGAGAATTTTGCAATGGTAAAGTACAGGAAGAATTTTTCGAGGGTCAAAGGTCGGGGAAAGGTCCATCGAAATACAAATCCAAGAAGCGTTATCATAAAAACCTCACCCGCAAAAATTATGCAGACACATTCTTTTCTAAACCATTGAAGAATTAAAGTACATTTTCAATTCAGTTTTAATAACTTTTTGCACTTTCCTTCTCATATACAAGTATTTTGGAAAAATGGTGACATTATTTGCACACTACATGACATCTCGGACATATGATTGTTAAATCCCAAATACTCAATATACTTGTGCATGCCAAAACTTGTCGTGCGTCCTATTAATCTTTGCGATCGATTGCTCATGACTAGGGCTGGGAATGGTTAACCGGTTAACCGATTTCAGATGGTTAACGGTTACGATTTATTTTACCCGTCAATGACATCTCAGGTACAAATCATCTTCACACCGTACAATATCTTCAAATATGATTACGGCATCGCAAATTTATCTCTTGTGGCGTTTAATTCAAAAGAATATTACTAACTGTGTGGGTAGGGACTCCATAAATGTGAAAAATAGGGGAAGTACCGAGATTGCTGATAATGGAAATTTGACAATGATGAATTCAGAATCCGTTTTCGGTCGATTTCGAAATATATTGTTCACGATTTCATTGCAAAATCGGATATTCAATGTCATACAATAAGTGCGCAGTTGATGCCGTTTTTCCTTATGATTTATATCTCGAAGTAGAATTTGCATATCGAACACTACTATTTTGTCACATAAATGACGCTAACAACGGAATCAGGTTTTCTAGAATACTTCCACGTCATACAATTGTCATACAATTAAGCCATATTATGGACTTTCCTCTCCCCCGGGATAAATATGTAAATCTTATCCTATCCTAGTTCGCTATCCCGTCCCAGCACCCTTTCGCAGGCCTTACCGCGGCTGATTGCCTCGCCTTCCAGAATGCAGTCTGAGAATGTTGTTCAATTGATACATATATATATATACTTTGATTGGTGCATACCATGCCCTTCAACAACCCATTCGTTTTTTATTAGCCATCCAGGCCATCGTTTGAATCGAAAGTGCAAGTTCGGGACTAGCCAAGTGACCCCCGTAGTATTTGTACCTGAAATTATGGCCTAACCCTAACCTGGTACACATACTACGTTCCGGTCTCCGCCGTCTTGGTTTACACCTACTAAAAAAGTACCAAAATTAGTAGATTTAATTATTGCATTATTCAATTATCTTTGCACCAACGTACATCTGCACACAGAAACGTTTGCACATCTGCATACTTTTGCACCCACGGATATTTGCACGCACAGATTTCAGCGCCCGCATAATAGATTGTACCCGCGGAAATTTGTATCAACGTACATTCGCACGCATGGACGCTGGAGCCTGGAACCCATGTACATTTGCACCCATGGATGTTGGAACCCAAGTGCATTTGCACCCACGGATATTTAAACTCATTGACATTTGCACCCATGGAAATTTGTACTGACGAACATTTGTACACGCGGACATTTGCAATCATGCACTATTGCACCCGTTGATATTATCAAGCGTAGACGTTTGCACCTATATATATTTGCACTTGCGTACATTAGCACCCATGGACAATTGACAGACTAACTATCGGTACTGTAAAAGGTTTTATAATACTTTTTTTGGCTTTGGTGCAATTATACCTGGATGCAAATATACGTGGGTGCGTATGTACGTGTGTGCAGATGCCTGTGGGTGCAAATGTCCATAGGTGCAAATGTTCACTGGTGTAAATATCGTGAGTGCAAATGTCCGTTTGTACAAATGTGCAATTGTACGTGGAGTGCAATCCATATGTGGGTGCAAATGCCGGTGGATTCAAATGAACGTGGGTGCAAATGTGCTATCACCTCCTTGACAAGACAAGAAGGTGTACATAAAGTGTTTCTTCCGCGTCCTTGACGTAGAATACTATACTCGAGCCATTTCTATGCCACGGATTTCAGGACTTGTTTGATGATTGGTTCACGTAATTGCCTTAATATTGCTTAATGTTAGTTGTGGTTGTATCGAAGTTTTATTATATTACATCTTCCGTGCTCCTCATTACTTCAAAACTGTAGCTTATAAATAGGATTAACAGGCATTTATGCTGAGGAACAAGCTATTAACAATACAGCAATGCTAAAATATATCAACACGAAGGTCGCGCATCGCTACCGGTATGGTAAGGCCTGAAAGCACCGAATTCGCTGAAAAAATCGGCGGTCAGGAATAACAGGATTTTGTCCATCTTTAATTCCCGTGAATTTAAAATCGATTGGTCCGTAAAATTCTGGAGAAAATCCACTACGTGTCCAGTAAGTTTGACTTTATTCGTTGTTTGGCAAATGTACGGTTCGCGGGTAACATAATTCGAGTTGGTGTAGTCGTACACATCAGTCAACAATTTTACTATAATGCTATACTAAAGTGATAGGAATCGACAAATCTGATGTAAGAAACGATTAATATATTTATATTGCAACATTAGTAAACGAAAGATAACAAATTTGGCTACAATTATAAAATTTAACAAAAGCCCTAAAAGAATATTTCCAGTAGCACTAATATTAATATGGTAAAAGTATCGGAGTGTCATATTACAATAACGCATAACTCAATTATATAATTCAATGCTGAAATTTCACCCTCTTTTTATATGTTATATTATTTCAATAATTTTTTTGAAAACAGTTATCTTACTAAAAGACAAGTGTTGAAACTAATACAACATAAAGGGGAGAATTAAAAAATATCAATTGAATGGCACAGAAACAAAAGAAAGTTCAATATATATTCATATACAGTTTGTTTGGTATTAAAATTATTATCAAACTTAGCTATTTATAAAATATTTGTTTGCATAATTCATGTAGACTTTATCTTATTTAAAGAGCAGCGATTACATTTGGAGTACAATGTAAAATAATAATAATGAATAAAAAAAAACTTAGATTGTGTTTTCCACATTCGGGAGTCATGCCACAATCTAGTATAAAAAGTGCATTTGAAAATCTGCGACATTCAAACTAATATCTTTTCAGAAGGAAACGTATTTGGCCGTAAGTATTTGTGATCAGACAGTTAGGGGTACACTACATCCATGGAACATACTGGGGAAATAATTAGACCTGCGGTTATGAATAGACTTAATCACATGTATTCGCCATAGTCGAATGAAAAAAACGTCAGAAAGATAAAATTTAGACCAGGGTTGTTAGTCGCATCCGGCTGGAACTTGAATTTGAAATGGGTTAACAAAAATTTGTTCACGCCACCCTTTCGAGCCATCATTTTTGCACAACAGATAATCACAACGAATCAAAAATAATCGAGAGTTTTAAATTGTTCGGGTATTTCAACCGGGATATTTCATGTGTGATCCTTTAATTAACGATATTATTGTGTTCGGTTTTGAATGCAAAATATTGAATATTGGTTAAAATATATCAGGGTCAACTGATTCAAACAACAGAACAAAATAACTTAAATAGAATTAATAACAAGTAATAATAATATCGGTGAGTAAGTGATTCAAATTGAAATAGATTCGTATCTCGTCCAGCGAAATCGATCTGCAATTTTCATACCACGTGAAAAGGAAAATTGAATATAATAATATAAAATTCGATATGAAACACTTTGTAAAGAAAAAAACACTAAAATCGAAATTTATATATGAAAATTAAAACAATATATATGTATGTCTTCGGTCTATCTTTTGTTCGAAGGGGAAAAGGCAGTAGCGACAGTGTTAGCGCTTGGTATCAGTTGGCTTGCATTTGTTCCTGATTGCAAAGAAAGCCATGTAACTCTTACGGCACTTCTGAAACGCTGTAAAAAGAATATACGTCGTTCAATAAACATTATTTAATCAAGGACAAACACTGCTCAACAAATATAAAACGTAAATCGATAACTTTGGTATGCAACGATATTAATTGATGACTAATTCATTGGGATGTGCGATGATTGTTGTACTACATTAGTCGCAGCATCAGAAATCATCACTGAAACTCGGTTCGACTACTTTGTTAAAATTGATATCGAATATCTTGAAAACTCAAATTAGGATCTACGTAACGCATTCCATCAGTGATCTATTCCTTGGGGGTATACGGAAGTAATGTGTGGTGATTTATACACCTCTGCAGTACAGACTACACGAATCTTGACTGAACAGATCAATTAAGATATACATACCTTGCGAGCCTTTTTACCCGCTTTCCATGCCACTTGTGTTTCAAATATTGCCCCGGTTGACAGACTTTCAGTTCTTGGTTTTTCGACAAGTATATCAATTATCATCATCATCCTCGGGCCTTCTAAGAGAACATTCACCAAAAATGGTCATCGCTGTATTCGTGTGCATTTTGATTACGGTCAATGAACGTCATAGTAATCTCTTGATTGCTGGGGCTTGTTAGCATCTTCGAAGTCTGTTTCACATATTCTCTCGTGGGAGCAACTCAAATCATTTGTCAGCATTTCGTAATTCGTGCTGAACATGTTATTATTGCTATTGTTGCCATTTGAGGACGAATTCTCGGCTTTTTCTGACCGGATTTGCGTGAAGGGGGCATTTTTTGACTCCTTCTGGGATCCGGATCGTTTTTTCGTCTTATTTTTGCTTTTCTTTTGTTTCTTAACTTTATTTGGGTGTAATTCCTGATCTATCGGTACCGAAAGATGCTCCTGAGATTCCGATAACAATTTTTGATGATCTTTAAAATAAAACAAGAAAGCAATGCTTGAATAGGAGAACACGCAGGCCACTGCAATTTCAGCAAATGTGAAAATTCATATGAAGGTGAGCCAGTTAAATGTAAAACCGACTCATTTTTGGGGGAAATATTGGACTTCGTACGACTAGAGATGGTCGATGGTCCACAAGAGATAATATATTTAGTGACTTAGTGTAGATGAAGATTTGTATACTGAATTCAACAATGCGATTCAGTTTTTAGTTGAATATAAAAAAAAAAACATTATTCGACTAACATTTCAAATCTCAAACGTTTTTTTTAGCTTAGTCATGGTCACACGCTGGTAGCTGTAGTTTACACAAAGCACAAAGCGCTTTTATGCGTATAGCAAAAAGTTGATTCATGCTTGTACAGAGCAACCTATTAAGATGGATCCACAAAATGGCATAGAAGGCACTATTCGACAAAGCATTATGATGAGCTACGCCTTTATTTAAATTAAGTGGGAAAAAATTGTTTTTATATACAAAAACCTTTTTATAGTACATATGGTTGAAGAAAGTTATACTTTATAGAGTACACAAGCCGCACTTTTTTTGAAAAAAAAAAAAAATTTTTGTGAGGTAAATTAAAAAAGTGTTCAAAATTCGAAAAAATATATATAGGGTCAGATGCGTCTTCAAAAGTTTATTCCTACAGTATAATTACAAGGCGAAAAAGTTAGTTGAAAAAATTTGTAGCTACCGCAGTCTCGTTTCTTTAAATGCAATCTCGTTAAAATTCGACAAATTATTCCATGTTTTTTCTCATGTTCATGATCGTGTGTATTGTGGTATTGGTGCGAAGTTTCAAAATATCCCTCCTCTTCGTATACATGATGTTCTTCATTTGCTACCAGTAATTCTTGCCTTTCCTGACCCATTTTGGGGGGACATACAAAACCAACTTGTTCTGATATTAGAATAGTATCTAAGTTCTGTCAAAGATACACTATGAAAATTAAGTGATCACAATAAAATGCGAAATATATATATATAAAGGCAGTTCGCATGTCCATAGGAATATTAAAATGGGTACTTCCCGAAAGGCTGGTCATGAAATAATCTGGTATGGTGAAATAACAGCCTCTGCCTAGCACGAGACAAGAACACAGCGCAATTACTGCACATGCTCAAAATATCGCAAATTTGTCGTTCGCTACCAGTAATTTTGCTTTTCCTGTCCATTTTGTTGGGATATTGAAAACTAACCCGTATTAATAATCGAATATTATTCAAGTTCTGTCAAAGACATACATTGAAAATTAGGTGGTCTTGTATAATGCGATTTAAAACTCCAATTCATAACGTCCATGGGGATACTGAAATGGGTACTTCCCGAGAGGTGGCTGATAAAATAACCTGGTATGGTGAAATAACAGCATCTGCCTTGCACGAGATAAGAACACAGCGCAATTACTGCATATGCTAAAAATATCGCAAATTGGTGTGTAGGACGTTAATCACAACTGTTTTGAAATCATTAAAAAGACACAGCAAATATATGCAATCCACCCACCAGTTGACTAACTATATCGCATAGCCACCGAAAAGAATTTCAAATAAAGCGATAATTATATCATTTACTATTTTAGGTCCTCCAGACACATAAATTACTGAAAACATAAAATACATCACTGACAATAAAAAACACGTTTTCATCAATACCTCAATACAGAAAAAATTAAAAGGCAGGATTGTATTGAAAAAATATGGCTTCAATGACAAAAAAATTGAGAAACTTACATCGACCCTTGGCGGAAGAGTAAAACAAGATGGCGGCGATTCGAAAATTTGCTCTAAACCGATTCGAATAATTTACTATTCGATTCGATTCAAAATGCCCAGCCCTAAACACAACATCAAACAATTTTGCTTTTTGAACTGTCACAAACGTACTGTCATACGAAACATAAAATTTCTACAAGTGAGTCATGATATATAAGTACTTTCAATATATATATGCAAAGATTTACATACTGCCATAGCAACTTTCATGATACTCGAAATAGACTCTGCACCCTACTGCTATTAGTTTACGTAGATAATCTTTCTATATTAGGAACCTTTACACATTCGCATCATCGCATTTTGAATAATATAAATAAATACGTTCTTTCGGCCCTCGCTCGTCTTGTATTTCCGGAGCTTTTCAATTGACTAGTTTAGTATGGTACGACATAAAGACATACGATACCTATTCACAAATAAATACTTCTTTTTTTATTATTCAAGCGTATTCACGTTTGGCCCAATGACTGCGTTTTCTAGCCACCAAAGCAAAACAAAAACAATTTCTGACATGTACTATAGTGCCCTCTAGTCCTTATCGACAATACACACACGATATACATTTTCATCCTTTTTTTATGAAGCGTTCGAACCAAATGGTCGTCAAGTGAAACCTCTGCTTTGTGAACGTGCTATTGTATTGAAGAAATAAAATAATTTCAACCATGGCAACTCCAGCGAGTGTCGCGTGAACGCTTTCACTCATTATGTAATCACTAAGAATGTCATTCATAACGTCATTTTGTGACTCTACTTCACACCTGCAACGTTTTAACAGATGTGATTTTCGTTAGAGTCCAAGTCCAGTAGAATATATTTTAATCAACAAGAAAAATGGCTAGCGACGAAATATGTGCGGTCAATATGAATTGAATGCGAGTAAAGGTCGCATCGAGTTCCAGTCTATCTGGACATAACTATACACTCGACTAAAAACAAAACCGTCATTTCAAAGTATACCCTGCTTAAATTATTATAACATGTGTTTCCGCTGAACTTCCATATATAACAGTGAGGACTGCAGAACAAGACTTATGCGTTCTTGTACAAGATCACTAACTACACGCCCAATGTCAATGTTTTCCGTTTACCTTGAAAGGTCACAGAAATCCATCTTGCAAAGGAAACCAGAATCTAATCCCCCGTTGACCAAAATACAAGCAAACAATACGCGATCAACGTGACAAAGGTGATTATACCCGGAGGCTTTATCATCCACACCATACCAAACTGCTGAAATATTTCAGTTGCGACATGAATGCCGTTCAAAGTTCGAAGCATTCCTTTAAAAAAGCTTTTCACGGTGCGTGCTTTGCAAATATGACGATCAGGTGACAACGAACAAAGTAAACATAACAAGTACTTGCAAACGAGGGTGAAGGAAATGATTTTTTGGCAATTATATTTCACTTATATTGTCAGATTTAACGAGTTTGCAACAGATAAAATCAAAAGGCACAAATTCCAACAAGGGGAAACCTGGCATAAACAAACTATCATATATAAAAACCATATAAAATCAAATATGACTCGTGTCGGTGCCAGAAAAGCTAATATTACGATTGACTCTGTTGACGATAAATGTTGCCTGACACGAGCATATATAGGAAGAAAGAGTTGAATAAAGTGACAGCTTCACTATTCTCGAGAATAACATGTTCGCCTGTCTATTCTAAATCCAAGTTACGATGGATGATACACTGTGTTAGTAACATTTCCCCGCCCAAAAACTAGAAAACAAAATATGCAATTGTGATCTGACTCAACATCCCATTGATTTCACTCATCTCTATAATCGAGTGGGTAAATGATAAAATACCCGGTAATTAAATTGAACTCAAAAAATAACTATAATGACACCATAAAAAGTTAATACGAGACAATGCATAACTCAAGAACCATAAAAATTAATACGAGACCAATGCCGTGTTTTATTCGGCAAATATTGCAACATTTTTACTCATCGTGCAAAGATCTGACGTCACCTTCCTCGTGATAAAATCTAGCTTTCTAACGTCCATCGCAACAGGATTGCATGTTAAGGATATCACGGGCAATTATGTTTTTTATTAAAATGTAGAAGGAGAAGAAGTATGGGTGATAAGGGTGACCAAATCAAGGGGCATTTAGCTGTTATTCAATTTATCTAAGATTATGAAATTGATATCAAGTTTCTCACCGCGTATTATAGACTGCGCGTCCACATGATGGGTTATTCTCACCAAAGTTTTGATAATTATACGAAAGATATCAAGAAAATGCACAACATTTAATCGACTTCCCCAAGTACTATATACACTCAGATCGTGTTTTATTAAATTATTAACTGAATATATTGCAATTATACAGACCGAACCTATTAATTACGCAATCGACAGTGACTAGCTTATCTACAGCGCTGTTAAGAGCAATTGTATAAAGTGATTAATTAAAGATATGCTAGTTCTTGTTTTAACACAGTGGTTCTCAACCTTTTACGGCTCGTGGCCCCCTTCCGGAGGCTTTTTGCACTCGTGGCCCCCCTGTTCGTCATTCTAAAAAAATTGATGTGTTAGATTGTATTATGTATTTGCGACCTTTTATAGAATGCAAAAACAAACCATGGGTAAAAAAGTCAATGCTTTTTAGATTAGTGAACGATCATTGGAAATCTTGCTCTTGGGTCTGTCTGACTAGGTTCCTTATATTAGGCACCGCCTTTGATATAGTCAGGTGATTGTACTGTCAACATCAGGACGGTTCCTAGATTTTGCTTTGTTGGTAACAAGATCAGAAAAAATAGATTCGCACATATAGGTTGTGGTAAATTGAACTAGCAATGAAGAAGCTTTCTTACTAAGTAGTAGGTAAGAATCACAAAGGAATACCCAGAAACTCGAAAAGTCTTCTTTGCTTGATTTCAAAGCAAAGCATACATCGGCAGCCATGTCATCAATAAAGTCAAAGCCAACATAACTGTCGTTCCATTTGGGATCGGGAATTTACATATTAGGCTTCTGCAGTTATAACATGATATCGACCGTTATCTCGCAGTCTCGCGAAACTGCCCGTCAGCTATTAGATGGCCTACCAACAAACTATTCGGATTAGTAGATTCAAAATTCCATTATGATCAAACAATTCACACAAAAAAGTGAATACACCTAGTGACTGAAGTAATAAAACTGAGGTGAACGGGGAATTTTCTTTTAAATGAAAAGAATGCAAACGAAGTCGCTTTATAATAAATTATTAGCTTTGTGTCGTGGCCCCCCTTGAACTGCTTCGTGGCCCCCTTTGGGGGCCACCGGCCCCCGGTTGAGAACCACTGTTTTAACACATTATTTAATACGTGAATGATCTATATAAACAGAATTAGCTTTAAAAAGCTCAACAATAAAAAGATTACATTCGTAATTAAGCCTGGCCCGTCTCATTTGACATTATTATTTCAGAAATTTATTGACAAATCTTAGAATCGTTTTATCGTAAGATACCTATTTTAGAAGTTGCAAAAAACTGAATTTGAGCTATGTTTGACCACCCTTTATTCTGCTTGCAAAAAATTCTTTAAGTAAAAATATTGGCATTCAGTACAGCGACATCTAGGCTCGGGTCACATGTGACGCGCTGCCACGTTTTGGCTTCTGTTTTGATAGATAATTTAACGCACTTTTTATCTGGACACTCAACTCGGGGATCTCTCGCGACATGCACCTACCTACTAGCTACTACTACTCCAAGCATCTGCCTCATTTTTGAGTTAAGTTATTTTACTGTTTTGATATCTATTTTATGCTTTTTTAACGTCGATATTTTAATACAACATACAACAAAGAACTTGCACATTTCACTAAAGACTTGAAAGCGGACAGAATAAGAAAGCACAGTCTCGACACGCGGAGTTTAGGGAACAACAGCAAGAACCTTATATATTCAGTTTATATTATTCGATGTTCAGAAACGAACGTTTCATGCGCTTCGCGTGGGCTTCTCCACGCTCAGTTGCATGCTCAACGAGGTGATAAACAAATAAAAAAACTCAAAACAGATGAGCAATGTAGACATTCTGTGTCCATGCCAATTGAATTCATATTATGAAACTGCCAACTGGTCTGTTTAAGTCAGGGTCTCGTATAGTGTGAGATTATGTGTAATTTCAACAGATACATTCAGATTTCCTTTGTTATTTTCGTGTATCAATTTTATACCTAATTTGTTGGGTTTTGACCCGCGTCGTTAATAAAGTTCAAAAAGTGGCTCATGACATGTTTTTGTGATGGGTTGGACAGATTTATTTTGACTGGTTTAAGTAATGGTTCATGATTGTTCGAAACCTGGCTTGAGATACTTGAGTCGGAGTTTGAAAGTACAACGCACGCCAAGCTCAAACTAGCGCGAATCCGGAGTTGGAATATCAGACTCTTCATGCTGGTGATATAATCGGTTTTCATACGCAAAGGCGTATATTATCAAAATATGATTTGATTTATATACCGTCGTATTTGGAGCGTTTATACTGTATATATATTTACAATATATACATAATGTTTTGTATACATTTCCAAGGGCGAAATTTACGAAAAATAGTTTAATCACTGAATATTTCACATACCATTGATTCATTGCTTGATTGATTAAACCATTGTGCAAGACAACTCATTTTCAAATTAGACCGAAGCTCTAATCGCGTATTTTAAAAAAGTAGGCTTTGCGCGATCCCATCTTACTATATTTCAACGCCATACGTGAAATGCGGAAGTGTTACAAAACGATTTTGAATGTGTTCCACCATGAATACATTTCGTGCTTGCATAACAAATGACTTTAATAGGTGGGGCACGGTAATGACAATTTGAATTATTACCATTTATTATAGAGATGAACGAAGTTTTATTATTTACTCTCGGAGAAAACGAAGGCCAATATCAAAACTGCACCTTAGAGAAAAAAATTCTGATCAAATTTTTCTGTTGCGCGGCTTCTCATTCGAATTACTTTGAAAAAACAAAGCGCATTTTTGTTTGTGTTTCACGATGTAATGAATTTTTGAACGAGATACCGTTAGTATGATATTGAGATTAACAAAGAATTGAATTGCCGATTCGATTCCGAGAGTCCTTAACTTATTCTTGGAATGGCACGACATGACATCCTGGAAAAATTTGATTTGAAGAATAGCCCAAAACGTCATCATATTTAAGTTGCCTGCTATACAGTTGTCATTTATCAGTTTAGCAGCAGATCCAGTGTTGATGATGTTTAAACAAAACTTGGAGATTTATTAACAAACAGTGATTTTATATGATTGAAAACTTTGAAATGAAAATGCACTCGCATTTTGGTCTAATGTTATATGGTTTTAATGGCGGGCGTCATTATTACTTATCGATCTTGATCGGAAGTATGTTAATGGTATCTGTTTGTTTGTCTGTCTGTCTGTCGGTCTGTTAGACAATTTCTTATGTTAGGCGATATCTCACGAAAGCGAGGTTGAATCTGCTCCAATTTCTGCATGTGCATTCATCATATTTCGGACCAGAAGCCTATTGATTTGGACGAATTATGTCGCATAATTAGTGAGGTATTAATTAATTAGTGATGGGACACACGGTGTCGCTATGGAGTCATCGCGATTGAATCGAAACCGCAGTTTCTGTTTTGGGGATCCCCCAACTTTCGATCGATAAGTCGTCGGTCTCCAACCGATATTCTCGTTTGCCAAGTCAGTGGATTTAGTTGAAACATTATGAACATCTTCTCTATTGTCTTAGCCTGGATGTGTGAAGAGCGTCAGGCACCGGTTCCTGGTTTAATTAATACGTTGTTTGCTGGATATTCCATACCAACGGACTAAAATACTGTATCCGTATATAAAATAGTCTGGTATGTGTTATTTATCCATGTTATAGCTGGTTGTGCATCTACAAATATTTCATTCGTTTGGATATTGGATGCTGATTTAAAATTGGTATAATCTATAGTTATTTGATGTTCGACCATCGATTTTCTGTCATATTACTTCCTACAATTATAAAATCTTATGAATCGGAAAGTACGGTTATATAAAATTCCAAAATGTTTTCGTTGTTAAATAGGTTATATATTTACCAATTTGTAGAATGCAATATATATATCAATATAAACACGGACTATTTGACATTATCTTAATTGGTAAGTTGTGGTATTGTGATAGAGCATACATATACTAGTAGACATATCTCATAGGTTAACATCTCTAACATAGTTCAACGTAGTGCATAAGATGCGGAAGAATTACTAATCATACATGTATTTCAAATTTGCTTTACCATGAATACATTTTCTATTTGCATAACATTGCACATTGTTACATGGTGGTGGTCTGTTCCAAAACGGAATGACTAATGTTTTTAGCAACCATGCAGAGATGAATAATGTTTTGTTATTGACTGGCAAAGAATGCAGAGGCTGGTTTATAATTGCATATATATATATTAGAGAAGGGATATTGATAATGCGCGATTGAAACTACTTACATGAGATAAAAAGTGCTCATGTAAGTTGTCAACATTTGAAAAGTATAATGAAGTTTTCGAAGGAGACATGTTTTAATATTAACATGCAGGGAAAAGTTCAAAATATTTTCAGAGTGTCTATACAATTTAGCCCTGAAATCGTACTGCAATACCTGCTACGTTTGTATAAGTTTAAGTGATTGAGAAAAACAAACTGAGCTAAGCTACATTGACGAAGCAGCGAACATGCTAAATTGACAAAATTAGCAAAATAAATTTGTACACCAAGCAACTCAACAATTCTTCTTTTTAGATAGCTGTAGACGTTAGAGTTGCTGACTTGAAAGTTTTTTTCACATTTCTACAACTTTCAAGATTTGCTTCTTGCCTCAATGACAAGCACCGTTCTTTGCCAGTTCTTAGCATATTTGTGGTCTCTATTTTTACCTTAGTCCTTTTTCCTGTTTGGCAAGGTAATGCAAGAAATTACGCGGTATAAGCGGCTATCAATTGTGAACATATCGGTACAATTTAGGGCGGAAATCCATGAAGTTTTAATTCAGTGCTTCAATGAAACCTCCTAACATAGCTGCTCCGACGGCCTCGTGTTCATGTCGGAAGCCTCACACTAGTGCATGGATATATGATTGAAAATTTAGGGAACCAACTTTACACATATATATATACCAGGCAATTTTCATTGAACTAGTACTAGTAAATAAAAAAATTACTAAAAAAAAACTTTAAATCTTCGTCGGCATTGCAAAACAAAGAGGCAATTTCATGATGTACAAAGCTTTTGTGATTGGATTGCATTTTTCAACCTTATTCGTGCTCTCCGTTCCATCAGGTAAGCGAATGGCATACACGAAATAACTAGCGATACCCAGATATGTAGCTGTCTATTTCTTAGATGCCCAGATGCAGTGGCAGCTCTAGTTCACTCAGTCTATATCCTAAAAATGTTATAAACTTAAATAGGAATGACAGCTAAAAATGAAGGTTTGGTTACTAATTTATGGATAATGAAATACTATAATTTCCTTACGCGTGTGAATTTTTGCCCATGAAGTACAACCTACCAGTTATGCACTTATCAGGGTACTCTTGAAGTATGCGCACCGAGATGTCGCAACAACCTGACCCTAACCGGGTACACAACTGAGTTCAGGTTGTGCGCCATCTTGGTGCGCATACTCCAGGAGGTCCATTATCAGTTGTCACGAGCAGATTATCTATAGCGATTGGGTATGAATGAATTATAAACACTAACGGAAAATATAGACTGTGATGTAAAATATTCTCATCTCAATATTAATACCTAACGAATGGCTATAATGAATCATAAATACTAAATGAGAAAATAGACTATGATGTCGAAATACTGTAAAATACGTATATGTCGATAGTGAATTCGGGCATACTATGCGCATTACCATCTCAGAACAACAAAATGAGCATGTGTTTCTAATTGTTTTAGAGTTTTGCGTTTACAAGCTGAAAAATGGAAAATTAGTTCCTTCGAAAGGATGCACGGTAAGAAAAGTCACTATTTTCAGGGAATTTTGCACAAAAGTGATTTGACCACAATTCCCAAGTTTCGGAATGTTTAGTATCTTATGTCTGGGCATTGGACCAATGTTGCTTTCGCTGACTCATAATTGTGTGTAGTGAATTAATATACAGGAATATGAATGTATGAGGAAATCTGTATCATAATTTTTAAAAATTGATTGCGTTTGGTAAAGAGAGCAAACGTTAACAACATTTAATCACAAAGAACTGGCAACACAGTCGAGTAAGTTTCCAATATGGCCCAGATTCAAATTTATACAAAATATATCTGACATGAATATTTAATCCTGTACGTTTTTTTTTTCTAGGAACCGGATCATGGGAAGTACGTAATTATTTTATTGTATATATATATATATATATATATATATTTTGGAGTATGAAAACTGTATAACGTTAGTTTTTATTATACAGCTATCATTTCGGAATTAAAAGCCAGAATACAGGCCAAAGCTGCAAAAACAAAAGCAAGAGATGAAACTGTTACCAAAACCATAGCAGATGAAGTCACATTTCATGACGCTTTCACGGGAAGTACAGCAACAACTTCCACAAATACTGTTATAAATGACGCATCAAAAACTTTGCTCCCACCACAACATTTGATGTTAAATCAAACGACTGATCTCAAGGAAGTATTAGAAACAGCATCTCCCACTACCACCAGCCCACCATTGTCTCAAGGTAAACAAATCAAAATTAAAGAATATGATATGCATTTGTGGATCAAACTCTAAAATCTAAATAATAGTCTGTAATAATGTGAGTATGGATAATAAGTTCCAACGGTGCACAACCTGCGGCCCGTCGTGAAAAAATAATGCGGCTGTCCACATACAAAATTCTATAAACAGAAAAAAATGGTTCAAAATATAGGATTTGGCGGCTATGCTGGCATATACTGAAGCAAAACAGAGGCACTGTAAAAAGTCAGACGACACGATGCGTCACAATCTGGATGGTGTATTTGCTGTTGGGGATTTCCTTTCACGGTTCAGATTGATCACGCGTTTCGGCAGCCCACATGCAAAACCATGGGAGTCATTAAATTGCTACAATGCGTTGCAAACTTTTATAGAATAAATTCATTAAAATATTTGACATTTTATTATACTTTTGGGGACAAGAAAATAGAGGCGATCGACCCCCCCCCCCCCTCCTCCCCGATGCAACTTGCTGCAATATATCTGCTCAAGAATAGGTCCACCGAAAAGAAAAATCCGTTCAAAATGCGAATAATATACTTCCAAGTAGTCCTACGACTCCTACATACCTTACATTTGGGCAGTCTGCACCCCGCATAGGTCAAATACGCGGTTATGACGTCATAAAAGCATAAAATAAAATATTGCGCGCCTTCAGCGCGCTTATCAACCCCCTGGAAGCCGTATTAAATACAAATAAATGCAATGTGGCCGTCAATAGCAAAAAGGTTGTGTACCCCCTGAACTAAACCATACATGACATGTGTATACATCAGCAAATATAAATACACTGAAAAAATTTGATTTAAATCATATGAGATATATAATATAATATATACAATTTAACATTTACAATTTTGACCTACGTTTTGCTGTTTATTGCTGAAGATTAATCGAAATTACCAATTAAAAAAATCAGCAAATATGTTCACACTTATTTTCTGTTTTCATATTGTTTCTTTATATTGTTACACCAGATATACATATATTGATTGGACGTAGAAGTAGCCTGAGTGTGATTTCAATACTTTCAACTTCCGGAGTCTCTTATGAGCAATATGGCATTAATGTCACAGATTTGATTGCAATTGATTATGACCCAGTGGAAAAGTATATTTATTGGACAGGAAAAGGTTATATTCGTCGCGCAAAAACGAACTTCACTGGTAGGTTAAATTTTAGTATACCGCAAATTAAATGAGATCGCAGGTTCTATTACTTCAGCTCGTGGCTTTCATAATAAGTTGCAGCGGGTGGAATTTCATTTTCGACTTCGATTAGGCTCAATATCTTAAAGTTCGGACCACGCATACCTTGGTAAGCGGGCAAACTACATAAGTTATCGAGAAAAATAAACGCTATTAACTTGATCGGACCTTTTCCAATTTTTCATCTAAAATCAAAATGCACAACACTTTTACATAATTCATCTTCTTTTACAAAATAAATAGTTTTATTTTCATTTTGCAATTCAGTCGGAGAACTTCTAGCGTCTAACCTTAGTACCGAAGTTGATGGCGTTGCTGTGGATTGGGTCGCAAGAAACATGTACTGGTCGGATAAAGGTCTAAAATTAATCGGCGTCTCCAGACTCGATGGGAGTTCGAAAAAGAACTTCATAACTACGAATATTGAAGCTCCAAGGCATGCTTTTTTAGTTATTATCGAAAATATATCCATTATTATAATATATATTCACTTACGGTATATAATTGAGTTCTTGTTAAAGCCGAGAAAGATCAAATTATTATTTTCCGTCATAGAGCAATTGTCCTATATCCGTCCATTGGAAAGATGTATTGGAGTGACTGGGGTTCTAAACCTAAAATTGAAGCCACCTCTCTTGACGGCACGGACAGGCATATTCTTGTAAATGGATCACTTATGTGGCCAAACGGTAATAAAATATTTTACAAATATGAACAAACGGGCCTGGAAATGATAATTGGCAACCGCTTATTGGTCACGTAGTGAAACTGTAGAACATTTTGTATTATGTTTTCAGTATTTTTCTTCTTGTTGCTGTTGTGAAAAAATTAGCCTTTTTCTTTAATCACAGGATCAATTGCTATGAAATTTTCAGTGGTTAGAGATTTTATTTGCCCAATAATGATTGATGAAATTAAATTTTTGGGTGTGATGACGTCATCAAAATTGCGCACATTGTGGCGGCTCCTCGCTGGTTTCTTTCGGGCAATCAGGCAAGTCGTGAAGACTGCGGTACTAGTATACTGTGTGAGATTACATACCCGTACTACTTCGTTTTGGCTTTCGTGTCCATACATTTGAGCATTGCTTCATGAAAAACGCTATATATATATATGTAACATTTCTGTTGTTATTTATGCGATATTAATAATAATCACTATTATATTGTGTTCACAGGATTGGCAATTGATTACGCGAGAAATTTCTTATATTGGGTTGATGCGGGATTAGATAGGATTGAAGCGATACAACTGGATGGTAGCGGAAGATCTGTTCTCATTGCTCATGATCATCACATTTTCGGATTCACGTCAGTAACGAACCCATTTATGTTCCATTAAACTTTATGGCGATTGATTGTCTATTTTTTGTATTGTTTAAAACTTTAAATTATTAGACACGAATTGGACCTATGGGTTGTTTTGTGTTATTATGTTATTGTTGTTAATATTCTTATTATTGTGATGAAAACCGCTTTTCCTTTTAACTACTGAATCAATTGCTTTGAAATTTCAGTGGTTAAAGGTTTTTATCGCTAGAAAGCTATTACTTTTACTCACTTCAAAATTATAAAAAGTTCTGTGAGCTCTATGGGATTCGTTTTTCAATTCGAAGTTTTGTGTGAATACCGTATCAAATTTAAAAAAATTGCACACCTTGTGGCGTTTCTGCGATCGCATTCCAGTCAAGTCAGGAGTTTTTGATAACGAAGAGTCGAAGACTATCCGTACTGTGAAAGAGTTGATATTACTTTTTTTTGGCTTTCGTGTCCATATATTTGAGCACTGATCTCTTGTATTAATTATCATCAAACATTGACAGCCGCGATTACGAAGCGCTGCAATGTTGACGAATCGTTTAATCTGTTACCAATTATCATGTTCATTTCGTCAGTGGTTATGCATCCAAATGCAGCTGCTTATACTATGCTCAGAGTAAACAAATGGGTCAAGAACAATAATCGGTCTTATATATATATATATATATTACTTAACATCGGGCCAACATACCAATCCTTAACCAAGAGCGATGTTATATATAACTAAAAAGTTCTATGTCAGGGGTCGGCAACCTTTTGTCACTCGCGGGACAAAATTACGGTTGCAAGTCATTGGCGGGCCGCACATATTTTTAGAAAGTTGAAAAACCGAACGGATGGTCATTTTATAATATAAATCAAGCAGTGATACATCTCTCGAATAGAGTATAGATTTATTTCCTCATTGCATCTCACAAAATTCCATTTGAATATTTTCGGCGCCATTGAACCCTTTGCACTTAGCATCAACTTTTCTGCGTTTTGTTGCCATTTTCTTAATTATAATTAAATTATATGCTCAATAAACGAGTAATTGTGAATTATATAATTGTTAGGTTATAATACAAAGAATTTATTCGTCAAAACGGATGTTTTGTTACCAATTTAGTGGAGCGTCGCGGGCCGGATTATAGTGCTCCGCGGGCCGGATCCAGCCCGCAGGTTGCCGACCCCTGTTCTATGTGTTTAAAATATGATTGGTGTTATGTTGCGAAAATAATTACCCTATTTCTGACAACTCAGGTACTTTCAAAATTTCATTTACTGGACCGATTGGCAAACTGGATCTCTTGACAGAATGTTAGTTTACAACTCAACAATTCGACAAAATATCGCATCCGGGGCAGGAGATTTTATGGGAGTTAAAGTTTATGGGAATCATGCCATTCCACAAACAAATCAATGTTACGGAAATAACAACGGATGCTCACACCTTTGCTTTTACACGTCTAATGTAAGTGTAAGCTTGTAATCACACAATCTTTGATTTTAATCATTTTATCTTATGTGTAGCCTACATCAAGCACAGGGGACGCCCGACTGGTTACATTATCAGAAATATTCTGTAAGAACATTGGAGCAAAACTTCAAGGTTTGAGATTGTATTACGGTTTCTGTATATTATTTATACAATATTTTGGGTGAAATCGTTGCAATCTTACATATAGGATCCAAGTGTAAGAATAATCATATGCGGGTCTCTTGGACATTTTAATTCAGGCAAATTGTGGGATTAACCAATCGGGTAATTGATCCAGCTCTTCTAATTTGAAAATCTCTATCAATACCATTAGTCTGGCAAATATATATATAATAATTATATACTTATTGCCAGGGTGCTGTTTGCGACTGTCCACAAAGTTGGGGCTTGAAATCCGATAAGAAGACTTGTATCTCACCATAACATAAAGGGAACTCATGAAGATATTTTTCTCTAAGTCATCGTATATTTTTAGCTGAAAAACTTTGTTACTCGTCATATAGGTATACTATATAACGTCACCACCACACAGAAGAGAGAACGATGCTATCAAGCACTCTTACATTCCAAAAATATGAATTACCACAAATTTTTCACTTCTATCTCATTGTTATGTGTGGCGGCGTTTGCGTTAGAACAGACTGCTTTTATCTTTACTACCGTGTTTCCCCGAAAATAAGAGCTACCCCGAAAACGGGGCTAGTCGATGGCAGGAAACCTCTTCTAATCGTTTTAGATCAGGGGTTCTCAACCTGGGGTTCGCGAACCCCCTGGGGGTTCACGAGAAGATTTTCAGGGGTACTAGAACGGCAGTTGAGTTTTTTGTGTGTTGCTGTTTTTTAATATCCTTTATTACTACTGGAGAAAAATGCGTGTCGATTGAAATTAGATGCCAATGGACCTTTTCCTGACCTTTGACCCCCGAAAAATTATTCCTATACTTTACTATTGCAAAATTTTCGGGGCTCATTTTAAGAGCGGTTTCGCGAATTGGCGCCTGTAAAATGGGGTATGTGTTTCAAACCATCATTATGATTCATCACATGCAACAATCTGTTTTTTGAAAGTACCGGTAAAGAATTTTAGCCCAGTCTATCACAGCTATTTCTACACTAATTTTTTATTATTAAAATTAAACTCCTAAGAAGACAGAGTGATCATTGAATTATCTGATTTATATTCAAATTTCCAAAACACAACTGAAAACTAACGAATAAAGTTCAAAAACCCGAAAACGAGGTAATATTCGGGGCCACGCCTGAAAATCTGTCTGAGTGAGAAAAGTGTATGAGCGAATGCGAAAAGGAAGCATTGTTACGTTAAACTTTTTGCATCTTGCTGATTTGACAATGTCATGAGGTAAACAAGGATGTCGATGCTCAGGGAAAGGTCCATTGAAACATAGATTTTCCCTGATATTGTTGTGATTGTGACGCAACAACGTTAAATTCACGGCTTTGCAGGCAAACTGAAATTTCAAAAGACAGCGTGCTGCGAGCATTGGAGAAATGATTTTGCTCATTAAAACTTTTGAGAATTCATTAGTTAGGCGGAAGACAAGTGCAATAATATCAACACGAACATTTAATCTAGTTACAAATGGTCAATAAATTGTTGTTTCAACAAATCGTTAGTCAATATATCACAACTTTGTTCGGTGTCTGGAAACCTAGGGTACGCGTTGATTGTTTCGGGACTCGGGGGGTACTTGACATAAAAAAAGGTTGAGAACCCCTGTATTTAGATGATTGATAATCTATGTTTTGCAGTTATTTTGAATAAAACGTGTTATTTATAAGTAAATGGATATCGGTTTTCACATTCTGTATATATATATATTTGAAAATCTCGTACTTCTGTTTTTGATAAATGAAAATATAAGACATCCCCCGAAAATAAGCCCTAGTGTTATTTTTCGGGGAAATTATATCGATTATCATTATATTTTAGTTTTTTTACTTATATCACATCGTCGTTGTTAGGAGTAGCGGCATTTGCTTTAGAACAGACTGCTTTTATCTTTACTACACTTGTGATTGCCATTATATTTTAAGTTTTTTTAAATAGCTCGTAGTCGTGGATAAAAATAGGCCCTATCAAGCTGTATATATTCTGTGATTTTTTTTCTATTCAACGTCCTGATGGAAGTTCAATCAATCATATCGTCTACTCTATGCAAACGTACGATACGTTGGTTGATTATAGTTTGCTTCTATACCCACTACAAACAATAACAGCAAAACGTTAAGTAAATTGTAGTTAATGAAATATTCGTGAACAATAAATAAAACTTGGGGGGAAATATCGGGCCCTGTAGTACTGAACATTTCAAGCCATTTGTCCGATAGTCACGAAGAGGCTTTTTTCTCAGAATTTAGCACCGTTATCCATACATATCAAAAAATTCCTGATTTAACATCAATATCATTCTTTTCTGTAGGCCAATATACTTTTCAAGTTGCTTTATCATTTAGATTAAACAAAGGTAAATTGTGCCGATACATGAATCCGGGAAATAAAGTCGAGATCTATTCACATCTGGATCCGAATCCCATCTAGATCTTGCGTCAGGCAGATTCTTAGGATTCCGTTAGTTTCCCAGTTTTATGTACAATGGTTCTATAAATTGAGTACTCCACAAAAAAAAATAGTTTTTATTGACATTTCGATCAAGGTAGTGATAATACCAGCAACAGAATATCTGGGCTAACGATGCCTGCACAACAATTCCCAAGATTTGCATAAATTAACACTTTTACAGCTACTAAGACTGCAAGGTGTAAAATCTGGTTCAATAATACCCTCAATACCAGCGTTTCCCAAAGGGGTGGCGAGTTGCGAACTGCGCCGCGAAAACTAACAGAACTAAAATATGATTGAATACTTCACATATTGCATTTATTATATTGTTTTGTTCCTTATTTTAAATGCTGTGTATATGAATCAATAAATTCAATTCACCTTTCTATACTGACGGTTAACGATGCCACTACCCTCAAAAAGTTGTCGGCTTTAGGTGGACGGTGATGCGATATTGACGGTCACCAGTCGACAACTTCACGATCCCGAGATCGCCACGGCGACCAATTTAGTCGTAATTTTGATCCCATTCCCACGGAACACAGTTTGGGAAACGCTGGCTTAGACAGATATTGCAAAAACAAAATTATTTGAAATATCCCTTCATACTGTAACAAATTTGTATATCTGTTTCGATTTGTAAGTGATATAGAATGGCGATGTGGTGTTAATTTGGTTCTCAATTCGTAAACGCCCAAAATCGCCCATCCGACTGGTGGCATGGAACAATATGCCTATAATATACAAGTCTAGTTCACAGTGAGAATATGCACATATCAAGGCTTATTAAAATATGAAAATTTAGAACAATAATTCACGCCAATAAAGAAGAATGGCACCGGCACTTACAGCATGATTGCTGATGTTATAAAAATCATAAAAAATTAATAATTAAATATCATTGCACCAAAGTTGAATTGAAAAAACTAAGTTGAACTGATTACCATGATCAGTCTCCTAAATTATTTTTTTCTGGTTGCTTGTATGTGTACTCAAAGCAAAGTTGAGTGTTTCCATGTTCCATCACCATTCAAATGAAGTCTTATATCATGATGCTGAAAAACCACAGATTTTGTGTTGAACATTTCTCATCAGATTCATTCAGATGAACATGTAACAAACTTGCATGTTTAAGGGGGATAGAAACAATCGGAATTACGGTACCACCTAGCTATTCTCCCACAAATTTTCAAACCTCAGACAATTCAAGCCCCACAATTTCATGATGGGGAACCAGTGATGCAATTAATTGCCTCCTAGCGCACACAATGCTTTGGGATGTGTGCTACAAGAAATTTAAATCTATGCATTCACTTGGCTTTTATTGGTATTACTTGTTTTGAGCATTTGCAGAAGTTTTCCAATGAATTTCTAACCTTACATCTCAGAACTCATAAAATATTCAATTACATGTAACAATTTAATAAGGTGGTGTTGCATTTGTATAAAGTATAAAATGAAATAAAGTATATGTAGCCTACCTTCAACAGCAGATCACTATGTCCTGCAGTGATACAAGTTATATTTTTCTCTTTGCAAAGCTCAAATAACATGTCCGCCATTTCAACATTAAGAGCACTTGTAGGCTCATCTAAGACTAAATATTAACAATTATTAATGGGCATGAATACGAAATATTTGTGTGTTAAAATTTATTTTCTTCAAAGTCGACAATTTGTACTCGTGCGCATTCTGTTTCAAACTTCAAACGACTTGAAGTATGTAGTCAGCTATACGCTTTCACAGCCGCGACAGCCCTGTTTGCGACATATTATAAATATTTTGCACAATGTAAAACAAACCTGCAAATTTCGGTTCATGATAAAATAATCGAGCAAAAGTAATCCTCTGCATTTCTCCAGGAGAGAGTTTATCTGCCCAATTAACCTCCTCCCTTTAAAACAAGAATTTATTTATGGGAATGGGTTTATAAAACTATGTGTGGGTATTTGCCAACCTCACAAGCTCATACCAGGGCTGTGGAGTCAAAGGTCACAGCTGAAGTAGAAATTATAAATTCTTCAGAGTCAATTGCTGAAATTTCTGATAGTGATAAATGATGTGAAAACTATTTACAGAAACTGAATAATTATAAGCCGTCCTAACAGAGAATTACATAAGGTACAGGTAATGCGGGCCAAATTTGTTTTCACCGAGTTTGTGAAGTTGAGGTTACACATTTTCAGCCCATAGTAGGGGAAACCAAATTTTTGTCAACCGGGAATCGTTTTTGAATGGGGAATCTGGTGTTATTTTCTCAGTCCCTGCGACCCTTGCTTATTTATACCAATGTCTTTCATTTCAGCCCAAATACCAATATATTTTATCTATACTATATGTACTACCAATACAATATTTTAATACTTTTACCTCTCCTCGACTCCGCCCATTCTAACATATAAATCAGTCAGCCCCACTTCATCCAATATATTCATAATTCTCTCATGATCGATAGACAATGAATAGCCAGAATATCCATCCATACTTGGATATGTCACCTGGGACAAAAATTTACAATTTATTCAGCGAATGGAAGGTTTACAATTGTTCGCTTATTTTGTGTAGCCAGCCAGCCTAGAATTCAGAAGTCATTTGTCAAAAATCAGTTAAAAGTCACTCGGGTGATTTGAAAAATGCAGGTTGCATGCCATTTAACCCCTATGAACATCATGCGAATTATTAATATATCTCTTGCGTAATGCACTAATAAGCTGAAAGTAAATTACCAATTGCTTTATAGTTCCATCTGTACACAGTGGTTTTTGAGGTAAAAACATAACTCCTCTTCTACCGATATCACACAATCTATTAACAGTACCATTTCGCGGTTCCCACAACTTGGATAAAATTCTGAAAAGTGATGTTTTTCCACACCCAGTTTCTCCAGTTACAAGCAAATTTTTACCAGCAGAAATTTTTAGACTAAAATTTTCAAGCAAATCACTGCTGCCATCCGGTGTTGTATAGGTTACCTGAAAGTAATGGATTGAAATTAGAAGCCTGTTTAATGTTAGAATTCCCCGTTCTTGCCCATATTAGAATAGAATGGGATTTATATATTTATCCAGGAGGAGTGGAAAGCCGTCAAGATGGCTTAATAATATGATCAACCACAGCCTCTCGCCCGGTTACCAGTCCATCTCATGCATGGGATTAGTTAGCGGGTTATTAGTTTGAGATGCACGAACCAGCGATTGGTTACGCGAACCACCCTGACCCTACGGCGGTGATGAGTCCTGCAATCCTCTCGCAAATAGTTATCCCCAGAGGAATTTGAATAGACGCAGGGTAATCATAGGTGCGGTGGCATGCATATTCCTACACTCTTTTCAGATTGAAATTCAGCAACATCACAGATTTTTCCATATAACTACAGAATTATCCTTGGGCAAGGGAAAAGCAGAAAAATATTCCTAATCCTATGTAAATGTCACTGGCATCTTACTATCAGATGGATATCAGTTTTGCTAGTCAGATTAATTTGTAACATCATAATGCATAAATCGGAGGAATGCAAATTCTATAAATAACCCCTTGAACATTATCATCTCTGCCTGATTCACATATCTAATTCCCAGAGATGGTTAACAGAGATAAAAAGTGGGATCTTAACACCAGGGTCAATTAAGGATGTAGAATGTCAAACCTGATATTTTTGGGTATGATTTTAGCTTTCAGTTAAATTATTAAATTTTCAACTTACGTTAGTTAACTGAAAACAAATATCATCTTTCTGTGACCTCTCGATAATTTTCTCCAAATCACTAGCATCAGAGTTGTCAGTATATCTAAATAATATTATTTAAAAAAAAATATGTTAGATACATTAAAATGTTGGAAAATTTCAATTACAGATATGTACTATAACAATTTGAATACTGATACTCATTGGACCAAGATTGCGGAAATTTTGGGCAATAACATCATTTTCTTATAAAATCAGCAAGTATTTAAATTTTGGGGACAAATACAACACTCCCATGGTCTATCTAAACCAACAGTAATGTATTGGGTAAGCAAAGCCGAACTGAAAAATTCCAGTCCTACCAAAAATGGTAGCTTCGTATCTAGAAGGGGCTGCTCGGCAGAATCTTGGTCGAAGTGAAATAAATATAAATGTGTAGTATAAAGAAAATACTTACTCAGACTCTTCACTTTCTTGATATCCAATATTTGTGAAAGAATGATATTGATCATCATCTTCCTTATCTGTTTGTTTTTCTACTGAAAATTCATTCTCATCAATTTCTTCAAGTAATTCTCCAAGTCTAAATATAATTCCGAGATATAGAGAACAATTACTGCACATTTTCAGGTCATGAAATAGAGATATATTCCATGATTCAAACCACATTAACTGTTGTAGAAACATTCTCCCATTTACTACACATGAAGAATTTCAGGTTAGACTACCATTGTTACGTCAAAGGAGACATGACCTGAACATCCTCAAAGCATCCTATAACCATACATACAGAAAGTCTGCGTTAATATTATATGTGCGGCATGCAAATACTTAGGTCATATTTGGACTTAGGAAAACAATGGAAAATACACAAGAAATAATTATGTAATTCTGACCTGTGTGTATGCCCAGCAATATCACTCACGACTCTTGACATATCGAAAAGTTGAGAAAAAGAATAAATGAGATATATACAAACGAAGGCATTCTGAAAAAAAAATGAACATTTCATTAATATAAAAACTTATTAATTAGAACTAATAGCAGTATTAAACAGATGGTATAGAATGATAAACAATAAATATATCCTTCATAAAGATTCCTAATAAAAATCCCTCAAGATCTCTCCTCAGAAAGTGTAGTGAATATATTGGCCATGCAAAACTGAATCAATTCTAGTCCCTCCAATCAGGGATGGCCAATTCGAATAAAGTATTCGAATGTATTCAAATATCTCGTCATTCGAATATCGGAATTCAAGTTCATAAGAATATCGGATATTTGTGTGACGTCACACATTTTCGACGCCGCTTTCAAGACGTCTCCGTTGAATGAAAACATTCTCGATAGAAACTTGCGCGTGATTGTTTTTATCACTCATCAGCGCAACGTGTTATTTAGGCCGTGAACGCCTTTACGATTGTGTTATTTTCTCTAAAACGAAAATTTTCCACAAATTTGTTCCACGATAACGATAACAGTTATTTTTTATACGCACACGGAATTGTGAATCTGGTAAATACGTTCATTGGCCGCGAGTTTCCAAAGACAACGCAACTTTTTGGTTGAAAAGCGGCAATTTAAAATACTGAAAATAAAATCGTAAACAATATAAGTTTTAGTGAGGCCCGCGAAAATTTAAAAAACGCTTTTCTATGCAGTGAAAATCGCAAAATTTCGTGTGCCTCTGGGCTCTGGCACACATTATGTTTGGTCGGCGTTTAGAAACATATCGTCGCTAATTGAGGGCGTGATTTGCCTGATTTTTTTATTTTTTTATTTTCGTTTTTTTTTATTCGTTATTTTTTTTTCGTGTTAACACGATACAAGGTTTGAAACGCGACTTTTTCCCGGGTTGTGAGAATGTATATAATATAATTAATCTAAAGTATATTCAATCAATTTTATTGTGATGAAATAAATATTACTCTGAGATAGTGAGATATTACTGCATATTTATGGATTTTTCGAACGGTTTTATCTAAAAATAATCAGAGTGGCAGCATTACGATCGAGCGGAGTCACTGTAAACAAGTACATCTAAATATTTGCCCAATTCGCAAAATACGGATCAAAACAATATTTAATAGGACAGTTTACCTCACGTTTTTATTCTTATAACCGCGGATTGCAATGGTATATAAGAGTGGTGAGGATTTTATTTGTCGACGCAACCGCAGGTTAAATTGAAGACAATTAAATTAATAAAGCAAGACATTTTAAATATGCCGTGTCGGTCACGAATTCATCACTTTGCACAAGCACAACAGAAAAATATATATATATTCGTTGTTATATTATTTGTTGTGAAAGTCGACTCTTTTAACAGGTGGCATAATCGCGGCGATGAATATGTATTTTTAATTCACTGCTAAACTTTTTATGTATATTCATTGTATGAAATGAATTATACTCTACACTTAACAGGATTTTATATAATTATTTGAGATTTTTCTAACGGCGATAAAGAGTGGGCAAGATTGCAAAAATACGTATTAAAATTAAATACATCAGGCAGTTTATCTCGTAATTTTAGGTCACAGATCGCCGTGGACCGAATAGTAACGTTTTTTTTTGACGTAAGAAGAAGCAACCGCGAGTTACGTTGGACATTAAATTATTATATAAAGATATTTTAGAATCACGTAGTTGTCATGGATTGAATATTTTACGTAACAGAATGATCATTATACGCTGAAAAGACGGCTCTTTTAACGAGCGCGAAATCGCGGTGGGTGTTACAGGCGGCAATGGGAATTTCCGATTTCGAAAATCCTGGCTGCGCGCTAGCAGTGGTGGTCATCTATTCTCGACTAATTTATTTTTAATTTCAAATACAACAATATGTTACACATAATAACAATATGGTTCACATAAATTATTATACAAATATACTGGTAGGTAGTAGAATACCTCAGGCTTAAATATTAGAATTTTTAAAGGCATAATGGATTTTCGATTGTTGTTGCCTGTATTGCCAATAAATTTTATTACTCTCAGAAAATATACACAGTTATCTGAATACAAGTAGTATTTTTGTCAATAGACTTGAATATTGTCGTAATATCATGGTACCAATGATAGAAAGCGTCAGACAACTCCTTGGCTATCTTTTCATATGGTCATTTGTACAAAGTGAATAATTTTAATAAACTGACTGTGTCACAAGTTGCTATTATTTTTTATTGATAGCTATAATCTATCAATTACTTTGTGTGCATATACTGTTGGTTTGTGGCTTCATTCTGATATTTCTATTGAAGCTTATTTCCTAATTTACTGGGTTTTAATCAACTAAAACAAAAATGTGTTATTTTCGATTTTAGAATGTATTCGGAATTCCAGATTCGAAAACATTATTTTAGAATGTATTCGGAATAGTTTAGTATTCGGAAATGGCCATCCCTGCCTCCAATGGAACACAAAGTCATAACTTTTATTAAAGGCTCACAGTTTTCTAATGTTTTTACATAAGAAAATCTTCATTTTCATGTAGTTCTCTCAATATATAAATATATCATAAAATAATCATATCTTACTCTACTAATCAAAGCGCTCAATTCTTCAGGAGCAAGATCATCATATTCTCCGCCAAATATTGGTATTGCAATAATAAGATAACTCAGTATTCCACCAACATAATCAAATATATTGACCGATGAATTCAACCAGAATGACCATCCATACAAAGTACGTTGTATGCAGAGTAAAGACTGCAATCTTTGAAAAATGAAAAAGAGAATTGTCATTGAAATTGATGACCCCGTTTTTCTTTCCACATATATCTATGATTTAGCTTTTAAGCCAAATACGAAAAATCTACAAGCTAGAAATTACCATTTTTCATACATAAACATAATATATGATTTTGCTACATTAGAGAAGTATGGATCAAATCAAAATGACTTCTTAATTTTTTTTGTTTTCAGAAATTTGTAAAGAAACACTAAACAGATCTTGGGAATTTCAGGACATGGATTTCTTGAATAAATTCATAAAAAAAGATAAATGCTTATCTTCGACTGAAAGCAGGAAGATTACAGTCATTTCGATTGTTATCAGCCTATCTATAATAAGGCTATTTATATCGAACTTTTTTTCTCAGAGATAGGTTGAACATGCTTAAAGTCATACCTATTATTACTTTTATAATTCTCAATTTGTTCAGCTTGATAAAATGCCATTGATTCAGCATTTACTCTCACTTGCAAATGTTGAAATCTGAAACATTTAATAAAAAAGATTTCAGGTTATTTTTAGACAAATTACAACCTTTTGATGAAGCATGCTGTCAAGGTTAAGCCAATGTGTCAATCATATACATTGCAGATAAAGAATTTTATTTAGAAATCAATTCAATGTCAAAATAAAATTTCAACAATACCAATTTGACAATAAAATTGCATAAATAACATCTGAATTACGAATAAAATGATTTTTCATGAATATTTTTACAATCATGCTATGCTTAATGTGGTTATATACCAACCCAATCATATAGGTATAATCTGTTCATGCAATTAGTGATCAATATAATATCTAAAACAAGATACATTTAACCAACCTGAAGTCTCCTTCATGCTTCTCTCTGGTAATAGTGGTCCTAACAACAGGAGACATAAGAAATCTATTGATAATTGTTCCACAAATAAAATATACATAGATGAATATTGGTCCAAGATAAGTGGTGCTGATAAAGCATTGGTAAGAATAGTATGCAATAGTGAATGGTATAACAAGAAGACGAGACATCAGTGTACTCCATTCTTGACATGACAAATTTACATCACGAACAATTCTTTGATCTCTAAAGCAAGAAGTAAAACATCATGAATTAGCTACTTTTTTAGAAGATTTGATTTCCCAAAAGAAGGGGAATTGAAAATATATAATGCAGAATTGTTATGGTTTTATCCAACCTCAGTTTCAACTTGACAAATGTTTCAGCCGGGCTTAACTTATGGATTGTGCCTACATTTGTTGTCAGCATTCACTCAGCTTTTATTCAAAAATAATCAAATTATAATAACTAAATGCACTTGCTAAATTGCTGTGTAGCGATTTGACTGTAGTCAGCAGACTAACTACTAGGCTACTCCACAGAATTGCAAAAATGCAAATGCGCACTTGTGCAGTTATAACATAAATTCTGAGAGCAAACATAAATCAAAATTGAGAGAATTTACATTTGACCAAATGTGAAATATATCTTCAGAATAAGACTTACATATTATCGAGAGAAGGTTTCAACACATTCAGTTTATAATAGTTGTTTGCAGTAAAGTATCTTGTATGTATATGACTACATAGCATCCCCCTCCATTTTACATATAACAGTTGAGAAAGGTAGGTCACAGTACTCTTCATCTAAAAAACACAAAAATTTTACATATTACTACTGTTATAATCGATGTACTACTACTGCCATTTCTTATTCAGAATAATATGCTTCCCTAATGCCACCGAAGAAGACAGGATAATTCCATATCTTTGTCCTGTCATATTGTCAAGTGTACTCGCATTGTAAAGCAACATATGTGACTTATACATTCCAATATCTGGGAATCCTAGAGCCAATTACCAGTCTTACAATAAAACGTCAAGTTAACATGACAATAGCATCAAATCTTTCTGGACGGTGAAGAATAGTTGCTAAAAATATAATATTGTAGCATATTTTTAAAATTAAGGTGATATGTCTTCAGCAAAAATTGGGTTTTTATTGCACATTTTTCTAACAAGCCTGCGTATTGTTTAATCAAATAAAAATGAACCAAATATGTAGAACTCATATTATACACTATATAATCCCGGTATAGACGAATAATGCTGAAAGAATTTATTCCAATGGAAACCAAAAATGCAAAACATTTCTTAGAAAAGAATATTTTCAAAACAACAGATTATTATCAAAATTACGGACTTCCATAACATTTGACTTTATAAACTATAACTTTTCAGCATCATGGCTTTTTTGACAAAACTCTGAAATACAAAATATTTGCAAGGCATATTCTATAATATTAGAAAATTCAGATATAACATTACTAGCACGGATTGCAGGCCACAAATGTAAGAATTCTGTAGTAGGGAAAGAACATACCAAAGCGTTGATGATAATAATTTCCATTGAATAGATTGCAACACTTTTGAAGGCATCTTGGTCTTTAGCACCAAGAACTTCAAAATACATTGATGGTACAAGACCAGCTTCATAGATGATAACTTGCACTAAAATATCAAGAAAATAACCATTCATTAATAATATAGAAATCATGAATCAAACAAACAAGATAGTGAAGTTGTTTTCGATGTTGATAAGATGTATATTTTACTCAAATTAATTGAAACAAAGGCACGTTGATTGCCATTACATTAATGAATGGATACAATACAATTAACTTGAAAGACCTACAGCTCTAGTGCTATGCCCGCATCCCCACACCACTAAACAATTACTGTATATTAAAAAAGCTGACCCTAGCCAGAGAGGCTTCTCACAAAAACTGAATTTAAGTCTGAATAGAATACCAAATGTAGATGAAAAAATTTGTCTTATCTACTTACATGCCATTGACAAGACAAACAGAAAAATAAACATGATTGATGAAGCTGATTTGATATTATCAAACATGATACCGAATAGTCTCCACTGACGTTTGAAAAACAGAATCCCAAAGTTTGATCTATTGGAAGCCATGTTTATATTGGAATAATTAGAGACTAAAAAATATCCACAATAAAAAGTATGATTATGTTCATTCTAGTGAGTACACAAAAGCATGAATTTTATGAAAGTAAATTATGAGCATCCTAGAGATGACAATGTATCACACCAAATAAGCAAGTTGATGACATCAATTGATTATTTAGATGTTTTGTCCACCACACAATATTCTTTATATTGCGTAACAGAGACAGTGAACACAACATCCTTAATAACAAGCACATCTACTTTTAGGTTTCAGTTGAATGTTACCAAGAGTAGGGTTGCCATCTCGTCCGGGAAATTCCGGAATTTAGGGTAAATTTTGCGTCGGGGAAGAATTTAAAAAATGCTCAAATGTCCGTGATCCGGAATTTGACTGCATCTGCAATCATACTGTGCACACTGCTAATACAGTACATTGTTATTTCGTACCGTGCGCATATTTTTTACTACGAGGTCATGAAAATAGTCATGCACTGTCCGGAATTTTGTTTTTTCAAATATGGTGACCCTAACCAAGAGTGCCTAATGTGGTTCAATTCTGTTGTTTTCATGAAAACACAATACAAACAATACATATTTAAAATTTTCCACACTAAGGCATTTTCATAAGCACCATGGTACAATGAGGCATGGGGCTAGGTCATATCTGAGACTTGACTATTCCTATATATCAGTGGTTTTCAAACGATGGGGCGTGCCGCACAAGGGGGGGGGGGGATGGGAGAGTAGAAGAGTTTTTTATGGGGCGTGAAGATAATTAAAAATAAAAATATTTGTTAGATTTAATCTTGTCCACCTGATTTTGGATATTTACATTCCTGTTTTTGGGATATTTGAGTTCCATCCACATATTTTCAATCAATCAAATCGTTTTTTCAACGTGTTTTTTGAATAAAACATACTTTCTCCTTACTATTAGCTAGTTATTTTTGAGGTGGGATGCGAGATTTAGCAAATTCTAAAATGAGGACACAGCTTGAAAAGTTTGAGAACCACTGCTATATATAGCAATTTTAAATTCATTCAGTATTACTGTAAATCTGGGTGCATTTTCCACATTTCTAATTCTAAATTCGAATTTCTAGATTAGAAAGAACAGTTACACCAATAAGATCATTGACTCAAATACCATACAAGCTTTATTTATTTATTTATCTAGAGACTCTTTCTGTGAAAGAGCTTTTAATAAATTTTGATGTGGTTTTTCCAAGTTTTGTATAGAATTCAACCTGTCTGAAGTACAGTCAAGATTTTCAATTTGTTTCTTCAAAATTTCCAGGGCTTCTTGAATTGTTAATTCAGTTTCATTTTCTCTTTCTTTAATTCCGTCTAAAAATATCTTCATCACTTTCTGTTTTCTCTCTTCTCTTTCCTCAATTATAGCCTGGTATAATCGCCAAACTTGAGGATGTTGTTTATATTTTGGAGAAACCATTTTCAAGAATTCATCATATTCCAGAAAAGGAAGCGCATCATTCAAAATAGCAGTCAGGCCATCCATCAATAAATGCAGCTAGGAATACTGTGAGATAATGTAAAAGATTTAAAGAAGAAACACGCCTAGGTAGTGAGAATAATGCATTAAATCACAGAAAGTCCTGACATACGCATCCCATTGCCAATTATTTTCTACACAAAGAAAGTCTTTGCAGTAACGAAATTATGACTCCACAGCCCTGACATAAATAACTGAATAAAGATACATCTAGTAATTTCCATGGAATCTAAAAATTTCAATAATTCCAATAGCTTTCAAGCTTCGACTGAATGCTGCAGTAGCAATACATAAAATTGCAAAATCGCGCAAGGCTCACGCGCCGCGCACAAAGTAGAAATGAAGTCGCCAGGGGTTTTGCGCCGGTTTTTAAAGTAGAGTCAGTGAATGTATCAAAGCAGAGGTCAAAATGAACTATATTTTACAGTCAGGGAGCGCTGAACCGAATCACAGTGGTTTTACAGTTGAAAAGCATTTTGACGTCGGTTGTGGCGAGATCAATTTCTCTCATGACATTTTTGAACTGTACCGGTCATTGCCAACTACTCAAAAATTACTGTAATATCAAAAAGTAATGGAAGATCAAAATGAAGAATTACTGAGAGAATCTGCTTGTATTGGTAATTTAGATGAGATAGATAATCTGCTGTCGGCGGGCGTTGACATAAATTCGAAAAATGGAGTGAATGGATGGACAGCACTACACTGGGCATCGAAACGAGGTCATCTTCAGGCCGTGAAAAAGCTGATGGATTGTGGGGCAGATAAAACAATACAAAACGGAGACGGGCAAATTCCAGCAGACTTGACATCAAATAACAGTGTCAGAGCAGTTTTAGGAGCACCCCCAGTAGAAGGCAGAGACAGTAATAACGAGAAATCATCATTTAAACCAAATTATCTAGCTAATCCAGAATTCTTGTACACAAAATCAAATCATGTCGATATAAGTGATGCATCAAAAGATACTCACCTCGGTCACCAAGGCTTTATATTTCAGCCTTCTCACGTTACCTGCACAGTTGGAACCCAATGGTCACCAGCAGGACTAGTAATTAACCCGGATTATATCATTCTCTGTGTCCGACTGGCAAACATGCTGAAAAGCAATAGTGATTTCACAGAGGTTGCTATAGATCGAAAGGCTGCTCCCTCTTTGGAAAAGCTAACAGAGATTTTATGTGACAGCATAGACCTGGGAATAAAACCGGAACATGTCCATAAGATCAGAAAATTACCTCACACCGTGCTGAGGAGTGATAAAGACGTTTTGAGACTGACAGACTATCAAACTTTGGAGGTAGTCTTGCAGCCACATATACTACATCCTATCGATGGTGCAATTGTTGCAAGCGAGAGTGCCTTCGGTCAACAACCAGATACAAAATATTTAAAAGAACAAGTTTCAAAACTTGTGTATTAGTAACTGATCTCATTTTTTATAATGAGATATACTGGTACTTCCAACTAATCAAGTGAACTAACATCAGCAAAATTTATTTATTTTAAATGTCACATCAATCAAAACCAATAAATGGTTTTGAGTACGAACATGTTAATGTTGCATAAATTTATACGAGTAGTGGATTTTGGGGCTCGTTAGTTACTTAAATAAAGTGTTACACAAGGTATGAGCGAGACCCATCGAAAATGCTCAAAATCTAGTGACTGCACATTACTAAATTAAGGCAGATTTTTTTTATATTTCTTAGCAGTTCATTTCTTGCCTGACCCGTCAGATGCATTATTCTGAATGCTTATGATGAATAGTCAAACCAAAATATTGTAAATTTTTCTTAAAATGACTTGTTGAAAATTTCAATTATACTGTTTTGTCCTGTTCGATCAGCGGTCTCAAAGTAAAATAATATCCCATGTATCACTCTCATCAGATGCAGATTCTGGACGATCCTCTCTCACATCCACGGTACTTGTAAGTCACCTTGCTGTCACATTCCTCATTGAATGCTATTTATGTTTCATCCTTCGGTTCAAACTCTTCACTTCCTATTACAATTATTGAATTATCCATTGCAGCAAGAAGGCTGACTTCTTCAGGATGATGGCTGATTGAATGTACTACTCTGTTTTCTTTTAACTTTATTTTGTGTTGAATTTTCGCTTCAATCAAATCCCAAATATAAATGAATCCATCTTCAGATCCGCTGATCACATGATCGTCTTTAGCATTCAATCCGCATTCTATCATGTATTTGCTATTTTTATGTCCAGTATATTCTCCTGTGTATTAAAAGCAATTCTTCAATTACTAAATTCATATAAATTTAAAATGCTGTAGCTTGTGTTTGACTTACATAAACACCCAGAGGATCAGCAATTATTAATTTAGCTATTAATCTCGATATTCGGGTCCCAGTTTGTCTGATACTTTACAAATATTGTGAAAAGTGATTGTTGCAACAGTAATTACAGTTCGATACGGGACTTGGAACTAGTGCCCCCATCTAACCGAGAGTGTGATGAATTGGGCAGGCAATGCAGATCCAGGCAGATTCCAGTAATATTCATGGCTGACAGTATAGATAGAGACTTGGTTAGAGCAAAAGATGCTGTATAAAATGAAACAGGAGTATTCCACAAAATAAGAGATATTAAATAAGAATGATTATATTGTGCAGCACATGTTCACTTTGTAGGTATACTGTTGGTGTTACTATCAAGTATTATTAATGGACAATTTGCTTTCAATGCCTATGGAATGAAATTTTGCCTGTGATGTGAAAACAGTATTTTCAATTTTGGAACATATGGCACATTGTGTTGCAAACTGTTAAATTATCTGCCCCCTCTGCTGAAAAAAAACTTTTAAAATAGAAAATTCAACAATTAAGGACTATTAATCACACCAAGATCACTTTTGTACAAACCTAACATTTCTCCTGAATCAACATCCAACAATCTGATTGTGTGGTCATGACTTGAGGCTAAAACACATTGAGAATCTTTAGTGTAAACAGCATAAGTAATAGCTGATCCGATGAAATCAGAAAACATTTTTCCAGTTCTTAAATCATATCTTCGAACCTTCCCATCGACAGAACTTGACAGTATTTCATGATCATTCACCTGAGTTAGAAGCATGAGAGTCTTAACAAAAATTCAAATGTGATTCGACAGAGAGTTTGATGATTCAGAGTGATTTGACAGCCAAACACTTCTTTATTGAGCCACAGTTTAACAATCTCACTAAACTGTTATTTTTCATTTAACAAGTAACGAAATATTTCCACAGGAACGTTGCTAGGTATTTAAAAGGGGGAGGTTCTAAAATTTATAATTGCCAAGTTAGACCGTAACAGCTAGCAGGTTTTTCTGGAAAACGTGGGTTTTCAAGAGTCTTGAGTCTAAAAAGCGTTTCAAACTACAAAAAATTTCTATGTTCGATACAGAAAATTTCTTTTTTGTATATTTCGAAAGAGAGGTAACGTTTCAAATCCTGGGTACGCCCTGTATATTAATTTCATGCATTAGTAGGAATCTAAAAACTGACGACCTGTAAAGATGTAATGCTGTCTTTTGCTTCATCCATAATTTGGTAAGGAGTTGGTTTGCGTGATCTACAATCCCACGCTCGAATTGAAGAATCTACAGAACCAGAAAGTATGGTGGTCGACTCTTCATTAAATTGAACACAATTCACTTTTCCGACATGCCCTCTGTATCGTCGCATAATCTATAACAGTGTGAAAAATGAGTTTTATTGAGATTTCTTTAAATTGAGCCAAAAGAGTATCCAGTGAAACTGAGAGTTTGAAAAACCAACACTTTCAGCCTTGATAAATAATGATTCAAAGTTTAATTTGCAAAGACAGTATAATTGAAAACTCATCACTTTTTTGATCATCAAAATAATCCAAAAAGTACAAACGATGTGCGAAATTACCAGACAGTGAGCTTGGCTTGGAACAAATTTTAAAATGTATTAGTATGCACCCACCAATCAAGACAATGGAAATACACAGAAGAAAAACCAAGCCGTTGAGCAATCATCTTGTTTAGCACAGCAATTTGTATTACTTCTAATTGCAATGGATTGCTGCTATGAGAATTAATTTACCTGACCACTTCCAACATCCCAGTATATAACAGTTTTATCAGTACCACCAGATGCAAGTTGTGCATTGTCACATGATCCACATGCATCTAAAACATCTGAACCATGACCAGTGTATTTCTTTATTAATAATTCTTTGTTAGGATTCCATAATTTAATGGTCTTGTCACTTCCACATGTTATACAGTAATTTCCATCAGCTGAAAGTAAAATATAGTTGGCTGAAGATGCTACAAACATTTGAAGCTAGGCACTGGCTAATTGAGGGTGATGAATTTTTTAGCACACATAGATATTAGTGCTGTACAATGCGAATGCAATAACAACCACATTAAACCCCATATTTACAATCAATCATACAACCTCGAATGTCTATAGCCTATTCTCATTCTAGAATCAAAACAAACTCGCCCAGTTGCTGAACAGAGAATAAATGAATCTTTCTTGTAACAACGATTTTTGATCCCTATAATTCATTTGGTAGATAGATAGATAGATAGTTTATTTCGAAAACTCCATAATAAACCTAAATTTAAAATGGAGAATTCTGGAGGGCAAGCAAAACCTACAAAAAAGTTTAAAACATGAAGTATCTCATGTGCCTGCCCACCAGCACGCACACAAAAACACAAGCCCAATTAAATGAGGCTTGGGCCAAACTTAAAAAACAAAATACACGATAGTAATAAACTTTCGGGCTGCAACAATTAAAGGAGTAAAAAATACACACCATTATATCTCACAGCACGGACTGCTCCTTGTCCGCAATCAATACTCGAAAATATTTTTGTTGCAACATTCTGCGCCATGCGTTACTCCACTTTGACAACAAACTACCTTTGTAGTGCTAACGTTAATATTATATAATCTCATATATTCTATGATATTAAAAAACGTAGTTATAAATCTTGACCAATACAGGAGACACCCACTTTATCCCAACAAAAACGTTTTGACAAAAATTTACAAATTGTACGAAAATGGACAGGAATTCATGAAAAGATATCGCAATGGAAGGATGGCCCACGCTCGGGTATCGACAAGTTTCATGATTGTATGGTATTTACACGCTGTGCGAAACTACACTAATTGAATTCAGCGCTGACATGAAGATTTTTGAAATTGCAAAGCTATGGACCTTTCCCCGAGCATAGACTTCCTTGTTTACTTCGTGACATTGGCCAATCAGCAAGATGCAAAAAGTGACGTAACAATGCCCCCTTTTCGCATCCGCTCAGACACTTTTCTCACTCAGACAGATTTTCAAGCGTGGTTATAAACATTACCTCGTTTTCGCGTTTCTGAACTTTATTCGTTAGTTTTCAGTTGTGTTTCGGAAACTCAAATATAAATCCGATAATTCAATGATCACTCTGTCTTCCTAGGAGTTTCAATTTAATTGCAGTAATAAAAATTAGTGTAGAAATAGCTGTGATAGACTAGCCTGAAATTCTTTACCGGTACTTTTAAAAAACAGATTGTTGTATGCGATGAATCATAAGGATGGTTTGAAACACATACCCCATTTTACAGGCGCCAACTCGCAAAAGCACTCCTAAAATAGCCCCGAAAATTTTGCAATGGTAAAGTATAGGAAGAATTTTCCGGGGGTCAAAGGTCGGGGAAAGGTCCATTCACATGTATTCAATATAGTTTGCGTTTGTTGGGACTATCGAGTGTCATGTAATTTTTATTAATAGTTGATAAATATTACATATAGTTTAATAAATATATAATATTTGGGTTAGAATTTTTTAAAACATTTCTTAAACTATTTTCATTTTAATCAAAACTGCGATTACTGATCGGCACGCGTGACTGATTTTCAAAATAAATCGTTACGGCGAGTACTGTTGTTGCAGTTGGCCAAACAAAACAGCGGTGGTTTCAAAAAGCTTTTTGTTGCTACTGATCGTGTTGCTTTGTTTATCGGATAAAGCAATTGTGTATCGATTTGAGAATTCGTTGTTTAGGAGACTTTTATTTGTAGGACACGCTGACAGCTAAAAGATTTCCTCTAAATTACAAAATCGCAGTAGAAAAACTGTAATACCAGAATACAGAATGGTGCTGTAATGGGAAATTTGTGATTCCATTTAACTGTGTATGTGGCATATTTTTAGAAAAAGTTGTGTGACTGGTTTTGGTGTGCGTTATTTAGATCTATGCTAGTTGATTACCAGTATTTTTGTTTAAATTAATCTTTTTGGATTGCACGGCTTAATATGCATTTTTTTTATCTTTTGAAGTTCAATTTCCGAATATTCAGAAATTGCCTTGCAATATTCTGATAGGCCTACCTTGTTTCCCCGAAAATAAGACCTAACCTAAATTTGTAAATTCTAAATATTTGTATATTCAAAATTATCGTAATTTTGTTTTTGATAAATCAAAATAAAACACATCCCCCCAAAATAAGCACTGGTGGTATTTTCCAAAAGAAAATTGAAATAAGATCCTGTCGGGGCCCCCATGGGATAACTCGAAATACTCGGAGATTATTAATATGCAGACAATATTTCCATATTTAGAAAAAAAATTCCCTTAAAAAACTTATGATTCCACTGCTGCACTGCAGAAAAACCCAATGCAAACTTATTATGACTAGAAAATAGTCATTTCAGAATATCCGTATTCTCGAAACAAGCATTCTTCAGTAATTTGAAAGCAGTTGAAATGAAATAATGAAATAATCTTTGTTTAGTTTTGCTGATCATACCTAAGTGTGAGTCATTATTTATGTTTGCTGGTTTATTGATAATATTTTAATAAATACTCATACTTAATATTTCTTAATATCATATTCTCTAATATAAATTTGTGAATAATGTTTCAGATCGTCCATCCTGCCCAATGCTAGGTGTATTTCTCAACTTTCTTTGCTAAGATGAAAAAGACTACATAATTCCTTGCTTTAAACAATCTGACTATTGGACTAAATTTGAAATAAAAAAAATGCCAAGTCGTCGCCAAAGATTTGTGGACTCTTCCTCTTCTGAAAACTCTCCTCTACAGAATCCATCTAGGAGAAGATTACCATCTCCTCCTGCTGGGATTCTGCGTGGATCAAGACATGTCACAATCATGGATCCATTATCTATTACAAGAAGAGTTGATAGAATAGCGGACAACTTAGAAGATACATCAAGGAATTTAGAAAGCATGGATTCCAGACTTTCAGACTTCAAAGATGTTCATGATGATTCTATGTCGGCTTTATCCAAGGTAAGAAGATTAGTTAATTATTTTGTTTCAGTTATTTTAATATCTTTTTTACTGATATTGTTCAAAAATTATCAAGTTAGTTCTTGGAAAGAAGAACTCAATTTGGCTTACTCGGGAATTGAAATTTGGACCTTATTAATTTTTTTATTTCAACCCTGTCAATATCATTTTTGAAAAATGTGAAGAATTCTACGCTTGAATTATTTACCTCGCCAAATATAATTTTTTATTTTGCAGTTAAAAAATGACCTGGAAGGATCAATAAACAAATTAAGATATGAAAGAGAAAAGAGAGCAGCAGCTCGTGAAACAAGAAGTCTTCATCAAAGTGATTTTACTTCTTGTAAGTTTTGAAATAATTTTGGATATTTTCACCAGTGTTATGCGGCACATGAGTAGATGGTGACAGGTTGTTATTGTTGATTCCATTACCGGATATCAATTCATACTTGATTATGATTTGTTTGTTTATTATTAAACAGACTATGCCACATTAACAGTCTTTTTTAATAATAATTTTGTTATTCTTTGCAGCAAGGGGAACACGACCTAGACCAGCGAGTAGTCTTGGCTTTGAAAGAACATCTAGAACAACAGCTGGACCATCAGATCATCTCAATGAATCGGTAAGATGTAAAATAATCTTGTCTTGTTAGCTCGTAGAAAGGGATAGCTATTAGGGATGGGCCGGGATTCGGATTCGAGTCGAATCTAGGCATTTTTTGGACTCGGATTCGATTTCGAGTCCACGTCATTTTTACCGAGTCCATAATCAATTCTGTTTTTACTAATTTACGCCTATGTTTGTACTTTTGCCCCTATAAATTCTACTACATAGCCTACCTTAACTAGTTAAAATTCAAGGTTAGATCTGTAACACTATCCCTCGTGTGCATTATAAAAACTCCTAATAAAACGACGACAGATATCCAGATAATATAACGCAAGTTAAAAACTATTGATTGCTTATAACAATGATGTTGCGCCAGTCGCCTTCAAACTATCTATCCTTTCTGGTATACATGTGGTACATAATAAAATATGTGTAAGTGTTATTGCAATATTTTCAAGTTTTTGATTCGCGTAAAAATGAAACATGCTCTGGATCAACCCAATGTGGAATCTCATCAATACCTCCTTCAAATCAAGTTTATTGCGTGCAATCCTTTCGCTAAAATGGCAATGGAAAGCATGGAGAGTTTTAGAACGTTTACATGAACTTACTAAATTGCAAGCAGATGTACCACATTATATTGACGACGAGTGGCATGGCACATGACATAGTAAATTTACGGCTAGAAATATCTGGAATTATGGGAAAGCATAGTAGTCGAAAGCTTTTTATTTTTTTCATATTGACATGTAAGAATTTCTGAATAGCCGCCCAGAATTGATGCAAGGTGGGCTGGAAATCAAAGTCACAGCCAAGGCGCACATTGACCCGCATTTACGTTTATATTATGGCCGCCAAAAAAGAGAAAAAATATATATTTAAAACGATTCAACAGCTATCTGCAGAACCACTAGGCAAAAAATATGAGCTACGACGTATGCTTGTGAGCGCACGATGCTGTTGCATGGTCAAAAACACGTTTTTCTGCTTTTCCACTATGACGTCACGGACTCGGCAGATTCGATTCAAGTCCTTGACCTATTACTCGGATTCGTCGAATCTCTGTAATGCCGGACTCGTCCCATCCCTAATAGCTATATATGACTCACTCAGTTTGGGTGAGGGCCTTCATGTCGCAGTTTGTGCAGCAAAGGCATACATTGCTTAAACTGAACCTATAATCATTGAAGATTTTAATCAATGACAAACAAAGCCCCTATTCAGGAAAACTTTTAAACTTTTGTCGCAAAAATCCTTAGCCCAAATCAGAAAGAAATATGGTCAGTAGTCAAAGAACCCACTTTTGCTGCTTGAACTACCTTTATGCCATTGTATGATGCTTCCTCCTGCTTTTTAAATAAGTATTACAACATTTTCCAGAAAAAGGACTTGTTTGATTATGTCATTCTCCAGTCATATAATAATGTTATCATTAAGCTTTAATTTTTTCTATAAATTTCAAAATCGATACTTCCAGGTTCGAGATTTGAGAGGAAGAGTGTCAGAATTGGTTGCAAACCAATCAAGAATGGATGATGAATTACAATATCGGTAATTATTTGTGAAGTTAGCTCATTTTTACCTTGACTGTTGTTTCTGATGATTTTTATACTATATGCTTTCAAATTATAAACATTTTCCCCTGCACTAAGTTTACTACTTTGCTTTTAACCCTAAATATCTTCAAAAATTTTATTATGATTTTATCAATATTCTACACAGTTCTGAATTGGGATCGCGAAAAGCATTAAAAGAAGTTAATGGAAATGGACTCGGTGATTCAGCAGCAGATCGTGTTGAACGTAGATTAAAACAATTAGAAAATGAGTTGGTCAGTGAAAGAGAGAATGCAGCTCGATTTGCTACTGATGCAACACGGGATCTTTTAAGAAAAAGTCAAGCAAAGTATGCTTTTCTTCTTTGTTGTTTACCTGTTTTGCTTTATTGTTGTCATCCTTGCTTTTCACTGATCTAAATTTGTTGAAAGGGTATTCTCGTAGTATGTGTGCCAGGTTAGGGTGAGGGCAAAATTTTATTCCCATTTTCCGTATTTTAGTTCTATTACAAGTTCGGGGACTGTGTGTTAGCAAAGTGAATATACCCCCTGCTCATAGGTTTCCGTCTCTTATCAAAACTTGATGTAAAATAGGCGAACAAATTTAGTTACCTTCATATTGGTATACACACTTCTGGAGCGCCGTTAAAGAAGGTCTTAATGTTTACTGTCTGATATCTATGCATGAGATACCATTTTCTTGGCAGGTAATTATTATTATGTAATTATGTTATTCATATTCTAATTTATCATAATTCTGGATATGTTTATTCTGAAATGTCATCGCTTTTTTGTCGTATTGCAAAATTTTTGTGTCATTTATCAACTCTTAAACTCTTAAAAATGAGAATTACATGGAAAAAATACAATTTAGGAATCAAGATGATGAAGTTGTTCTTCGCAACCAACTGTTACAAGCTGAAGCAGGGAAGAGAGCAATGGAAACTGATATGGATTCAATGAGAAGAAGATTAGAGCAATCAGAAGGAGGACGAGAAGCATTGATGGGACAGATTGGTATGTAGAATAGGGGTCTGAAACCTATGGGCAGGGGGTATATTCACTTGGCTAACACAGACAGTCTGAACTCTCAATATACCTAAAATAAGGAAAATTGATTAATCCTAACCTGGTACACACACTGCGGGAGTACCGAATATATAGCAAGCAAGCAAGTAGGTTGAAAGATAAGCCAATATCTCAATCTTTTGGGAAATCATGATATTATGCCACAATTTAAGGACTGAAATTACGAAAATCACCTATGATTTTCTATGGCACCTGATGCAGAGCCCGATATAGGCTCTGAGACATTGAATATTCTGAAATTTTATTAGTAGATTCCCTATATTTCAACATGCTTTACTGAATCTTTTAACAGTATACAGAGTATACAGATGTGTTTTATATTTATGTTTAGAATGGTATGCGATGTCTATACTTCCCAAAATAATAACAGCTAACAATGTTGTTGTGACCACTGAAAGATTTTATGTTTATCTGTTTCAGCTGACCTTCGAAACCAAATTGCTAAGTCAGAGAAAAGCAAATTGGATTTAGAACAACAAGTTCGTGAACAACTTACAGCGCAACAAGTATTAAGAGAGAAAGAAGCTGATGAAAGAAGACTATTAGCTTGTAAGTGAATAACAGATGGAAGGCAAATTGTTATGATTTTTTTCTGGTTTAAAACAAATACAAAATAGGATAGGATTTTCATATTTATCCGGAAGTAGAGAAAAGTTGATAAGACAGCTTAATTATATGGCAAGCCTTCCGGTTACTAGTCATTATTGGGTATGGGAACAGTTGACCGGTTACCGGTATTTGTTTTAGATGCAAGGACCTGTTAGTGGAGGAAACTGTAACCAACCAGCTGTAACGTGAGCCTACCCATGACGCAGTGAGTCCAGTAATCCGCACGCACATAATTAGCCCCGACAGTATTCGAACCCAAGCACAGTAATCAGAGGCAAACATACTTCAACACATAATGTGCCACACCAACAAGCTGAACTTATCTGAATTCTGTCAGTATTGTACAATATCGTATAGAGTGGCGAGAGGCCCTTAATAATATTTTCCATAGTGTATTCCTATTATGATAAAAGGTTTTGACAAGGAAATAAACAATGTTGTTCTCTGTCAAGCTGTTATAAAACGAATAATTATACCTGTAATCTTCCTATATTATTGGCTGTTGTAAAATACTGTATAATTTGGTAAGGATTTCTATTTGCAATCAACAGCATCACAAAGATATAATGATGAGAAACGAAAACAAGAAGAAGAAATTGCAGATTTAAGATCTGCTTTGAAACATTCTGTTGGTGTTGTGCAATTGGATGAAATGAGGAAAAATCTAGAGAAAAGTGAAAGACAAAGACAGCAATTGTCTGATCATATTGAAGTAAGTTTTATTTCAATTTATATTGTTGTATGAATATCTACTGAATCTATTTTATTGCTTGTCTAAGTGAGGATTCAAGCCTATCACTTAATAATAAGAAATATGGTATCATTGATTGATAATAAGCTTCTTTTTCCTGTCACAACTGCTTTGTTTGAGTTGTTTGCTAGATTTTACTGACAGAGGCATTAGTTCAAATAGGATTTCAAATTATTCTTGTTCTAGAAACAATGTTATTCAAGAAATATGCTTTTTATGCCTTAGATTAGACTAATTATGCGATAAAGTTCTCAATGGTTAATATCACTGGGATTTTGATATTTTACCAAATTTATTGCAGGTTTTAACTAAAGATTTAGAGAAGAAGGATCAATCTCAAGCTAGAATATTAAATCAATTACATGAAACACAGCGGACTGTTCAAGATACTGAACGAGATAGAGAAAAATTATCTACTCAACTTGAAGATGCTCTCCTGAAGCTTCAAGACTATGGAAGGTAATCAAAATCATCTCTGTTCTCTTTTGATTTTAGGTTTTCTTGTTCTCGTTAAATTGTGTTTTGCTTGAACAATGATTCGTTCGGTAAGTCTATGAATAAATGGTCTATCCATATCTATACAGTGGTGCTGTGGCGCAGATTAAAAATCTTTAGTTCAAATCCCATGTCCATCTCCAAACCCAGGGCAAAATAAGTTTGAAATTGGAAAGATCCTTGTCCTCCTAAAATATTAGCTCCTTATCTTGAAGTGTCTGCGCTTGTACAGTCATCTTACGAGTGAAATGCATATAGAAAAAGGATGTATTAACAAATACTCTCCTGAACTAACAAACATTGTACTCAATTCCAGATTTTGGAACCACAACCATAGCACCAGACTCACCAGACTCTCTTGTTCAAAACGCATGTTACCATATTTGTAATGAATTGAGAATATTGTATTTCAATATAGCTAATTGCTATGTATCAGAGACTGGAATAAAAATTCTGTTAATGATTTATACACTTATACATTTTAAATTTAAAGTTTCAAAAATATTTAATGCTTTCAATTTTGGCAAAATGGAAACAAAAGTGAATGCTATTGAAAAAAATCTCAATTATCTAAGGACCAGTGTGACCATTTTGAATATTTTTCCGCTTTAGTTCAAGTTTCTTATAAAACATGTTTTGAATTACAGAGATACAGAGAAGTATATGAATGAATTGAAAAAAGTTGAACGTAAACAAAAGTGAATGCTATTGAAAAAAATCTCAATTATCTAAGGACCAGTGTGACCATTTTGAATATTTTTCCGCTTTAGTTCAAGTTTCTTATAAAACATGTTTTGAATTACAGAGATACAGAGAAGTATATGAATGAATTGAAAAAAGTTGAACGTCTCCATGACGATGCCGAAAAAGAAAAAGATGAATTAAGAAATCAAGCCCAAGATACTTTTAGACAGTATGTTTGTTATTTTCTACAAAATTGCTTGTACTACTTTTACTTTAGAATAGTTATTATAGAGGGTGATGGTAATTGAAAAACAGATAATCACACATGCAAACCAACGGAAACAGTTTGGGACTAGCTATTGTGGCCATTTGAGTCAAATTTAACAGTTGCTGGTATGTTTAGTCTGGAACCTGAATCATGCTCGTCATAGTTTTTATTTTGATTTTGTTGCCAGTTTTCAAGCATTTGCTACCTACTCTGTCTTTTTCTTTCATCAATCAGGATGAATTAGAAAATTGTTTTGCTTTAAATGTTTTTATTCTCAACCAGTACCATCCGAATTGATGCCAGCTGGATATTGGAAATTAAAAATAGTCACATGAAAATTTGAAAAACGCAGTGTAAAAATCTACCTTATCCCCATTGGTGTCATTGTTCATCGCATGTCAACGTATAAATAAATTCGAAATAATCTTTCTGATTCAGGTGGAAGGCAAAATGTAAGAAATTGGAAAAAGAAAACGAAAGGCTGCATGACAATGTGGAACAACAAGTTTCTAAAAATGAAGAATTGGTCAAGGAAAATCAGACGACTAAATCACAAATGAATGCAGGTAAATTGATGGTTTTTTTAATATTTTTAATGATTTATACTTACTCTATAGTGGCTGCTACTTTTATATTTATAAGTAGTTTCTAGGCTTCAATAAAATAAGGTAGACACCTTGACTTAGCCAGATTTTTAGACCTTGATGAAGTGGTGGACATGGCTTTGACAATGGATTAGCAGTGTTTCAAATCCGAGGTCTTTAACTTCTACTAATTTATCATTTCCTGCAACGGAATCATTTATTTATGCATTTTTCGATGAAAATCATGGTTATATAATATATATAATCCTTTCTTATAAAACTAAAATAAATTCTGAAAATTAATGATGATGATTGGATTGGTGCATTTCCATTTCATTCATTTGTTATCATTTTATATTCGATTTAAAGCATAGTATTATTGTCTAGAATGAAGCTTTGTGTGTGTCTACCTGTTGTTCATGACTGATTTGATAACACTGATATGTTACTTTTTACTTAACTTAGTGTTGTTATTTTTTCAGTTTACCAACAAAATGAAGCTTTGAGGAAGGAAATGGATGATTTAATTGTAAGTTTTAAATGCTTACTTTTTTTGTATAACTTTTATCTGTATAACTGATTACTGAATGGCTTTTTTCTTTTTGAAAGTTTCAATTTTTACCGTAGAATTCAATATTAGTTTATTTTTTTTCAAATTTATTCAGATATTATTTTCGTCAATTTATGAATAATTCTTTCATTTTTATTGTCTAATTTTTGCTGAACTTTTCTAACAATTCTCATTTATATTTCACTAAAAACTGAATTACTTTTTCAGTCAAAACGAGCTGATTTGGAAGAGAGGTTGCAACGCAGAGACACTGAGATCTCCAAATCTGATGACGAAATGAGAGAAATGAATAAAAAAATAGAAGAATCAAATCAAATCATTGCAAGTTTAGAAGATGAAGTTAGACAAAGAAATGATAGGTTGATATTACTATTTACTATTTATTCACAATTTTTATTTGGAAATCACTTAAATAGTTTTTGAGATGATTTGATTAACATATTTATTCAGGGTGGTCGCTAGTAAAGCAGAAAGTTTGAAGGTCAAATGAGATCACGAATAAGACGTGTGCTTACTCATTTCTTTTTTGATACGTTTTTATTTCTTCTAGGTTGTTTTAGGTTGATACCTTTTAGTTTCTATTTTGATTTCTATTTTGACACCCACATCATGGAAAAAGGCAGGAAACAACTTTGTAAAAGGTATTTTTTGTAAAAATAAGTAGCGGTTTGGCGAATTTTCTGTTTTTCTAGCGACCAACCTGTATATTTTCATTTCACATGTTTTCAATTGAACGCATTCTATAATCTTAAATTATTTTAAGTCTTTTTATTCCAATAACAGAATCGCAGTTATAAAAGAAGATCTTCGAAGATCTCAAGAAGAAACTAAAGCTATTCAGTCTTTATATGAAACTCTCAAATCACAAACTACTAATATGCAGGTAATGAATAATTTGTCATCATTTTAATTTTGAAGAATGAATAGGTCTATATGTTTTACTTTATTTTGAAAAATTGTCATTTCTAGCAATTGAAATTTGATAGTTGGATACAAAAATCCAAAATTGACATCTTGAGCAATTAAAACCTGCTAATAATACTGAAGGCCCTAATTTAACTTCTGAAAACTATGGACAAATTGAATGATAGTTTTTAACCTTCATGCATTATCTTCCGGTAATTCAGACTTTGCAATCGCCTCTCAAGTTTCCATTTGAAATATATTTTTTCTGTTTTCAAAATTATTTTTTGTTTCCAATTGTATTCGTAATAGACACTTATTTAATTTTTGGACATCACTCATTCAATGTTCCATATTTAAAAATGCATTGGACAGAATCAATATGAAGGCATAAGCCCAATTCCATTATTTAACTGACATAAATTTCATCCTCCTACTTAATTATTTTACTTTTATCATTACAGAAAGAAATTCGTGAACTCAGTATTCAAAAAGCTGAACTTACATCAAAGTTAGATGCTGAAAATACAAACAGAAGAACTTGCCAGAAACGAACAGAAGAAGCAGAAAAACAAATGGAAGCAATGAGATTGGAATTGAGTGCACTTCATAAACAACTTGATATTGTGAGCAATACTTTATTTAATTGAACAAGGCTTCAAACAAGAAGCATCTGGACATTTTGTTTTGAAAAGTTCAGATACTACTTCGGATACAGGGGAGCAGCCAGCGGGGGTCAAGGGGCTCAGCCCCCACCCCCACTTTTGGCGCAGTGTTTCCATTTCACCGTGACCCATTTAATGAAATCCTGGGCCCCACCTTGCTCCTATGATTAATTGTTCTATGCAATCTATGGGGCATTTCTACACCTTCATCTCTGTGCAAGCATCCATTCAGTTGGAAGGGACAAATTTTTTCTGGTTTTGCATTGTTTATCCAATTTATTACACTCTGGGTAAGATGGTAGGGCACAGCCAATGGTTTGACCAGAGATCTTTAATCTGTGGCACCAACATATTTTGATTCAATCCTTAAACCACTAGACTACAAAACTATCTGGATATGGCTGACCCGGGAATAACCAATTTTTGAACCCATGTCCGTAACCTTCATTTTTTTTCGTATTAGAATCCATTTCGTATTAGATTCCATTCTCAATCTGGAAATATTCATTTTAGATTCTTTATTTGTTATAACTTTACTGCCAGATTTTTTTGGTGCGTTTTTTGTAACATTTGTAATTTGTATATTTCAATACAATTTTTTACACATTTTATTCATTGTTCCCCAAGGATTGAGTGTTTCATCCTTGGTCATAATATAGTATCATGCTAAGTACTTTGTTGTTTGAATTTCAGGAAAGAGAAACTCACAAAAAAGAAATCAGCAAGTTACGAGCCCAAATGCATCATAATGAATCTTTGAACGCGGATAATATGCAGAAACTGAACAAGAAGATAAGTGATGAGAGAGATTTTCTAGAAAGAGAAATACATAGGATTAATGTGAGTGTTTATTATGCTAACGATTTTGAAAACTATAAGCTCGCGAAATTATAACTGAAAACTATAAACAGTTATGCAATGTATCGACAGTTTAAAAATAATATATCAAAAAGAGAATTTGTGAAGAATATTTTCAGAAATTATAAATAGAATAGAAATTACAAATGGGCCATGTTTCATCAAAGCAATTATTTATTCTAAATACAAATCAAAATTTGCTGCAAGGTTAGGTATTTCAATTTTTATACTGCAACTAAATTTGTATCTGAAAAATTGTTGATTATGAGTTTGATTCAAGTAAAGTAAAGTTTAGATAAATCAGAAGTGTGCTTGACGGTGCTGGGAATATTCGACCTGTTAAAATAGTATATACCGTATTTATAAATTTCTTAAAGTTGTCAGTTTTACACACTTCTATAAAATTTGTATTCAAGGCTTGTTTATAATTCTTCATTCTGGATTATATTTTTATACATATTGTTCTTCTACCTGCTGATCAACTGCTACACAAATCTATGTTAAAAAAGTTTTAGTAAAAAACCACAGTGTTTTTGACCATGCAAGCAATATCACTTTGTTATCATTCTTTCAGGTGGAAGCAAATGAGAGCAAAGCCGCTCGAAGAGACGCAGAAAGAAAAATGTTGAGATCTCAAGAGGAATTACAAACGTGTATGAAGAAAAATATCACATTACAGAATGAAATTGATAAATTTCGAGAAAAATATGTGAATGCTAAAACACGATTTGAAGATAAAGTAAGTCTAATTACTATGAAAACTCGAAAAGTATGCACTCATTATGTGATAAGCTATCAAAATAATCCATTAAATTTTAGTGGAAATCCATTGATTGTAGTTTAGTAGTTGATTCTTCTTATGGACATTCTCACCTTCACTTTTAACCAGGATTTGTAAAAGCTGTAACATTTAGGGCTGACATGGTAAAACTACGGCCCGCAGGCGAAATCTGGTCCGTTTGGTAACTCAAACTGGCTTGCTTGATAATGCCACAACCAAACTGAAACCAAATTTTTGAGCTAAAAATAGCTCAAGGAATTTGTTGAGATTGTGATTAAATTTAGTTTTGACACGAGGCTTATTGTTTCCCACTTTTGCTTTTGTAACACTGTAAATATTGTTCATAAAATGTAATGTTTTACGTCTTACATTCATGGCCCGCCGCCAGTATAGATGATCAAAATTTTTGGCCCCTGGGTCCTTGATTCAGGGGCTAATAATTTGGATAGGATCACAATATTCCTGGCTTGGCAATTTATTTCAAGGTTAGGGTGAAATCATGGTCATGTGATTTAAAACCTCCATTTTGCAACACCAGCATAGTTTGGCCCAGAGTTTTAACCACTAAGCCACACACCCATTGATTAAATTGATGTTTATGTTATCTCAGCTATGCTCATGAGCCTTTTTTTGTCATGCTTCCTTCATTACTGATAAATAAATACAATCGTGCCACTTTAAGATACACACTTTTTTCATTTCTGAATTAATTATCTAGAATGAAGAAGTTTCAAAAACATCAGCTGAACTTCGAAAGTTAGAAGATGATTTGATATTTGCGAGAGATCGTGTTAAAAAAATGGAACAAGATTTAGAAGCAGTACAGGTACTGTATATATGAAATAATATAACGGTACCCATCAGATCAAAATATCTTAATGTTTTCGGTCCTAAGATTCATTTAAATGTAACAAAATTAATCTTCCATACAAAGACAATCCTTCACTGTATAATACTTGTTTGATACTGAATCTCTGCTGGAATCTGGCATACAAGATCGAGTTTCCAAACTTTAGGGTTATTTTATATATAAATATGGGTGTGAGACATTTTAAATATTATACCCAATTAACCAATCCCGATTCGAAATGTAACAAGCTTCCTTTTCTGGATTCCTTTTCTAAGTCATCATAGCTATCCTTCCAACAAAATAAGACATATATTAATATATATGTTTCAGTATGCCATTATTCACTGTTTTATTTAACAATAAGCCAATAATTCATTTTTAATTAATTATTTTTCATTTATAGACTGCTTTGACACAAGATATTGAAGACCTATCATCAGCATTACATCAAGATGATACCGCTCTATTATTAAGACGTTCAATGAATGATTCTGATGGAATTTGTTCACTCAATGATGTCCATACTTGGTTGTCTTCAATGAGGGTGAGATTGGAAACTAAAAATTGAATGAAATAATAGTTAGAAATGCAATCTGATTGTCAAATTTTTTTTTGGAAAATGCCATTTTTATTACTAGAAATACATGGTTGCAAAAACTTTGATTTTAATATTAATATTTAGAACTTTTCTAATAACTTCATTTATTTTTTCAGCATAAAATTGGTGTAATAAAGAAGGAGATATATGACAGAGAAAACGAAAGAGAAAAATTGATGGAGAATATCAATGTCAGCAAAACACAGGTCAGATTGGTTTTTAGTAGAATTTTGACTTGGTGAGTTCTTGAGGCATACATGGGTTGATCACTCTGCGCTTGGTATGGATATTCTATTATAATATGTCCATTGTATTGCCACAAAAGATCACTCAAAATGGTCGCTTAGTGAAACTCGCCAAAAAGGACTTTCCTTTAATGTCCCATAGCAATGAAACAGTTATGTTTAGCTCTCATCACTGACTAAGATTAGATTTCTTGGTTTTGAAACTTTGGTAAGACTAAATTGACTAATTTTTAGTTTATTTTAAACGCCACTGGTAAATACAATCACTTTTTAAGCTTTCTCTTTCTGTATTTACTATGTGATTTTATGTATTTCTTTAATTACCAAAGCGTTTAATATTTTAAATATTTTATAAAAATTAATTCAGATGAAAGAAGTTTGTAGAACGATGGAAGATGACAGAAGAATGTTGATGGCGGAAGCAACTGAACAAAATAAACTTGTTGATGTTTTAAGCCGAGAAAAAACATGTTAGTTATATGATTTGGGATTGAATATAATTTTATATAGCCAGCTGCATTTAATTTAATGAAATCTTGATTTCAGCACTTTTAGTTTAATGAAAATCACTGGTATATGACAACTTTTACTTATCGCCTGAGCTGGATCTCGTGGTGAAAAAGAAGAAAATATGTATGCATATACACGATGTCCCAGTAGTCTACCATTCCAAATAAATACAAAGCACAAACTTGATGAAACTTTCTTCATATTTAGGTGGTAAAATTTTGTGAAATTAGCAACTTTGGTCTGAAATAATGAGCCATATGAAGTCTGGTGAAAAAGAAAAAACACTCCTATCTCCAAATACTGTAGATCTGCCAGTGATTAATCCAATTTATTTTTGTTTGAAAATCGTCACATGCAAATTTTGGGATTATTCCAAAGTGTGTGTACTAGGTTGGGGTTATGCCATAATTCCAATTTTCCTTATTTTAGTTATATTACGAGTTCGGGGACTGTCTGTGTTAGCCAACTGAATATACCCTCTGCCCATAGGTTTCAGTCCCTTTACACAAATTGATGTAAAGTAGGCAAACAAAATTAGTTACCCCCATATTGGTACACACACTTCTGGAGCGCCAATTTTTGTTATTGTCTCTTAGCTCTTCTTCTTGAGAATAAAGAAGCTCGCAGAATTGTTCAAGAATTAGAGGATCGTGTTTCTAATCTCACAATTGATGTTGAAACGGTAAGAAAAAAATAACAAGAGAGCTATGCTCAAATATATGGACACGTAGAGTCACATAATTTTGATGACGTCATAGCGAAAAAAAAAGTAATAGCCTTCTGGAGAAAATTTTTATCTTTCACCACTGAAAATTTCAAAGCAATTGGTCCAGTATTCGAAGAGAAAAGCGACTTTTTAAAAACGTGTCAAAGAACAACAACAACAACAACATAATATTGAAACGATCGTTATGTCCACTACGTGTCCAATAATCACTCATGTTCAAAGATCTAAAATCAATATATCATAACAAACACTGTTAATATATATGTCTGTCACCTGTGCTATTTGCATGCACTATGCACTATTGGCATTTTTATTTGTCTAATTAAAAAAAAGTTATTGATGCAGTTGACATGTTATTGATTGTTATTAATTAATTCACCACTTCAATCTAAAAAATTATCACAAAAAAGATTTTATGAATTTTTCATTTTGGAACTTATCATAATCCTGTCTGCTTTGGGTTTATTTATCTTTTCTATGTTTAGAAATATTTTGGGAATTTATAAATTGAAGATATTCACTTCTATAACTGAAAAATTCTGGTAGGATAGGTAGATTCTGCGCATAGTCTTAATGCGGGGGTAATATTTACGGTAATTGTCCAAAACTCATGAACACAAATTTTGTGGGTTGGATCTCTGGTTCGGACTTTATGTTCTTTGTTCCTCCATGTTATATGGAATTGAATAGACCATGCCATTCTAGTCATTTGAAATAAGAAGGGTGCTCCCAAAGTATGCGAACCAAGATGGCGCACATCGGAACGTAACATGGGTAACAGGTTAGGGTTAATCGATAATTTTTTCCCAATTTTCCTTATTTTAGTCCTATTATCAGTTCGAAGACTAGCCAAGAGCCTCCCGTAGTATTTATACCTAAAATTATGGCCTAACCCTAACCTAGTACACATATTACATTCCGATGTCCGCCATCTTGGTTCGCATACTTCGGGAGCCCCATAAGAAGTATTTTCCCACATATCAGTGTCTGATTTTCTATGGCCTTCTTTAGTGCTAATAAGTTGAACACTTTGAAACTTCATATAATTCAGTTAAATGTTCACATCACAAAACGGTTTTAATTGATGAATTTTTCTTGTTTTCCACTTTTTTTAATTTTTGATTGAAATTGAATATTAACTAACATCAAATTGCACTTTGTGATTTTTCAATGCTTGTTTGCACAGTAGATAATTTGTACTAACAACAATTTTTGCTTGTTTTTTTTAATTCTAACAAAGAGTAAAGCTCGTGCACAAGAATTCATTGTTCGTGAACCACCAGTCAAATTATCAAATTCTAGAGATTCTAAGGTAGGTTTGGTGTGCTTTTAACATGAAACATATTACCGCTAAGTTATGAAAATTTTCAACTTTAATGAGCTTGTAAATGTTATGCAAATTTGTTGGATACATTTTTTAGATTGTTTTCGTACCGGTATTATTCATATATCTTCATTTTGAAGTGTAGAGTGTTTTCTGTGAGTGAGTTTTTGGTTTGATTTTTTGTAGTGAAATCACGGCTGTATTTTCTGCAGAAATGAATCATATTAATTTATGCTTTTTTGGTATGATATTAGAATCAAATCATATGGAATAAATTTATTAATTTAGAAAGAATAACCCAGAATATTTATCCAATTGCTTTAAAATAACAGTAAATTTCTGCAACAAATTTATTTCATCTTTCATATTCAAGTTAACTTATTCTTATTTAGGAGTCTATGAAGGAAAGAGAAAGAATACAAGAAAGATATGCAAAGTAAGTTTTCAACATTTTGATAAATAAGACAATATTTTAAGTAGGACATCATGTAGAGTCTCTTATCTATGCCGTTTCATCCACTTTCCTATTTCAAGTATCAAGTTAAAATTTGGCTGAAGGAATACCCCCCCCTTTTGAAATGTAAAAAAATAAAATCATTTTTCTGTATCATAGATAGCAATTTTTCGTAGCTTGAAATGCTTTTTAGACCCTAGAGACTAATAAAAACACGCGTATTCCAGCGTTCGATCGGACCCGGTAGCTGTTTTGATCTGACTTGCCAAAAAAAAATTTCAGAACCCCCCCTTTGAAAATTTCTGGCTATGCCCCTGTCTGGTGGTATGAAGCAAGATTGCAAGCATATAAAACACTTCTCACGAATATTGCATATCTGTATGGTGCTGTACATTTGTCTTTTTAATTAAATTTATTAATATCTTATTTCACTCACAGGTACAAAAACACAATAGAATCCTTACAAAATGAGTTACGATCATCTGGAGATAACAACAATAATATAAGTATGAATGATACGAATCTCAGTTCATCTTCTTTCCGACTTGGTGGTACCTCAGCTCCGTCCCCAATCAGAAGAGTAACGATAGCAGATGCTCCGCCTACTATCCATGGGTATGATCTTGTCTTTTTATACGTTCATGGGTGCACTATTCCACTGTTAAAACAACAATATCATTATTTGGAACTAGCTCTCAAATCATGGAATATTGCATTTAAATTATGTTGTCCATATTATATTATTGTTGCACTTTACCATAATTCCTATACAGATTTTGTGTACAAGTACAAAAGAAGATCACCTATTTTTGCACATTTACTTCTTAGTAATCTGTGTTTTCCAACTTAGGCTTGATAAGATAGGGTTTTAACGTAGTGACACGTTGTAGTTTTATACAATCAATTCTTGTCTATTTCACACTTTGTCATACGATGTGCCTTGAATACATTATCCTAAATAAATAAGAGATGAATGCAAGACTCTTCATAAACATTGTTGTGAAAAATATTTATTAGAGTTAAAGTGTTTTATGATTATTCAATATTTTTAATCAGTGTAGGCTTTTCACAATACTACCATTTACTTTCATAATATTCAATTCAAGAGTCATGCTGCGCACTAACACAAATGTATTTTTGTACTGTTTTGTCTGACCAAAATCAGACTTCCTCAGGCAAGCAGTTTACATTAATGACAAGAAAAGAACAATTTAAATGCGGCGATAAATGAATTTGTTTGAAATTAAATTCTCAGATTAATGTGACCAAACAATGAATAAACAGTTATTTATAGGCTATTTAGCGAGCAGATTACATACTATGGTCATGTTTATTCCAGCTACAGCATTCTTTCATTATACGCATATACGAATCCACCAGCGCAAAAGCATTTAGAAAGGATTGGGAGTCAAGTCTCACATAACCAATACTGATGATGTAGTTATATTTGCTTTCATGTTGTTTAATTTAACTGTAACCGAAGGCTAAATCTTTATAATAAATAATACAAGCGCAATAGAGAGAAAATATCGCTGAGATGAATGTCCATTTCATCATTGTCATTATTTCATCTTAAGTCTTGTCTCTACTTGACACGACTCATATAATTACACGTTGTTGTTTTCAATGGATTAACTGACCGACTATGTTGTTGAGTGGTTTTAAGCAATTTGTAATCCTATGCGACATTAGCGATTTATTTTAAATTATAAAAATTTTGAACAAAAAATTCAACAAATTGTATTACCATATACCACAAACCTAAGGAATGTATTATAATGGGTGATTAGCATGTAAGCCAATAGTCACCCACCAATTTTCTTTGGATAGATATGTGTATATTGTACATGCTTGGCAGAAATTACTTTTTAATCCATATATATTTTAACACAAGCAAATTAGTCAAATTAATTTTCATTTTGTGCTTTGTAGAAATTCTCTTCAAAGAGCAGTGTTGTTTCTTCCATTTTTAGCTAATTTTGGCAAAGTATGTTTATGGAGAAGGAATATCTGTATCAATCAAATGAGTTTTTTCACCCTTCTTCTCGATTTGAATACTATTGTTCATTTATTGCCCAATTTTTATTGACGTCTTATGGTTAATTTTAAGCGAATGCATAACTTTACAAATTGTATAGACTTCTCGTATTTTTGGTGATGTTTCTCCCAACCACAGATAAAAGTGCTTGTTTTAGATTAATATAGATTTGAACACCAAGTTTTTGTATTTCATCACACTTGCTCAGATATTTTTTAGCATGAAGTTCTGGAACTAAATATTACTTTTTACATTGAAAGGAAAGGCAGAATTCTCAATTTTATATCATGATATAACTCTCTATCTTTTTGTTTTACATTCCAGCTATTCATCTTACTCAAGACCATTGAGTTCGTCACCAAAACAAGTTCCAGTAAAAGACAGAAGTTGACATGCAGATCTTTTCTAATTCAGAATCTCAAGTATTAAATCCACTTGAATACCAATGGAGATTTATATTGACCATGCTTGGTCTTTTGAGGACATAATTTATATGCGGTTAACGACAGATCATACATGATTTATATCTGCATGTCAGAACCATACTCCTCAAATAATTGTGTTATACATAATATGTTGCTTGGTTATTTTTTATCGTGTTTATTTGAAATTCTATATATCTGAAGCAGTTTGGAAACGTACATTACGAAGCTAGCTTAAATAATTTTCTCAGAGATTTTTAATGTTCTAACCATTATTTGTACGTACTCTTATATAACTTATTTGAATGCCTTTATTTAATTAAAAAACCATCATTTTGAACAATTTCAATTCAATTTTATCCACTTAATTTTTGAATCAGGTTTCATCTTTGATATTCACAATGTGTCTTAGTTTTTGAAATTAGGTATTTCTGTTGCTGTATTTATTTTGTAAAAAAAAAGATTTTGTGCCAAAATTGTTACATAGTATCCATATGCAACTTGTGTGGAACTTTTGCTGCTAATTTTCTTTGTTATAACAATTTTTTTTATAATAAGCCGTTTGTGCCTATTTACTTTATAATGATTTTTTGTTGTCTCGGATTTTCCAACAAGTAGGCATTTTTAGATATTAGTCCGTGTACATATTCGCTCTTCCGTCTGAATCTCGCACACTTCTATATCTTGGTTGTATGTGGTTGTTCTGGAAAATAATTTTTGGTAACGAATTATCTGAGACTTAAACTTGAAACCTCACGCATTCAGTACCCCTAATAATCAGTACCCCTAATGAAAAATCAAGAATAAAGTTATCAATGGAGTTAATAGTAAAATTTTTTTGAAAAAATTCTATTCCAGATTTTGAAAAATTTAGTTTGCAGTTTCAAAGGGGAAATATTACATTATGCTGAAACATATATATATATAAAAGTGCTATTCAGATTAACATATTTCAACCAAGTGAAATAGAGTTTTTTCCACAAATCTCTGTTACATAATGAATAATAATGTTAAACTAATTTTTTCACTATTTTCAACAATTCTCATTACACAATTTGTAATAAATTCATCTTTCATTTTTATTATCTCCTATATAATAATTCATTGTGATTTTAGGAAAAGTAGTTGAAAATTTTTTTTACCTATAGAAAATTTTTAGATGTTATATTATTATCCATCACCAGTCAACATTGTGTTTTAATACGCTTCCTTTATATATGCTCAATTGTTTTTCTTCATCTTGTCATTATATAATGGTCCACATCTTATTTGATATCATGAACACTATCTGTGATTTTGAATTGGTCTTGGATTCAGAACCACACTCATGTATTAGCTATGGTAATTTTCATTGTTAATTTCTGGTCTTTATAATACTTAAATATGAGCTGATGAATTTGTTTTAGAAAACCGTTTAATAATATTTTGCAACCAGATAAAATTGAATGCGATATCTTAGCAATGTTGTCCTGCTTTAACTCAATGTGTTATATCTTATATGAAGCTTGTATACTAAGAATGATAATAAGGGGTAATTACTAATTAGTTACTTATAATTTGTTTTTTACACTGTAGTTTTGTATTTTGCTACATTGTGCCTTCAACATATTTTTATCATTTGTGCTTTTGGTCATAGATTGTGATATTTTTCCAGAGTTAAAAACAATATATATTCAGAACAAAGATATAATATTCATTTTGTGTCCTGATTTTTGTTAAATATAATGCAGAGCTTCGGGATTTATTTTTGCGCTTACTCAGCTTGATTGTTTTTAAGTATTGGGTGAACCTATGGGTGTCCATGTGTAAATAGTTCCAAAATTAGTAGAGAGAGGGAGTTTATTTCATTTTGTCAAACCAAGAAAACAATATATACATACATACATATATACATAACAAATAAACAAATATTTTCGGTACATGACTGGGAGGCAACGATACGACGTTTCGATGTCATCAGAGTCAGTTACCACACAATTCAATAAGCATAAAAAATAAATAACAGGTTCGGTGTTAATCTATTAATACCTCTCATGTTTGTTTACTATACAGTATACTATATTTACATGTTTTATTATCAAAGCGAAAACTATGGTATACGGTTCTTTCAATTGACCGAAATTCGCCACATGTTGAATTTGAATTTCCAAAATATAAACTGCTTAGTGGAGCCTAGGTACTCTAATAAGATACGATTTATTTGGGTAACTTGTAAACTTATGGGTGGCTGGCTTAAACTTAAACCAGAGTGAGGGGATGAAAAACATAAGAGTTCGGCTTCTAGGAGTTCTGTTTGAAAATTGATATCGGTTTTGAATAGTTAGATGAATTTTTAGAATAGTTAGATAAATTTTTAATTATCTGACTTCAATAAAAACACGTTTTTCAAATCTAATGGAGCGATTTGTTAAAATGAAATTATGTGGATATTTTTCAACCACAGATATGTTGTATGTAAATATATATCTATTTTAAAATGACGAGTGTTACACATACTCTTCGTCGCGCAATCCGGTTAAATTTACGTTTTCACCCAATATAGTCGTTTATTTATATATGTATTTGAGGTACAAAATACAGATTTAGTCAAATTAGCATTCATCACGCTATTCAGAGATGAGTACTCATTGATGAGCGGATTTAGTAAATTAATAAAATATATCGACTAAATACAGATGTCGTTTTGTGTCTCTACTAATATTTGGCTTGTCACAGACAGCATGGTGATGCCATGTTTGAGACGATTGCAGCTTCACTTTCCGTCAATAGTATTCCTTTTTATTTTTGTGGAGACACCATTTACTTGAGCTAGATTAAAAACGTGATGCCTATTTGGATTGATGGGAGAATCTTTGTTTCTCGACGTTTTTCTTTAAAACTCCCCGACTCTCAACCCACGGCCACAGCCAATCGGAGTTCAGCGTTGTATTTTGTTGAAAAGAAAATTACCAAGCTTCAAAGGAGCGTAACGTTGTGCGCTTGCCTGATTGTCAGAACGTTATAGAGTTCTTATAGAGTAACTTCAAGAGAACATTTTAATTATACCTCGAACTCATAGTCAAGTGCATTCCAATCGTGTAATATCCTTGTTTCTAGTTTTTAATTAAATTCATTAAATCGCGAAGTCTGTAATTAGCGTTGCTTAGTTTTACTTCAGTAGATTGAAAAGTACCGGGAGCATATATTTCGTTCAAAGTCTTCAGAATTCATACAAATCGCCGATAATTCTTTTAAAATGAATTCCCATGACCTCGTTGACAAGATTGTTATGGTTAGATCACTCGATAGAGTGGGGAGTTTTCGGTTTTCTCGTGATACCAGAATTCCGTTACATGTGAATTCTGTCTGCTGCAACAAACCTGATATATTTGCTTTGATAAGTACAACTACGTGACGGCCCATTTTTTAAACGTCTACGTGAGTTTTCGGCATCACGCGATGACAAGTCCGTGGCATTAGTTACCTCGTGAGGCTCGTGACATAAAAATTTGTGGTGAACTCGATATCTGCTAATCTATAGGACACATAAAGTTATGTTACAATAGACAAACAACCAAATAAATGTCAACTAAAATCATGTTTCCAGGAATATTAGAATTTGTGGGCCCAGATGTGCTTATCTTCTAAAATGGCACTGAAATTCACCCTTCAGACACCTTTCAGTCAAATTTGAAATTTTACTGTTCTTTACCATTCTACGCATCGTAGCAACTTTAATCAAATTAATAAGGGTGGATAGTGAAAAAAGCAGTCGAAAATTCAGTCATTTCAATATCGGTCAGGTATGATTTGTAAATAAGATTCTATAATGAATTTTTGAAAAAGGTATACTAAAACTTATAATAAGTGAAGAGATACAAATAATATATATATACTCTTTACGCTCTTCCCAGAAATTCAGAAGCGTAAAACCCTTCATTATTAAATTGTTTACTTAACTTACCGCGACTGATTTGCCTCCGGCTTGAAATAGACGTCGTTAATATTAAGGAGTTTTATGTTTCAATTTTGTGTGCCGACACAAAAGTTATGAATTGTTGTCAATGCAGCCTTTTTAAAGCGGATTTCTGAATAAGTTTATGAATCCTTTATTTATGATAACCGACGTTTATTTATGATAATTTGAACATCCGCATTTCATGACACTAACTTTTCCAGCACTGAATCAACCATTAAACAAAATAAGCACGTGCTTAGGGCACCAGACGAAAGAGAGTGCCACAGAAATTTCGTGACCGAATTTTCAATGGTACCTCAGTGTTTAATATACAATTCGAGTTGGTCAGACGACACAGACCTCAATATTGGCCCGGTTGAAATGAATTTTTGCTTATTTTTCGTTCTCAAATATTAGTTTAAACCACTTTATGAACGTTTGTAGGCATGAGAACTATCCCCCAAAATAACGTTAGATACATTATTGCTATTTTTTATATATGGAGCACCAAAGTCGTGATCCAGCCCTGAACTTTTCATATCTAAATTTGCATACACACAGTGGGACACGTGGAAAGTGCAGTATAACTGAATTAACAGTTATTACAATTTATGTTATTACAATTTATATCAATTATATCAATAAAAATATAATGTATGTGCGATGATTACTTACGATTTCATATATTTATTTTCATGTTTTGATCAACAACAAAATTTGTAATAAACAACTGACTATTGTGGAGGCGTGGCATTCGATTTTATCGATAAAATGGAGAAAAAAAACCGTAAAATATGAATGTAAATCATTGTACTACCAAAAATCAACCGTATGCTAATTGTGGTGTAAACGCTAACCAATTCAGTTAACTATAGGTATATTTAAATACCAAATCCAAAGATGTGTCACAAACAATGTTGATCGTTTCAACAGTATGAAATTTTGATGTTATCCGGGTTATCTGAGAGCTAACTTTGACCTCTGTCAATTGGTCGTTCACAAAAGAAAAACAAAGAATAATTTCGGACTTTGAACCAATCTAATAATAATGAAAGTCTTTGAAATTGGTAAGAGTGTTACGATTGCTGAACATCGTTTTATACAAACGTGCTCAAACTCCTTTGTCGAATTAAAAAAGTGATTAAACTTATATTATAAGCAGTATTTATATAGTCTCTTTACAATTTAGAATTTGTCACAAAGTAAAATGATAATCATTTTTTTTGAACAGTAAGCACAATTTCCACCAACCAATAGGAGCAAGGCTTTAAAAAATAACCGCCCAGACGTGAAAAGCTATTATATATATATATATACATATGTTTGAACATTACCAAAAAAATCATTTTTTTAACATGTGCCTATACATGTCAAATCATTCATTTGAGAATCAAGATCAATTTAAAAATAGATCAAAACACAATTCTCAAATTTGTTTAAAAAGAAAATTTATTAGTCACTGAATTTTGACAGATATTTTTGAAATTATGTCAAGGTCGAAGTATTTCATGTTGTTGTACAACAATTCAAGGACATGAAATTATTTCTATTCTCCCACAAATGACGTGCGTCCGGAGGTCGACTAATATAATCGTAGTTTGTACGACAACTCACGCCTTCCCTCAGGCCATGGCATCAAATCATTTGGCCAGGTTGAGACGACGTCGCGCTCTGGTTAGAACGCTTGTCCGCTATCCTAACCTTAGTTTTCACAGGACTCAAAAGAGTATACTTGCGTACGCGCGCGGATGAACGCAGTTAGAATATTTTAGACTGAATGGTGTATTTTTATTACATTTGGAAGACTTTTAGCGACGCATTGTCTTCGTAGGTATATGCTAGCCAGAAAAAAATCGTGAAAAGCCGGATTTTAAATCCCATTTCTTAAAGATCTAGTTTCAACCACATCGCAAAGTCATCATCGAAAAGTCATGAAGGTATGAGAAACAGACGGCAGTCGCCATTTCAGCTGGGTTAGTGCGAAATAACTTAAACGAAAACAATAACAGAAATAGTTCGATTATAGTTCAGCCCGAATCGGTTTTTGTCTTCTAGATTATTATTATTATTTACACTTCATCTAGTGATATTCATAACCCACTTCGTGCACACATCAGATGAAAACAATAAAAATATGACAAAGTCACTGGCGCCGATAACTACCGTCTGTTTTGTTTCAGTTGACGTTTTTTTGTCTTTCGTTAAGATTTTTGTTGTTACGGAACGTAAATGAAATATGCTGTAAGATGGCGCAAATGATTTATACGCTGTCAAATTATCTCTTAAATCTACAGACGATATTATTATCGCAGACAGTCAGCAGTTTACGGCACAATCAGGATAAGTAAAAGGAGAAACTGTTTTTGTTATTTTGAAGTTACGGTCTGAAATGTACCTTGTGGTACGTCACGTCAGTATTTGGAAGAAAGAATTGTATAGACTTTTGATTCTGAATATTAAAAATTGTAATTTATATTTTGTAAATCGTCAAATTTTATTGTCGAGATTCGAGAAAGACAATTGATTAATTACCTTTAAGTTCTAAATTATTACGCATGTGCGTATGCAGAACAGATCGAATATTTGGAAAACGATCTTACTTTAGATTTAGAACATGTTCAGTCCATTCCTGTTATTTATATATTCAAAAAAGATACTGGGAATTTTTTGAAACTAAGTGTTAGATTGATCTAAAATAAACGAGAAGTTCACCACATAGCAGTCGAAATAATTATATTCGATAAATTTTTAAGTTTATAAAATGGGTATTCCATGAATAGTGTAACTTATTTATTTATTGTTAAACATAAGTTCTAGTGTAATCCAGAAATATGTTCTCAAGGTGCGAGTGAGAATATCAATTTTATTGATTCACAACCACTTGAAAAATCATTTAACGATTCTAATTTTTACAGAATATTCAAAACACAATTTAGTCATATTTATACAAAATATTAATTAATATTTCTTCATATTCTGTGAAACTAAACAACAGACAAAATGAGTTGGGCGTTGTTGGAGAAGATGCTGGCTGATGTAGCCACGCATTCAACATTAATCGGAAAATATTGGTTTTCCTTTCTATTTGTCTTCAGGGTGATTACAGTTTTGAGTGTCGGTGATAAGGTATGTGTTTTTCTATGAATTGTATTACAAAAAAAAGACTTATCATTATACGCGAAAAAAAGATAATTGAAGGAAGTGAAAGTTTTCACCATATTATAAACGAAATTTCTATCGATTTAATCTAACCTGGAATTTTGGTGTATACGTTGTTGATTGATCTTGACATATAGTGAATTGTGAATACCGAAGTATTTGAATATTTTAATTTTAAAATAAACTTGGAAGTAAACTTTGGCGACCAAAAGTAAATGTTAAAAGAATGGGACAAACTCGAAAAGTTACTGTCTGACTATTCATCGTGAAAAAATGACTAATCTTAATTTTTATAATTATGAATGACAACAACACAAAGTTTCGATCTAATTTGAATGTACAGTGTAATTACGCCTTCTGAGTTATTTCATTTGGTTTGGAAGCTGAAACCAAACATCATTATCGCAATATACACCATTTCAATCGTTTCACCATACTTAAATAAAATGGGCTTTGAAATGCGATTTAGTTGAATCAGGAGTTCAAAGTTATAAAAATGGTATCTTGTTGTTACACGCACAAACTCACATATAAATATATTAACAATCTCATTAGGAATCGAAGTGCGCTGACCGCTGAGAATAGAAACTCATGATAGCTCATCTGATCGCTAGGTGGTTTTGATTAAAATGTTCATTACCGTATTGTAGATATGTCTTCGCCGTTTATTTGAACTTGCATGAATGGAATTATAAAATATAAAAAGAAGTCAAAATGTTGTACTATAAGATAATAATTAGGTAACTAAAATATACCCGTCGGCTAAAATAAACCACATTAATGTCTTCATTACCGTCATCATTTTGCCTTCTTCACTAAATTACAATTTAAAAAATACGCAAAATGCCTCATAGTATCTACTTTGTAATAACTCGCTAACTGGAAACAGAATCTGTGATGTACTGAGCATAAAATTACAAACTACTTTATCTGACCGCCAACTACGAATCAACGAATTCTAAAATGTAGGTTAAATGAAATAACTTCCACATGTCATCGAATTAACGCTATTTTGAATCATCTCTACAAATAGTTTGAACACTGTATAGATTATTGACATACGAATTGCTAAATAAAGTATTAATTAATATAAACAATCAAGATATTCAACTGAAAAGTTGAAAATGACACAAAATATTTACAACTCTCTGACAATTACGGAAATGAAGGGCAGGTACACAAAGCTTAAATTTTCGGAAGATTCTTGATTTAAAATTTCAAATATAATCAGCCGATGCCGCCATCTCGTTACTTGTCAATCAAAATAATATCATAATTACGTATTCTTTGAGTATTTGAATTTTGTCTATTTAAAGCGTAATATCAAATTCAAATATCTATAAATTGCTAGGTTAAATCGCAACACTAACAAACAATGAACGCACAACGTAAAAAAGTTGCCTAAGTGCTCTCTCGAGACTGAATAGTAGATATGGTTCTTTACTATTTTTATATTCTTTCATTCGCTATAGAAATGATCCAATTTGGTCAACAATCAAATGGCAGGCTGGTGGTCACTTTTGTATCCTTGAATTTGCGTTATGATAACTCCTTAGCATTTAATTTATTTAATTATAAATACGCCAGTGCTCTGGGATTTCGATCGGAGTCATCTGAAATTTGTTTGTGACCAATTATACATGCGCCCGTCTGTATATTCAGGGACACAAAAAATTCCATGACTCAGGATTTAAATGAAATCCAATAATTTCCAATGTTTTGTTCCACAGGTATACGGCGATGAACAGTCTCGATTTATATGCAATACTTTACAACCAGGCTGTGATAATGTTTGTTTCAACAGATTCAGTCCAATCTCACACATTCGATTCTGGGCTATGCAGGTAGGTTTTTGTTCACGAATTTTTGAATTAATTGTCAAAGATGGTCTGAAGAGTGGTTCCTAATCTACGCGTAGTGAAATACCTTAACTTTTAATAACAGTTTACTTTTCATCTGCCCACGTTTAGAACTTAGAATGATCAAATTTCAAATGATCAAAAATTACCGCCCAGAGTGAAATATTTTGACTGGCTATGTTAGACGTCCATCTGCGTTATAATAGTCCTGTGCACAAAACAGGTTGACTTATCGCACTGATTAAAGGCTCATATATATACATAGTGGGCCAAAAGTGGGGTTACAGTTGAACAAATAATAAAGTAACTTCAACTCAACTTTTTGCCCACTCTGTATATATTATATAAATTATCCTTGTCGTTATTAAAAGACAAATTTGTTATCGCAAATAGGTATATAAATATATTTATAGCAAAAAGTTTAAAAAACTCTAAGACTGAAGAGATTTGGAGTATCCAAAAATATATTTCAAACATGAAAAGTTCTCATTATCAATTTGTCAGCTAATGAAGTAAATATTCGTTTGGGCGAATTGATCGTGTACATCCACGTTATATTTTGTAGTCATCGGGGAGAAAATATGACATTTATTTCAAGGTACTGGTTATATAGACTGTTCTGAATACTGGATAATGATAATATTTATTTTCAACAGATATTACTGGTTTCCTTGCCTAGTGTGATCTTCATTGTGTGGGCGATGCATTCTCTCAACAAAGTTCAACTGAAAAAAGACAAATTAGAAAAAGAAATGAACCAAGTGGTAAAATATTTTAATTTCTGTTACCATTTTTTGGCGGAAGCTGAATGATCATATAGGGGAAGGTGGGGCACGTTGGGACACGGGTCACAGTGGAAAGTGCTCTAACACTAATACTATATTCGGAATCCGGTCCGCGGTTTGATGTTCTAATCCGCCCTTCGATGAGTTACAGCGTCCCCGCAAATGGACAGCGGACGCGTAGAGCGACGCAAGCTATGAGGTGAAATTGGTTTTGGGGGGTTGAAACTAAAATTTCACCGTTCCAGTTTTTTCTTTTTTCTAACTTAGCCTTTTCAACGTGACAAACCACCGTCTGATATCTTTCAGCTATAGTCCACTGTGAAATATTTATAACGTTGGCGAGTGGATGTGCCTTCCAAATTTCGCCGTGGGATGATCTGAAGATATTTGTTGACTATGGGGAACAATGGACCGGGGTTCTGTGGGACATGCCTTACATAGCACAATTCGACAGTGTTTGATACAACAAGTGCTAAGAGACCTAGAGATGCGTTATATTTTTATGTAAAATTATGGTATCTTTCGACTCATGGACCAATATGAAAAATATTTGAGAATTAAAAATATTTCCAGATTTAGATTCGGATTAGAAAATAATTTAATTTGTGAGCGAATTTTTTGGTGAAATATTTGAAATATTTCGGTTGAACATTGATTTTAAAAATCTTAAATCTTTAAATTTGAGGTCTCCCTGTTCTTTAGACGATTATGCTGATTGATTGCTTATTTTTAAGGGCATACTTCGTTGAATTTTAACAGAATGACCCATTGTGCCCTGTCCGAATGTGCCCCACAAGTGGGGTACAGTGGGACACTTGACAAACGTTTTTCAAAGCATTTTGGTGGTAAGATGTGTGTCGCAAGGGAATTTTTTAGTCGCTGAATAAAAACTACATTTACCCCTCTCTGCATTAATCCCGCAAAGTCATATGAATGTGCAGAATAAAGGGCTCAAAATATGAAAAAGAAAAAAAGTGTCCCGACCTTCCCCACTTCCCCTATTATATATTTTAATTGCACTAATTGCATTTACATTTTTGGGCGTAAGAAATATATAGAAATACGCGATATTCGGTTTTTCCGTTTTATACGCCATGTTAAACAGAATCTTCCGCTTTTTATATGAAAATCAGAAATCCAAAAAGAAAAAGATTAGTGTAAATCGTGGCTCCAAGCCAGTGCTCATGGAACCGCGGTAAATAATACTTTTGTACAAAATAAAACATAAAATTCATTGTTAAAATGCATTCAAATTAATTTAAACAGGAAGCCGCCACCGATCCAATGGCAAAAGATCCAGCAATGAAAAATTCGGCCCGAAACCGATTTAGCGATCAACCACCAAAATATAATGGAGAAACAGAAAAGAAAGTAAGTAAAATCCCTATTTCACGCTTATTTTACCCTGTGTTCCTCGTCAACGACTCACATTCACCGGATGACATTCAAGAAGTGCATTTCTGCGTGAAAGTGCAGTGCGCTCCTAGTGGTGGAAATATTGTTAACACCCATGATAAAACTTTTTTACGCTTGACATATTTTATATCATGCTGCAAATAATCTTTGTTACTGAAAGCAGCATTGAATACTATTATTACACCAATTTTTGCCTTTTTTTTCTTTGCATGCTATCTGTTTTTATATTGAACCGTGAAGCAACCAGCCAAAATGTCAATTGATAAACTAGTTTTATTGAATGAAATTTGTATTTGTATCGTTTCAAGATTCTTCCAAACAAAAGTGCTAGTAGTGATTTTTTTTATATTTCAATTCTCAATTTCACCCTTTAATGATCAAATATTGTCTTTCTCTATGAAGAATAAACGCTTTGTTTAAAGCAATAATATAAACGTCAAATAAACTGAAATTACTCTCTTTAGTCAGTTAGTCACAATCCAAAAAATCCGAAGGACAAAAAAGCAAGCCGACGTTCTGCGACCGCAACAAACAACTTATTGCCAATGGCTGAAATAATTCCAGTAAGAGCCGTAGCACCAAAGAAAATTAAAGAACCACCTATCCTAACAGGGTAAATTTTTCACCTCATTATTTCATTTTTAAAACTGTATGACTTGTGATCTCCAAAGACATATAATTATATTCATGTATATATATATATGGAACAATTATTTTAGAAACAAACTCTTATCTTTCTCAAATCCAAGGCGATTCTTCAACCACTTTACCGACAGCAATTTTGTACATATAATTTGATGTAATTTCACAGACAGCGGGTGTTCATATTTTACTCGCTCAAAAACGGACACATATGCTCTGCGCATGCGCGATTATGCCTACGTCAACGAAATTGTAGGCATTTAAATTTTAAACACCTGTTCTGACGGATGTGTTGCGGATACCACGTTTATTTCCTGGGGCGTTCACCGGATTGAATTTACAGACATTAAGCTGTGTCGTGGACTCGCGTCCAAAAGTCATCCGCTGTCATATTTTTGTCACGTACGCGCGATTTGAATTTATTTTAACTTCTCAGTAGGTGTTATTATCTATACAGCAGATGTCACTCCTTGTGATATTAATATGTTTTAAATTCCTGTAGTTCAACATACATAATTTTTGCTTCTGTTGCAAATTTGAATGAATGAATGAACTTAAGAACTACAAGTTCTAAATATGTTTATTTCTGTGCGTCACAATAATAGCAACAAAATCAGATTATTCCACGCCTATTTTCAATTCCTCATATTTAAGTAACCGTTATTGGTACGACCGCTTGTTATTTAGAGGAACTGACATGGATCAACTCAATTGAATCACAGAAAACATTCGTTGCAACTGCAGTAAATTTGCGATAAGTTTTCTGCGTTTAGATTGGAAAAGCGCCGAGTGACTTCGTTGTTAAAAAACAAAGAAAAAAAAGAAAAACAAGGCGAACCAGCTTGCTATCAGAAGAACACAAATTCTTACAAGATTGAATTAGCTGTTGGCTTAGGTTTCAATTTCAATTGCATGTAATCTATTTCAATGTTTATCAACAGATATGTTCTTCAAGTCATTTTCCGTATGGCAATTGAAATTACATTCATCGTGCTTCAATACATTTTGTTTCAAACTCAAGTCCCAGAAATGTACCGTTGCGAGAGATATCCGTGTCCTGCCATTGTAGAATGCTTCATTTCAAGGCCAATGGTAAGTAAAGAAATAATAGTCATTGAAGTTTGAATGTGGTCACTAGTACTGCCAGGTACGATGACGTCACATCACCATATTATGACGTTAGCGGTTGGGGCATTTTTTCTGAAACGCTGTAATGCGTTAATTACGACGCAATAAAACAACAATTCAAACCTAGTGTTATAAATACAAATTGAACTGCCTCAAAGCACATAAAGGATAAAAATATAAGAGAAAAAGAGAGATACTGAGTGTCAGAGAAACACACAAGAAACCCTTTCCTTATTCGGGAGTGTTTTTCAACGATATATATATATATTATAATTTTTTTTTTACAGGAAAAGACAATCTTCATGCTATTCATGTATGCAATTGCTGGAACTTGTGTTCTGCTGGATATTGTGGAACTCAAATACTTAGGGTTTCAAAAGGTAAGAAATGTCTCAACTTTTATGACATTGGTTTTGGTTTCACCAGAGAGACAGACAGTCCGCCTAATTTGAGGCAGCCGTAACTGTCAAAATTCGACTGAAAATCTCTAACTCACTGGCGTGAATTGGCGATAGTTTCCACTGATTCTAATCCACAACTATTTTAACTAATTTACAAGCACATCACATGGTTTATCTGACTTGATATGACTCTGCACTTTATTATGATGCTATTTAGGGCTAGGCTAAATAAATAGAGTATGTGAGATGAATATAGAATACTACAGCAATTTTCCTAATTTTAACATGGTTTTTAACTTATTACCATCAATTGCATTACAGATTCGTCACTGTCTTAGTGGGTCCAAAAAAGGAGGATATTTGGATGACTTTGAAGGACGCTGGCACAACGATCAAATCCTTGGAGGAAGATTCGACATTGTCGGTAGAGGCAGGGGGTTGAGACGTCATAGAGACATGAGCATTACTGATCCCGAGAGTGGTGGAGCATATGATAGTATTGAAACATCTGATGATGGAAGCGGATTCGAGTAAATCGTTAAAACAGGTAGTAAAAGAGTAAGAGATGGTGAAAGGAACATAAATATGATCATAAGATCATGCTGCTCCAAATACGCAGCCAAATAAAATATTATCTTAAAACTGCTGCATTTTAAGTATTTCATACTTGATTAGATGCCATCATGGGAGCATGCCGTTACATATCTGTTGGCTGACAGAATAATGAATAGCCTATTTTGCAACATATTCGTCAGTGTTTACACGACCACAACATCTGTAGGATGACCTTAGAACGTAACACACACACACACAAACATTCTTGTTGAGTGCAGTAAAACAGTAAGATATATACAGCCTACATACGGTTTATTTCTATAACTTGAACTTGTGTCAAATACACCACGATTTATATTTTTATTTATACCGATACTAATTTTTGTGAATCCCTAATATCGAGTTTGTTTTTCTGGTTTCAAAATGTTTTTAACACGTTGCACTGATTCATTTATTGCCCATATTTGTTATCCAATTATCGTTTTATACATCACATGATTCAAAATGGAAGATACAAAATATTATAAAAGTTTCAATTAATTACAATAGTTAGGCTGAAGCACCATTTTGGATTAGATCCAATCATTTGTAAATATTCGTAATTTAGTCAAAATATTCTCTTTTTCTTTGTTTTATTTTTCTATTATTTGTGAGTTTTATGCCAAACATTTGTCAAATATGAACAGCGGTGATCAGTTTTATATAAACAGCCGATGAAAAATGGACAAACGATTTAAAAAGGGCAAGAAATAAGTTTTGAAACTCTCTTTGCCGGTATGCGGGACTGTAATTACTGGTTTTTCATTAGATGAAAAAGTTATAGGCCACAGAAATTTTGAGCAACGAAAATGGGACACATAAGAAAAAAGGATGAGAACCAATGCACTAAATGCCGCATGGGTTATATAACTTTAATTTACTTACATATTTTAATGATTTATTTTTCTTGAGGTGGCAACATTGTGAATATTGCTGTTTTGTTATATTTCGCGGTAAACTAGGCTGCTCTCAGTTTTCTGCATTGTAATTTATGTTATTTGGTGATTCAATTTTCTCGTTTATCCCAGCTCTTTCCCCGAAAAATGTTCCTTAGTTTTAAGTCAAACCAAACAGCCCGTATATAACTATATGTACTATTGGGTATTGTTTATTATACCAAAATTGCTTAGCATGTTAACGAGCTAATGATCAATTGTAAATAAATACAGAAAGAGAGTAGATGTGTTTTTATTTCAAAGATACGGCGAGGATATGCAAGGTAAACTGTAACAGATCTACCGGCACTCGCTGGCGAACGCCGATTAGGATGCGAAAACTCAAGGTAATAAAAATTGGGGGGGGGGGGGGGGGGGGGCTTTCCTACAGTCCAGCGGTGCTAGTTTAAAACTGCCAATATCAAGCACTGGACGTTTAACACGCGTCCATTGTTATCAGTGTACCTAGAAGGCTCCTGAGCGTCTTACGTGCAGATATGATATTTGCATTCGTAAGATGAAACAACATGAAACTACTTTTCATTGTGATCTAACTCAAATCAAAGTACATAATTTTGACCAGGGGCTTGCAACCTTGAATACTAGAGGGCCAGATACAAAATAACTGAGCGAAATCACGGGCCGCACCTTTATTTAAAATAGTTTATTTTTGTTATTGATGTTATGGCCGCATTATAGGTCCTTGCAGACATGAGCAAAGGCGCATAAATTTCTGAAAAAATTTCCAATTTAAATTTATTGTCACACCGACTTTAAAAGAATTCAGTGAGATATTTGCAGCTGGGTTCTTTTCCAGACTACTTTTTCCAAATTCGCTTTATTAATGGAAGTGCTAAAAAATCTATTTTTCAAGCGTTCGTCTGTCAGAACCAATCGGTAAGGAGATTTCATGACGCCCATTTTAGAAAAGAGTTGTTCGAACAAATATATAGAGCTAAAAAAGTGCGATAATCGAAGTCATTACTATTTTCAAACGTGAAAAATTATTTTGGTTGAAATGTTTTCGCCAAGGTTAATTTCCAAATACTTTGCCGTCAAATCTGTTTTATTTTAGAATCTAGACTAAATTATTCTAGACAAAAATATTAAGTTATTCATTTTACATATTCAATTCCAAAGATTAATCTATGCAGAAAGTTTTCATCAGGGACCCACTTTTCATTCTTCAATTTGAGGAGGAATTTAATGAGAAGCATTGTTTTCAGTAGAGATCACTTGCGCAAAACAATATCGACGATTTCATTCAAAAGGGTACACACCTTCCAGGCGAGCACCAAAAGGATCCACAGCAATGAATGGGGTTGGGGTATCAAGTATGCCTTATAAAGGACGCCTGTATAACTTATATTTTTTGGTCATTCGGCGATTCTGATGGAATAAAACCATTGTATGATGAAATGTGGACACAAGGTGCAGGATACTTAAGTGATGTTGAAATAACTTCTCAGTGATACGCACATGAGATTGGGAGGAATGGCGTGTTCTTACTAGTAAACCAATATTACTATGGGTTTATATGTAATTTGCTCATATTACCACTATGCTGGACACTTATCTAGTAAAATTCGGGACTACGACATCACTGGACGACATATGGCTTTCCATCCTGATTGCAAGGAATACTGCCTATTCTAATCGACTTTGAAATTACAAAATTATCATGTATATCAGTGACATTTTTTATCTACCATAAGCTAACAAACAATACAAGAATCAGTAACACAAAATATGGTGAAACACTCAACACTATATGTAAATTTACAAATTTCATCGGAGGATCCACCGAGCGTATCATTCGATAAGGAGCGGCAAAAAAAACTCGGAAACTAAATCTACAAATTTTAACGTCATATCAAACTAATGTTCATTCCCATCAGAAAAGTTGAGGTGGTGATGGGGTTGTATGAAAAAAGCCGCTGATATCAGTAATTTCACAGTAAATTGTACATTTTAAAAATAAATTTACGCACCAATGAAAGAATAAAGCAGAAAATAACTGTACTGAATTTACAAATTGGAATCAGAAAAATTTACACATTACAGATTATGCTCGACCAGGAATATCGTTGCTAATAATATTGAAGATATACCATGCACTACTAATGGTGTATGCGAAGCGATTTAAGTAACGAGTAGATTTTTGAAATTCAACTAACAACAATTTTTCCAAGCAATATGTAAGCAATAAATATTGTTGTTCACGTCACACACACGCCCAAGATAACAAATATTAAATTGAGCTTTTGAGACCATTTCAAGTTGTTAAATGAATAGTCCATTCTTCGGCAATTGATTCAGATTAGAGCTCGTTTCATTTACAGCATTGTACATAACATATCTACAAGGTCGAATGCTAATTAATCACTAGAAGTAATATACAAAACTAATTAAATAAATTACTTTCAGAAGAATTAGAAAAGCAATTTTATTTTGATTTGGTCAAAACTCTAATATACTGCATTGTAAAACTCGTGTTGTTCATCTTTGTACTCCATGTCCAGCACCCACCCATGGTGTTTTGAGGTCGACGTCCAAGTCCAGATCTCTCAATGCAGCTTTTGCTTGGTCATCCAATGCTGCAAAATATAGGAAAAATATAAGATGAAATTGGCTACTAAGGAGCGTTGGATTTCTTCAAATTGCTCGATTGAACACCAAAATATATGAATGATGTGCTATATCTGGCCTGATATAGTAGAATTTTACGACTACGGTATGAATTTAGTTCAAACCAAAATCCAAATTGATGCTATTTGAAATATTGCCGTTTTTCTCTCGTACGTTCCAACAATAAAAATTTCCGGTCTTTTCTCTCATGACTTATGTCGAAGCAAAATTACTTTTTAAAATATTTAAAATCAAAATAAATTGAAAGGGAAAACTCCAGAAACTCTTCACTATTTCCATATATATATATTACTAGCTGTCCTATGCAGAAACTATCGGCATAAAACACCTAGTAATATACTATGACCCGAAAGTACACTGCGTACGTCGTCAATTGCACGTCTACATATTTACAATACCAAAATCAGCTCATTTATGCCCTCTAGCAGAAGCCTTTAGTGCATCTTACAAAATCAATTCGTTGCATGGTAATAAATAAGTAGAAGTGCTATGAAACCGCTATCTGGATTTTCCATCTGCGTATTTATAGTCGCGATTTTGCCACCACTAAAATTTTTGCAGTCGAAATTTTGCTATCCCAAGACGTGGTGGACCTGAATTCGAAATCTTTACAACTCGGATTTGGGAGCAGGACCGCACTTCCAGAGCTATGCTACTATAAATTGAAAGCTTGAGAATTTTATTCATCGACACATGCATTTGTATATTAGTTCAGCACGAAAGACAAAAAAACAGTATATTCTACACATTCTCAGCAGTTTACCTGTCGTCATAATAATAATCAATAATAAACGTCAACTAAGTTCTCGAATAGAAATTCATGAGCCTAAATAAATGAAAGTTATAATTTGGGTCTCATTATGAGATCTCATACATTATATATACCCCGACTATATATAGATCAATAGTTTTCTTTGTGATGAAATATAAAGGTGACGATTTATTATAGTTTGTTTTTAATCGCTGATCAAATATTTTAGGTAACCAAGCGGGGTTTGTTTCCTGGTACTATTCTTTGTTCAATTTTGCGTGAGAAACATTCACCAACAATTACACCGCTAATAATGACGGTGAGCAAAAAGAAAATGTTACTCCCAAACCGATTATGCTTTACAATATTTTAAAAGGATCGCTGTTGGGCAATGAAGATTTGAAACATCAAGAGACCCGCCTAGAGGCGTATTAAAATTAAATTATCAAAGCAAAGTAGAGCTAAGCCCTGTACGGACAATATAAAATTTGAAAATAAAAAGGCAGAAGCAATCAATTCCATTTTAAAAATGGAAATTTAGAAAGATAGGAATATAATTTGAAAATGAAAAGGCAGTAGTATTCAATTCCATTTTAAAAACCGGTAATTCACAAAGATTGGTCCAGTAAACGAATTTGGCAAAACATACGCACATCATATCCAAAAATGGTAATTGTGGCAAAGGCAAATAGTTATCTAATTCGATTTAATTGTCACTAAACGTAACCTCAAGTTACGCGTGTGTATATTAACGAATGAAACGACAAGACAGCTGCAGAATGGACCACAAAAATTCGGCCAAAAACCGAAGAAAACTAGATTATAGTTGGGCCTTTCCATTGCAATAAACCACCACACTATACGTGACGTCCGTAGCTAGGTTTGGTAAACTTCAAACCCATTAGGTATTTTAATTCACGGAATACACTGTCGATGACAGGGTAAAATAGAATATAACTTATTTAGTAAAGGTCATTGCCATTGTACGGATTAACGTCACATATGAATACTTGTCACTATACGAATGACTTCCGCGTATCGGCTACATTGCATGTTGAATTGTGAATAAAAATGCAAGAGTTTATACAAAGGCCAATAACCCAAGACGTTTTGTAGCATTCGCCTCGGAAAAAGAATGCATAAACGATTTTGTAGTATATTACAAAAGATGGCATTTATAATGTACGTTTTGTTAGAGATCAAGCAAAAATTAAGGACATTTAAGGATCTAAATTATAAAGTACAGCGCACATGGGTGGTCAAAATCAGATATTCTATTCCGAATATAGTCCACTTCGAATTTATTTTGGATGTTTCATTAACATCGACGAATACATGACAGTAAATGTAAAAAGTCTGAATATGTCAATTGTCAATGTAGACTATTTCAGGTAAACGATCATTTATTTACCTGATTCTCTATTTTTAACAGGCTTCGGAAATTGAAGGATTTTTGTGCTACACTGTAAGATCTTAAGCGTAGGCTCAGATTTTTTTTTGAATAATCTATTCTAAATGATTCTTAAAATTACGAGTATGAACCATCCTTGTATTACTCACATACGGATTCGCTTGGGCAAGATCATATAGCAAGGAAAGGTGGTGGTTAGTTAGTCTCGAGTAACCACTCCTACCAGTTACATAATATATCCAATACAAATATTTCGAACGAAAATGAATGTTTTATTCGTTTTGGACACCCTTCAAATCAAAATAGATCGATCGATGACGGAATAGAAGATTATTTTGTGTGGCAGTTAAGTAAATGGAAGCACGTCAAATATCTTAATGCCTCTTGAAATACTGATATGGATAATATTTAGGCGATGGGTATGTTGACAATCTCCTTTTGGTCATAGCTGCTATAAGATCAGATAGACAGAAAGCGCTGATTTGAAAAATAAATACCCACAACGATAAACTTACAATACAAATATGATAAAAATAAATCAAATTAGGTTTACACTGCTGCAGAGTACATATGAATGACGAAATATCAGGAAGCACTTGGTAGACTACTGAAAATTTCTTGGCATTTCCTGGTAATTGTGACTAGTACTTCGTAACCTGTGACGGATTGCTATTATAACGAGTGCAATCTTGTTCTTAAGATACACATGTTTGATATACCTTACTAAATGAGACCAGTAACGGCGTGTTAATCAATTAATTATTAATAAGTTTACTGCGAAATGCGAATAGTATATTCGCGATTTTTAAAAGGTACAGAATCCGTCATCAAAACAGCACGTGGACTTCGTATCATAAAATCAAAGATTGAAAATAGTGCGATACTGACATTATCGCCAGTACGTACATGCATGGTCACAAAATATGGAAATTTTATTTCCCAACATACATTTTGAAGTGTGTACCAGGTTAGGGTTAGGCCATAATTTTATTCCGGATTCCTTATTTTAGTTCTAATACGAGTTAGGGAACTAGCCAAGTGACTCCCGTAGTATTTGTACCTGAAATTATGGCCTAACCCTAACCTGGTACACATACTACGCTCCTGTGTCCGCCATCTTGGTTCACATACGACGGGAGTACCCATTTTGGGGGATGTCTACTCTACACATATATTGTCAAAATTGTATGAATTCCACGGCATAAGCTTACTTTAAACATTTGCTTAAAGTTTGGGACACTTTGAGACAAACCTCAAAATTCAACCTCAAGAGCTAATGCGATTCCTGGTTTGACAAAGCTTTTGAAAAGTCAATGTCGTCAATTGTTATTACCGACCAATGGGGCAGATTTTTCACTGCGTACTAATCTGAGAAATAAAATATCTAACTTAAAATGCGTTGAGTCACAGAGTAAACACCAAGTAATGAACACTTGAAGGACAAATTGACAATGTCAATATTTGAAAAAGGACTGTAGTCTAACGATGCTTATAAAGTTTTGTTTGTCGATTTGAATTTAAAATTAAGAACTTCGACCTTAAAGCAAACGCGACAACACAATCTACTTTCGGAAGTTCAGACGATAAATGAAAAATTTATAACACTAGGTTGATTATTTGAGGTTGAGACTCATTTATTACTCATGGGACAACTATAAAAAACATACCTAAGAAAATTCACAAAATATAATTATTCCGAAAAATGTACTTTGAAATGTTGTTTTCACTGAAATGACGTCCTTCATCACAGTAATTGATAAAGTACACAAAACACCTATAATTTTACAGTCAAACTCACCGGATGTATGATGCTTCCGAGCACTTCTGATTAATTCTTCTACCCCTAAATCGATAAATACAGGAGAATATTCTCGAGTTCTGGCAACGAGGTTTCTGATCAGCATACACGACTCTCTCTAAAATGAAAAGCATATACTTTTATATAACATTATTTAATTAGTTTGCGATACACATGAACCGACGCCCACAGTGTTAGACAAAATATTCACTTAAAGTGAGTTGCCAAGTGACTGATGAAATCACTGAATATTTCATAAGGGTAGTTCGGCATGGGGAGGAGACATTTGGAGAACAATTGTTCCTCACTTTTTTCTGTATTTCATTTATTCTCTTTGCGAATTGTGTAATGTTAAAATATATATTGCAATGGATGAATATCAATGCAACCGTGTTATTTGACATTCAAAATTGTAGAAATGCGAGATAAGGTGGTGCATTTGCATACCATATGAACCAATAACACAAACTCACACTGCCTTCGCTTTCATGTCATCCACGAATCCTAATGTAAAAATGATGGCGGTAAAGAGTTTAGATTAAATGGAACGAGTGGGATTTCCTTAAAGTATGAGTGTGTGGGTTAATTTTTCATCAAACATCAAGTCATCGAATAAAAAATTATTAGAAAAACAGTTTTGTAGAAAAAGGGGAAACGAGGCGTCAACAATAAGCAAAATCCAATCGGTTATAATCGGTTTCACTTATACAGTGAAAATTTGAGTGCGCCGCGGCGTCCCCTTTGGAAACCACAATAAAATTGGCAAGCCACATTATCTTGAAACAGGTCGTATAATCTCAAGTTGAAGATTGAAGCAAGTTCCAACTAGAATATGTGTTCAATATTACCAGGCACAATCAAGAAACTGAAAATGAACAAATCTAAATTGTTCGTCCGTTCGACTTTCTGAATGAAGATATTGCCCCCACACGCTTTGATGCAACAAAATCGTGTTCGAAATAGCCGAACCGCGGAAAACGTCTATTTATTCGGCCATTGGGTAAAATCAACTTGAGTATAGACGACTTCCCTAATTCCAACATACCTAACCTTTATATTCGCTAAAATTGGCGTATGCCTAGTAAAAAATTTGTGCGATTTTATCATTATATAATACAGCAAAATGTAGCGAGAGATGAGCCACACAACTCGTACGTCAAACTGTATATATTTCCGTTTGATGATGACTATATAGCGATGACAATTTCATTTGGCTTACGTCCGTCCTAGAATGTGCTGAAGCTAGTACGTTTGTAGTCTACTTTACATTGTCAAATATACATTCAATGGTCCCATCGGGACCTGTCCCTCACGTGATTACAAATTAGGGTTACGTAACGGATTTTCGATTTCGCGTGCGTGACATCGTGTAACAAATTATTGAAATTGCACGTACGCACATGAATTTGCGTCTCCCATGGCGCTGAATAGGCAAAGTGTTAAGTAAGTAAAGACAATTGGGCAAATATTTAGAAATTGTCTTGTCTGCTTCAGACTTTACATTTTATTCAATGACGGAAAAATGTTGCTATAATGGTATAAGAGTCCAATTTTTTCAATTCTCTACACAGTATTTGTGATACTTCGGATATGATTTTCATATTTATTTCGTGGAAAGAAAAGCCGATTTAATCATATTGCGAACCTCGGCCCTGGTCAATTTACCGGTTTATTGCCGTGTTGGGTGTACTGTAGGGGAACAGTCCACCATTTATACGTTTCAGTCTCATTCCTTGGAGGACTTAAATCTCTAATCATTTTCTATTATTCGGTGACAAAACACAGTTTTTAATTTTCACCTAATACTTAATTCAATGTAATGCATCTTATTCTTAGTAGATTTGTAGAATCAATTTTGAATCAAACGGGCGACGCCTTTAAACCAACAAGTTGCCACAAAATATTCATATAAAGCAATTAACAATTTAGCATACTGTTCTGAAACAAGGTCCTTAATAGGAAACCTGAAGGCTTATGATTCAAATTTAGCAGATCGCTTAAATTTCTACAGACGGCATTGGTTGCAAGACACGAATCGTTAAAGACACATTTCTCATATAGTGAATAAATGCGAGGTAACGCTTCACTTGCGACGAATGCCGGTAGCCATCACGCCGAGGAAATTCCATCTCAGATAGGCGGCGGACCACGCATTTGCGAATGAAGACTGATGACAATATAATTGACAAAACGTAAAAATAGTTTCGACGCCCAAGATTGGAATGCGCGCGTATGCTTCGCGTGGCCTCTATAACTCGATTAACAAATAGAATAGGAGGGCGTAAGAGATGCGCAGAGCTCGCTGCAGCGTGGGTAGCATATATATTCGTAACTTAAACGTGGCTTTGTAGTAATTTCAAGTGCGAAGTGAATGCTATGCTTAAGTGTATGTCAATTTCATATAAAAATACTTAATCGACATCGTAACAATAAGCACCATCCATTGTTTCAATACAGGGTAGGTAGAAACTGAAGAACATTTTTTACTGTTTATTAATATGCCATTTTTAACACTGTCAGTACGTCTTAGGTTTTTTATATATCCATTTGGATCACAAATCGATAGAATGGCATAAAATTAAACTGGACAAACTAATTTGGCATTTGTATATGATTGTGAGATGATCAAGCTTGTGTCATGGCTAAAAATAACGTCTGCATGCTGGTTTTTAGGCAACCAGTATCTAACAAGCATGGTAAATCGATTTGAAAAATGAGCTAAATCGGGAATGATTTACGAGACGGAATTCTAAATTCGGTCCGAAATGGACTTTATCGATCGGAAGGTTGCTGTTATTGTGAATTGGGAGCATTCGTACACCGATAAGCATTTTACCCTGATAATGTATTCAGCTTGTTCTTTGTGATACAAAGAGATAAAAAATGCGTGGTTACCTGGCAGTAACTATGTGCTCTTCTTATATTTTGGTAAGATAATAATATGTCGAATTCGTCTGAATTCCGATTTTGAACAACTCTAGCGGAGAGATTTTCAAATTGATTGCATGGCAGAGTATCAAAGAATTGGAATACCATTGGATGACACCAAGCAACCAAGTTAAATTCGATTACATCCATAACTAGGGAATGTTCACATTATTTTTCTGTATAGGCTTAGAACAAGATACCTTACCTGAACACCAGCGTGTTTTCCGTGTACCTTCATAGCTTGTACAATAATTGGTGATAACTTTGAATCAATGATGATTTTACTGTGTGTTGGATTGCGTAATGATACCGTTGTAAGTGCTGCGAAACTGGACTCGCAAATCTGAAAAGAAAATACATCATTAAGAGCAGGGGTGGACAAGGTTTTTTGAACCACTGGCCAAAATTTTGCCCACCTAGACTGGCGGGCCATGTAAGTGTGACGTAAAAAGTAAATTGAATGAACAAATCATCGCAGGTTACAAAAGCAAAAGTGGAAAACAATAAGCCTCGTGCCAAAACTAAATTTAATTGCAATCTCATCAAATTTCTTGAGCTGTTTTTTAGTTGAAACATCAAAATTTGGTTTTACTTTGGTTGTGGCAGCATCAGGCGGGCCATATTGAATTACCCAACGGGCCGTATTTTGCCCATGTCAGATTAAGAGCATGGCTATGATTGGACAATGGATGACACATCGAGCGCATAAGCTAGCAATGTACCATATTGGACTGTTATCAATAAGTCAAGTCAGTAATGAATTTTACTGGACATGGTTGAAACTGAATAATTCATCGTTTCAAATGCATTCTGAAATAATAATTTCAAATATATATAGATAAAGTATTGTTTTGTAGTAATTGTTAGATTTCAATGGATATAAAAAAAATGATTTTCGTTCGTTCCAAATTGTCCTCAAAGTCAAAACGTTATTGTATAAAATATTATTAATTTGGATCATTTGGCATTATCTTGCACTTAAGTACACTTGAAAAAGAAACAATTGTAAGTCAGTGACTGTGAATTGTAATCTGGTAATGTTACCGCTATTCAGACGTAACATACCGATGGGTTAGCGATGTATTTCTCCAAAACCGGTAACAGCATATCCACAACTCCATTCTTCATCAGATAAATTTTAACGTCGTCATTTCTACTGATTGCTTGTAATAAATCAATGGATTGTTTGATGACGCCCTAGAATAAAGGTGAAAGGTTACGTACATAGGTGTCTTACGTAAGTCACGTTGCCTGGAAACTCGAATCAATATCGACCATCGATTCAAATAAAGTGAGAATAAAATGTACGCATGTACACGACGCACTATTAAAATTTTCAACAGATCATTTAGAATTTAGGAGCAAATAACAAAAGTTTACGATATTACTGACTGTTTCAGAGTTAGTTATTCCAACAAGCACTTCGCTGTATGAAGTATAATCAAAATAACGACTTTGTGAACCATAGTTGGCAAAAATTGACGATCATGAATTTGATGGGGGTGTTTTATTGCTGGTTACGCGCGAAGGTCAATCTGAAATTCAAAAGCATTTTGGTCTGATGATAAAAGTACTTTAATTTATCCCTGCAGGTTTTCCAATTATATCAATAACTATATCTATCAGCCTGATTTAACGGATGGGTTCTATTTTACAATCTATATGATGATGGTTTTCCAAAATGAATTCAGCTTCAAAATAGACAAAAATAAAGGAAGTTTCTGAAAAATATTGCGTTTCAACCACTGCAGATGGACGCTACACATTTTTTCTGCATATGTAAATATTCCACTAACTACAATGTCTTAGTTTTACATAACCGTCAATAACTTTGACTGTCCTCCAATCCCTACTGACACAACCTCTGTTTGCGCCACCACCAACATGGACCAAAATATTGCCGAAAAGCACAAATAAACCTCATGATTGAGAAATTATGAGAAATTTAGATTTTTTTTTGCTCATGCAATTAAAAGGTATATACAACACTTTTCACACTAAAATCATATCGATGAGAATAGTCTTTTTCTTTGTGCGCTTATAATAGAAAGGGCGCTCCAGAAGTGTGTATACCAATATGGAGGTAACTAATTTTGTTCGCCTATACTCTACATCAAGTTGTATAAAGGGACTGAAACCTACTGGCAGGGGGAATATTCACTTGGCTAACTCAGACAATCTTTATTACGGCCTAACCCTAACCTGGTATATGAGCGTCACACCCTATAGCAAGGTATGAAATGGAAGCAAACTCCAATCTAAAACGTTATTTTCTTAATGCTCACTTGCTGATGCATTGGCTCCATATGACGAAACTTTCGCGCTGCGTATATACGCTTGTGAGGTCATTCCGACAAGGTCTAGAAATGTGAAACTATGTGGGACGTAGGGTGGTATGGGTCTATAACTCGTATGGAGACGCCTAAATTCGAAATTGGGGGAATTAATTTCCCCATGAATTGCCCTGGACCGGGTTAGTGACATGCGTGTTTGATGGTTTCACCTCTAACGTATAATCATATAATACAGTATATCAATATTGACCACTATGCAACAACGCCATACAGTTTTGCTGGGGTACGATTACACTTGTAGCATGTAATCACCCCCGTGATTCAAAGACAAAGCGCGCGAATTCGAAAAGTGAATCATAGTCATTTTGCCACTTAGCACTTCATTATAGTCATTTAATATTTTAAAATACCACTCGAAAAACTTTTTCATGTCGTCACGAGCATCTATGCTGAATAATAGGCGTCAATATACGGTCGAGTGGGCCACAATGGGTTTACAAAACGATGCACTTTGTTGTTCGTCTATAGACGACAGCAAAGGCACAAATACAATAGATTTGAAGATTTTCCGTGCATCGTCGTCGTCAGATTCGCGGGCGAAGATGTTCAGATTGTGTACGTTTGTAAAAGGTAGGCGGGGCTGTGGGTTATTTTAGAAACCCGCTAAGGTTTGGCTGTGTTTGATTTGAATTTTCAGGTCTGATTCAAGGCGTTTATTCTGCGTCATTTCATTTTAGTTAGATTTATTACGATTTAGAGATTTAAAACGCGTGCAGAACAGAATAGAAATCATGCCAAATATCGCATATCGAGTCGCACGTAAAACACGAATATACAAAAGGCCTATCCTCGGCTGCGCTTACGTCAGATATACTTTCCATTTTTGATGCTCGTTTTTCATAATATAAAATGCATTCTGCAAATTTGAATTTTGAGTTGGAATATGACGTCATTTCTAGATATGAATCCATGTATTTAAAAGCCAGGCGACTGGGCATCCAGCATAAAAATATATTTCACAGGAACACAACATCGGTGGACATGTTTAAATAAGTTGCGTGTTATATTATGGTGAATGTGGCCATTATTAACAGCAGGGTCGACAATTTAAATATAAAAATCAAAATCTTTACTAATGTTGGTTTGAAAATGTATCATGATCGACGAAAAACAACTAAGTGTTGGTTAATTAACAAAGAATACCATTATAATCATATTACTTATTCTTACCTATTATTACTTATGTAAAATCCCTCTTGTACTGCATATGCATAAAGCACCCAGCCTTATTATGTCATTATATGAAAACAGATATACGGTATATGTATATACATATACAAATCAGGCAGTGTAAGCCGATGTATTGACTTGTAATCGGATTCTTAAGTATGAATTATGGAAAACTGAATCAGCTTTTTTATAAGCAGACAATCCCCGAATAAACAAGTTAAAATAAATTATTTATTTTCATTTTTTCCTTCATTCCTTGAAAATTACATATCGAGACAATGTAGGGGCTGTTTTAACTCGGACCAGTAATAACTGATAAGATATGCCAATTGCCAAGTCAGACATGGAACCCAATGAAGAATGAACATAATAGAATGATAACAGTTTTACCAAAAGTGTGAATTATGCATAGAATGCACAACATGCGAACACGTAGTACGACGCAGGTAGACTGAGACAAGTGAAGACTTACAGTCAGTAGAGATCTCGATAGAATAGCTGAGGCATGTACGGTAATAATTGAACGTTTCGAAGCAGAAAAGGCCTGTTCGTCTTATTTTTTTCCACTGGCAGATTTAAAAGTTTGTGTCTTAAATTTAATTAAATTCGAAATCATATTACGATGTATATTATTCATTCTAAATTTATTGGTGGAAATTGGAGTTCTTTTCAAAACCAAGGTAATGTTCATACTTTCATGAAAGGTTCAAATGGTGCAATATGTAATGTTATAAAACTGCAATGTTTGAATTGGATTGGATTTTTATTGAACATAAGACGATTCTGAACTAGATGATAGATTGCAAACTTGTCATCGACCGCTAAAATTACGGCAACTATGCTGCTGCCGGGTTCTCACAGAATAAAAAATTCCCTCGTTTAGATGGAAAATTATTACACGGGCCCTTTCAATTTGAGCACACATGAAGAAAGGCGAACTGAACCGTATATAATGATAAAATACGATGTAATTGGGGTATTTCATCAAACGAAAATTTAATTCATCACTTCAGCTGAAATGATTAACAACTTATTGGCTGATTACGTACGGGATAGACGAGAATCTGCTTTGTATCCATGCGACGCTTGAATGGGTTGTATTTATTTGCAGACGACCTATTTCAAAATCAAAAAAATTCCGAAACCTATCATTTTCTTTTAAAAATATCGCGCCAACGTCGGTGAGGCGTAGAACAGGTCTGGATAAGTTACGTAGGTACACAAGAATGCCAAAAACTCCACGATAGTTTCGTAAAATAAACAGCGATCAGCTACAGCCACATAACTTTAAAAACGTGAAGATAGCCAAAATGTAGCGCAGGTAGAACTAAAAGATCACAGTTTTTTGATTGAAGAATAAGAATTAGTATACAGATTAGTATAGACACTAGAGAAGGTAATAATCGTAAGAACAATACGAGAATGAGGAAGAAAGTCGGCAGATTTTTATTGTAATGTCACACTTCTCAAAGAATATAACAAATTACGAAAGTCGCAATTCGCTGCGCTGTAAGATATTTAAGAAAAATACAACAAAAATTAAGAAGGAAAGTGAATTTTAAAAAGAAAATTATCGGTAATGGCATTCATAGCATTATTCTGTTGGAAAATTCGTTTTCACAGATATCGGATTAGATTCTAATGACGGCGAGTTGACTCAATAAATTGGGAATATATATAGACAGATTTGGTATACAATTTTCCTGTTATAATACATCCTGCTACTTTAGGGGATTAAACAACTATTTAATTAACGGCGAAATGCTAATTACTCGCCATTGAAGATGACTGATCGATTGCTAGTAAGCTGGCTAGAAAATCTGCCAAATATTGAGTACATTTTCATATTAGTCGGCGAAAACAAATTGTCGGTAATAACGGGAGAAATATGAAGGGTGGATACTATCAAAACGAGATTCAAAAGTATATATTGGTGATAATCTGTGTATGCGTGTATGATAAAACTAGCAGAAAAGATCTACATCCTTAACAAGTACGGAAGTGTCGCTGAAATTCATCATCTCATTGTGCGTGGTCAAGATCTATTTTCTACTGGTGTGAACGGATACCATAAATTTTATGCCTAACTTTACTAGAGGCGAATTCTCATGTGTTTTTCTAGTGTATACGAGAATGCTCATGACGAATGGCACATCATTGTTTTATGAAAACCTATCACATGCTAAATTAGTGCGTTTATTGTACTAACTTGTCAAACGAATTAATTTGAGAAAATAAAAAGTCATAAATTTTTTTAATCTATTGACAATAGGAAGCGTAAAATCGAACCGATTTACGATGCCCAAATCGTCGTAAAGCCGGGAGAAGCAACCGCTGTTTTGTTTCGTAAATTGACTTTTACTCGAGCCTTTATTAGCCCCAGGCTACTGCACAGTGATTACTGGCAGCTTAATATTTGATAGGAAGTGACAATACCAAGTGGTCATACTATTTTATGAAACAGAAACGTAGTAGGGGTCAGTGAAAGTCAACAAAGTATAATAATATGTGTGTAGGCCTTAAGTTTGAGAAAATATACAGAGAAGAGCGGTACATCAATGATAGCCAATATTAGTTATTATTAGAGGCAAGAATCTTTTCGCTGGACTATTTATTTTGTTCGCTCAATATTTATACTGTAACAATAAGGGCTAGATTATTATTTTACGTCAGCGCAATATCAATCTTTGCGTGCGACCGATACTATATTCTGAGGATAATACAAAACTCAGATCACTGGTATTGGTATGACATATTTTATCTATACGCCAAAGACATGCTTGCGACCCTAACGAATTGGATCATCTCTTATTTCAGTAAAACATCTTACTTATATTCGATGCAAACAGTAGCGACAACGATCACATGGAATTTAATGTTAACTACATTAATATAAACAGGAACACGCTGCTGTTAAACATGATTTACCGACATTTATTTAGACTGAAATTATATACAGGTAATATGCTCGCATATTTAAGGCAAACACTTGTTATGAATAGGAAATGGTTTTAGTTCGGTGAAGGGGTGGCGTACATTATTGTTAGATTCAAAAATTAGGAGACTCAAGTTTGAGACCAGAAAATTATTTGTCAAAGACATGTTACGCAGGCAATTATGAAATATATATTGATTTTTGGGCATGACCAATGTTACAGGATAGATGTTGAGAACGGTGGTTGAAACAATATAATGCAATTGATTAATCGTGTTGTTACATTGTCGGTATCAATTTCGATTTGATGACTTCAAGATAGTATATTGGTATTATAGTATTGAATTTATTTTCAACGGATGTTGAAATAATATAATTCAATTGATTAATCGTGTTGTTACATTGTCGGTATCAATTTCGATTTGAAGACTTCAAGATAATATATTGGTATTATAGTATTGAATTTATTTTTCAAAAGTTTTTCACATTATCACAGAAAGACAAATCAACAATGATCCACCTGTATGATACATTGAAATTTATTTTGGATTATTCAGGAGTAGGGTATCACATTCCATTCTACATTATACTCTGATTAAGTGTGATTGGATTAACAAGGCTTTTATAAGCTGTCACTCATCTCCCACGCTAATTAGGTAAAATATATGACAAATACAGAAGGGAAAAAAGAGTCATAAGAAGAGTCTTAATTAGGTTCGACGATGGAAGAAATTCAGAATTCAAATTTTCAAACTTCCGAAATACGACCTGGTTGTCAGTTTAAAAGAAATTGGAAATGTGCAATTAGACAGCGATTGAGAATAAATTTGTAAAAAATTTCAGGCATTCGCAGATTGCAGAGACGCGGGTGCTATAAAAAGTATTTAGGTCCGAATTCGCAATTGCTCCAAAGTAATGTATCCCAGATATTGGGTTTCTCATTGACAAATCTGATTACGAGAGTGATGTTTATAAAAAAAAAAAAGTAGTATGACAAAGTAGTAAAATCCAAGAGGTGCTTATGAAAAGTAGCGAAAAATATAGTTCTGTAAAAAGAGATAAATGAATCATATGTAGAAGACTGTTGTGACCCCCCGGCTTATAAAAAACGCTTTTAGCTTATACTTTAACATAGATAAACGACATTGGTTGTTGGTTAGGTCATAGGTTGAGTTTCTTTTTATCATAATCAAATTCACACTATAATAGTTGAAGAACCGGCTTCATTTGGGAAATTAGGTTGCAAATATATCTGTGCTGAAATGCCATCGTAGTATGTAGCGAATACGTTGAGCTAATAGGAAATTTCGATCCGTTATGAATTAGTAATAAAAATGTAGTGTGAATCAGAAAAAAATGGGACTTTATACAAAAAAACATCTCAAAATCACCTTCCTCGCCGCAGACCACTGACTTATGTAGGAAGCCACAAACCGTTACCATACAAATGAATACTTTGCACGCGTATGGCAAATCTGGAAAACACTTCAGTTTGTGAATGGATGACTGGGCATGATGCTTTCGCAAGGATTACTATAGGTTGAGTGATCGTACTAAGAACAAACTTTATTGCGAATTACAAGTGGTTGCACTGCTAATCAAGCGTGAAAAATTTGGGCTCCGTAGACGAAGTTAATATTTGTGGCGATTATATGCTTGTCAAAATCAAAGAAGTATGTCTTAATCTTGAGAAAGTCCACGTTTCAGGCGACGTGAAGTGGGAAGAGAAAGCGTAATTATGTTCAGTTGAAGGAAGATATAAAGTATACATAGAAATTTAGGGTTCGGTGCAACGTTGGGAAAATGGGGAGGGAATTTGAAAGTTTCTGAGGGGAAAATTTTACTTTGTATTTGCATCAGTCACATGTACTAATATTTTTTACTTGTTTCCTATTATTGTGATGCACATATATATGCAAACGTTATAAACACGTGATATAGTACAAAGGCCAGAGTACAGATTGCACATACTCCAGCAAATATCCTATGAAAGATTGCATAATGAATGCAAGAGGGGTTTAATTCGTAGTGAGAAGGGAGCGGGAAACTGAAAAATAGGCGAAAGGAGGAATGTGTCAAAAAAGATCGGGGACCACTGGTTTAGTGAATGCTTCCATACGATAGTATTTTTGAATTCATTTTGGGCACGAGGGAAGATGATTATATAATCTAAAAAATCAATGTAAAACGAGAACAACTTGAATTGCGTGTTAGGAATAGAATACAAGCACATATAGAATAACGACGTAGGAACGATGATGTGAAATAACCCGTTGCCATGATGTTCACTAAGGTCAACTAACTGTGGCATGGTGCCCAACTACTTCATACAAATGTATAACTTGGATTGACGTCATAGGAAAATTAATAGAGCACGTTAATTTAATATCGGACACAAATATACCATGAGAGATGAGAGTAATAATACATAGGCGGATCGGAGGGAACAACCAGTTAGCTGTTGGGCTGATGCTTCTATTTACTCTTTGAACTACAATTCAAACACCAGCACGGTATTGTGCACGTTGCTTATTTCCCGCGCTCAAATTTGAACAATTGTTGCCACATGTACGCAACAGAATGTTCGTTTCATTCACCTCTATCAATGTCTACTCAGGTTACGTCATTGTTTGCCACATGGTTCGTCAACATCCCTGTAATTGTAAATGTTGGCCATGCCTTGTCTTATACCAGACCCTTTTTACGTTTTAAAAAGTCAAAGACAGGTCGTGTCATGAGTTCTTTATTAATGTACAGGTCGGGACTCGATTTTGAGAGTATACTTCCATTCCAAACATCAGCCCGACCACATATGATGTATATATAAATCAACATGAGGCCCGATTTGCGCTTGTGGCTTACTGGATTCGTGCGACAAATTGACAAAGACGCTATCATATGACTATTCATACTTAGACAATAGCTAAGAAACCACTTTCTCCTTGAAATCCTACAAATCATTTCATGACCGGGTCAATTCACGTGAATATTGCGTAAACGTTTGCTTCCTTCAGTCACTGATGAGTAATGTAATGGTATAATGAATAATCGGCATAATAAATCCGCAAATGCGCAACCTAAATGAAAAACATTTCAATTAACCTATTTCAGAATTTGGCTCACAAGCCTGGAGTTTTTGTGAATAAATGATTAATTGATTGATTGATTGTGTAATCCTAGCCTGAAGAACAATAATAAACGCTGAGTTTTCCTGTCACGCGCGATATCCAGAGCAAAATTCTTTGAAGTTTGAAAAGATATCTTGCTCAAGTGTATATCACGGAGTCAGACGACCAGTTAATTATTCCCACTTTCCCACTAGCATGCAACCAAAAGGCTGTAATCGTAACCTTCAGTTTCAACTATTTCAGCAGTCATGTCTAACATTGTAACAAATTGATTCGAACAAAATGATCTAGTTACGAGAATTTGGTAGAATCAAAAATCTTTTCACAATGTAAGATGACTCTGAATCAACAAAATCAAATTTATCCTATCCGCAAATATTTTCTGAAAATAGATTTAGAAAATCCATAATCAAATGCAAAGAAGATGTGAAAAATATCATATCAATCATAATATTACAGACATTTTGATTATTTTCATACCACGCATTGGATTTTTTGAACAATACACCTTCAATTTACTGCAGAAAGACAGAGAAAAATAAGCTGATTAAATAATATATTTTCCTTTCAGATTTTTATTTAATAATCTATCAGTTAGAAGAAAATATATATGGTTCAAGAATATCAATTATCAATTATAAACAAAATAAATCAGAACAATGAGAGAAGATTACACCTGCTTTCAACTCATAGGAAATGACTCTAGCATCAAGCGTATGGTCGCTTCCGTTTATTTAAACAACGCCAAAAAGCAAGAACAGACGATCCGGGTGAGTAAACTTGCACTGCAGATAATATAAATCAAAAAGACTACATATATTGGACCCACAGTAAGATACATCGTTTTGGTGAGTGCTAGACAAAGTAATCTTTTCTTCGTTTGTTACCTCAATGTTGACGTTGGGAAAACGTTTAGAATATTATGTCAATCAGAAATATAACGATACTAACCGCAAGAATAAGGCGGGATATGTTTAAAATCGTTTGTTTCGGCATAATGATACATTGACGAGGTGAGATTAAATCTAGTTTGAGACATAATAGGGATTTTAACGGCCAACACGAGATATACTGAAAAAATTTCAACTATGTGGCTATGTAACTCCAACATATCAAAATTTGAATATTGTTACTCAAACCATTCACATTTTTGTATCCATATTATGACAGACCAGAAAAATTTATTTGAATCATGGCAAGTTGGTCTCACCTATCATATACAATAGTATACCTTTATGAACACCGACTCTATATTTAAATAATGAGAAATCTCGTCATCATCTCTACCTTTCGATATCTCAGAGTTGATTAATTCTGTTTCAAAAGCAATCCCCTGTGCTTCGAGCATTATCAGAATTTTTTCAATTTTTTTTTTTCAGGTGTGTATATGCGATGATCTACCTCATATTGTGAGAGAATGCGACGAAAGTAACAGAATAGATACAGCACGCGAATTATTACAAGCTGATTTGTCGGTATCAGTAAATTACGAAAGAACTCTGACCGTAATTGCGTCCGAGATCACAACGACAGACGAACAAATCTGCTCGATAGAACCAAATTACGAAGTAGTTATCCCACCAGAGACAATATGGGCTCATGGGGCTACAGTTATAGTGGATTTCCAGGTATGCTATTACCCGATTTGGGAACTTCGAATAGTCTTGAATAGCTGATTCAATAGACTCGTATTTCTCTGTCTTTGAAACATTTCAAATACTTTCAAAATCTGAACAGGAAACAATCCGATTAGCATTATTGTCCCATAGAAGCATATGAAAAGAATGGTAGACTGGATGGTCTCACGAAATACATTTGACACATCTTATCGTTCAGGTACACATGTTGAAATCTAACGAAAATGCGTCTGTTCAAATATCAATCATGTCTCAAGATGATGGAGGGAACGAAATACCACTTAGTGTTCCTCCTAGAGCACATCTACTGTGGCAACCAAAGAATTTAGCTGGAGTAACAAAGCTCAGGGAAGCTTGGGAAGTAACAGGAGAATCGGAAATTCAACGAAAAACTTGGACAACTCGACAAGGCCCGAAGCCCTTTACTAGCAATTACAATAGCTTGGGGCATAAGTCAGTGACAATGCCAAGACATATGCAACCAAACTACGCCAAGGTGGATACATTAGTGCAAAGAAAAATGACCAGAATGCAAGAAGTTGAGGCAGAATTGAAGCGAGAGGAACAGAAGATGAAATGGGAAGAGGAAAGAAAACGACGAGCAGACGAACGGAAAGATTCTGCTATAAGCTCCTCACATAGTGATAAATACCACATAGGGAGTGGAAGTTCCGCTTCCTCCATACAGGATACAGACTGGAATGTTATTAAAGATCCCAGAGCAACCATACCAACAATCAACGGTGCATACGATAGTAACGGAGAACCATTGCCTGAATGGGCTAAAGGACTTGGCGAAGACTTTAATTATGATGACGTGGTTGTGGTGTGAAAAAGTTGGGTGAAAATCAGCGTGAATATGAAAACTAACCAAAGCACACCCCCGTTCCAGGAAACCGAACACGGCAGCATGTGAAAACAAGCCGTCCACGAGGTTCGCCTTGCCATCAAGAGAAACTGTAAATACAGACTGTGAAACGCCGGTTGTACAGTTCTGAAATGAAAGCGTTTTTACATTTTTTTTCAACAAGGTCAGATCCCCAATCAGTGTAGAAGTTGACTTCGTAAACCACTGGCACTGAAGCGCCAGCAAATCCGCGCACAAACCATCAACCACAAATGAAAAAAAAGATTCAGTATTATATTTCAAGCAGTGTTTCGTTTGATTTAAATAACTCCACAAACCTCAACTTTCATTTTGTTGTCAATCGGTAATGGGTAGGGTAGCATCATTAGGTATCATATTATGTTTTTAAAGTATTCAAGCGTCTGTTAACGGCAAATAATAATATCTCATTTTTTTCAAACGGGAAATGATTGGATTAAATTTACATATCCTTGACGGGAACATTAATTTGATTTTTATAATTTCTATAAATGATTTACTCAATTATGTATTGCTGGGTGACAGAAATTTGACAAATCCAGACAGCTTCAATATATCACTTGTTCTGGATCGTCAAGTCAAACACGAACTAATTCATTCCTTATCTATTGAGGTGCCGGAAGTCTAGTTGCAAACTCAAATTTCATCAAGTACTTGCATACGGACTAATTGGTCAAGTTTATAGAACTATAGTAGCCTTTAAACAAGAAAATCAAAAATTTGTAAATCAGATTTAAATTTGTGTTCGTGAATTTGACCGCAAACTGCAACATTTTCAAAAACAATTATCACCGTTTGATATAGCGGGTACCCTAACATTAACTCAGACAACAAATTTATGCATTTGAACTGTCCATCATATCTCATTATGAACCTTACCTAGGTAATAAATAGTCACTGCCATTAATAATACTACAATCTGTCAGTATTTGACATGAGTATCCATTGATTGATTACTGCCAACTATTAAGTCACTTTTTTAGATTTGAACATGTAAATTCGAATAAGCTTTCTGGGCACATATCATTTTCATGGAAATGATAAATGTCCGCAACTTTTTTTTTTAACAGAATTGCATTCGATCTATCATTATTATCATTTCATTACACAATAATTGATTGATATATGTTTTATGATGCTGCATTAAAGTATTATTTGAAGTATTCTATTGTCTTGTTTTTTAACTGGCATGAAAAGTTGCAGGTGCCTACAATATGCAGAATATTGACAGGAAGATGTGACTCATCACGCTGAAATGCTATTTCCTGATCATACCTCAAATGAGGTGCTAAGACTTATCGATGGAGAAATAAATCATACAAATCGTGACTGAAGAAATATGCCAGTAAGAAATTGCAAAATAAATGATCATTTAATGATAAGACTTTCTTTATTGTCAAGTGTTTTCATATTGTCAGGGAGGACAAGATAATTCAATTGGATATGAATATCATAAAGTCAGTAAAATCCCACTGAAAGAGTATTATTTAAAAAATTATATATCAATGGCTTACCGAATTTTTTGTATGGCATATAACCATATTCTTCAGAACATCAAATCCTTGAAGATCGATAAAGTCTTGACAATATTCATTGCGCACCATGAGCTTTGATAGTGTTGATGTAACTTCTTTTGCAATAGTAGGATCAGAATGATGTTCTGATTATAGAGACAAAAACTGCATAAGAAGATGAGTTATGACTTATACAGCATAGCCGATAGGCTGTGAATTATAGGAAAAAAGAATATTGAATAAACAGTCACGTGATCTGCATACCTTTTAACGCTTTAACAAATCTCTGGAGACCATCATGCTCTGTGACCATTAGTTTTGAATGCTCATGTGACTGGCCGAATGGTACTCTCACGTCGTCATCTAATGTAAGTGCGCGCAATGCTCCACAACATTCTCGCACCACATTCACATGATCTACAAAGTTAAAAGCAATAGATCGATAACAAGACAGGTTTTTGGACAATCAATTTAATTAGTTCAATTTTCATAATTCTTCACTTAAAATAACCCAAGTTATTGCGTGCAGATTTGATAAAACCTATTTTGTGATTCATAAAAACTGACATTAGGTAAAGATGATATAGGTAAGAGAGAAAAACACAATTTAAAATAACACCCACATATAGTAGTTAGTGTCTGGAAAATCAAATGCCTGTGACGGTTTCAAAGCTGCGCAGTACTCATATTGAAAAGAGAATATTGGTATAATGTGTACATACTACAAACGAAGTACCGGTATTCAAATAGGAAACGTTATGCAATATTGACATTTCCTATGTTTGAAGAGACATAGTGTTTGACAGAAAGGGGTCTGTACATAACATAAGTCACATTTACCAATGAATTTTTCCATAGACTGCATCAAGATATTAATTATTCCACATTTTACAAGAGCTTGCCTATTAATCTCTTGCATTGTGCTGATTCGCATGAAAATAGTACACAACACTTCAGCAGTAGATGCACATTGACATTCTGAACAGAAACAATTCTATTAGAATAAGCATATGGAAGAGTTAATTGGAAATATAAAGCCTTGAACAAGGAATACATCGTTCATAAATTTCATTTATCAATTTTTAAATAGTACATTTAGACATAATTGTATTGGAGAAAATATTTCAATCTTAAGACAGCATTTAACATTGCACCACAAATTAGACATTCTTTGAATGGTTTTGGTAGTGGGAAAAAATGGGAACTGAAAATCATTCAACCAAGCGATGCCTAAAACCAACCCAAGAGCACTAATTCAAATTTTGTGTCTGAGAATTTGGTGAAATTTGTGCAATTAGAAGCAAATGTTAGTTATACTATGATAAAGTTTTGCCAACTCATTAATATCATTGAATATTACATTTAATAGCTACTTATCATACAGTGAATATATACGGTAGCTTTAGATAACATTGCAAATGTATTATAATATCTCGTGGCATGATATTACTAATGAAATGTTCTTTCATATATGAATATTTATAATTTGAACGATGTATCTATGCTTTTCGATTATACAAGTTACAGCTTAGTTTACATTACATTATAGAATGTATTAAATATCGAAATTGCAATTTAAAAAGAGAGTTGACGCGCATTGTTGCATTTCTAAATAGTTTAACAATATAAAACTGGCTCAAAATAAATAATAATATCAGGAAATATGAATATTTCATATAAATCAGATTCATGGTGCCAAGATGTCATGGAAGACAATACCATAATTGTCTGAATGAATATTTGATAGAATTTCCTAGAATTGTTTAGTCTACAATGAGAAAGTCGCTTTCACATTAAGTGTACTCATGCGAAATCAATATCCAATTGCTTGCTCAGTCTTATAAATTCTTGTACAAGTTGATACTACAAACAGCATGTTCGGAGTCAATATTTGGGATGAATAGTAATATTATATCAGACAATATACTAAAAGGGCACAAGTTAATAAAAACCAACCAATTTATCCAATATAGCAATTGAGAAAAAACTGCAAAGTGTTCAAAATGAAAAAGGATGAATTTGGTTATTTACTTATTTACATAATCTCACCTCGTAAATTTGAAATGAAAAATTGTATATGTTCGTTAGTAGCTTCATCTGGCTGTCCATTAACAAGAGCGGAAAATGCCTTGAATGATTCTTTAAAAAAAGTGTGAAATTACGTATCTGTTATAAAAAGTCGCTATTAACACAGAATCGTTCGTTCAAGTTTCTTTAAACTTCGTACACACCTAACTGATGACATGATTTTTCTGTTGACATAGTGCAACACCGGAACAAAACATCTGTCACATTTGTAGCTTTACATGCTTGATATCTCTTCGACAAATCCTGTGAAAGTTCATCAGCAAGTTCCAGTAAAGGTAATTTTGTTGAATCTGAATAAATTGATGAAATTAGTGTTTTTCAGCATACAAAATAAGTAACAGGTTTAGGAAGACCAGAATGATTAGAAACATGTTTTACACAAGGCATAAAAAGGTATAAAGTGAAAAAAAATTATCGATCACCAGCAACATATATACCCATTTCAGGGTAGTCAAATTGAGTTTATGAATGTTCCTGTAGCATGTCTTCTGTTTCTCAAACCACTATAACACAGTTAGGAGTACATAATGAATCTGTGCCCAAACTAAAAAGATGTTAGACAAGATATCCAGAATCTCAACTCAATCATTACTGGATATCATTATAAATCGGTGGTTGAATAAAGATGAGAAAATCAACAGTTAACATATATTTTAACATCAATTACCTTTTTCCCAATTATCATCTTTTACTTTATCTGAGAGAGACAATATAAGTGATATAACTTTGTGCTTCCCATCTTGTGGAACTTCTTTTATAATTATGTTGATATTAACCCCCTGAATAAAAACAATTGACCATGTCATCAAGATCAAAAACAAGAATAGAAAAACAAATCTGCAATGAAACAAATCAATGCACCTGAGATTTAAACTGCTGAATTGCATCTGATAGTGCCTCTTCGGGAGGCATTTCAAACTCTTCCAAATTTTCTCGTACAACACCATCAAATGTCTCTTGAGATATTGTTTTCAAAACTGTTGTTTCAGCCATTGCCTTGCTGACTGATAAACTATTAACTCTAATACAATAATAGGTTCTTGAGAACATTGTAATAAGTCATGAAATTAAAAGTAAAATTGCACCAAAATACAATATAAAAAATTTGTGGCAAGAAATTTATCAGTACAAAAAAATAAATACATGTGGTTAGTTTAGCTTTAACCATTGTCATACTGCAATAACGCGAGTCAAAATATATCTTTGCATAAACCTAGTTGATAAGCTAATGTGTGTCAACATTCATAACAAAAGGAGAAGCAGGAAAATCCATTGAATCATAGATCGGGCACTTTTTAAATTCACATGGGGTAGAAGACCATAAATATCTTATTTTTTTCACGAAGTGAGAACACTTATTTGCCTGTACAGTGACGAACTGTTCATCATATTTAATAATCACAGTTGGGAGCCATTCAGCAAAACCTTTAGGTGACAAATCGCTTACATCACATCTGCTTTCAGAGCAACATATTTCAAAATTTGTTTTACCTATGACTTTTAAATTTGGATATTTATATTGCAGCAGTATGTTGCTTCCTTTCAAAGTTGCCGAGACAGGAAATGGGCCATCATCATGAACAAGAACTTTGTATACATACTTTAATGTCTCAGTTGCTAAACGAAACCCAACGTCCTGTTTATCTCTTGGATGTATAGAACCATATGGTGAATTTGGATCAGGGAGGTCCAGAGTAACTGCCATAAATGTGTTTGGCATCATTTTATTGGGAACGTATCCATAATCAGAAGTCTGATGCCATCTAATTAAGGGAAATCTTCCTGTTTCTTTTGGTGCCGCCACAGTACACAATTGAACAAAACCAAAAGGGAACTGAGATTTTGTTTGAGATTTAGTAGCCTTGTACCATGATTTCCTCCAATCTTTTATCATAGCAGGAAATGAGCAGTTGTAAGTATTTCTATGATAATGAGCATTTTGTTCGCCTTGATACCATATTGCTCCTGAAATTGTCATGTTGAGCAATGGGTGAATCATAGCATTCCATAACACACTGTTAGATTGTGGAGACATACTTATATATGAATTTACTTTATCCAAATTACAGTTCGCAAGTGCTTGTGGTGATGACCATGCTTCAACAGGTGTACCTCCCCAGTTACTGGATATTAGACCCAATGGTTTCTTTATTTTGTTATATATATTTTGTGCATATAACCAGCACACAGCTGAAAAATATTGTGCATTTACTGCGGAAGGGACAGCCCAAGCTTGCGCAATATCCACCATGTCATACAATGGGACAGGAGATGTAACTTGAGAAGCAGTGAATATTCTAATATCATGATACATAGAAACATTTTTCAATGTGGCACTGGAGTTAAATATATGACCTAATGGAAATTCCATATTGCTCTGACCACCACATATCCAAACATCGCCAAAAATTATGTTCGAAATGAAATATGTTTCTACTGCTCCATTATATTTGTGACTGGCCGAGATTGTGCCTCTTGTACCAGCCATTTGCAGATTAAAAGTAACTGACCATACTCCAGTACCATTTATACTTTCTCTAACAACAGTTTTGTACACATCATACACATTCAACGAAACCTCTACTGTAGCACCCAACATGCCATATCCCCATAAAATTGCACGAAGAGGTTCAGACTGAAGTACCATATTATCTTGATAATAAGATGCAAATCGGAACGTATGTGACTGTTCCATTACTTTGTAGCCTGTTCCTTCCATCGAGAAGAACAGTAATAAAGCACAGACAACACAGAACATAGTGAATATTAGGAACTTTGATGACAAAATCTTGGGCATCACAAGTTTTGAAGCATGATAAACCAATGAATTTCATGAATAAACTACTTTATTACAAGGTTACATTTAAGTTCATGGTCTAAAAAAAATCAGTAGCAACCAGACAATTTAGAAATCACTCGTCGAAGTTTTACTCAATCATTTGTAGAGCGAGCGAATAAACATCAACTAAATATGACAAGCTTTATCTTGATTTTATCGCCATAAATATATAATGACATCTTGTGAAAAATGTCTGTATTCTTACACTATATTATAAAAATATTTACATAACAATCATGTAGCCCATGAAATAAAGGAATTCTTCTTATGAGATGTTTAGATTACCCATAATGCCTTAATTCGATATACAATCAAGGCAAAGTCCCCCAAAGTATTTTGAATAAATTGAGCAATTCGATTTTCTTATTTAACATAACAGTATAATTTAAAACCCTATCAAGTAATTCAATTTTTTATATACCTAAATGCAATACAGAAGAAACAGGTATTATGAATAGAAAAACATAGTTGTAATCATTTATAACCACTTGGACAATTTTAATTCAACTAAAAATTCCACAACACCGGTGCAACGATGCACAATTTATTGACATCCATGTTTAAACAGAGTCTGCTATTACTATAATCCTGTACCATGTTGTTAGACATTATAAATATCTAAATTTAGACTGGGCCCAAATGATTTTCAGTATGGGAGAATAGGATACACGTTACCAAGTATGGTTGCATTTCAATAAACGCTGAACTTCAAATACGCGAGAATGTTTGATATTTTGGATCGTATGTATGGCATTTTGAAACCATCTTCACTGTACTGATAAAACCTGATTTCAAAGTAAAAATGACAATTTGTACATCACAACAATAATATCAACTTGAAAATACCCTACTCACAAAATGCAAATAGGGGGGTTTTCATTTTTACTATACTTTTAAACATACCTACCTAATACTAATCTTTTTTACCTCTCTGATAATCTATCTTCTTAAAATCTGACATAATAATTTGCATCCATCCTTTGCAGATTGCTGCCAGATTATAAGTAACCAATCCATGAATAAACCATGATTTCTATAAAATATTTATTACGAAATCTGAAAAAAATATGACACAATTCACACAATAAAAATTCCAAAAAATCAATTATATCTAGATATCTAATTAACATTATGGAAAAGTGAAGCAAATATGAAGCGGGAATGACGTTGACTCAAAATAGATTATAATATATATGTATACATGCATAAAAACAATGAAAATTTTAGGAGCACAAAACTAAAGCTTCAGTGGCACAGTCCATCTACGTCTCATGGGCAACTAAACATGAGCAAATTGTCAGAAAAATTTGTAGGCATAACTAAACTAATGCAGCACGATTATTCAATTCAGGGAGATATCTATGAACTCAAACTACAATAATTTTTAACGAACAATATTCGAATAGTTACTTAATCTACGTACACATTTAGAGAAGTTGCAAAACCAGATAAAAAATATTTGGAACATCCAACAACGTTATTGAATTGACAAATGACAATAATATTGAAAATGCAAAAACTCCATTTATTATGGTGTTTTGTTTTACGAAAAAATAGGGTGTCGAATATATTTCTATTACACAGTACAGCATCAAATTGATTACACAAACTAGAGATATCTGGATACCTTGTGCAACACCATGATCCACCATGTAACACATATTACTCAACATAAACTGAGAAATGGGTCTTAGTTGTCCCTCACATTATTATATAAATACATAAAAATAAATTCTGAATTGACTGACAGAGCTCCGAAAACAGTAATGAAATCATATAGAATAACTGTGCCTTAAAAGCGATGCAAATTTGATTAAAAAAAAGAAACTTAAGGGAAAACATATCACCACGCAAAACAATTAGGCAATACACACACAAAAAAAAACTTGGGAGTGGATTTATTAGTTGATTCCAGTTGCACAAAAATAAATGCAATCTACCTCAAACAAACGGACATTACATAATATAATAATGAAGCACAAATGTGAATTTATTCGTAGATACACCAAAGTTAACTACTGTAATAGTGAAGCAAGCATTGAACAGAATTCATTCAACAAGCATTAAATGTGAATAAGAATGGATAAATGGTTTGAAAATTCATGTGCAAGCATTTCATTTTTTAGTGACTTATTGTACATTATTAACTTCAAAAGTATTTATACTCGCAAGATACTTTTATACTTGCTTAATAAACAGTATTGGCAAATTTGAATTTTACCGAAGCAGTTATAGAATATGGGTTTATTAATAATTGGTTAATTCTAGACATGTGTGGGGTAAATAAGGGAGGGAGCATTGTTTGATAGGGAATTGTTGTACATTATTATCTTTAATGGTTTTAAAATTGAAAAATACTTTTTTACTAAAGAGTACTTTCTGTACTTAAAACAGTATTGATAATTAGGAATTTTTCTGAGGCATTCGTAAAATATCTTCTATTTTATTCTTGCTTCACATTAAATAAATCGAATACTTAAAAGAGTTAATTCTACACATGTTTAGGGTATAAAAGAAAGATCACCAATTATCCAATAATATAAGGACAGTCTGATTGTGGCTTACACTTAACAAAGAAGATAATGGGTACAAAACTTTCAAACCTATATTGTCCAACAACATATGAATATCAGCTATAAACTGTGTGTAAAAGTTATTATATTTAGTTGACTTGAGATTGGGAAGGATGATCGCAAGAAAAGAACTAAGCATTATACACAGAACAAAAAGGATAACAATAAACAATGCAAACAATATACGGCATTTAGCATGATAATTGCGGAATAAGCCACTAAAATGATCCAACGAAAAATACAACTTGAACAACACAATAAGACAGTATGATATTTTATTAAAAACATTAATTACAAAGATAATTTTATTAAAGAAAGTACAAATGGCTTTTTTTTTTACTTTGGGAATTCATGAGAAATATATTTTATATACTACGCCTACTGTTCCTCAATCTAGTTGTGACACCCAAAGTTTTGGACATCACCATTCTGTTTCCTGCCTATTTTCTTATAAATAGTAGTATTGCAAATTGCAATATATAAGGAAGTACTATTACCTACTTTTTGTTTGAATATACTCTTACCAACAAGGGAAATATTTGAAAATAATATTTTGGTACTGTCATATCCCTTCCCGATTCATGACCATTGAACCATTAAAAAAACTAATTTATTACCAAATATTTCTCTCTCTAAAATAAACAAATCTTAGGATTTTAATCACAATAATGGACAAATACACCTTGTTTACTGTAAAATTAACCACACACTTTAAGTTGGATCAGGAAATATTTTTCATTCATCAATTTCTACAAAAAAAAAAATCCAAATAACAGATTATAAAAAAAGAGTTGATTGGAACATACTGTACCAAATAATTGATAAAACAATAGTATTATTCAAACTTCATATTAGCATAGGAAATTATGTGGATTGAACAGTCCCTTTAGATTCGATTACTTCAAGCTCCATACTTGAAGGGATCAATTTGAGTTTGATTGGTTATTTATTGAAGGTTAAGACGCGCCATCATTTGAAATGTTTAGAAATAGCCACTTTTTTTAATAAATATGCCCATGCATAGGTTTGCAATAAATGCTTTCCCTTGCATTTAAATATTAAAATGTGCAAAAGAAAAATGCAATTGCGTTTCTAGATCAGTGAGAAAAAGTTATACATTGAAAAGTCAGAAGTTACCAGTGGATTTATACAGACAAATGATGGTCTCTAAATTAAAACATTTAGGACGGATCCATTTCTGGCTCACAGTTAGAATCAAATAACTGTGGCCAACACAGATACGTCTATTTAAGTTAGCAGGATATGGACTGAGGCAAGCATAACTCGAATTGATATCAGCTATGCTTGCTTATTAAGCTTGTTTGTCTTAATGCTTTGTTTTTATGGAGTTGCGTGTCACTTTGATAATGAAAAAAAAACTGTCCACTTTTTGTAATGAGTAGCTTCTTAAGTGGCTGCTTGTTGAGAGTGAGAAATAAATAATTACTTAATGCATTTAAATGCATACTAATATTTTCTACCTTTTTCAATTTTTAAACATTTCCCCTTACCTTCCTCTTTCACCAAAATTTTTTAAAATGTATGACGTGATACTCCAATATGTTAATAATAATAAATTAATGAACGTGACAAATGCTATTTGAAATAATGTATACCCATGTATGAAGACAAAGCGTAGCAAACTGCATATGCCAATGATCCCAAATTCTAAATCAGTACCAACTGTTTTAATATTTCAAATTGAGTAAGTAATGTAATAGTATTATTCAAGTACTTATTTATTTCTACCGTAAGTTATATGTATTTCAATGTTTTTTCAAAACATTTTTTGTTGTTGTCATAGTAATCCAAGTGCCCTGAGGCAAGACAATAATGAAGGAAAACAAGCGAATTCATCCCAATTTTGTAGTCATTTTGCATTCATTTATATTCACAATTTCATGTATATAAATTAAGACATTGGAGACAACATTTCAAAGTGCATAATTTTTGAGGTAATAGGCTCCTGTGAAACAATACAGCATAACTGATCCAATTTCAGTTGAGCTATTCTGCACAAAACAAACACACAATCAAATGCAAGCTGATACAAATTACTCAAAACTAAACAAAAAATCAAGATTGTATGAAAAATTTCTACTTATAATAATTAAAGTTATTATTTTCTATATTATCTAGGTTACAAAGAGCAAATATCAAATTGTCGAATAAATAAAATGTGTTCTAATGAGAAGGGCCATACAACACTAGTTAGTAGTTTTAGTTCTAGTGAAGATTTAAGCCAATGATCTTTCAATTAGATCAAACCATATGCCCACTCAAGTGATGAATTGTTTCATAATGAAAATGGGGGGACTTGGATAACTCTTCTACTTTAATCAGTATCCATTCAGTCAGCTTTTTTATTCTTTCCAATAAGTGTGTTGAAAGGGTAATCCCACAGCCTGCTTGAAATACCAAAACCAAGTTCAGGAGACTGAAAGTGGTGTCTGACGTGATATGCCCGAAGATTGTAAAAATAACTTCCCTTCGATGGATTACCATAATGCAAGTAATAGTGAGTGAGATCGTAAACCACATACCCTGTTAAAACGCCAGCTAATAAAGTGTGACGTATGGGTATGGGTAGGATGCCACTGAGTATAATATAAAGCATACCGCCCAAAATTGATGCAGGCACTGGGGGGAAGACGAGACGACCCTTATCAAATGGAACTTTATGGTGCTGTCCGTGAAGAAGAAAATGAAGAGTAATAAGCCAGTACGAAGAAACTGGAGGACTAGCATGAAACAACCATCTATGCAAAGCATATTCTAAAAATGTCCACATGAAGATTCCTCCAATATAGGCAAATGGGAGAACATGGATTGAACATGAAAAAGTTAGCGATTGAACATTTGGGAAAAACAAAATTTCAGTATAATTCCAATATGTTGTCAGAAGAAGTAGTAATATTACTGGTATCCAGACAATCGGGATCACATACCAACTAGTACTGGAAAAATATTCCACAAAATCACTTTTGAACAGTCTGAGACTTTTATCAACAGGACTATCAACCCAATCATGATATTTCTCTCCCAAATGTCCAACTTGCCACAAAACCGGCTTTGACCAGTTAACTATATCAGAGCTTGGTGCTTGCTTATCCACCTCTTCAGTTTTCTCATCCACTAAATCCCCAACATAATGTTGCTCTAACCATCTGTATGCATTTTCACTATGCTTGTGTGTACCTTTTTCCATAATTGTAGTGACATCTTTTCCATGCCTTTTTGTGATTACATCGCTGCCACCAGGATGTATACTGACAAACTTCGAGATGTCATAAACCTTTTTATTTCTTATGACCAATGTCTGTTTGTCACTAGAAATTTTTTCAAAGTCTTCTTTCGTAAATTGTGGCATATTTGTTGAAGTTTACCAAATCAAATTTGTATTTCGTTTGTTGAGGCCAGTGGCTAGTTCAATCACCAGGTTAAGTGTGATAATATTATCACTGCAAAATATGATAATACAGGATGGAGTTTAGAACAACAAGTTAATAAGTTTAACAACTGATTAGAACCATTAGAGGTACTGGTACATTTTTACAATAAAAATAAAACGGTAAATCTAACTACAAAATAAGGTTGACCACATTTATGGTCATTCAGCTAAATTTCATATTCATTCATGATATGTGAGCAATTATATATAAATCACTAATGGTAACTAATATTAAAATATATAATTTAACAAGATATCACAAATGTAAAAATTTTTTGATGTACAACTTATCCAAAGATGTCCCTGGATTGAATTTACTTTTAGGGTCTCCCTAAAACCAGGCACTTGCGAATTCAGGCACTATTTCAGGCACTTTGATATTTTTTATTTTTACTGTACGTCATTGAGGTTTTTAATTTACTTGACAAAATAATTAGACTTGATTAAATAAATTTTCGCATCCATATATTGCAATAAAACAATATTATTTCAAATTTATTAGAGTATAATTAATTTTTCAATAGTGAAATGTGGCAACATTGATTACAAAATATAGAAATCAGGCACTTGTATAATTTCAGGCACTTGGTGAAAACCTATTTTACAATGTATCTGATTACTTTAAAGCAAAAAATTAAATATACACACTTTGTATGATTGAATTTACAACATTTTGATAAAATTTGCCACATTTTACTATTGAAAAATTATTTATACCATGATAAATTGGAAATAATATTGTTTTATTGCGATATAGGGATGCAAAAATTCATTAAAAGTCTAATTATCTTGTCAGGTAAAATGGAAACCCCAATGACATACGGTAAAATTAAAAAATATCAAAGTGCCTGAATTCGCAAGTGCCTGGTTTTAGGGAGACCCTTACTTTTACTTTGCTTCAAAAAGAACCCAACCATGCTTTGCTAAAACTAACTTTAAACTAAAAGCGAGACAAGCACTCATATGCCATTAAAAAAAGGGTTCTAGCAAAGTAGGATAATGTACCAAAGTTAAAGAACCTGTACTGCTATAGTTTTCCTAACCTCTGTTCAAATACTGAATGGTCATATTGTAGAGACTTCAGACTTGGATTCAAAATAAATACAAGCAAAAAAAATCTCGTGCTTTACTGTTAGTAGACAATAAAGATTACATAACAAAAAACGTCACGGACAGTAGAACGAAACATGTTTTGCATGCACACCATCGCACATTTACGACACCTGCAGATATGAGATAGGCAGACCTATCTCTAACTTATGCCTGGTATGAGAGCAGCACGACAGTCGTATAATTACAACATGTATCCGCAGCTGCTACAGCTCTTTAAAAAAACAAATCACCGGCGAAGCTAATCCGGATGTAAAAACGAATTGTCATTAATAAAATTTGAATCCGCCACCTAACAACGCCAGACGGCCGCCAGAAATAGATAGTAACCTCGCCAGTCGAATGCACCGTACGGTTATCACGTGAGTCGAGCGCCGGCCAGCAAAGATTAAATCGGATTTATAGCGCCAGCATGCGGATGACGATGCTTTTCCAATCTCATAGTGAAAAGTGTGAAACTGGGAGTATCCACTATCATACTGGCAACACCAACAAGATTATTGCAACTAAAAATGACAAAACTGTCAATCCATAAGAAGAAGTGGAAAACTATTACGTGCTCGTTTTTTTGAAATGAAATTGTTATTGTGTTTATATAAATGTATTATGTGATATTGTGTCTATATAATGTGATGTTTTTATTAATAATAAAAAAAAAAGTTTTGTAGATCGAAAAACTGATCACATTGCTGGCCACTTGAATTGATCATGCTTTAAAACTTACTACAAATATTTGTCATTCAAATAATTTAGCCTAAAGATGTACGGTAATGAGCTGCCAAAATAGATGAATATTTGTCTGAGGCAACATATGGCTTTCAGACTGTGGCTAGAGATCTCAATAAACAACGCAAGTCATTAGAGATACCTGAGCGCCTAATTGTATATTCAGAACGTGACAGAAGCAACGTTCCATCTTTATGGAAAAATGAAGGGTCCGTCTTCAATAATTCGCGTATATATATATATACTTTCATTCTCGAGAATCAACGCCCAAACTCTTTTAATTTGTGTCTTATTATCGACGTACCTATATATTAAAACTAAATGTTTTGTGTGTCAAACGGATCAGATGATACATACATTGACTGTGAATCTTATTGGCGAATTTGGGGGGATCTGACTTTGATGACCTTATGGCCGTATCGCTCCCTCCGGTCTATACCGAATTGACTTACATATTTCGTATATATTTTTATTGTATCATTGCTTGCTTTCTGGTTGACGAAATAATGAATTTCTCTCTCTCTCTTTCCGCTGCTCGGTAATCCTGACGAATTCCACCGTTTCCACAGAATTTTTCGGAGGAGTAGGCGTCATTAACTGGGATTTAGGTTAAAAGCTTGGAACACAAGTAAGTTTTTTTGTTACACAGTATAATCTACGATGAAGATACAATTAGGCTACTATCCGAGCGCATTGGCTCATGGATACAAACGAAACAGACGTTAATTTCACTATCAATCATTGTTAAATTGTCGAGTAAACCTTACCTTTCGTCGGAAAAAATTTCATTCCCTTTCAGTTTTCAGCCTTTTGATGACCTCAACCACCTTCCGTCGTTGAAAATTTCATCCACTTCTGCCCGTTGGGTTCAACCTTTTATTGATTACGAAAGAAATTCAATCTTCTTCTCCATTTTAGGTTTACAACTCACCATTCGTCGAAAGAAATTTCTTCCACTCCTTCCTTTTAGGGTTCAGCGTTTTAGTGACTTAAACCACCCCATTTTCCACAGAAAGAACTTTCATCCACTTCTTACTTTTAGTGACCTCAACCACCTCACCATTTGTCGGAAAAAATTTCACCCTATTCTTCTTCCTAGGGTTCAGCCTTTTAGTGATTTCAACCACCCCACTTTCCGCGGAAAAAAATTCATCCACTTTTTCCTTTTAAATTTCAGTCTTTTTCATCTTTGGGAAAACTGAAACTTCTGGATTTCAACAACTTCATCGTTTTTTCCTTCGGCCTTTTTGAGTTCAATCAATCATCTTATTTTGATTCTCTGACATAAACAGCACAAAGTAAACAGACAAAGAAAATGCAGAGATATCTGGGAGGTGAGCACAACTTAGAACAACGCACAAATATATGGACACGTTAGACCAGAGCGAATCAGTCTTTACCGGTACCTTTGACGCTACCGGTACCCTCAAAAAAGTTCTGAATTTCCAGTAGCAAGAATTTTGCAGAATCAAAACGTACAGTCAGTCATCCCACTGACTAAAATCCGTGTTCCCATGGATAAAAAATAATACAGCAAAATTTTAGACGAAATATCAAATTTCATAGAATTCACGCAAAATTTTGAAATAAATAAAAGTAATAGCCTTCTAGCGAAAAAATTAATCTTTAACCACTGAAAATTTCAAAGCAATTGGTCCAGTATTCGAAGAGAAAAGCGACTTTTTAAAAACGTGTCAAAGAACAAGAACAACATAATATTGAAACGATCGTTATGTCCACTACGTGTCCAATAAAGTTAAAAAGCGTTAAAAGTACGTGACCACCCACCAAGAGGGAAAAGGGAGTGAACGCGATTTAATAAAGAAAAACAGCAAAATTTAGGTGGACAATTAAATGTAATAAAATTCTAACAACTTCTTCCATTTTTGATTGTCGAAAAGTCAACGATCCACATGTTCGTATCCTATTATGGTTTATTGAGAGAATTCCAGAATTAGCCATACAGCTCATATCATAGAAATTAAGCTGGTTTTGAATATTTGAATGCTGCAAATTCCGGGTCTGGAATTCTAGGCTGTGTATAGCACAAATTAAAGTAAAAAGCTATAGGAAAGACACAGCGTTTGTTTTTAGAATTACAAAAATTCATTAAAAATTTAACAAATATACAAAACAAAAAATGCATGGTTGAAAGCAGCATAAAGTTTTGAATATTGGAAACGGAACGATGAGTTTGTGAATAATACTCAAACACAGCAATCCTAGATAAGAGTGCTATGAAAGTAGGATCATACGGTACTCCTCAAGAAATATACTTAAAAAGTAGGGAAATTTGCACCACATAATGCCCTCTTCAAAAATATGCTAGCCATCATAGCGTGTTGCTTCAAGAAAAGAACGAAAATAAAGTGTCAAGCTTTATAAGGTGAAGATAGAAGATACAGGATTTTTGGCCCTGTGCGCCTTTGGGTTGTTGATAAATCGATTTATTATGGTGTGTACACACTTGTTTCATTTTGGCTTGAGCTTATGGCAGTATGGTAAAGGCTACGGAATTATTCTCGCTATTTGTCTATTTTAATCTGTAATTATATGCAATTCTAACAACATATCTAGGTTACTAATAAGTAGTGTACAAATGAACATTTTGGCTAATCCCAACAACTCTGACTTGCTGGTGATTGATATTAATGACAGCATTAAATTTTTGAATTTAACACATCAAAAGCCGAAAGTCGGAGTACTCTCAAAGGATGATTTCACCTCAACATCAGCATCACTGCCAAAGTTGCCTCAGCATGTAGACTTTGATAACGTTAGTTGCATGACATGGTGTTCGTCTTTTGGTACATCAACTGCAAACTCTGTGGCCCTTGGCCTGAACAATGGAAAAGTGATATTGCTTTGGCCTGACTTGGAGCAAAATCACTCAATAAATTTGAATAATGGACTTATTTATCAAGGATCAAAGCCATGTACAGCCCTGGCTTGGAATCATGGTCAGCCATCACTGTTAGCAATGGGAATGGACAGGAGTAGATCAGAAAATTCTCTTCTGATATGGGATCTTAGTTCAGGCCATGGAAGTGATGTTGATGATGCAAAAAACGGTAAACAAGCACATAGACCACAATATGAGACCTGCTATGCTGAAGCAGTGAATTCAACATTGTGGAGTAAAAACGACTCAAAAACTGTAATAGCTGGGGTAAGCAACAAATCATTACGCATGTATGATTTGAGAAACATTCGCTCGCCAACAAGTGCTGTTACCACACGAGCTGTGTTTGGTTTATGCCAAGATCCATGTTTAGATACCCAATTTGCATCTTATTTTGAAAACCAATTGTATACTTGGGACTACAGAAACTTCTCAAAGCCAGCTGCAGTTGTATCTGCTAAATTTAATATACTGAAAGCTGAATGGTGTCCTACGAGAAAAGGCTTGCTAGCTACTGTTTCTGGTAGCCTAAGTGATGGTCAGATTATCAGAGTGTATGATCTGTCGCACACCATGGTGACAGATAGTGATCAAGACATAGCTTATCGCCATGTGGAACAAATTGTAAAGCCTAACCTAGCCAGGGATGAAACAGTACGCACCTTTGCATGGATGGTTGATCAAAAGAATAAATTAATAGCAGTCACTAACACAGGAACATTACATTGTGTTAATGTTCCTGAAAGAATTTCACACGGTTGGACAAAGAATTCGATTTTAATGTCGGCATGTAGGGAACACTACCAGTGCTTAAGCTTTAAAAATCGAGCTGCTGAAAAGGCGATATCGTCTAATTCTGGAATTGAGCACATTATGTATGAGCGTGCGACAAATGGCTACGGCTTACATGATGTTGATAATCATGACACAAAAATAAACCTGGAACCACATAATGATGCATTGGTAGCTTTTTGGAAATGGATTAAAAAGGTAAAAGAATCTCCCAACGCAGATGGTATTCAGGATAGTAGAACTTCAATGAATTCAAGAACTCTGAAATCTTGGCATCCCAACACATCTTCAAACAATAAATTTTCTGGGTTGGTTTCTGAACTAACCAATCAAGCACCAAGCACTGCCCAGTTGGTATCTTGGCGAGGGATTTCAAATGTTGACCGTACTATTTATAGCAGTCCCCAAAGAACAAAAGCTTTGAAAATGTGTGGTTGGTCACCTCATTTTTTTAAGCTGGATGAAAATGATACTGGTTTCAGAAATCAACTATTTGCATGTATTGATGTAAAAAGAGCTACTACTGTTGCATTATGGCATCTTGACATGGGCTTGGCTATTGAGATACTCCAGCGACATACATCGAACAATGCGATGTCAGACCGAGATAGAGAAGAATATTCCATTATTGCAATGGCGCTAAGTGGATATACTGGACACACTGCTTCACTATTTTGGAAAGAAATGTGCAATAATTTACAGAAGTCAGTGACCAGCCCCTACCTTCGTGCAGCATTTGCATTTCTCAGTGGACAAGGAAACGGCACTTACAAAGATATAATAAAAGGTAAAGATCTGTCATATTTAGATAGAGTCGGATTTGCCTGCATTTTCTTACCAGATGATGTTCTGCTTGAGGTTTTAGACACATTATCTGAAAATGCTGTGGAGTTTGGAGACCTGGGAGGTGTGGTTGTCACTGGCCTCTCTTCAGAGAAAGGCATAGAGCTTTTGCAAAATTATGTTGATATGACAAAGGATGTTCAAACTGCAGCTCTCTCCTTAATCCAAACAGGATCTAATGATATTCTTAAAAACAAAAATGCTTGTCATATAATAGATGGATACAGAGATTTACTGAACTCATGGATGCTCTGGAAAGAGCGGGCAATTGTTGATAATGCCACAGGAAAAATGAATATCGGCCTTCGAACAAAACAGTCGCTACAATCTGTGTTTGTTCAATGTAATTATTGTGGTAAAAGCGTTAAGCACAGCGCCCGCATGCAAAATATCAGAGGGCGTGGTGCTGGTGCATTACAAAGCCATGGTATGACGAATAAAGTCACAAGTTGCCCCAACTGCAGAAAGCCACTTCTTCGATGTTCGGTTTGCTGCATGTATCTTGGTACTTCACCAACAGACTCTTATGAGGCATCTGATAATACTCAATGTCATGATGCTGATCTGGACAGCTGGTTTACTTGGTGTCCTCAGTGTCAGCATGGCGGCCACACCAGTCACCTCACAACATGGTTCAAAGATCATGTTGAATGCCCTTTGTCTGGTTGTGTATGTAAGTGCAGCTTACAATCTAACTGAATTTCATTTTATTCACTGTGTCGTTTTTCATTTCAAATCAATTTGCAATCCAAATTTTACATAAAATCATGTGCTATCATTTCATATATAAGCCTGTTTAATAATAGAATGATTTTTCCAAAGTTGAAAATTGCTAATCACAAGATTTCCGCCAGTCCTGAGGTAGCAAAGCAAGAGACATCACTATATGCAGTTTTGAAATTGCTAACTGAGAAAAAAATAGGACAGACAGTTCAGAATAATGTGTTGGTCATGTCCCACTTTCTGCTCTCACAGGGTTGCTCATAATATGCCAACTGCACAAACTTAATTTTTATATCAAATACAAAATACAGTCACATTGTGTGCAAGAGAGGATTACCAAATGCTCTTTATATCAAATACAAAATACATTCACATCATTGTGTGCAAGAAAAGATTGCTGGACTCTTTGTTCAATAATTGGTTTATTACATCAAATTGCTTGTGTCAGAATCTGCCTGACCCGGTGAAAATGTTAGTTTCATTGGAGCAAAATTGGCACTGGGAGAATCTGTGTCCATGCCAACACTATCTTGCAAGTGACTTGGGGTAGGTTGTGTAAAATTGACAGGAAGCCTTTCTTCTTTCCTTGAGCCTGCGCAAGCACGTATTTGAGATACCTGACGCAGAACTGCCATGCCATCTTCTCGAACCTCAGGGTATTCACGGCATTTGTGAGCATAATGAGTAGCAGCATCAAGATTTTTAGATGTTTTTAAATGATAATTCGCAAGATATAAATAGGCTTCTGTATGGGCAGATGTACCTTCAACAATGCCATGTTCTTCAAGCTGTTGCACAAAACGATCATAATAATGTGCAGCCCAATCTTTTTTGTCTTCTGTCTTGTACAACTTGGCAAGTCTAACATGGGCCATTCCTTCAATATCTCCTACCGCAACTGTTTTCCTGAAACACATCTTTGCTTCTTCAGGTCTTTGCAGTGCTTCATAAGTGTCACCCAAAGCCATGAGCATTCTTGAATCAAATGGCCGCAGTCTATGAGCTTGTTTATAATAATATAAAGAATAAGAAGGCATTTTGAGTAACTCGTATGTTTGGCCAAGACCATACCAAGCTCTATAATCTCTTCTATTTAAATCCACAGCATTTCTATAAGCTTGTATTGCTGCAGATGTATTTTTCACCTCTGTATATTCATGGCCCATTAGCGTCCATGCACCAAGATAATGAGGGTCAAGTTTGAGAGCCCTTTGAAAATACATAACAGACTTGTTATGGTTAGACCTTATGCTATAATAATTTCCAATAATGCAACATGTTTCTACTCTATATTTGTCAACTTGAGTGCAATGATGTGCCAAATGAGCTAATTCTGCTCTACGGCCTTTGACATAGTACATGTTAGATAATATATCCATATGCTCAATTCTGAATGGATCATCTTTTCTGATGTCTTCCAAAATTGTGATTGCTTCGTCAAATTCTCTTTTATTATGATGAGCCATTGCTTCTTGTGTTTTAATGTGTGTACTTTCAGCAAATCCTGCTAATTTCAGTTCATTATAAATTGGGATAGCATCATCAGTATTTATAAGATCAACATTAGTGAGTGCCAGAAAAAAATCCCTCATCCAGTGTTTTGGAAGATGGAGAGTTGCCAACATTGCTTGATCAGCAACAACAGTTGATAATTCATACCAAGCACTCCAGTTCATTGGATATTCACGCACCGATTGACATAGTATGTTAACTGCTTCATTTTGTTGTGCAGCTCCATCTGATGTTTTCTTTAACACAATGCCATACAAATACAGAGCAAAAGAATCTAGTTCCTTATTTTTGTGTTTTTTACAAAGTTCGACACGAAGTGTTCGTAAGTCTTCATTTTTCGACAGAGATCTTTCTGCTATATTGTGATTGTCAATCTGGCTTACTTGTTTGGTCTTTAGAGCAGACAGATAACGTGAATACACATGCAAGAAGTATCCTAACTTACTTGTATCTTGGGAAAGAAAATGTGCACATCTATCATATTCACCAAGATCAAAATAGGACTTCGCCAGAGTGAAATTATCAGATGGTTTTTGATTAGTATGTTGTCCATCAGCATCTACATCAAAACCAATAACAAATTTCCCACAGCCATCACCTCTTTGAGGTGTTTCAGGATCACATTTTAAAGATACTGACAACTCGGCAAGCCACTTGACAGTTTGAAGTAATCCTCGCGATTGACATGATTTTATTGCACATAAAATCTCATATTTCATATGCTTAGGTTTAAACTTATTACATATAGGAGCCATTTCTTGTTAATGGCTAATACAAACAGACAAAAGTAAGAAAAGAGAGGATGAATAACAAATTCTTACAGTTCAAACATTGCGGTTTTCATCTTTCCAATGGATGTATTTTTATTCAATAATTACAATATTAGTATGGTACTTAGCAACTATTTGGGACTCAAAATACTGAAAGAAGCTCCATTATTCCTTTAAACTAGAATTCATGAAGCTTGTTTCATGCAAAATGTTATTCTGATGGTAGCTTACAGAAATTATTTGGATAAGAATTTACATATATTTATCCCGGGAGAGAGGAAAGCCGAACTACGGCCTCTCGTCCGGTTACCATTTCATATCGGGTATCGTATGGCATTATGCTGTTATGGGATTAGTTGGATGCAGGGATGTTCAATAGATCTTTCAATTTTTTTCAAAGTAGTCTACTAAAATATAAACATAGGCTACTCATGATATTAATTAATATCTGCTTATTGTTTTATCTCGATTTCAATTACTTATCCATGTCCAAGAAATTACATCGAAAAAATATTACTTGTGAATTTCCACAACACTTTTAACAAATAGCTCCCAGTGCAAAAAAAATCGTATTTCGAAATTTCCAATAAGTCTAGTCACAAAATTGCGCACGATAGAAATCAGGTACCGTACCGCCTATGCCAAGTTTAAAAACATCAAAAAGACTGCGATATTGCACAAGATATTACTGTATAAACGAGAGATGAAAATCGCGCCATAACATTCGTCTCGTCCTAAATAATGAACATGTTGTGCTGCAAGGAGTCTAAATGTAAAGTAAATGCAGGTTGTAATTTCCCCCAAGTTATGACCCAAACATTTTGTATTACACTTAACGTTGGCAAAATTTCCGAGTTGGTGCTTACATGAAAATGATTTACCGGTACATGTTCATTTTGATTCAAATATTTTAATCGCCGGCCATCACAAAGTAGCCTACTGATAGCTGATTTTTGCATATTCTATAACCCATTTTCGAGACTATATCTTGCTTGATTGTTGCAACTAAACAAAAACCGCTGAGAAAACAAAATGACCCATTAATTATTTGGCATACCTAAATTTCGGAACACACCACTAAAAACTGAAAATACATTATTCTATTAAATATTGCTAGATTACCAGCATTATATCAATTTTTGGCAACAGTGTTTTTATATTAGCCTACTTTTTCTACATAATGAAGACATTAAGTTATCTTATGTCCGGGACTATATTTTTTATTTGCTGCAACTTACCTAAAACTACCAAGAAGTAAAAATGACCAATGAATTATTTGCAGTGTACCTAAATTTAGTGAAACACAACCAAAAACCGGCGAATACATTATTCTATCAAAATTAGAAATTGCAAAATACATACATACTTGAACAGACAATTTGAATTTTTGGTTTACGTGTCTTCATATTACATTTCCTACATAATAAAGACAGGCGCGGCGGTGTGGCTCAACGGGCTAAGCGTTAGGAATACGCTCGCCACCGCACCTCTAATTACTCTGCGTGGGTTCGCAGGTTCGAATCCCATGCAGGGATGGTTATGTGCGAGAGGATTGCTGGACTCCTCGCCGTCGTTGGGTGGTTCACGTAACCGCTGGTCGGTTACGGCTTCCTCCACCACCAAGTCCATGCTTCCGAAAACAAACAATACAGTAAAACTAATCCCATACCCGACTTGGAACGGTAACCGGACGAGAGGCCGTGGTTCGCCATATGGATAAGCCGTCTTATCGGCTTTCCTCTCCCCCGGGATAAATATGTAAATCCTATCCTATTAAGTTATCTAATCCCACAAGATAGTCTATGTCCCAAATTCTCCGCTAGAAGACGGCTGTGAGGAATGATAAAACGAAAACATCGGACGACACCGCGCCGAATTTGGAAATATATTCAATTTAGTTTCCTGTCAGCATACATTATTAAGTTCAGAATATATATTCAGTTTATTTGAAAAAAAACAGAACCTATAGTTTTGCAAACATTTAAATATCTCTATATAAACAGTGAAAATGGAGTAAGATTGAGAGAGCATGTTATCTGAAAGTTGGAAGATAGGTGCGTAGATATACATCATATATTAAGTCTACTCATATAGCGTTTTGATAAATGTTTGCGACCTACTCCGGCGAAACTTGCTTATATAATTGAAGTGCAATGACAAATACTATACATGCATTAGGCCTATTTTGTTTTCTTCAAAATTGTGTTTCAAACAAACGTAAAGTTTGTTCGTATGCAACGAAGCAACACGCATGGGAAGGAAAAGCCCTCAAAATAGCCGGACCAAAACCTCTATAAAACCCCTTTAATCCATCATTGCGAGCAATTTCTTTTACTACATCTACGATTGCGTTGTATCTACCATCTGGTGCAGTTTGAAATTTAGACTTCAGAACGTCAACCGGCATACCAATTACCCAGAAAACCATTCCTCCAGTACCTGCAGCCAAAATTGTATTTCGAATGTTCAAGGTTTCTTCTTCTGGGAATTTACGTTTGATATACTCAACCGTCGCGAAAAAAGCTCCGTTTCCAAAAATTTCTCTGAAGAGAGTCAACATAATGCCTCGATATATACTCGTTATCCCACCTGTGCGATATAGAGTCTTGAAACAGTCCCACAACCCGCTATATTTTTTGTTTGTTACCTCGCTCTGTATTTGCAATATGCATTTCATTCTTTCTCCAGGAGCTACAACAGCTGCAGCAAACGCACCCGACAGTGCACCAGCAAAAAAGACTTCTAGTAGAGACAACTTGTTTGTATAATTCCCACTATACCAGCGAATAGCATCTTTTCCAATTTCGTAACCAAGAAAACCCAAAGCCCACGAGGGCGTAGCAATGGCGATTGGTGCTCCCAATCCTTTGTAGAAACCTCTTATTCCTTCTCCTTTCAAAATTTTGATTGAACAGTCTAAAGCGTTTCTGTACGTTCTTTGTGTAGATCCGAGAAGTGAATGGGTTTGCAAACGAACTTTAACTGTATCGAATGGATGTCCGCTCACAGCTGTGGCTACACCACCGACGCCACCAGCTACTAAATTTCTCCATGGATTTTGTTCTGTCATGATTGTCCGAATATTGTAAGTTTCAGTTAGCCTAACTGTGATCCGAACATTTTATTTGTTGCTTTGCACAAGAACTACTACTTTTTTCGGTTACGGCGTTACTGTAAAACTAATCAATTTCATTAAATTCTGTTTCTATCGAGTTGAAATTTGTGATAATTTTTGTATTAACATTTTATCGAATTGACGACATATGTGGATTGATTGAAATTTTTGCAAGGTACACACTAGTCAAGGTTAATTTTCTTAACTTAATGGAGCATTTTACTCGGCGAGATGATGTTTGATGATTACTCAAGAAACACACTGATATTGACTTTTTTTTTCGTTCAATAATAATGTTTCCTGTTGCGTTATTGACAACAAAAACGATTAATCTTTCCATATTACCGTCGTCTTCAGAAGACGCCTTAAGAAGTCATTAGAGGAATGCAATTAATTAAAGCAGTAAACATTGTACCCAGGAAAGAGTTGTAATGTCCTCAATTTTATAGTATATGTATAAAAGGCATCGACGTTGCCAGTGGTTGTCTATTGATTCGAGTAAAACTATGGGAAATTTTCCGGTTCAAAATTTGTCTGATATTGTCGAATCACGTAGGCCTACAAACTCTTATTTAAAGCTAAGTTTTCACCTACATTTGAGTTATTACTCCGCCTTCTGGATTATTCTTCAATCCGGGGTTATTTCGAGTGTGAAAATTTAATTGCGATTATGTTAACAAGTTGTTCTTTTGGTATTATGTGAGTGGAAGTTTGTATGATATCAACTTGAAAATAGTTGCAAGTATGCATCATTATTTTGCTCATGGAACCTATTACAAATTTGGGTTGAACTGGAATTTTATACTTTTTTAGATCCTGAAATGCTAAGCTGAAATAATTGAATTACGCCTTGAATAGCGTTGGTTGCGAATGCTATATATACAAATTCAAATTTTGGATTTTTTTTCTGATTTCGTAGTAATCAGTAAACCAGTCTATTTTAGACAGACTCAAATTTGAAACGAATTTTAAAATCTGGATTCGACTTACGACTCTGATCATTCACAGTCACGTATACGACAGAAAAAAATTTCGTTAGACGACTTCAGACCAATTTCGTTGAATAGAATATTTCTAAATCTGGCATTGTCCAGTTTAACTTCTGTGCTTCCTGACTACGTCACCGTGACCTATATGAATATATATATAAGCGTGAACAATCGATGTCGTGGCACAGAACGACGAAAACAAGTAACAATGGTGATGTCAGGGTCAAGTTTACTTTTCCTCTTAGCCGCGATTGCCGTGACCACATCGGCGGCTGCTAAATGCAGAAAACTACCAATGAGACCTATTGAATGGACACGGGTAAGATATACGTATTCAAAATACTGTAATACAACCAAAGGTGTTTTGCAAGAATTATAGAATTGCTATCTGCGGTGAAATACAGTTTATTTTGTTCTGATGTAATTATAAATTGACTAAAATATCTTATGTAACATAGGCTACCAATTGATATTCAATATTTTTTACGTGGATAAACGGCCAACTGCAATTGCAAATTATTAGCACGCCGTACAAAAGTAAAGAACCATTACAAATGTATTTCTGCGAATTATTTATTATAAATCAAGTATAAACTGATAATAATAATAATTTTGTAATAAATTTTTTTTCAGCTTTCTGGCATGTGGTACAACACCTTCAGTCACAGAGGCGATCCGATTCAGCTTGAAGGACTATGTAACAGCATGGTGATAGCCGGTACAAAGGGTTACGATGGAGTTGCTGTCGTCAGAAACGTTATGCCTGAAACGTACGATATTTATTAACTCGTTGCATGCGTTGATCGCATTTTCAATAACATTGAGTGACATATAATAGTATTGTGCTAAGACCAAGTCACAAGCATTTACAAACGAATGATACAATGGTGATACCACGACTAAAGCTACTACTACGTTCTGGGTTACAGACCCATTGTAACTAATACCCAACATAATCAGATGTGTACTAAGTAACGGTTACAACACATGCAATTTTACAAAGAGTATGTACAAGGGGGACATGTATGAAATTTTTTTCTATGCAAAATTCGTATACATACCATTCAAAGTTTTTTATTTGTGATATCAAATGTTATCATCCGAAGTTTTTACATTAACTTGTTAACAGAACTGCAAACATGGGAGGAGAACAAGTATTGGCAAGTGTTCCTGAGTTTTTCACAAGCTTGGATCCCGGTGTTTATAAGCTCGATCCTTCTTCTCGTAAGTTCATTATTACTCATTATTTTTTATTAATCGCAGGGTGAATCTAAAAATGACGGAAATATATTTAAGTTGCCCTTTGTTTTCAGAACTAAAATGGATGGACATTCACGAATTAGAAAAACTGATGCCCAAAAACAGGATTGCTTCCTTCATGAATGGTAATCTTTTGACGAATATTTTTCAATAACAAAGAATTGTTTAGCGCTGTATAAAATATAAAGCAATGGTGGATCTATCTTGAGTTATCATAGATTGTGTACAGTCATTGGTAGCTCATACTTGATCGAAGTGAAATATTTGAACGCTTGATATTTTTCTGCATAAATATCAAGTATTACTCACACCCCGCTCAAATAACAACCACATTCGATAACAAAGTAATCATATTCCCATGTCTGGCTTTCCACAAAACCAGGTATTTTTCTCCAGGCAGTAAGGCTATTGCAATAAATAGGAATATGCTATATTCCAATAAAATGTTGCATAAATGTTCTGCATAATTGACGAACTGAATAATTACGAAATATGGAATTTATTTTACGTTCACAGCAATCTCCAAGCATTACACTAACAATTTCCAAATTACCACCGGGAAAGGCTTCTTCATAATCCATCAATGTGATTGCTCGGGTAAGGCGCTTCTCGAATATATTATATTACATTATAAAGTATAATCATTAAGTTTCAATTGTACACATAGTAGGTTCTGCCGTTTTAATATACATAATATTTTTTATTAATTAATAAGTTCATGGTCATGTAAATGCTTGCAACTCAATGCTTGACTTGCAATATTTTCAATAATCCTCGTAACTACATTACAAACCTAAATTAAAATTACACTATTCCACATTGTGAAATATACAAAGTCAGTGCGACATAATTAAACTAAATCCATTTGAACCATAATAAAAAAATTTCAATCGGTCTAATATGATTATAAAACCAATGTTATGTCATGCAACATTTCATAAAGAATTCCATAGGTAAAATTGACTATTGGTTTTTGTTTGAATGTGGTGGTGAAGCCCTTGAGAAGTTTATTTGACAAATAAGGTAGCGTTGGCATTGGTGTTCTACTATAAATATACATTGAATAATATCCATTTAACAATTACGTTCGACTTTTTGCAGCGGACCAAAGCTCAGTTTGGGTTTACACCACAAATCCGAATCCCACGGAAGAGGAGACCGCCTATATTCGAGATCATTTGGCAACAAAACGTATTGATGTAGATCTCCAAAGAAACGGAGCCTGCTTCGATTCTTTGACTTACATTTACGAAAAAGCCAACGGAATCAAGAAATAGCTTTTAAATTCATGTCAATATATATAGAATTAGTATTTCTGTATTATTGTATTATTGTTTATATAATTGCTTGGGAAAATCTTTTTCTCGTTTCGGACTTTTACTATTGTAATATGAATTATGATTTCTACCTGAACGTGGATTTAAAAATGAGAATAAAACTGTCATTCAAATATATTTTGTCGTGAACGATGTGCTAGACTCTGATAAAAAGAAAGTGAATCTGATAGGGAAATGGATGTGAAGTATATCCGCAGAAAAAGTTAATAAAACTTGATGCCATGAACGCCGCGGTCTTCGAAGACGCCATCAAAACTATTCAAGACCTGTATGGAATTGATATTTTGTTGCCTTAAAACCAATTTTACCCCTAATTTTTTAATTTATAACACCGAGTGTTTTTGAAAACGTTATGTTGTTCGGTTTAAATCCCATAAAGCAATACTCAGGGCGTAATTTTACTCGAAATAGCAATGCCGAGTTATATGCATAAGAATGTCGCGCGTGCATCGGTGCCGGTACGATAAGTTCCTAGTTGAGTACCGTATTTGCTTTGAGATCGGTGAACAAGCGCAAATGTTTCCCCATTTTTATAAACAAGCGTTTTCGTGAATTGAAAGAAAACAGAAAAATTTTGGGGGAAACATCCGAGTGCCATGAGACCCAAAGGAAGCTTGAAATAAAAAATGAAAGTATAGGCTTTTGATAGCTTGTTTTCGTTGTATGTTCAGCTTATGATTAACGCACAGTCGTATATATGTGATAGAAGCGAAGAAAACACAGCTGGGCGAGTGACTAATTACTCCTGTTTTTTGCATAGCAATACTAGTTAGGAATTAGGAAAGCTACTTAGCCTAAATCGCCACTTGAAATATATTTTATTTATGCGGACGTAGAGAGCAGGTTTGAATTTTGAAGAAATGATACAAAATAACGAATCTACTTGAACATTTTTATATCAGGCGTCATAATAGTCCTGCGCTACAATGATAATTCATTATGACGAAACAATTGAACAAATTTGCGTATCATACAAAATCTCTATTTTTATGGGTTTCGGAATTCTTAAAATAAAATCTGAGTTAACAGACAGGTGCGCAGCATTACATAAATACCTATTTTATGAAAAATTCAAAACCGCCAAAAATGACTTACGCAATTCGGTTATTAGCGTGACGCCACGTTTACATGGCAAAGACGCGCAGTCTAATTATTCTGATGGAATAGAAGTTGCTAACAGCCGTGTAATTTGTATAATTTCCAAAGTACCGAATGCTTTTTTGATTTTTGAATTTTGATTGTATATTCAAGATATAATATATATATTCCCAACAAGTCAATGGTACCAAAAATCTTTATCTTTAGTTGTCCTGATCAATGCAGCGTTTCCCAACTTGGGGGGGGGGGGAATTCCTTCCCAGCGAGAAATTTTCCCATTTTTTGGGAGGAATTTTGCTTTGTATTTTCTGTAGTATTATTCATAATCTTTATTTTTTAATGCTACTGTATCTATTTGCGTATAGATAATGAACTACTCAAACTATACAAAAACAAACGAGAGTATGACTTGCGCATAGCGCTAAGAAAATATCCGTGAAAATTGAACAAATGAATTAGTTTTGTGCATGGGGATGGAAAATAAAGAGTTCCAAAATAGGTGAAGGGAGAAATTCACCAAAAATCATTGATCTGATAATATGTTTTGAGATGTTGATTAACGAACAAAAATGGGAGATTTATACTATTGACTTGCAAAATCCGAATCAGACTATCTCAAATTTAATTCAACGATTTGGTGTTCAATTTGATCAATTTAGAGAAGGGCATAGGGGGTGGAGAAGTAAATAATCGTGCTGTAAATATATATATATATGTCCGATTAATCTCCAGACAATGCCTTCATCAACGCCCCAATAATAGATGTTTGACAATATATGCCAAGATCATTCATTGCTCGTCCTGCTTATGGGGGGTCAGTTGTCTCATATCGTTTCAATATTGTCTGAATAGAGCTGTCGACTGTATCTCATTGTTTGAGATATAATTTTTACCAGTTTGATTTCTCCTCCTCACATACATTTGTAGATAAATACTGCATTCGACGTAACCTACATTGTTTCCACGTTTACCACAACTGTTTATGCCATTAGTAGTACTCTGACGATTTTTCAAAATCCAACAATCGCCCATATAATACGAATAGGGCCAGAAGTTCGCCTTCTTATTTGTTAAATATGACTGTTCTCAACAGAGTTCTCGCAACATTATTTCAGGAGTGTTTTGCCATTAACCAAACACGTAGTGCAATATTCAGGTTCAAAAACATAACAACTGAACACATACAGTTTTGGGTTCCAAATTAGTATATTTCTAAAATTAAGATCACGCTGTTAATAAATTTAAAATATTTATGTGAATACGAAATTCCATGCTCTCTGGATTTCATTTTCGTAACGAAAAGGTAAACATAGTTATAGATATTGTCAGGTGTATCTATATTCAACTAAAGTCAATATTAACATCAAAACCAGCCATTTGATACACAAATTTCATACTTATTTAAGTCCAATTACGTTAAATCGGTTAGTTTGGGGTAGGACGAAACATGAACTATTGTAAATAACACAAATCAGCACATTCATGATCATGAACAAAATGATAAAATGGGCGGATATAATATCTAATTGGAATACTTAGTCCAAGTCTATAGCTTTCTCTCATTAAAAAGCGCATAGCTGTCTATGCCTTGACACGATCGGGCGATATTTAATGTTGAATTCCTAGTACAGAGACACCAATTCTATTTTAGGAATTTCGATGAAAAATTCGTAACGATAAATTTTTTTTTTGATTCAAAGATTTTAGAAATCCCAATTTATTTACATACCGTAAGATTAAACGGGAATAAAATTGAAAATGGAATACACGCAAGTAGGATGTAACACCTAAAAGTATGAGTTTGAAATAAAAATGAAGGTATTTATTGGGTGAAATCTGATGTTGAATGTTCATAAATACAGTAACGCAAAAATTCACACAGTTCAAAAATGATTTTCCAACATCCCTAAGTCGTTTTGAAAACAACTAATATAGTTGTAAAACTTGTTGTAGTGTTCAGTAATTACCATTTTACAGTTTGCATACTGGCTATCCTACTGAGCTGTATAACTATTATAATTAGATCTTTAAACGAACATTCAATATATTTATGCAGTAAAATAAATGGTACCATTTCAGTGGTACTGCTTGGATATTAGTCTTTTTTATTTCTGAGTGAGTTCTTTGCTTCCAGAAAATTCTCTTTGAAACAAAGTTGATCCCAGAAATTTAATATATAATAATACATGTATTTATTGTACTGAGAATAGTCACGCTATTCTTCTTCCTTTTAAAATTAGTCATTTTTCACGTCAATGTTTTTAAATATATTGTTTACAAATCTATTAGATCCCGATTCGGACTTGGTAGACACATTGGCTTTAACCCAAAAGTTCGCGCCAACCAATTCCAATGTGTTTAGTTTGGATGGAAATTTCATGAATTAGTTTTTAAAAAAAATCGCGTCCTGATTGAGTAGGGAGTTTTGAACTTTGACAAATAAATGACAATAATCTGATCAAATCGCATAAAATGATGTTTACGCCAGCGTCATTTGTGCTTCGTAATATACATAAGAGGATAACATGACGCTGATAGCTCACGTTTCAGTCACGTACAACGCAAGTCCAGGTAGCACGTACTACGTCACGCAAATTAAATGTCCATTACAATTAACTTCCACGTGAAGGTCAATAATGAATTATCGGTCTGCATGTTTTATGATGTCACGTCAAGGGAACGAGTATCCTCATTTTTTTCGAACCTGTCTGACAACTAATCACAGATTAGTCTTGAGAAGAAATTTTCAAGTTGCAATGTTTGCCAACATACTGGCTTATGAAAAATTGTTTTTTCTTTTGGAATGTGTCAAAAAGAATATTTAATTGTTTAATTGATGATTCAGATACTTTCCAATAATTAAATATTTTCTATTATTTACTTTTGAGCGTATGTCCAGAGTATGCCGCCAAAAATATACTAGAATACATACTAGACGACAAAGCAATTGCGAAATGACTTGATGTGAGAAATAAAGTAAAAGTACTGCGTGCAAAGTCAGTGTGGTACTAATTTCCAGTTTAATTGTCATAAAATGAGTCATTGTCTTACACAAACGGGACAAACTATAAAGCACTAGGGAGTCAAAATACTTTTAGCTGAAGTTCAATGATTCACGATTGTCGTTAGAAACAGCGAATTCTCTTTTATTCAATGGATTCGCAGATTAAAATATACCTGTACCACAGCACAATAAATCAACAACAATATTGACTTAATTACGATAGCAAGAATTGAAGATTCTATATATATATATATATAATTACCTTTTTTGTTTGTGTGCAGGCAGTGAACACCAATTACTCATTTTGAATTATAACACAAAAAATATATTTGCAAGTCACGCTCAAATTTAAAAAAAGGTATATTCAAATTTAGAAAATTCTATGAGGTATAAATGAAATAAAAACAATATTCTGGTTATTTCCAACTGCACAATATTGCAGTTCAGTGAAGCAACGACGATTCCATATTTATCAGAATTTCTAAATAAAATTCAACAAATTTAATGCAATATTATGTTGAATAATATTTCCTGTATGATCTTGTTTCGTGTTATGTTCGGGAATCAGAAGACAGTAATTATTTTTGCACAAAAACATATTTTTCGCATTTGAATAAATTGTGGCATAAACCGTCATCAGGTCAAAAACTAATATTTTAATGTTGCTGTGAGATGAATTGTTTATAAATTAACAATTTGTCAAAAATCCGAAAAGTTACCCTTTTGCACGCAATGATATAATGATGTAAGAATTGATTAATGTTCCTGTGTCCTCACCCAAAAAAATCAGTAGAATTATTATGAACCTTCTTCGTGTTTTACCAAATATAGCATTGAAGTATATATATATATTTTATTGGCCATATTGATTGGATAATGAAACACTTCTTCACTCCTTGGGAGGTTTAGCAAGACAGATAAACATTTGGCCAGTATTTATGATTTATATCACAACTATGCTGATTGGCGGTTTCATACGTCACGATACAACAAGACAAACAACTCTTGTAATCGCACAATATATTTCTGCCAATTTGACAATATCTCGTTGACTTGAAGAGGTTATTAACTTCAAGGAAATGTCTGCTATTATTTGATGGTGGTAAACTCCAACAATCTACCTCAAACGATACGTAGATTCACGAAAAAATGGTACATAGAAGACATGCCAAACATCACGTTGTAACAATTTGAATATTAGACGTAACATATTGCAATTGTACATCGGTATGACGGGGCAGTCGCAATTTTATCGTCCCTACAATAATGTCGATTTTGGGGGTATTCAATATGTAACTACGCCACGAGTTATCTTCTATTCAGTAATAGTATATCGTTATTACGGAAAATTAGCTGCGGGTAAAAGGGGAAGCTTGTGGAAAAATTGTTTATTCGTCTGCAAAATTGATTTCAAGCAGTAATAAACGTATTAAATTCCCTGTGCAAAATAGGCATCAGTTTATCAGAACACTTTATTTCACCATGAAAGCAATCAAGTACAAAATGTACATAATCTAACAAACACATTCTAAACATAAAGATATTAGATCGAATATGTTGTTGATATGAGAGTAAATCTACACAACACTAAAAGCTACTAAAATATTTTTCAAGTTTACACAAATAATAAAAACAATGTTCAATTTTATTTCGGCCCAGATCCTTTCTCGAAAATACTGTTGATAGTGGCAACACAAGCGTCATTCTCCTGCAACTGAGCGTTGATTCTTCTGTGTGTCATGTTATTTTCAACGTCTGCCTTCACTTCTTCGTCTGGATTCGGTATTTTTGTGTAAACCCAAACAGAGTACTTCCCTGTTAAATATCGTTATAAATTGATTACCACCTTGGAAATATACAGATTTCATTGGAAAATGCCTGAGAATATGAAACGTCTTCCGGGTGGTTAAAGATAATTATAGCCATTCAAACGATTGGGACAATAAAACCTGCGATTCACATTCGCGAAAAATTTAATCAGTATGTTTTAACTCACCTTCACGATTGCATTGGCTTATCATGAGGAAATTTTTATAATTAGTCGTTATGGCGAAATCGTTTGTGTAATGATCTGAAATAGCTGAAAAATAAAAGAAATTTAATTTTATATAGAATAATCATAGAATAACCAACAACAAAAATTATATTTTGAAATGCATTATGTTAAGATGAATTAAAAAATGAAGAGAACAGTTCAAAACATCTTACGATTTAGTTATCTTGATCTTTTTGATAAAAATTACAGATAACAAAATATAAAAAGTTTGAAATAATCTATTCATCTTGAAGTCTCTACCGTTCACATAAGAAGTCATTCTCTCTTTCGTCATAATTTGTTCCAAAATCTTCGTGTTAATCCATTGTAATTCTGAACCAATTAAATTTTTTTTCAAGACTATTGGGTTGTAGATCATCACTATTCTTACTTGTTAAATATACTAACCAGATGATTTGTCTAGTCTGTAGATTCCTGGGTCAACTGCGATGAAATATTCTGTTACGCTTCTGGGGTCGACATCTTTTTTTCCATCGGGCGTAACTCTGAAATTTTTTTAAATTTAGGAAATGTGTTTAAATACTGTATTTAAAAGAAATAACACATCTCGTTCAATAGATATTGTTTTTTTTTTATTACAAAATCATGCTAATTTGACAAATTTTGTTTGGCGTTCCGGGTACGTCAAGAGAATACGTATGCTCTTTCCCCCAAACCTGTCTGACAATTAATCACAGATTACCCTTGAAAAGAAAATTTTCAAAGTTACAATTGTTTGGCAATTTACTGGCTTATGAAAGATTACTTTTTCTTTGGGAATGTGTCAGAAAGAATAATAAATTGTTATAATTACTAGGAAGTCAAAATTCTTTTAGCTGATGTTCAATGATTCGCGATTGTTATTGGAAACAGCGAATTCTCTTTTATTCAATGTTTCGCATGACATAATTACGATAGCAAGAATTGAATCAATGTTTTTATATGATTCTACATTTATTTTTTTTTAATTTGCGTGCAGGTAATGAATATTGATTGCTCATTTTGAATTATAACACAATAAAATATATTTGCACGTCATGATCGAATTTTTTAAAATGAATATTCATATTTAGAAAATCCTATAAAGTATATAAGAAATAAAAACAATATGATGGTTTCTTCCAACTGTACAATATTGCTTTTTAATGAAGCAATTCCCTTATTCATCAGAATTTCTGGCATAAACTGTCATCAGGTCAAAACTAATATTTTGTTGTTGCTATGAGATGAATTGTTTATAAATTTACAATTTGTCAAAAATTTGAAAATTCCCTTGCTGCACGCAATGATATAATGATGTAAGAATTGAATTATGTTCTTATGTCTTCACCCAAAATAATCAGTATAATTATTATGAACCTTTTAAGTGTATTGTCAATTATGAAATTGAAGTATACGCATTGATTTTATTGGCCATATTGATTTGATTATGAAACACTTATTTACTCATTGTGATGTTTAGAAAGACAGAAAAATATTTAGCGAGTATTTATGATTTATATCACAACTATCGGCATGATTGACTGTTTCATATGTCACGATACAACAAGATAAACAACTCTTGTAATCGCACAATATATTTCTGCCAATTTGACAATATCTCGTTGACTTAAAGGTTATTAACTTTAAGGAAATGTCTGCTATTATTTGATGGTGGTAAACTCCAACAATCCACCTCAAACGATACGTAGATTCACAAACAAATGGTACATAGGAGACATGCTAAACATCACGTTGTAACAATTTGAATATTAGACGTAATATATTGTAATTGTACATCGGTATTATGAGGCTGTCGCAATGTTATCGTTCCTACAGTAATGTCGATTTTGGGCGTATTCAATATGTAACTACGCCACGAGTTATCTTCTATTCAGTAATAGTATATCGTTATTACGGAAAATTAGCTGCGGGTAAAAGGGGAAGCTTGTGGAAAAAAATGGCATTGACGCGCATGTTAGAGGTGTTCATTGTTTCGTATATATTAGCATAATGGCGTAAATGGTATTTCCATGAATTCTGAGAAACATTCAGCTGTTCAAAGACACCGAACGAACAACGAAACTTTGCTAAATTCATGTCCCAACTCGTAAAATGATGATTTTTTCTCACTTCATCGGACCCGGAGAAAAACGAGCTATTTCTCACCCTGAGTCGAGTGGATATTCATTTGTATTAATTGTTTATTCGTCTACAAAATTGATTTCAAGTAGTAATAAACGTAATAAATTCCCTGTGCAAAATAGGCACTAGTTTATCAGAACACTATATTTCACCATGAATGCAATCAAGTACAAAATGTACATAATCTAACAAACACATTCTGAACATAAAGATATTGAATCGAACATGTTGTTGATATTAAAGTAAATCTACACAACACTAAAACCTACACTTGAAATATTTTTTAAGTGTACACAAATAATAAAAACAATATTAAATTTTATTTCGGCACGGATCCTTGCTCGAAAATACTGTTGATAGTGGCAACACAAGCGTCATTCTTCTGCAACTCAGCGTTGATTCTTCTGTGTGTCATGTTATTTTCAACGTCTGTCTTCACTTCTTCGTCGGGATTCGGTGTTTTTGTGTAAACCCAAACAGAGTACTTCCCTGTAATATATGGTAAGAAACTGATTAACACATTGAAAATATATAGATTTCATTGGAAAATGTCTGGGAATATGAAACGTCTTTCTGGTGGTCAAAGCTAATTATATTATTGAAACGATTGGAACATTAGAACCTTCGATTCACATTAGCGAAAAATTGAATCAGTATGTTTTGACTCACCTTCACGATTGCATTGGCTTATCATGAGGAAATTTTTATAATTAGTTGTTATGGCGAAATCGTTTGTGTAATGATCTGAAATAGCTGAAAAATAAAAGAAAAACAACAAAAATTAGATTTTGAAATGCATGGTAATAAGATGAATAAAGAAATGAAGAGAACAGTTCAAAACGGCTTACGATTTAGTTATCTTGATCTTTTTGATAAAAATTACAGATAACAAAATATAAAAAGTTTAGAATAATCTATTCATCTTAAAGCCTTTACCGTTCACATAAGAAGTCATTCTCTCTTTCGTCATAATTTGTTCCAAAATCTTCGTGTTAATCCATTGTAATTCTGAACAAATTAAAATTTTGTTTAAGAGTATTGGGTTGTAGATCATCACTATGCTTACTTGTTAAATATACTAACCCGATGATTGGTCTAGTTTGTAAATCCCTGGGTCAACTGCCATGAAATATTCTGGAACGCTTTTAGGGGCAACATCTTTTTTTCCATCGGGCGTAAGTCTAATTTTTTTTTTCAAAATTAAGAAAATGTGTTTTAATATTGTATTTGAAAAGATAAAAATTATTGTTAAATAGATATTGCTTTTTTATTACAAGAGCATGCTAATTTGAGAAATTTCGTTTTGCGTTTCGGGTATCGATATTTGTTACTTACATTTGTGGCATTACGTTCCTCACGACTGCGACACCATCATGTCCAAAAGATCCAGCTACGACGATGCTGTTACAACGTCCTTCTAATTGAGTTGCATCTTCAACGTGGCTGAATGTGTTGTACCATATTCCACTAAGCTGGAAAAAAAGAAAATATATTTTTGCATCAGTCCGAACAGTAAAATTGTCGGATTTGAAATAGGACAGAAACTTTTACTACTAAACAATACAAAAAGAGGATTCATTGTTTATTCATGTGAGGTAATTTTAAAAATATTTAATTGCATTACTTTATCCCAGTTAAGAATTCGCGCTTTTGCCAATTTGCATTGTTGTGCAGCTTGTCCGGGGTTCGAACCCACTAAAAACACGAGTACAACAACTGAAAGCAGTTTCGAAATCATGGTGAAGAAAGTTGTCAGTGATGTCAAGTTGATCCTCGGAATAACAATGATAAACGTTTAGCCGACTATTTTATAGGTTTACCGTTAAACATCGATCACGTTTATGGGCACAAATATGACGCATACGAAAAGCACGCGAGCAAAGATTTTCAAAGAATTCAGACATAGACATAAATTACGTATATTTGTCTGATTAAAATTGTAATATCGTGGACGAAGATTTTTGATACTTTGTATTTGTTCGCAAGCATGAGCGTATCTCGATATGAAGAAAAGGGCAACACGATTTTATGACTTGGTTTGATATGGATCGAAAATGCTCTTGACATGCAGTCACCAGCATGTCGATATGTGACATTTAACCTACTCAATTTATCACACTTTCGATAATATGATTGAAATAGAATTTATACACGAATTCTTGAATTTGCCACGTCATCTTATTTATATTCAACGTGCTTATGAGATTTTCAATTTATTGCAAGATAGGTTGTTGCTATTTAACCTTTGCTATCCCGCCGAATAAGAGAGATATTATGTCAGCTTTCATAAAATCCTAAAATTTCCCTCTTTTATATTAATTTATATACAGTCAATTGGAATAAAATGTTAATAGAAAACGCATGCTCGTATAGACAGCCAGTTAAAAATGAAACGCTAATTTTAATAGAAACCGCACGTTGTTAGAGGCAACTAATCTTCCGAAATTTTTGAGTTTTCCTAATTGAAACACTTTTGTATTACTACCATAGTTCTGGAATCGACGGAACTTCAATGGACTTTGGTTCCGCTATACCCGGGTAAGAGAGATATATGAAACATAGAATTCACGGGCTTGCTAAATAAATAGTTTGAATTTTGGATGCACAAGAAATAAGTAATACCACGTGACGAACGCACACTGAAATTTCGTATGTATGTATCACGTCAATCTTTTTAAACAACGTATTTCAGCTTAAAAACCAGATCATTCATTATTTCATAAATAAGAAATTAATTTATAACTATTAGACTAGTATGCCAATGTTTAGTTCGTCAACGTGGTAGTGCAGAGTTCCCGTTAAGTGCGATGTTCTCATCCGATAAATATTGCGACTGTGCGCCAATCGGGAGTATATATCTCCTTTGGCTACCTATATTATATTTTAAGACCGGATAAAAACTAAACTCGAGTTTTTATCTACAATTTGTATATCAAATTGATAATACAGGAAAGTATACGTGCTTCCGTCGCTTGGTACTAAACGTTTTGTGATAATAAGTTGTATTTGCCGATAGACTTGAGCTTCAAAAATATATTTTGTTACTTGCCTTGATTCACCTCACAAGATCTCACTGATACCAAGTCAGCTACTCATATTTAATTGTTTAAATATTCATTAACGCCCGAATCAAATCTAATTAGTTCATTTAATTCCAAGTGGTGTTATTGTTTAGTCATTCACCCAAACGATCTCAAACAATAATAAACGTATTCAATTCCTTGTGCAAAATGTTTATTGGGTTATTACAACATTATATTGTATGTATTAGACTAGACGTTGAAAGCAAACAAGCACAATATGTACATAATCTAACAAACATATTCTAAACATGAAAATATTAAATGAAACTGAATTGTTGATATTAAAGTGATACTACACAACATTAAAAGCTGTACTTAAACTATTTTGGAAAGTATACACAAATACTGAAAACAATGTTTTATTTTATTTTGGCTCAGATCTCTGCTCAAAAATACTGCTGATAGTTGCAACACACCCGTCATTCTTCTGCAACTGAGCGTCGATTTTTCTAAATCTCATATTATTTTCAATTTCCGTTTTCACTTCTTCGTCAGGATTCGGTGTTTTCGTGTAAACCCAAACAGAGTACTTTCCTGAAAAAGTGATGAACATACTAGAAATGGTAAGATTTTCTATTGCTAACTGTCTCTTGGGTTTCAGAGCTGGTTACAGCCAATAAAATGATTGGATTATTTCAGCTTGTCAGTTAGTTTCGCATGGCAAAGAAAAATGTATCTCTTGTCAATTACCATCAACCTTGCGCGTTAAAACCCATCATATACAGACCTTATAGTCGATACATCTGAAGGTCATGAATTGTAAAAAAATGACTGCCACGCAATTGAATAAAAAAATATGTAAAATTTCAACAAAAATTTATCGATGTTTCAACTCACCTTCGCGATTGCATTGACTTATCATGAGAAAGTTTCTATAATTAGTCGTTACGGCGAAATCGTTTGTGTAATGCTCGGAGATAGCTGCAAAGAAATAGAAAATGATTTTAGATAAAAAATTTAGCAACAATAACTCGTATTTGATAATGAAGGATATGTGTTCAGATGGTAGCCCGCTTCAAGTTTTTTTTATATATTAGGTCGTAGTTATGACCGATTAAGCGGTGTGATATGAAGAAATAAAAATATATATTCCATTTTTTTTTCTGAAGACGACAGTCATGTACGCCTAACAATTTTTTTTATGTTGGAAATTTTCTAAAAAGAATGTGAATAACAAAATATAAAAAACATTAGGAATGGATTATCTATCTTAAAGCCCCTACCGTTGACGTAGGAAGTCATTTTATCTTTTGTCATAATTTTCTCCAAATTCTTGGTGTTGATCCATTGTAATTCTGAACAAATTGAAGGATTTATAAGATTGTTAGGTTGTAGATTGTAGAACATCAAAGTACAAAATTGAATGTTTATTAAATATACTAACCAGATGATTGATCCAGCCTGTAGATTCCTGGATCAACTGCGATGAAATATTCTGCTACGCTTTGTGGGGCAACATCTTTTTCTGTATCGGTTGTAACTCTGAAAATATTTTGTATTCGGAAATTGTGTTTTAATATTGCCTTTGAAAAAGATAAAATAACTTGTTCAGTAAAATTTGTTTCGTTTTTCGTTAAAAAGCGTGTGTTAAAGTTATTGATATTTCGACGTTCGCTGGACTTTACGAACTCACTTTTGTGGCATTACGTTCTTCACGACTGCGACTCCATCATATCCAAAAGATCGTACAACGATCATGCTGTTACAACGTCCTTTTAATTGAGTTGCATCATCGACATGACAAAATGTGTTGTACCACAGTCCATCAAGCTAAATACAAATACAAATATTTTTATATCAGTCCCGACCAGTAAAATTACAGTAAAGTGTAACATAACACAGAAATGTTTATTGCATGCAAACAAAGTATAATAATGATAGACATTGCAAAAAAAGATTCCTTGTGATTGACACTGTGAGCATGATCACTTTACCTTATTCCAGTTAAGAAGTCGCGCTTTTGCCAATTTGCATTTTTGTGCAGCTGCTCCTGAATTCAAATTCAGTAATAAAACTATTACAACAACTGAGAGTAGTCTCAAAACCATTGTCAACGATGCTGTCAAGTTTACTCGTAGAATAACAGTGATAAACGTTTAGTCGATTGTTTTATAGGCAACGTTGAACATCAATCACCTTTATGAGCTTAAATATGACGATGACAAAAAGCTTCGAGCGAACATTTTTTCAAAAAAGTTAGACATGGACATTAATTACTTTTATTGTTTATGATTCATATCGAAATAGCAAAAAGAAAGATGTTTAATTTTTCGTATCTAGCCAGAAAAGTTTTCATTGTAAATCTTGCAAACATATCTTTATAAAGCGAGCGGCAATGCGCTTTTATATCTGTGGTCGAAAAATGCTCCAGACAAAAATAGTGACATATACCCAGCTCAATTGATCATAACCTCGATGACGTGGGATTCAACCCGGATATTTCCGACGTCTCATGCCGTCACATTTGGGTCCATGATGCTGACGAGAGTTATAAATTTATTGCAAGGCAATTAAACGTACCTGAATGTAATATTGGTTTCCTTTATATTGGTTTGGTCGATATGCTTATTTTATATTATATTTATTGTCTGTTATCAATTCAGTTCGTCGAATCGCTCAGATTGAGTATTGTTCGTCGTTTGATAAAATATTGACACCATCGACACTTTCCACAATAATGGAATGTGTTCTAGCTTCAAATATAAATACCATCCATTTTCTCGTGATGAAGGAAGTATCTTATCACCTCTAACTCTATAAGCAAGTAGGCTAATATTTATTTCGCCGACATAGTAGTTTCAGTTTGTTTTTCGGTCCCGTGCGACAACCAGGCTATATATATATATATATATTATATTTTTAAGATTTAATCGGCAGTTTGCATATCAATTAAATTGACAATGGGATAATATGCACATTGCTTCCGTAGTTTCGTGATAAAATTTTCGTAACAATTGACGATAGGCTTAAGCTTCCGAGTTCCGAAACGAATATTGTTACTACTTTTAACCCAAAGTTTGTGCATTACTTAATATTTTAATTTTCAGACCTGACGTTTCTTCAATCGCGGAGTGTTTAGACAGAGAAATACCATTTCCGTCGTGCATGACGTTTTCATTTTCACTTCCCCTTTTTAGGGTGCTTTGTTTCGCGATGGTAGATATGTGTAATTTGAGGGCAAGCCAAACATGTTTATGGAGTTAGCTTTACACATAGACTCATCTGTTTTGGCAGTCATCAGATTTCTAGCGTATTTTCAATAACTAGAATTGAGACTAAGATTTGAAGTTTGCGTGGTTTTCTTGGACGACGAGATCAACTACAGTTGAATTGAACAGATAAGTACGTACCGAATGTGCAGCAGGTATCTTCAATATGTGCCAAGACGCCAAACCGCAAGTGAGTTTGAATACAAAAAGCCACTTATTCATAATATTGGATAAAAAATTTGAGACAGGTTTCGAAGTTTTGTGCTTATATTCAATCGAAATCAGTATCATATTTTTAAACCCGACAAGTCGAGTAGTGCAAGTAGTCGAGAACGTAATCTAAATTTCGGAATCCGTACCGCTCACATTTTAAAAGGTATACAAATATCATTTCTTACTCTTACATGAGATTATTAATTTATTTCTGGAACAATATTGCTCAACTTTCATTGCGAAACAATTTTTGACCCTGTTATGAAAAACCGAGAAACCGGATAAATCGTATCAAATCAAGCTATTCTCATTGCTGTACTTTGCTGATGTTCATAATGTCAAATTGCTATTTCAACTACAATAACTTTGTAGCTGCTACATAATCTCAGTCGTCTTTGTACTACTCTGTTGCTCTCCTTCTGGGGTTTCCTATTGCGTCGATAAGGAAATGACTTGATGGTGATGGTGCGCATTTAATTTACTAATATTCCCTAATCATCTGAATATTGTAATAATTCGTTGATTGACTATAGCATATTTTTTATGTTAAATGTTTCTGTTCCTCAGATTCCAAATCAAATCGATTGGGTACTGAGATACATAGCTCATGCTGTCGGATTAAGTGTGCTGATTCTTCCATTTGGCATGGGTCAACTGGGCATTTTGCCATACTGGTAAGCAATGTTTATTGGTGCAGTTTTTCGTAGTTATGCCGTTTTGTATAACAAAAACATATTTATCGCGGAGTAATTGTATTTGGTCAAAGTTAATGCCTATTATAATAACGATTTTTATTCTCATCGCCTAATATGTATCAGTTTACGACGTTGAATATATAACTGCATTCTTCAAACTTGGTTTTCTATTGTTCACGTGTGCCCGTTATTTGTTTAGTATACTTCTTCTATTTGGGACGTACTCTACAGGCCATTCCCTCATCTATTTGAGCGAGATTGTTTCGGATCAATCTTCGGATCTAATACCACAAAAAGGAATAAACTACACTAATTATTTTGTATGGTAACTCTGTATATCAGTAATTTACATCATTTTTTGGGGGATCACTAAATGAAAATTTTCGTATTTGGGGAAATATCAATGACGCGCTCGATATTACAATAACGAGTCATATTTCAAACATGTTTATAAATCCGTAAGTGGCTAGTTAAATTTCCGTTATTAGTTTGCTGTTTAGCCATTGTCACAGAAATGAACCTTTCTTAGAATCAAATATGTGCTCATTGACTTTTGATTTCTTTTTAAACATAAAATATTATATCAATTATTAAAAAAAAAATGGGATAAAAATTTGACGCGGAACACCCGAAGGTCTTTCACGGAAAACCAGTGTTCTGTAAAACATCAATTGAAAATCACTGCTGTATATAATAATAAATTTCGCGATAACGTCATGAGCAGTTTTATTTAAATTTGTTAAAGTTTAAAGATCTTCGACGTGGTTGACGTACATAATGCGACTATGTGGTTTACTACTCCTGCTATTGTCCGCTGTGATATTTCGGCTCACTGACCAAAGATAAAGTTTACCTAGGACAGCCCTTACGGTTCCAAGACTGCAGTGGTGCAATTCATCAACATAAGCAACGTTTGGAATTGAACAATGGGCCCTGTGATAACAATAATAAAATTATTGAATTTTTTGAAACACTTTCATCTATTGTAGCCTAAATAGTGGCATTGGTTACGTAGTTGGGAATAAAAATGATTTTTTGTTTCAAAATGCACCGCATTCATAATTCATTTTCTGTCTGTGTTATTTTTTCTCATAAATTTCAGACTATCATCAAGCATTATCTGCCAATTCTCGACTGGCCTGCTCGAATTTTATTCATTTTTGACGTTTTAGTTTGTAAGTACTCACTTGACTTTTAAATATAGAAAATAAAAATTTACACGGAAGCACTGAAATGCCTTCCACTCTATATTTTACTGAATCAAAAAGGAAGAGACTGGGATCAATATTAATAATTATTTTTAAATGCTTTTGGTTCTCATTTATATCTGATTCTGCTAAGATTTTGTAATTGACAGCGGAAACAATCACGTTTGAATGTCTCAAAGTATCTTAGATTCCACCCTCTCAATGTATTGTTGACATATTTGTTCGACTTCATCTGTTTCTTAAACCAACAGCCAGTTGTCATTAACTCGACACAAGGTGTCACGAGTTTTCTATTCTAATCAACTGAAGTAGCTTGAAACTTGCAATTAAAGTCGGAATCTGCTCTTGTCGCTAAAAGGCCAAATCACCCTTCTTGATAACAGAAACGTTGGCAGTTTCTGTTTGACGTTGCGGTCGACTATGTAACTAACTACTGCGTAGTCAGCAGTCTTACCGCGGTGGCATAATATGCAGTTATTTTTTAAACTCAACAGCCTTTATCAGCGTTGCAGATGTATCTGTTTGAATATATATCCAGAGAGCCGACAACGATTGTGATACCTTAGTAGTAACAGAGTCCAAACATGACATATAACACTGATAACATCAAAGAATGTTTATTCTCTGTATCAACACTTTTTTATGACAAATAAATGACCCACTGACTGTTTTTGTCGTTGCAGGCACTGCATTTTATTTCAGACTATTGGGAATGATTGTATTGCTAATGCTGTTTCCGCTCGACGAACCTACGAAAACTAGGTAATGTATAATGCCTTGCGGATAATATTTTAGTGTTAGTGTAGACAGAGGTGAGTTATTTATTAACCATCTTTATAGTTTCAAAAGATTGATTGCTTATCACTTGCTACAATCCAAATATACCCTTAATTAAATATAAAAAATATTCATATGTAATCAATTTATGTGTATAATTTCCTGAATTTAATTTTCAACTAACAATAAAGGATTCAATCTATTAAGTCTGCTGATGTATCAAAATTGGATTGATATTCGGGTAAATGTAAGGTTTGCTACACGCTCTTAAATGGCTACTGAAAGAGGCTATACGTTATTTTGAAGAAGTGTAATAGGTGTAAATTAAAAAATCCTAATTATAATTTGAGCCATTGTCAATTTTAATCGACTTATATCCGTTCAATATTAGGTTTTAACCAAAACCTTTTTAAAATTTAATTTTGATGGGAGTTTCAACCCAAAACTTTTTCGTCATACGAATTTTCTTGAGTTTCGGTAAATCTTCATTTGTTGTTTAGTATGCCAATACGCCACTCTACCTCATTTTATGTTATTGTAACAGTATTATTCAGAAGTATTGAATAGTATCTATTCAGGCCTCGAAAGTAGTTTTTCTGATTTCAATAAATACTCATAATTTTATAGGTTAGTTTTCACATGAAGTTCGATGAGAGTAAAATAGAAAACCTGAATGTTAATCAAATCGGTAAGTATAAACATATAATAAAATCCAGCTCAGTTAAATCTAAGCCTTTTTGAAAACGATTCAATTTTGTATCAGTAGGCGAGCTCCCGGTCAGCGCAAGACAGAAAAGCAACCATCTTAATATGGAAGGTGAGTATTCTTCCACATTTCTGAAATTATTATTGAAACTAGGGACGAACTCTGGTGTCAAATACAAACATTCCACACAACATTACTCTCTGAGGGGTGTCTACGTTTATACAATCCCAGCAGAAATGATTCAGAAATCGAATAAAAACTTGTTAAGCAGAGTGCTATTTTACCACAGGAACCGAGATTACCTACCAAAGCAAAATGAGATACTCAATTATCGATAATTCTATAAACATTGTCTTTGCTGGGAATAAAAACTAACCTTAAAACCCCTTTTGAAAGATACCATTTTGGAGCTTCTACCTTTACCCTACGAAGAAAACTGGAAAAATTACGATTATTGTCATTTGACCATATGAAAGACAAAAATAAATACAGATTTACCATCGCCTTAACAACGTTAATTCTCTTGTTACAGCTGTTGTCGACGAGACCTACAGTTTTGATTGGAGACGTTTTGCTATGTTGATGCTTTTGGGATTTATGATGTTTATTCAGTTTGTGACTCATCGTCAAATACAAAGCGATGAAGACGTCATTTTGGGCATTTACAATTCAACAACTCAATGTCCAGGCATATTACAGCCATCTATAAATATTCAATCAATTTTTATGAGTTCTTCAAAGGTAATTTTCATTCGTTTCTCAGTAAATCTCCGTTATGTCGTGTTGTAAAACATTTGTTCACCGATACTACTTGTAGTAGGCAATTGTTGGACAACAACAGTGGGACAAATGGGACACTGTATTTTTGAAACACCCACGATAAAAAATGATTGAACACTACAAATACATTATATTTCAGGTCATTTATGTTTTCTCAAGCATCATGTTTGCGTTGATGAACTATGCAATGATTTTGCCAATTTGCCTGGAAGAATTAACGTGAGAATATGCAAAAATGAATTTTGATCCATTTTTCTCATTTTGCCAATTTCATTTTGCTATTTATACTATTATGGAGAAACAATTGCTTTCTTGTTTACATCATAATCGCTCTTATAGTCAAAGATTAAAGTTTATTCTTCATTTATCATCGGTTGATTTGCCCCAAATATGCTAGATTTCAGATTTGAACATTGCGAATTTATATAGTCAATTTTGACGATCTAAGGCTCAAAGACAAATATGTTCGGAGTGAAAATATTCCCTTGATAACTTTTTACATATTCTAATGATAATTGTTTTCACTTATCTGAATTTTTAAATTTAGGATGGAAAGGCCCGAGTACACCAAACTCGTGTTCAAGGCAAAGTCGTCACTGTTCGTCATCTACACAATTTTTCCTCTGATGGTCAATCGTACATTAGGAGGTACGTGTAGTTTCAATCCAGTTTTTATTACATATCTATAAAAAAACTGCTTGCTACAACAAATGTGGAGTCGATGGAAAGATTAGTTCTAATCTCTCCGCAGATAAATTCCGAACCCGCTCCTTCCACATCTGACTGCTTGTCTTTTATTAAGGCCCAGGTTATGTAATATCCTTCGTTGCAGCAGACTACAAGTCTAGGGTGGTTGGTTTCGGTATTATATAATTTATAAAGCATACAAAAGCAACTGTTATGTGGATATTTATCTCAATGGTTATATATATGTTGGTTAACTTATTTGCATTTTATTTTACTTCATTAACTCCGATCAAATGAACTAAAATCCTTGAAGTTGAAATATTAATAAAGCCAATTTATCAATACGCCTTTAGCAGCAATAACTCCGTGGCCTACATTGTATTTGTCCTCTGTACAAATTCCTTATATATATATATGGGATGAATGACAAAGATGCCACACTCGTTTAGTGTAGACGCTGTGTACGACCCCAAAATGCATCCCTGTATTACCATTCAACTCTTCAAGACTTGCTGTTTTATGCCGTCTGCAGATTCCACGCCTGTGATATTTTTCAAAGCATATGGACAAACGATATATGGAATACTCTTCTGTGTCTTTGCTCTTTTAATGACGTTAAATGGAATGCAACTGCGCGTCATGGTTGTAAGTATTCTGATATAGTACTCTTCAATCCTTACTTATTTGCGTTCAGCAATTTTATAAGAAACATTTTCACAGGGGATCGCACGTTTTTCACCACGATATGTGCGGCTGCCAAGGCACCGAAATCATCATCTGCAGAGTATGACTATTAGCCCCTTATATCCATTCCTACATTCTACAAATAGTCAATATAATTAAAATCCTTCTCTTACGTTGGCCACTCGTTTTGCAATAAACATATTTTGACGTAACTGATTGTTTCATATTTTTTGCAGTGCGTTAAATTAATTGAAGTGTTATTCGGAGATGCCAATATCAAAAGTCGACATTGGATAACAATCATTGCCTTGTTTTTCACGTCGTTCATTCTAGCGCAGACTCTTGATGAAATGCAGTTGATAATTATTTTGGGTAACTATATGTACTACGTATCCTCCACAAAAGTAATAGTGAAATATTATATTTTGTAATATGTGTTAAAGCTTTTGCGTTTAAGACTTGGTAAATTTAGCGGCCGTACCTTGATTGCAAGTTTATCTGGAGGGTATTAAATCGGTAATTTAATGGAAACTCAATCTATTCATATCTATGTGGCCAGCGAGAGCGAGTCTTCAAAATATATGTCATTTATTTTACAGGACCGATGACTTGCAGTATTTTACTCATTATTATACCAAGGCTTATTTACATCAAGTATACAATTATAAAAATAAAAAGACTTCGAATTTCTTTCCTCTTTGTGTTGCACATTTGTCAAGAGCTTTTGAAAACTTTACTGGTCAGTAAATAATAATAATTTACAATAGTATATATCCAGCACCAGATACAACTTCAATTCCAAATTAATTTGCCATTACAGGCGGCCCTCGTTGTTACTGTTCACATTGTGCTACTCATATTTGCCTTGTGGACTCTCGGAGAGAATGATATTGATGTCAGTAGCTGCAGACAGTTTTTCAACGATTATTGGGGAACCTTATCTCACTAAAGAGGTATTGAAAAAAACGTAAATATGGACGACAATATTATCAGCAGCTGTAACAAATTAACCGATGAATTTTGAGTAATTGACATCAACACTAAAAATAGTTTTCGACGTCATAGATATCAACACTAAAAATAGTTTTCGACGTCATAGATATTAGGAATTCGATAACATCCGAATTGTGGCTTTCGCCATCAGTGGTAACAAAATTGCATAATTCGCATGTGACATGATTTATCTTGTTTAACATGGATTTTTTTCATGTGAATTGTTTCGCAATAATTGAGCCGGATCAAAATCCCGATCCGTAAAAACGAATGGTTCATTGATTTTCTGTATTTCATATTACTTGTCTTTTTCCATGACAAATGATTATTATCGAAATTTCTGTCCAATAATCATTTATTTTTACTTAGTTCACTTTTAAACTGTGAAATTGAAACATTGCCCTGAGCAATGACATAATATGTTATTCATATGTTCAAGAGCAAATACGGCATTTCGTTGCCTTATCAATTTAACAAATCAAATTCAAAAAAATAAAAAAAATTCTTGTGGGCTTCAACTTGACTCGGAGTGTTTTTGTGCTGTGTTCATACCACCAACTAAAAAAAAAGGAATTAAAAATTCTAATGACGCAATGTATACGCATTGTACACATGCGATAGTTGGTATTTATGCAATTATTACATTACTGATTTCACGAATTTTCTCAATTTTATGTTGACTCCTCTTATGGCAACTGATTGTTAATGTTACTTCTTGTTATTTAATTATTTGTTTTTGCTTACTCGAACTCTGACTTTAAAACATTGTCCTGATCAATAACACATTTATGTTATATGTTGAAGAGTGGCTGGCTCAATGACATGTCCATGCGGTCGTCTATCATAAGATATGGTTTCAATGAACTACGTCTATATCTGATGTATCACGCATCTGCATGAGTGATTACACACAGTACCGGTACTTCGTCTAATTTAGTATCGCACAGATCTGATGTTTTTATTTATTGCTATAAGAATTATATTACCTGTTTTATTCACTATTCAATCACATGTCTTTTAATGCCCTGCCTACACTGCAACACTGGATCGAATGGCAAAGTTACCGTTACCAAAGTTACCAAAGCAACTAGTATATTTCCATCAATTTACACACTTCAGCATCTCTGAAATTTGTTGCCTGCCCAAACGGGGGGGATCGCCATAGGTTATCTGGTGGGTTCGATTAGAGATGTTGGCTGTTGCCCTGTAGAATTTATGGTCGTCTCATATAACTTACATGTCTAGTGGATGCTGTTAGTGAATCAGCTGCCAAAGTCATACTCACCTAAAATAACAATGTTCCAAAAACTTAATTGTCGACCTTAGAAAGATAATTATTTGATTAGATATTGAACCTTTGGTGTCGATGCTAAATAACGAATCTTGGATCCCCGCGGCTTCCCTTCCCCAGTAAAAAATGTGTGGTTAATTTTATTTTTTTGTCGAGTGTTAATTTTTACTGGTTGGAAGAAATAAAATTGACTATGACTATTTAAGATGAAAAAGAGAGAGAGAGGCGATTTTAGCGAGTAATATGAAATGTGTGCGACAATTCTCAAAAACAATTGTTATTATCAGTTAACTTTATTCATTTGTTAATAACAATGAGTTAGATGCTTGTGTTTGTTTATGTGACTTAATTGTATTGTAATATTATATCGAAGATAATAAAATATATAGAGGCATTCTTTTGGCCCTTTACTGTTATATCAAATTGACAGCCAACTCAATTCGGGCACGTTAACCTATATAATTATTTTATGTTTCGGAGTCGATTAGTATACTGTATTGTACTATAACTAGTTAATTAATAGTAGTTAGAAACACCAGACGTTTCACAACTCATTTCAATCGAAGGTTTTGTTAAATCCGATAATTTCGATGTTTACTGTAAATATGACATTAGGTGATACCAAAAAAATGGGGCTCACGAAGTATGCGAACCAAGATGGCGGACATCGGAATGTAATATGTGTACTAGGTTAGGGTTAGGCCATAATTTTAGGTATAAATACTACGGGAGGCTCTTGGCTAGTCTTCGAACTGATAATAGGACTAAAATAAGGAAAATTGGAAAAAAATTATCGCCTAACCCTAACCTGTTACCCATGTTACGTTCCGATGTCCGCCATCTTGGTTCGCATACTTCGGGAGCACCAAAAAAATAGTGTATATATGTTATACATTCTTCTTACAAATTTATTTCGTCACCCATCCCCAATATATTGGTATACTTGACAACATTTACAACATATATCGGCAAGCATTTGCATGGATATGGCAGGCATGCAAGTTTTTTTGTATTATTCTGTCATGTGACCTAAAAATAGGCGCTTTTTCTGCTTCAAATTTAAAAATGTAATACTAATGTTTTGTCGTAATAATTTACGAAGTCGATAATATTGCTACACTATCATGATTGCATGTTTTTATAACATTATGTATTTGCATTCCAATTATATATATAGAAAATTGTAAAAAAAGTACACGTGATAATATTCTTTGCAGTTTTCCATTAAGTAGATTCATGCTTCAATTTACAGCATTGAATCTACAACAAACAAAGAAAAATGAGAAAAGGGCGCTTTTTATAGGAAAACATAATAAATTCACTGCATGTAAGGGCTTGGAGGGATATGATCTTGCTGCACAAGTATGAAGTAAGCTGATTCCGCCGCCAAATTATCCAGTCAGGTCCAAACGCCCCGCTCAGACAACCTTATCCAATGTATACTCGTCCTATATACGAAAGATAAGCAAGTTAGAATCCACAAAATTTGACAATGAACAGCAAAATTTTCAATTTACTGAATATTCTCAGTCAAGGTCAACAAGACAAATTAAATTCTCTGTGAAACAGCAAACAACCAAAATAACAATATTCATAACATCACCTAACACAAATTATATTCTCCATAAGTTTTAGTATGAAAAGCCCACCAAAAATATTACTCACAACTGCGCCGTCAATAATCGGTTTTTGAATACAACAAGTATACGGTGGCGATATAAATTAGAAATTACATAATTATTTCTACGAAAATAAAGAAATTTTGAACACTTGTCCTACTCGTATCACTTGCACCACTGTAGTGCACTTATCCCACTGACTCACTTGTTATTCACCTTTTCCACCTATCCTATCTTGCATTGCGGTTTTTGTATGATTAAACACTAAAGTTCCAGTATTCTAGCTTGCTTTGTACAAAATAATCATAGGATAAGAAGAGAAATCATAAATTCCTCATTATAATTCGCATAACCTATCAATTACATCAACATTCAATGTGAAAATAACTATGATATCACGGCATTGGTTTATTAGTGAAACATATCCATCGTAGCAGGGACATAGCAGAATTAGAGTGGGAGAATTGCCGTAAGGTTTTACTATAGACATAGCGACTTTTGTATGGACACAGCCAACGTAACCATTTTCGTTTTAACAAATTAGACATAGCCCACCTATTGTAGTGGGAATAATCGAGCATTAAAGACATAGCGGTCATATATTCCATTTAGTAGGGGCATAGCATCCACCCTCTAACAGTAGAAACGCGGACGCATCACCAATTCACTCTGAACAAGCAATATTATAATAAAGATACAAAAATGGCCAGATTGCGCGAGCCGACAAACCTTCTTCATTTGCTCGACCTAAGACTTAATAAAAGAGAGACACGTTTGATATGTGAAATGGAACGAGGATTTACGACAACAAAAACGAAATGGTGCAATACTCGTTAGCAAATAATTCCAGAAGCATGCCTGTTCCTGTTTGATAAAAAAAAACGGGACTTGGGATTCAACACTCATGTTATGAGCACATCTGTTATATATGTTTGATACTATATTAAAATATATTTAATCTGAAAAAGATGTCCCATTCTTTTAATCAATAATCGTATGAAACCCTCACCAATGTAAACTGCAGAGAGACAACAGACTCAATGGATTATGCGATGTGCATCAAAGCGGAACAACACGTCCCATAAAGCGAACGAGAATATCGGTCGGAGACCGAAGACTTATCGATCGGAGTTTAGGGGATTCCCCAAAACAGCGCTCTTACTCCATAGTGACACCGTGTGTCCCATCACTAATTAATTAATAACTCGCTATTTATACGACATAATTCAATAGGCTTCTGATCCGAGCTATGATGAATGCACATGCAAAATTTGGAGCAGATTCAACCTCGCTTTCGTGAGATATCGCGTGCATCTAACAGACAGACAAACAAACAAATAAACAAACAGACAAACACCTATTAACATACTTACCGATCTTAAGATCGATAAGTAACAAGGTTCTTGTTTTAGATTTTCGATACATGTCACTTACAATTTATACCAATCTATACTTAACTATGGGCCTGCGATTGAATACACAAATATTGGTAATGTTTCGTGCAAAGTACACAAGTTAAAATATAGAAACAGTATTCGGAGTATTACCGATGTTTTTTTTTCGAAATTCCCATTTCGGGACAGTTTTGCTTTTGCCTTTCTTGCTAGATTTATTTACTTATCAAAGCTATTTTTCCCTATCATGAAAAATGTCAATAAATGTCGAGTGAAGTATGTGAATGAAAAAAAGCATTTATTCGAAGCTGTTACATATGCTCGATAGATAATAATATATCAAAATGTATTTAATCTGGAAAATATGTCCCATTCTCTCAATATTCGTATAAAATCCCCACCTATGAAAACTGCAGACTCAACGGAGCATGCAATACACATTATAACGGAGCAACACTTCCCATACATCAAATACCTACTGTGAATTGGTTCCTGTTTTAGATTTTCGCTACTTTCGTTGGCTGAATACACAAATTGATATATGTTTCGTCCAAAGTCCACAAATTGACATTAAAAACAGTACTCGGGGTATTCCCGATGGTTTCTTTCGGAATTCACATTTTGGGGCAATTAGGCTCTTTTGTCTTTCTTGGTTTATTTATTTGCTTATCAAAGCTATTTTTCCTATTATGGAAAATGTTACTAGATGTAAAGTGAAGATTTCCAAAAAAGTAAAAAGTATTTATTCGACGGATTAAAGAACAATGAAAGGGACAGTTCAAGATTGAATGCCGCGAATGTTGATAGATAGATAATGGTTGGAGATTTATGGTTGCAGTTATTGATGAGAAGTTCACACAGAAATAAATTCGGCAACGGTGCAAATTCTTGCTTTCAAATATTAAACAGGAAACACTTTGCATTTTGCAGGACAATATGGCTGAGTAATAGAAAACGCCTAAAGCGTAGTTCACTCAGAATTTTGGTATTGCGAAAAGATGAATTATTTGAAGTGATTGAACTTCAACTTGGCTCGCAATAGCTCTAAATCTTTTATTTGTTACTTTGTGTGAACTGTGCAAATAACAGTTTTATTTTCTGTTAAATTATCAGCACACCTTAGATATTTTTCGGAGAAAAATCAATGTCATTGTCATAATTTTATTATAATTGTCATGTCAGCATGAAGACATACATATGTAATGATCTGACACTAACAGTGATATAGCTGATTTTAGAATATCACAGTGAAACTGATGAAAAATACTTAAAAATAATTTTTTTTTGACTAAGGAATGTTCAATAAAAAACAATGAAATTGTCTCAACCATTTTTATCATATATTCTAAAAATGGAATTTCATGTATGTAAACACACTTTTTTGTTGAGAATAAATTGCTTGTCCTATATTATTGCTTTACACGCATCCTGCGCGTGGCATTAGCACTGAGTTCCGTTTAAGAATGACTCATATACTTATTTAACAAAGCATTGAGCCTATCTATATGTAAACTAAAATTACGCCATTTTAATAACCAGGGGTTGTACATGAAATTATTTTTTTGCTCCAGCTGGTCTTTAAAAATAACAATAGAGCAAGATTGTAAAAACACGCATGGGCCGGATATCTCAACCTCGTTGACCGTTCTTTGTGTAGTGATGAAGTAATTGTTCCGCAAATCACATATATTTAATCTTGGTCACCCAAATTTGGTTTATTTTCAGATATATACTGCTGTTTGTTTGAGTGCTTCACTAACATCAAATGTATTATTGATTTATTGTCTACTTCCTTTGCGGTTCGCTGGCATTTTTTTGCTACAGAAGCATAGATATGATCTCCTTAATGTTAGCACGCTTATAAGACAGCGATGTATTGAAGTTTCTCACCGAGTGGCATCAGCTCTATTACTCTGATAAACTGTTATTTTAACATTTTGCCAGATGAAAAATATTAGTACCATATTTTGCGATCCTGCTTAGAATTCACGTTCTTGATTTTGTCTTTGAAGACACCATGATTGAGCAAGAGGTAAGAGATTATATTTCTGTCCTATAGTTTAGCACAAATGACATAACTTTCACCCAGCCTATTAATAATTAGTTTGTTTTTCCAGATTACTTATTCACAATAAAGCTAATACCGTAGAAGATGTTTTGCAGCCTGTAAGTTTCGATCTTATTCTTTATATATATATTTTCTTATTTCAGTTCAGTTCAGTTAACCCCACCGAATGGATAATAAAGCTAGTCGGTCATGTTATGGGAGCAAGTTCGTTTTTATTACCCTTTGCGATGGCTCATGCAGGATTGCCTCTCTTCTTGTAAGTTGATGTGATGCACTAGAAAATATTTTTGTTCCGTTTTGAATGAATTGATGTGAATGTTATTTTATATTTCTAGTCTTATCCTGGTGATAGAAGCTTACTTCACTGGAAAATCCCTGGTCTATTTTTCTGAGATGGTGACGACTCGCTCAAATGCTAATGGAATTCAATGCAACAACTTTTTTGTAACTACACTTTGGTTATTTTTTGCCATTTCTACTTTACAATTATCCATATATTTTATATGCTGAACTGTGAAATACATAAATGCCATTTTCTTGCATAAAGTCATTTTATACGTTAATTAGTATAAACAAATTCAGAGTAATTCTTTCAATTAATTGGAGTTGCTTTCTTTACTTTGAGTATTTCTGTCTTTAAGATATATGGTCATGCAGGGAAAATCGAATAAGAATTATGATTTGATGGCGACATCAGCCATTGAAGAAATCAATATTAATTAAGACTGTACATTATTTACAATTTTGGTACGATTTTCTGCAAAACGTTGTCTTATAAATATAATTTGCATAGTTTATTCATTATAATTTATGTCGATGTTTTCGATCAATTTTTTCAGACAATCGTGGAGCATTACCTCGGCGGAGAAGTACATTTTCGAAAGGTTATCATTCGGTTATTTGTTCGTGGATTATTCATGTTCGACGTTTTGATATGTACGACTATATTACTCATTTCCTAATGCTGCCTCTTAAATATTCAAATATTACAAGTTATTTTTATTGTTTCTCAGGCACATCGTTTTATTTCCGAGTTGGTGCCGAATTATGGGAATCTGTATCTGTCACAGAGCCCTTTCCCACGCATCTCAGGTATTCGGATAACTTTTAAATGTTTATATACAATCATTGCCAAACTCACAAAGTATGACAATCCTGCGTCCATGAGACATTCCATGAGAAGTTTTTGAATTTTCGAATATACCGCACATGATGTGTGTTCGCAAAAGCTTGAGTAGACTTTTTTTTAGCTTAAATTAATATTTAATTCGTTATTTTTATTTGGTATTTTGACATTACTTTACAGAAACGGTTATTACGCCGTGGTTTACATCTGCCTCTCAATATTTCTCCTCACGTGGGAATATGGTGAGTAATTTATCAAGAATATATTCGAATTTTTCTCGTCATGATTTTTGATCAAAATTGATTGAAACGTTGAATACTTTTGCTCAGGTGAAAGATTCATACAGGGATTGGTAAGTTGGAAGTTTTAATTCAAATTAATATTCAAATTAGTTCTTGATAATATGATTTCTGCATTTCATAAGAATTTTTTCTCATATTTTGAGGCAATATATGAATGCAGTGTGTTGAAGGTATATAGCCAAAGTCGCCAACTTACATCATTAGGAGGATACTTGAGTTACAAGCTTATTTAACATTTTTATCGTTATATTTTCAATAGATGACATCAAATGTAGTCATCAACCAACAGATAAACGCAGTTGACATCAGAGATTCCCATGTAAAAGGAGTCCATATAAACGATGGTATGATGGCATAAACCTCGATCATTGAAAGCTTAAACTTCGGTTTTCTAATATTTAGAACTTCAAATTTCTTGTATACCTGTGCCGAATATAACATGTATATATACGCATAGTTAGTTGTGTTGTACATAGAGATTCCAGTCACGCACTGTTTAATTTCTAAGTTGGTGTAATTGTTTAGTTGTGAATCATAAATATTAGTAAAAATATGATATATATAATAATATTTTAAGGCGAATCAATGTCATGGAAACAAGATCGTTTGAACAACATGACGGGTAAGTAATATTAATGACTTTTCACTTAGTATAATTTATAAATTAAGAGTGAATATGGGTGGCAGTTTTGTTCATTCATTGTTGTTATATATATGGTTCCATTACATTTGAACCCACGTACATTTGAACCCATGACAATTGCACCTGTATGCTATTGCACCTATGGAATTTTTTTTGTTTGACGGATAGTTTAACCCATACTAACCCTAACCCATGGGTTTTAGCACCCGCATATAGATTGAACCCATGGATATACGCATGGGTTCAAATGTACATGGGTTCAAATGTACGGTCACCTATATATATATATACGACTTTATATACTACAAAAAGTTCATTAGGCGACTCAGAATGATGATTTATTACAGTGGTAGTTAAAGAGACGCACAGCTACAACTACAAGCGCCCACTTCTCCTTTTCCTCTTCATGTTGTTGACATTTTCACTGATACTTATCTACGGTGCTCTGGCAAATAATCCTGATATGATTCATTCTGCAAATTCTTCTGCAATGTGTCCTGGAATTCTTCAACCGACCTGGGAATCAAAATCTACTGAAAATGTGAGTCATTCCTTTCAAACAATGCATTTTTATTAGATGTGGAAATTTTGAATTCCAAGTATTCAGGTGTTTTACAGAATGCTTTCGCTTTCGGACTCCCCGTGTTTTAGTGCTAGTATAGCGATTCTGGTACTGTTTGACACCCTCTGGATTTCTACATACTCACTTAATATTTTGTCTTTATATATATCTACGTTGCATTTAGATTCTTCACGAAATACCCATCATTATTTTTTCGTTGATGAGTTACGTTATCATTCTTCCAATCTGCGTTGATAATCTTGAGTGAGTATAGGATATATTTTCAAACGATCTGTATATATTACGGGTCATATTTTATTATTCAGAAATATTATTGCCTGTATTCTGTCTCATTATGAAGTGAAAGTGATATAATAGTATTCGTCAGAGCAAAATTGAGCTGAGAATCGTATGCAAGCAATAACTTTTATTCGAGACTATTATAGTATTACCGTCAGTTGTATATAATGACAGAATGTCCATTTATTTTATCACACTAATGCAACGTTACGTTAGCACTCCTTTGTACATATTATTGCAACTGGTTGCCAGATTTTGTAATGTTTGAACATAGAGTTTTTGATTAGTAGTACAATTTTTACGTTGCTTTTCGGAATCAAACCGCGCGTAAAAAAAAACAAATAATTGTAAGGATGACTTCTTTATACCAAGTTGTTTCTATATGAGTTGGAAATTTCAGGTTTAATTGGATGAAAACGTTTTGAACTTTTCGTCTCTTTAAATAATTCTGAGTAATTAGAGACATGACTTTGAACTATTTCAACTCATTATTCTTTTGCGCACCAGATTATCAACATATGCAAATCTTGTCATCAAATCAAAAGCAAGCCTTGTTGGATGCTTGACTGTACTTGCACTGCTCGTAAATTTATCACTGGGAGGTATTTTTTTCAAATATTTTTGTATTGAATTATGCTACAGTGTATATATATATATATATTGTTTGTGAGATCAAATCTTGGCATTCGAATCGAATATGCAATTTGTTTAATGGTTTACTCTTTTAAAAAAATATGCTCTGTGAATTACTCTAAAAATATTCTTTGATTACTGCCCGTGCTTATATAGAATCAATTAGTTGATATTACTTCTAGAACTAGGCTTAAATAACAAACAATAATTCTATTTCTTCACAGAATAAAATCATGCGATAATTAACTTGACAAAATTATTTTCCACTTTTAGAATCTGCAGCGGTTATCTTCCCTACTGCATTTGGGCCTGGTGTATATGGAATATTGATTAAAACAATATCTTTTGTGATAACTCTGATCGCAATGTTATTGAGAGTAATGGCGGTAAGTATGTATGCCATGTAAAATATTTGTCAGTGGCAAAAGCTTCTTAAAATTCGTAGTTAGAATGATTCTACAGAATATCTTATCCTAGACTACTTTTCTATAATAAAAAAGATTATAACTGGGTATATATAATATAACATAGTTCATAAACTGCATAAATAACCTATTATAAAAGCAATAAGTCATAAAGTTTATTTTTTCCAAGTTCATTGTTGTCACAATAAACTATGCTATCTAGGAAATGAACTTCAAAGCATATTATGTAGTTATATATTTTGCAGTGCTGCAGACTAATTCAAGTTCTGGTTATTGACAACGATTCGGAAACACACTATTGGTTGATTGTTATAACCCTATTCTTTTCCTCTTACGTCGTTGCAACGTGGGTTCACAGTGTTGTTTATCTAGTAATCATAGCAGGTATTGTTATATATATATAAATATAGAGGTAAATACCTATAAATGCTGGTGATTTGGCTATGTAGCTTTAGCATGTTAGTGAAGTGTCGTGCGAAAGAAGTTTGTGAATCCATATTTTGATGGTATTGAAGAGTATAATTGATTGCGGCGTACATTAATTTATAAATTGAAGGCTCGGATCTTTTGTACAACGAGCAATATCTCACATTTTTGCATTAGTGGCGGGGGTTTTTGTACAAAAGATCCGAATGCTTTCTCTGGGAAGTCATGAATATCTCTCCATACCTAAAAGGCTACCTGATGCGAAACTTGTTTGGGTCCAAGGTAAAAAATAATATATATGTAAAATATATATATAATTTCCAAACCCTTTTTACATAGGATCTGTGAACTGCAACTTACTGCTGATTATTCTGCCCCGACTTGCGTACATACAATTTAAGTGGAAACAAATTCAGTCTAGAAATATCGACCACTGTCCTACGCTGAAAGATCTAATACCGATAATCGAGGTATTTTATATTGCTTTATATTATATTTACATTAAATTCATTTAAAAAATCTAACCTTATTTACGTGAAAAAATTCTGTTGCAAAACATAATCTTTCTTAATAAAAAAAATATTCAAAACGCATTAAATTTAGCAAAATGCTTATTCTGATAAATTTTAAGTAATTTGAAATAATAATTAATATTCAGGCTGCTGCTGGTATTGGACTTCACCTTGTGCTGCTGTTTACGACATTCCAAGCTATTCAAATCGTTGATCCATCGGTAGGTAGAAGCTGCAAGAATTACTTCATCGAAATTTTTGCAACTTTCAACTTTTAGTCGTTATCAGATTATCACCTGACTCAGTAGTCAATCATATCATCCACATGAAATCAATTGATTGTTTAAAATGAAGTTATGTTCTCCATTAATGTTTTCTGACTTCAAATTCTAATCCGATGATAAAATCATGGCAAATGCGATGTTCACTGTTTACCCCTGTTTCAAAGATGTTTTTGATGGTTCCCGTACATTTGAACCCACGACAATTGCACCTGCATATATTGCACCTTTGGATTTTTTTTGTTTTGCGATATACACATGGGTTCAAATGTACGGTCACCGTTTTTGATATGGACCATGATGGTCTTGTGTAATAAACGAATTGAAAGACTTGAATATGCACACGCAGTTTTACTGTGTTGTTTCATTTTATTGGTCCATGTGGTGTTTCTTTTATTGTATATACGTAATATATATTTCATTTATATGTTTTACATTAATTGCGGATTTGCCGATTATTACTGAACTAATTGTAAATATCGCGAATTGCGATTAGGGATGGCGGAATCGACTAGAATCGATTCCAATGCATCGGAATATTTACATATATATATATGTATAAACTGCTTTACTGCTATGTTGAGTTTCTGCGACGCCGCGAACTTCACTATATATAATTTTCGCTAGAAGGCTTTTACGTTTATTTATTTTTAAAATATCTGCAGGTTCTGAGGGATTCGTTTTTTTTGTGCGATTTTGTCTCCTGTGACACATTGGATACCCATACTACTTAGTTTCGGCCTTCTTGTCTGTCCATATATTTGAACATCGTTCTCTTGTTTGATTTCATATGGTATTGCTTCGGTGGGTATGTTTTCTCGTTAAGATGTGTCGAGGAATCGAGATTCGGAATTAAGAATCGAAAATTTTGGAATCGGATAAGAATAGAATACTTGTAAGTAGTCATACTCGGCATTCTTAATTACGATACGATTGCAACATACGTCCATAATGAAGCTTTTGTTATAGACAGAAAAGTAATAACCAATGTCATTTTCATGCTGCTTATAAAATTATCAAGGTAAATTATCGTGTCGCTCGAACCATAATATTGTTGTATACCACATTTCCCGGTACTCCCGTAGAGTGTGTACCAGGTTAGGCCATAATCTTATTTTTATTTTCTTTATTTTAGTTCTGTTACGAGTTCGGGTAGTGTCGGTATTAGTCAAGTGCATACAAAGGCGTAGCCAGCCCAAAATTTTGGTGGGGACCAAATATTGTATTTTCAAGCAATGATATTGGATTTGAGATATTTCAAGATCAACTTCTTCAGGCAGAAAAAGACCACATTTGATCAATAAGGAAAATAATGTTCAACAACTTAGCTGGCTTTTTGTAAAAACAAAATTAATTTCCAGAACAACTTTTTCTTTGATACAACAAATATTTATCTGATCAATCTGAATCAGTAAAAGAAATAAAAAAAACTGCCTTGGGTTAGGAATGGCGGGCAGTTGTGACGTAACAATGCAATGTAATCAGCGAGCAGGACTGCGACAAAAATGAGGATCTTGTAAATTAGGATAGGATAGGATTTACATATTTATCCCGGGGGAGAGGAAAGCCGATAAGACGGCTTATTCATATGGCGAACCACGGCCTCTCGTCTGGTTACCATTCCAAGTCGGGTATGGGATTAGTTTTTACTGTATTGTTTGTTTTCGGAAGCATGGACTTGGTGGTGGAGGAAGCCGTAACCGACCAGCGGTTACGTGAACCACCCAACGACGGCGAGGAGTCCAGCAATCCTCTCGCACATAACCATCCCTGCATGGGATTCGAACCTGCGAACCCACGCAGAGTAATTAGAGGTGCGGTGGCGAGCGTATTCCTAACGCTTAAGGCCGACTCACACACAGAGCGACCAATTCGACCGACCGACAAATCGTTTCGACATCGGCCATCGTCACGTTCACTCACACATCCCACTGATCGACAATCTGTCGATGAGGCAACACGGTTCGTCAGTCGGTTTGCATTCGCACGTTTGCTGTCACACAGCCGCGGTGCGATTGCGCTCGCGTGTTTTGCCGTGTTCTGTACCGGTAATTGCAATGTAAGTTGTTAGCTAGCTTATTACCCGTATCCTACTGCATAGGTTACTAAACGATTTGTTTTCTTATTCAGTTTTTATACTATACGGTGGCCTAGAAATTGCTTATTAGCGAGACTGCAGAAATAAGTCACAAAAACGATGGAACTGAACGAGTGAGTTTCTCATATTTTTTATTCAATTAAAGCACTACGGTTATTGCAGGCTCAGACAATTCACAGCTATTGCTGTATGGTTATCTGTCAGTCTGGTGTTACTACCACAGGCTGACATGCCCAATATTCTGATATTTATTGCTGTGACATGCCTGGCATACCGTTACCAGGTTACCGGTACTACCTCTCCCCCGGGATAAATATGTAAATCCTATCCCATCCTTATCTGAGTTTGGATGAATGGACGTGATGACCAAAATAAACCATGCTTCCGAAAATAAGCAATATAACTAATCCCATACCCAACTTGGAATGGTAACGGGACGAGAGGCCGTGGTTCGCCATATGGATAAGCCGTCTTATCAGCTTTCCTCTCCCCCGGGATAAATATGTAAATCCCATCCTAAAATATCTTTCTATAACTCTCATACGGCTTTACGATACATCACTACCTTCAGACCTTTCTTATATTTTTACTGCTTACTACAGTACTAGGAATGCATGTAGCCTGTTGAGCATGTATCTGGAATAGCTCTTGAATAATTAACAAGACACCTTAATATTGTAATACCGATCATTCATTTTGCAGACAGGTCACCATAGTTCTAGATGAGGGCATGCTTATAGGCCTTGTCGAGCAACATCCACATCTATATAACTCATCAATAAAAAGTTATAGGAACAGCAACCTTCGAGATGTAACTTGGAGATCTATCGCATCGGCAATAAACACTAATGGTAAGTGGAGACCATTTCTTGAATTAGTGCACATCCATCACATGTCTCCAGAGTACTTTACAGTTTCAACCACATTATGGGCCTATTAATAATGCACAAGCTAGTTACAAAGTTCCAATTATATCTAGCCGAATCGGGCCTCGTGTAGTTTCTTACCTCATGTACTTCTAATTGGTCTGGCTCGACAATTTTTGCTTATGTCAATCCTAACCCCCACCTGACTACGTCGTCCAAAAATTATGCCACTTCGACGTCACAGCGACGTAATATGGCCCTCCAAACCAAAATGGTCGTTCAACATGCACAGACTTTCACCCAAGATCAAGCTAGCTATTTCTCTCGCTTTTTCGTCGTAACAATCCTGATACGAGAGAGTTGCCGGGTTAGTGAGTTGTTTATTGTTGCACAGATGACATTTCGGGCGATTGTTTACAACATAATTTTAGATGGCATAGTCAGGTGGGGGTTAGAATTTACCTATGCGAACATTTTTACGCCACGCCAGATAGAAGAGTGAGAAATTACATGGGACCCGCCAAATCGATGGTTAAATTAAATATTTCCTGTGATATTTTGGATCCTCTTGGTAGTATAGCCCAGGGCTAATCAACTAACGGACCGCGGTCCGAATCCGGAACTTTAATGTATTCGATTCAGACCGCGTCTGTTTTTTTTTATTTTGGAGGATTGTCTCCATTTAACTTTGGATATGTAAAAGGATGTGGAATATTTTGCGGTTAGTCAGTTTTTCACAACTCTCGTTTCCTTAACTTTTTAAGCGAAAAGATATAGTCACTAAAATATAGTTATGCGCAGTATGAAATGCATTTTTTGGTCAGACCGTACCCCAGGAATTTTCAGGTTTTGTTTTTGGACCTTTGGCAAAAATAGTTGAGTAGCCCGGGCATAGCCTATTGAGCGAGGAAGTTCCGTGGATAATAGTTGAACAACATCTTACTGTTTAAACAGGAAAATAGGGCAACTCAAAATAGCAATACATTTTTAGTTTCTTGCTTATTCAGTTGATGTGGTCAAAAAATTGTGGTCAAAGTTGAGAGAAAGATATATGAGGGAAAAAAGGAAAGAGAGAGATTTACACAGAAGTGGTGCAGGGGCAGCATCAGGAGGGAGATGGCAGTTCATGCATGCCTTGGAGTTTTTAGAGCCGCATGTCCAGCCAAGAAGGTCAGTCAGGTATTTTATAGAAATGTTTTGTTTGGCTGGATAGAAATACTCGCATGTTTGTCATCATGTGAATTCAATGTTCAAATGGCAGCAGATAGATTTCCGCAGCAATCTATGTTTTTCTGCATTTCCTATCAAATGGATGATTGTTAGGACAGTCTGCTTAATCAGAGATTTGTTATTACCTATATCTCCGCAACTAAGCTTCATCAATTTTATTTTTCAGTACTTCTGGAAATTTGACAACGGATTCAAGTGAAATTGATGAAGGAGTATCTTCTGAGGAAGTTCAGTTGTCAATTCAGTCACCGAGTTATACAGATTCAATCGATTATACCAATTTGACCCCAAAGCGCCCCAAAAAAAATACACCTGACAAAATAGACGAGGCCATCCTGGAATGTGTGAGAGGTATGGAAAAATAATATGGAATTTCAAATATAAAGCTTGGTGGTGTGTCGCATCGTACTAAGCTGTTAGAAATTTGTTCACCATAGCACCTCTGATTACCCTGTGTGGGTTCGCATCCTGTGGGGGCAAATTATGTGCGGGAGGATCACTGGACTCCTCGCCGCTATAGGGTGGTTCACGTAACTGCTGGTCGGTTACGACTTTCTTCACTATCAAGTCCATGCCGACTAATCCAATACCAGACTTGGACTGGTAATCGGACGAGAGGCCTGGTTTGCCATATGAACAAGCCATATTATCAGCTTTCTCCTCTCCCCTAGGATAAATATGTAAAATCCTATAAACCTCTTGTGTCAATACTGATATTGAAAAAAGTCTGCTACCGTAGTATACGTACCTGGGTATTTTCCCTTTACTGAACACCACATTGGCAAGTAAAGTTCTGAAGGTGGAGGCGCGGAGCATCAAAAAAATAAATAAAAACCCTATTCGGATCAGTCATAAATTTCAAGTTTTTCGCCTAACTACAAGTCCTCCGAAAAAAATTTGAAATATAGCCACTTAGCCAGTTGCATGAATTAAAATTTTACTCATTTTGTATTCACAGATGGTAAATTGGATGCAGAAGACCATTATTGCTCCAGCCTTGCTTTTTCGTTGCGAAGCCTAGATGAGAGAAGCAGGTCGTTTGTCAAATGCGAAATACAGAGAATTGTGCATGAGGCCAAATATGGGGATGTAGGCATGTAACATTACGTTTGGGGGCTATTTCACATTTTGTCTCAAAATCAATAAAAGCCTGCTTTGGAAATGTTGTTGCTTAATATTTGGGGAATCTGATGGCACGTTCTTTTTAGAAGCCTGTAGATCCCGCCCTGTAAAAACCCTGCAGGGCGAATGGGGGTAATACATGCTATGGTAATAATGGTACTCGTTTAGCATTACCCAATTTTAGGAAATACCCAATACTTCACTGTTACACAAGAACATTTTGCAATATTGTTTTTATTCAGAGGTACTATAAAAACTAGGAATACTGCCAAGACAGTGATCCAACAGGTGACACAAAATAGTCCGCAAAGTTTTCGCGTATATTCAGTGCCGCGGTAGAAGCATTGCACCCAGTTCGTGTCATGCCTTCCAGCCTTTGTGCGTCTGCTATGTTGTTAGCTTCACCTCCAATTCCATCTTTTCCCACTTGTAGATAATTATGTAAGCAACAAGCAGCCTTCACAATAATGTCTACTCTGTGAGGCAATACGGCAATTGGCCTTAGAAAAACACGAAAGCGTTGGGACAAAATACCAAACGCATTTTCAACAGTCCGTCTTGCTCTTGACAGCCTATAGTTAAAAACAGTTTTCTTGGTTGAAAGGCATTTTCCAGGATAAGGCCTCATCAGATGAATGCTGAGTGGAAAAGCGGCATCCGCCACAAAAACATGGGGGATAGGATTGTCATTTTGTCCAGGCAAAGGTTTTGGGTCCGGTATGCTTAAAGTATTATGCTTGATTGCATGTCCCAATTCAGAGTCTGCAAAAGTACCACCATCTGACTGTCTTCCATAACCCCCAACGCTGATGAGTATAAATTTGTAACTGTAAAAGAAGTGTTTGGCTAATAAATTGGGTGATAAGTTATTCAAAATAATTTTAGTTTGTTAATTCAAATCTAGCTTAAAAATAATTCAATATGATAATGCATGATAGTTTTTTAGTGTGCACTCAATGCAATGCCACTTACACAAAATTTCTGCTATTACATACCACTTTCAGATGATGCGGAGGAATAGACATTATTTTTCGCAAAAAAAGTCAATTACGATCTTAACACATTTTTAGTATACTTACTCTGCATCTACAACGGCTAGCAACACAATGCTAAAAGCACCCTTGTAGTTGAAGTATTTCGAGCCTGAATTAGCCGGTGAGCGTATGACCACATGCTTCCCATCAATGGCACCCAAGCAATTTGGGAACTGCCATTTATTCCAAAAATTGTCACGAATAGATCTCCATTCTTTTTTACCGGGTACACTCATATGTAAAGGCTGAAGAACATCATACAGAGCTTTGCACGTGTCAGGAACAATTCCTGAAATTGTAGACCACCCGACTCTGTATGATGTTCCAATTGTGCGGTACGAGTCCCCAGTAGCAAGAAACCTGTGGAAAAATACACAGTTTTATAACGGTAACAACTAGAAATATACCTGAATATGTACTGACTAGGATTAGACTTGCACAATGAGATGATTAAGTAACTCTACATTCAGCACAGTCTTAATCTTATTACTTATCGATCTTAAGATCGGTAAGTATTTGTCTGTCTGTCTGTTAGATTTACGCGATATCTCACGAACGCGAGGTTGAATCTGCTACAAATTTTGCATGCGCATTCGGCATTGCTCGGATCAGAAGCCTATAGATTTTGGATGAATTATGTCGTATAATTAGCGAGTTATTAATTAATTACCGATCTTGGATCGATAAGTCTTCGGTCTCCGACCGATATCTCGTTTAAAATATTAAAAAGTAAACGAGAATATCGGTCGGAGACCGAAGACTTATCTCGTTTAAAATATTAAAAAGTAAACGAGAATATCGGTCGGAGACCGAAGACTTATCGATCTTAGATCGGTAATTCATTAATAACTCGCTAATTATACGACATAATTCATCCAAAATTTATACTCTTCTGGTCCGCCCATGCATTATTTGGAGCAGATTCAACCTCGCGTTCGTGAGATATCGCGTTCATCTAACAGACAGACAAATACCTATCAACATACTTACCGATCTTAAGATCGATAAGTAACAAAATGGCAACGACACTGGAGTACGAGTACAGACATTTTGAAATGTAATGCATAAACTTTACTTAGGCAATATCCAATATGAAAAGTTTACCAACACCAACACTGCCTACGCTAGATAAAATGCTCCTGGAATAGATCTTGAAAAAAATAAAATTATATGATTTTCTAGTTCTGTAAAATGATGATCTTGCCTCAATGTTATTGCTAGCCTTTGCTCGGCTGATATCGCTTTCCTCCAGTTTGTATCTAGCCTGGCGATCTTTGGGCCTATAAGTCGGGCAAGCTCCCTAAACTTTTCTGGAGACAATCTAAAGTACTGGAAGAAATAAGACTCTCTCTCCAACTCTAGCTCTTTCACGAGTCTGCTGAATTCGCCTGTTAAATGAAATATTGTTACTGCAGTACTGGTATACAGACTTTAAAATGAAGAGTGAGAGGCTATTACTGTATTACCGGTACCGTATTTTGCCAGCCCTGTACGTACCGTTACTACCGGTACCGGTACTGACTAAAACAACTTACCTAACTCATTTCTTCTCTGTAGTATGGGATGGACCCAGTAAAGCCTTTTACGGCGCCTACGTTTTTGCCGCAGCAGATATAACAGCGAAATCTTCTGTTTGTTACTCATGGATGCTTTCATATTTCTCAACTGTCGATACTGGTACTGGAACTCAACGGCAATCCAGGTAAACGCAAGGCAGGGTCGAATCAAAAGCGAGGCCACTGTTCAAACAGAGAACGACAACTCGTCGATGTGTGGTCAGGCACTTCGACGAAATTGCTTCTTGCGCGAGTTTGTCGATTTGACAAATCGAAATTCCGTTCGCACGCTCACAGTGTGAACACCCTTCAATTGTTTTTGTTATCAATTTGGGCGGCGTCGGAGAGGTCGGAATGGTCGGTGTGTGTGTGAGTTGGCCTTTAGCCCGTTGAGCCACACCGCCGCGCCTCTCGCCCCCTCCTGGCTACGCCTATGAGTGCATATACCCCCTGCCGATAGGTCTCTTTACACAACTTGATGTATAGTAGGCGAACAAAATCGGTGCGCCGTTTTTTCTTGTACAGTATATATATCATCAAACATGCAGTGTTAAATTTGAGATTAAATATATTGCTCATAGTCTGGTGAACTTTTAACTTGAGATTTATTGCCTTCAAGCCAAGGTGCGAACAGATATTTTTTGTGTTGTAACAATGCTCCTTTGAGTACTCTTTTATTTGTAATTACGTCGGTAAGTCAAGTTATTGCATTCCCAGTTCAATTTTGGTTTTGAGAGGACAAGATCATTTTATTTCTTCAAGTAGTAAATGACATGCGCCACGAACCATAATGTCCGTGTTCCTGTCGTATATATATATTTTTTTGTTTTTATAAACCATTATAGTAGAAACTCCGTTTGACTGCTTTACTTGTATCTGTTACTTTTGCAGTTTCATTTGTCGATTTGCTGTTTTCAATAAATAACCAATCCGGAATTTTGAGTCTTCTGATATAATAAACCACACTAAAACAGCTAAACTGTAACATATGTCAAACACAATAATTTAAGAGGGTGAGTCGATTGAGAATGATAGGGCAACGTAACCCGAATATAAACAAGAGAGCTACGCACAAATATATGGACACGTCAGACCAGAGCGAATCAGTCCTTACCGGTACCTTTGACGCTACGTACCCTCAAAAAAGTTCTGAATTTCCAGTAGCAAGAATTTTGCAGAATCAAAACGTACAGCCAGTCATGACACTGACTAAAATCCGTGTTCCCATGGATAAAAAATAATACAGCAAAATTTTAGACGAAATATCAAATTTCATAGAATTCACGCAAAATTTTGAAATAAATAAAAGTAATAGCCTTCTAGCGAAAAAATTAATCTTTAACCACTGAAAATTTCAAAGCAATTGGTCCAGTATTCGAAGAGAAAAGCGACTTTTTAAAAACGTGTCAAAGAACAACAACAACAACAACAACATAATATTGAAACGATCGTTATGTCCATTTCGTGTCCAAAAACAAGAAATTGTCAACATTGGTAGAGTGAATTATGCATACAAGCCTAATAAAATAGGTGTATAGAAAACTATTGGCCTACACTAAAGTCCATGATGTATATTGTAGTAAAGTGTTGAAGCGTAATATTTTTGCTAATAAATACCCTTTTTATATGATGTGGATTTAAGCATGCCATTCAAATACAGAAAATATATATTACGTGAGCAAATGATACCTAAGCGTAACCAAGTATCATAAATTACCTTAAGTCAAACAACTTTAATAAAATGGTTGACACAATGGTTGACATTTGATGTTGTAAATTAGAATGTAATATAGCCAAACTATTGTTGGCTCTGTTACAAAAAGTAATATTTTTTTAGAAAATAAACTGATTAATGTTAACCGGTTCGCTGATCTCCTAAAATTCGGTGAAACGGTTCTATAGAACCGGTGCGAACCGGCTGAATCCCACCAGTGGTTACGCCCCAATCAACGACTAACATACCCCCCAATATAATGTCACGAACGAATTATAAGTTTAAGTTACCGGTATCTAAATTCCGTCTAATAAAAGATCTTGCTATCACTAGGGATCTGACCTGCAATGAATATATGATATCTCTGCATTGAAACGTATCAATGGAAGCTGGATCTTTTTATCGTGCACGTCAATACTTGCCCTATTTTCCCCTCGTAGTTATAAAAATTACCGATACATCATCGCAAAATCGCGTTTCTGTGACTGTACTAAAACTGCTAGCCTACACAAAACTCAAAATAGAATACCAAGTATGATTGGGTCCCCAATTAGCATCCGATCTGCATACTTTCTATTCCACGAAATGGTGGATCGCCGGTTTCGGATATATACATGTTGCATTAATTTGTGTAAGTACGGTACATTAAGTCGTCGCTAATATACAGTGCGATGGCCATGAAGGTCTCCCCGTATTCAGTCACATGCTGGCTGACATCTCGCAAAAATACAAATCTTCCGCGCGTGACGTCAATTTGGACTCGACGGACCAACACTTCAGCCTTTGTTCAGTTGTTCTCTGTACTTGTGGTGATTACTTGGGATTAGTTGATCCGAAGATTGTGGTTATTTTTGTGGTTGTAAAGAAAAATGTGTGACGATCACCATCACCATCACCATGGGCACGATCATAGTCATGATCCTGAGGACAACAGTGCTCAATTCAGTCTTTACATGAAAATTGATTTAGACTCACTTCAATGTTTAAATGAACGGGAAGATGGGTCAGGAAAAACTATATTTAAACCTTGGGATGAAAGATTTAATCAGGAAAAGTGTGTTGAAAGTGACGTTGATGCAGAACTTCTTTTTAATATCCCTTTTAATGGCACAGTAAAGCTTAAAGCTTTGTCGATTATTGGGGGAGAAAATATGTCTTTTCCCAAGGAAATGAGGCTTTTCAAAAATATCCCAGATATGACTTTTGACAATACTGAAAAGGAAGCAGATCAAGTGTTTTCGTTTCCGAGTCCGGGAAATGAATTAATTCTATTAAAATTTCCCACAAAAGCTGCAAAATTTTCAAATCTAAGCCATCTGTCAATATTCTTTCCAGACAATGGTCGAGAGTCAACTAAGATTTATTATATTGGCCTTGCTGGAGACTTCATGCAGGCACAAAGAGAGGCACTTGTTGTTACTAATTATGAACTGAGAGCAAACCCTGCTGATCACAAAACGTCTTTGTTTGACCAGTCTAGTCACATGATCAGCTAATCCTCATAATCATACGGCTATATAGTGTGCTGGTGTGATTTCAGGATCTGTATGGTGATGTAATACTGGTTTTATGGAAAAGTCAATAAGATGGCAACACTTGGCAGCTTGGTGATGCTAGGTTTTGGACTATGACATTCCTTTGTTTGAGATGTAGCCTACTGTCAGATTCTCCTTTGGAATAGAATACTTTATCCATATTGAAGTTTTCAATCAGAGGTAGATTTCATATTTTCAGATAATTTTTCGAATATGAAAAGTTTGATTCACCTAGATGCCATAGAAATTAACCAGAGATATTTATGATATTTAGGCTAGGTGTGAATTTTATATGCAACATTTTGACACCTATAATATTATGATGACAATTTTTTAAGAACCTACCGTAAGTACTGATACATACACAGTAATACACTAGATGGGACTCAATTAAGGTTGTATTATTGGCATTCTATATCAACTTTGAAATTTTACTACTTCATTGCTTTTGTATAGAGACTCATCTTCTAAGTTGAATTAAAACATTCTCCTCACTCAGCTCCTAGATAGATTTTCAGGTTTTCATTAAAGTTTGATATGGTGATATCAAAGTCAGTTATATGGTATCATATATCTTTGTAATTGTATGAAAATAATTATTCCTGATAAAAATCAATTTTTCAAAAGTTAATAATGTCTTAACAAGCATCAAGAATAATGACTGAATTTTTTTATCTTCAATTCTTGGCTCCCACGAATAAAAAATGGAAATGATTAGTTGTTTCATATGCTGCTAAATTTCTGTCTTCATTGAATAAATATCATTATGTCAAATTTTTTGCTGGTACAGTTTTGACATATTTATATAAGTTTGGGCTTATATGCTAGGATATCCATATTCAAACTACAGTACAGCATATATATCTTGTTAACAGCGACATACTAGATCTATTACTTATTTTGGCTTCAATAATCTGAATTTTTTATTTATTTCACATCTATTCTGCTAAACATTTTAATTTGATAGGCCTATCGTTTGATTTTTATAAGAAGATTTGGATAGATATGATTTCATAATTCGGCATCACAGCTTATACAGTTATGTATTTTTAGTGAAAGGCTTTTGCTTACCACAATGGGCCTTATCGAATCAGTGGGCAGAATATAGACTCGTTGCGCTTTCTATTATTTAAAAATGCAAATTTTAAATTTATGCATGAAGTATTTATGTGGAGATCAATTTGAATTAGGTTATGCATCTTCTGCTGCTACAAACAGAGTCATTGTAGTGTAACTTGGTTGGCCATATTCCATGAATAGCATTGTCTTGTCCTTGAAACATTTATTATTTGTTATCACTCTTTGTCACTTGAGGTGACAATAATACTGACTATATTTCTGAAAATGTTGTGAAACTATTGTCCCAAGGTTGATTTCAGTTATCAAATGTGAAATTTAATTTTTCACATCCAAATTCTCGTTTTATTTTTGTTAGAAGCTGTTTTAAATATTGACTGAAAATTTTTGAGCTTGAAAAAGTAAATATAATATAAAGATATGCCTGGTGTTGTTGAAGTACAAGTAAATGGGGAACCCACTCCAGCAATAGATGAAGAAGAAATTATGCCTAAAGGTCCCTATCCTGTTCCCATTGTTGTGACAACAGAAAATCACAACTTTACTCTTGATGAAGAGAAATTGTCTTCGCTGTTACTCCAAGATTCAATCAAGGATTTACACGTTGCTGTCATCTCAGTTGCTGGAGCTTTCAGAAAAGGAAAATCGTTTTTGTTGAATTTTTTTCTTCGGTATCTGCAAAGTAATGGGGTAAATTTTTCTTACTAATTAAAAACTCAAGATTTCGTCTACAATACTTTTTACATTTTGATCTTCCACTGCAAAAATTCAAGGAAATTTGTGACTTTTGGTTTATAAGATAAATACGATATACTTTGGTATGCAATTTCAGCGGATGATTTTGTGTGAATTTAGTTAGGTTTAGGAAACTGAATTCTATGAGAATGTCCTCATGAAATTGAACTCACTCCAAAGTGGTACCACAATTTGTGAGACTGTGATATTTGATGGAGATCACGTGGCAGCAATAAATGACCTGATCATGAAGCATTCCATGGTATATGTTACTGCTAGTTACCGAACATCTATTTCTGGTCCATATTTCATAAAACTGAATGAAACATCAATATATCTTAATAAAGAAAACAAACTTTTATTTTATTGCAACCCATAAGCCATCTTCGAATATGGCCTCTCAATTGACAAATTTAGTCGGATACATTTATTTGTGTTATAAAAAGGTATTCTCTACATTTTTCGTTATTATAGGATGTAGAATGGATGGGCCAAGAAGATACTGAATTATCAGGTTTCTCATGGCGAGGTGGATCTGAGAGAGATACAACTGGTATATTGATGTGGAGTGAGGTATTTACTTGTACCACCCCATCAGGCGAGAAGGTAGATATTTAGTTTCATCCAGGAATGTATCATTTTGGGGCGGGCAAGTGCCTTTTGCTTTGTTGAATCCATTTGTTGAGTATACAAGCAATTGCAATTGACAATGTCAAAAATTAGTGTCAAGTTAGTTGTACACTACATATAAGGATGTACTTTTTATATCTATAAGCTTATGTTGAGTGATGGACATTTTATTTTAATGTGAATTACGATTAATTGCCTTTTGACATTTTCAAAATTCATTTACTGTTCACAGAAAAATATTAACATTCTTGTTTCACAGAGGTAATCTGTCTTTCTGTACATATGAATTTTTGAAAAACATATGCAACACTAATTTAATTACAGTGATTGATTATTGGTTGCTAAATCTAAGAGCACTGGCATAAATGGCAATGATCAATATGCTCATTTTTTACAATGTTTGAAATGATATCCGTCTACAAATTATGGTTCTGTTCGCAATTTTTTCTTGCAAAACTTACGGTACTTGTTATTTAATGTCCCATGTTTAGCTTGAACCTTGTATGACATTTGGCAACTTTCATAATTTCCCTCATGTCGTTATTTTTTTTACCACAGTGTAGGTTAAAATAAATTATCTCATCTAGTTCCATTCATTAATATGGGCTTCAATAATAATCATATGGGGGATTTTTTCTAAACTAGTCTGATAATTCTTTTTAGTTTTCTGTGCATAATGCGTTATTATTCAATTTACTGTTATTCTTTTTTTTACCTTTTCAATTTCTAGATTGCCGTCATACTTCTTGATACACAAGGAGCTTTTGATTCTCAATCAACAGTGAAAGATTGCGCAACAGTATTTGCACTCAGCACAATGACATCTTCTGTACAAGTTTACAACATTTCTCAAAACTTGCAGGAAGATGATTTGCAGCATTTACATGTAGGTTTGGTGTATTCAGCATGTATTGAAATCCCATTGATATAAAAATCCAACATGAACGGAATTTTTGACTCTTATCACTCTACTTAGCTGTTGATAAGAGTTTAAAAAGCTGGCAATAAGGAAAAATGCTCTGTTTCATTTTTTTTTACATCGATATTGTGTGATCAATCTTTGGTATGTGTACAAAAATTTTGAGGTAACTGTTTCAATAACACATAATATGAATGTAATAAAATAAATGAAACGGGCATTTTACATTATTTTCAAATTTTATTTTAGTCATTCTAAATTATTGTTGACCTTTATAGGGGTTTTATTCATCTTCCAACTGTTGTATGCGAAAAAAGGAAAGACATTCACAAAGAATGTTTGATCCAACTGAAGATCTTTAAATTATTTAGTAGAAAAATTTAATCCATAAAATTTGACATAAATCACAACTTTGTCACAAATTTTTTTTTAAAGAAATATTTTTTGACGTTTTTACTTTCAGTCCTAATAAAAAACTTGTCTGATTTTGTATTTTTCCTAAACTTGTTCTGTTTTATATGTAAATGAAATAAAACTAAAACATTAAAAAGATAGCTAGCTGTTTCTATCTTTTCCATTTCTTATCACATTGACTTTTGTTGTACTTGTAATGCAATTTCAATTAAACCATTTCGAAAAAAGTATTTGATTACTTCAATAAATATACAAAAACACAACATATTCTCACATGGTACGATACTGTCTACCGGTATATCATAATTGAAGATCTTCAGCGCTTGGTAATTCTAATAGAGTAACTGTAGAATGCTTGGGTCATTTTGGTGCAGAAAACGCATCCAGAAAGAATGCAATTGTTTGTATAATTGTGTGAATAATCACATTGTCGTTTGACTATTTTCTCTGTTAAAGTTTTTTATTGATATCCTTCATGCTTTTTTTAAAAACTTTTTTAAAAAAAGTTCTTCTATTCTTTCATTCTCTTTAGCTATATAAATTTCCGAATTGCATTGTCATAATTATGTAACATGTCATAAAATATTATGTAACTTTTGTTCAAATTATATACTATATTTATCCTATTTTTTTACAATGTCAAATCGACTGAAATATTTTGTTGCGATACCAATTCGTAAATTCGTATATATCTAATGACGATTGTACTTATACTCAAGCCCACTTGATTCATATGAGTAAACTTATCAAGAGGTCATTGCAATATTACGTGAAACTTGCCAACCAGATTGGTGTGATGTGTGACATTACTCATAATGAATGATAGCTGGCAGACAAAACAACCTAGACAATACAGACAATACAGTTACTGCAGACTGTAATATGGGGATCAATGAGTTTTTAATAATATCAGTGTTGTATTGCAATACTATCAAACGATTATATGCAATTCAGATTTGATGGCTTTGCTAAAGTTGTCGACACCTTTTCTATACACTATACACTATAGTATTTCAGATACATGAGTTAACAATTAATTTGGATCATAAGTAATTGAACGTAAAATAAGTATATTTCTATTTTTTCTCTGCCATTTCATTTCAGATTTCGCTGTAGAGAGGATTAATTTTTAAAAAAAATTTTTTTTGACTATTTATATTCTTGAAAAACACATGCTCAAATGACAATAATTTCAAAAATTGCAGTCGAAAAGCCTTGTTCTCTAGTGTAAATTATAAGTTCTTTATTCAATAAGGTCCTACTTCGAAGCCAATTTTTAAAGCTTGTCTTGTTAGCAATAAGAATGAATTAATGGTTTGACCTTCATTATTTGTATGACTCCTAATTAGATGGATATTGAGCTTCCATAGAAATATTTTTCATAATATGATCAGCATATGATCTTGAACTGTTGTCAGTCAGTATCAAATAATACATACAATATGTGTTACAATAATGTGTTTTGAATGCAGTACTTGAATATGTTTAAAAATTGGAAAAAACTTTTGGGTTTCAGAACCATGTTTCTGATGAATACACAACACAAAAACTTTGTTTAATATGTTCATATATTCAGACAGCTGTAATGCTTTTCACTAATGGTTCATTAATCATTTGCAGTATGGTAATTAACTGCTAATATAGCCTACTTTAAACTTTTTTAATGAATTCTGACATCATTTGATGTGTGATGCTTATTTGCGTCATCAAGATTTTGAACCAGAGATATTCAGAAAGTATATTATCCTATTTAATTGAACATATTCGATATAATAATACCAACTTGGTTTTAGATCTATTTTTGATCATTTCGATATTTCATTTTCAGTACTAAAAATGTAGTATAGCCTAAAACTTTTATCAGATAAAATAAAATCAATAACATGATGCAATTTTCATATTATTTTATGAAATTAGTTCAAGAGAAGACTTTACAAATTACTTTGTACTACTAGTACTACTTGTACTACTCTGAATACATTCTGTAGGCATATGATTAATTGGAAATTCATAGAAATTTAAATTCTGCAGTATGGTAATTTCAGACTGAATAATCCTCAACACTGTCTCTGTATGATTGATTTATGATGGTAAATTTTTATTTATTTCTTCAGCTCTTTACTGAATATGGAAGACTAGCAATGGAAGAGTTCTCTGATAAACCTTTTCAGGTAAATGATCATTTATGAATAAACAGTAAACTACATTATAAAATTATTTTGTCCGACACATTTATCATGTTATTAAAATAGGACTGGCAGAGATTTACGATGCTATACAGTTTCAACCTAATTTTTCGGTTTTCCAGGAAATGCGTAACAGCTAGCTAGTAAACTTGAACATTTACCGGTGGTAAAATTTTTTATTCAGCATGGCATTTGAGTAGCACTATTTGATGGCTTGATATTTTTTGGCTGATTCCAACCTCTCCTTTTTTAGAGTTTGCAATTCCTTGTGCGAGATTGGAGTTATCCTTATGAATTCGACTATGGGTTGGCAGGAGGAGAAAAGGTTTTGGAAAAGAGATTAGAAACGAAAGAAGAACTTCATGACGAATTACAGAGAGTTCGTTCTCATATTCAATCTTGTTTTTCTGGTAGGTTAATTAGGATAAGACTGATATTGAAGTTACACCTTAAACATATCATAGATTTTATGTATTCTTGTCAAAATTTTATTGCATAAAACGAAATGTACTATATCATTATATTTAGTCATAAGGACTTAGGTACTGTACAGTGTTTGATGCCATTCAAAACGTAACAAATGATATTTTGTGGTTCAACAGACATTTTTCTGTAGCCCACATTGAAGTTTCACATATTTGAGATGATGTAAATTATAGAGTTGCCTCAAATTTAGTTTAAAACATTAGAGCTTACAAAGTGGCCAGAGCAAATTTTAAACATTGTTAAACTGCTGACTATGACTATTCAATATTGATTCATCCAGCAGTAAGAAATGCAATTCTTAGTCCCGACAAGATGACTATAGTAAAACAATCCTGCTAGGGTCTACAAAAGAAGCTGCTATCTGAAGAATGATTATATAATTGTAGCATGTTAATTGTTGACATCCGACAACGTATCATACTTTTGTTTACAGGTCTTTCATGCTTCCTTATGCCTCATCCAGGATTGAAAGTAGCCACCCATCCTAAATTCAGAGGATGTTTGAAAGGTCAGTTTGAATCAGATTTTGACAATTTTTCGCAATGTGTTTTCATGCTAGTTTAGATTTAAACTACTTTTTAATGCAGTGGCTTCCTTTTCAACTGCACACGAGGCTGTAGCCAATCAGCTACACAATGTATCTGTTTTGCAAAATAAAAAGTTGAAATAACAAGCAAGTTGTTATTAAGTACAGTAATTTAGATTCTATGATTTTTTTGAGAGACATCTCGTTTAAAAACTTAATCCTGAATTCTGTGCACATTTGCGGTAAACATGCACTGCATAATTTATAGCCTCATTAATAGCAAGCAGTATATCTACATTATCCATCATAGCTCTTGCACAAAAATTCACATGTGTGTGTTAATGACCTATGTGACTATATTATGTGATGCTCTCCTTATATAAACTCTGAGTTGTGTGTTATTTTCTACTAACATAAATTGGGATTGGACTCTTTGGTAAGATGGAATTGCTGATATAACCGGGGCTTAAAATGCTTCAGAATGTCTCAATAGTGACAGTAGTTCTTATAGCTAGTGATTTTCGGGAAAGCATCTGTGAAGTATAGGCTTTTGATTTAGTTGTCATTTTATTTACCCATTGTATTATTACTTATCTGATTAGATCTAATATAATTTAGTGAATATGATTGACACAAACCGTAATCTCATTGAAAACGCTGTAACAATGGCATGGAAAATATCATTATTTGAGTATATGAAAAAATAGAAAACAAACTTTTTCATATTTAGTACAGATTCCGGATGGAGACTGGTGTTTGTAAGTCTAAATGTTTCTGGTTCCAGCATACTAGCCTAAGTAATTTGTTACTCTCGGCGTGTTAGGCTCAGGATTCAAATACTAGGCGCACCAGTCCTTCAGTCTGATATCCCTAATGCCAAAACAATTGGGACATGCCATAGTGCCCATTTGTTCATGTTCACTATTTCATGGATAAATCAGTTACTTATCTCGCTGTATTATTTCTATCTAGATATTGATCCTGATTTCAAGACAAACCTCAAAGAGCTTGTTCCTTTATTACTTTCCCCTGAAAATCTCGTCGTTAAAGAAATCAACGGATCTAAAGTTACCTGTAAAGATTTAGTTGAATATTTTAAAGCTTACGTGAAGATATATCAAGGAGAAGAATTGCCTGAGCCTAAGACTATGCTCCAGGTATGATATTGGATAATATGTTATGCAAAATAATTGGGTGCGAAGTATAGTATTAAAATAAGGAAAGAAGAACAAAGTCGCAATGATTTTGTTTTCAATTATAACATTATGCAGATTTAGATTCTGAAATGTTCATATTCGGAGTACAATACTATTCCTATATTAATTTCTTGGGAGTGGAAACCGATAAGATGGATTAATCATATAGCAAACTATGATCTCTTGATCAGTCAAATTTCGTTATAGGAATAATTAATTAGTTTTAATCGTTCCAGATCAAAACTCCTGACTAGACTCAGAAGATTGAAAGATATTTATTTCAATGATATGTAGTGAAAATTGAAAAATGGTATTATTTAGGTCATCTATATCAGTGGTTCTAAACTCTTTTTTCGTGCGACCTCAAATTTTATAAATAATAAATTTCATCTTGCAACCCAACCCAACCAACAATAAACATGAAATCGTGACGCGGCTTTACTCGAGCAAAATAGATATCAAAGTTTTTACTCTATGATACTTCCCACATGTACAATTACTATTGAGCAACATTTCAATATCAAATACAAAATAAACAATAAAAAATTTTCAAAAATAAAATCCATATCTTTTAGATTTTTGTTGAAAAAACAGGCAATTATGATAGATAATACGATCACATCTATGTTGTGCCTTCATTTTAGTAATATCTAGAAATAGTTTCCATGGCATGCTATGTTATTCCTACATTCAACGTGGATTATTCATTGAACTCATCTAAGCGACTGGGATCCTTATTTGCAATGCAAATTGATTATGACTCGTCTTTTAAATTCATCTTACTCCTCAGATAAAATAATAACCTTAACCTTGAAGCTGTTTGTCATTCAATTTGTCCTTAGTTATAATAATTGATCCTATCAAATACCAATATATCTACTCTATTAATATTGGCAAGTGAGTGACAATGTTGTATTCTATTTTAGGCTACAGCAGAGGCGAACAACCTGGCAGCTGTTGCACAAGCACGAGATCTGTACATTGGTTTAATGGAAAAGGTAAATTAGACTTTGGAAATAAAGATGAAGATTAGTTTATTTCGACTTCATAATCAGCATGACAGGCAATAAAATGGTTCATAAAAACAAATAAATAAAAACTAATTATGAAATCAGAAGAGCAAACAAAATCTTGGATAAGATTTAAAACTTACAGAATATAAGATGGAAGGTTTTGTTAAAAAGAAATGGTACGTGTTCACTCACCTAAAATTATTGAGTCAATTCACACACACTCACACACAAACCACAGGGCTATATTAAAGTTAGAAAAAGAGAAAAGCTTCGGATAAATTATATAGTAAACAAAAAATAAATAAATATGTAGAAAAAAGAAATTAGAATAAAAGTTAAGAATTGTTTGCCACACCATTTTAATAATTGTTTTCTAAAATCTGAAATTTTGCAATTTATCATCCTGAAGTGTATTGAATTTGTTAGTGAAATGGCCATAACTGGATATTATGCCATTCTCCCCTTTTTCAATGTATTATTCTTGAATTATAAATATATTATAAATTCGGCCATATTTTGAAGCTAACATCTCAGTTCTTTGTACTCACAACCGAAAAAGTTGTTTATAATCTTCCAATTTCGCCTGTGATCAAATGATACTTTTAATATTACGGTACATACTTTTAAATTTCACTCACAATTACAAGTTTTCCAGCGAAAACATTATAAATTATTTCAAAATACTAGAAAATGTAGGATATCAAATATGAATAATATTTGAATTTATATCACTATTCAACTATTCAATTCATTCGGGATGACCCTGATATATGCATTATAAATTTGAATTGAGAATTACTAAAAGACTGCTTTGGTGGGAAAGTTAGAAGATCTATAATTAGTATTTTGCTTTGACAGGTTTTTAATTTTTTTCCTATATGAACTTGTGATCTCTGTATGTAACAATAAAATAGATTGATTCTGTGTCACTTCATGTAAATTTATGCCTTTGCACCAATGGCAAGCAAAGAGCTAGCTGTAGATTTAGAGATTTAAAATAAGACTGCCCATTCAAGGCTCAAGAGGAAGAAATTGGTGTCCAAATTTCTGTCATGGGATAAGTACATGTTCTATTTATTTTTCGAATGGCTATTAGGTCGATAAAAATAAGTGTTAAAAACGAATAAATAAAAACTGGTTATGAAATCAATTCTTTGAAATATTTCCTTCTGTTTTGCAGGTTTGTGGAGGTGACATGCCTTATGTCAATCCGGAACTTCTAGATGATCGTCACAATGAGATTAAGCAACAAGCAGAAGAACAATTTACCAACACCAGAAAAATGGGCGGAGAGGAGTTCAGTGAAAGATATAAAATAAATCTGATAAAAGACATTGATGAAGCTTTCGATTCGTATATAAAAGCAAACGATGCTAAAAACATTTTTCATGCCGGTCGTACACCAGCTACATTCTTTGCATGTGCACTTTTGTGTTACATCATATCAGCCCTTTTTGGTTTTGTGTACATAGACTCGTTGGCAGCATTGTTCAATCTAGCTTTCGTCTCTTGCCTTGCTGGACTTCTCGTTTGGTCTTATGCACGATTTACTGGAAAACACAACGAAGTTGCTCAAACTTTAGACAACATTGCGAATGCTATTTGGGAAGGCGTAAGTAGACTTTTTATGTTGGTTTGGTTGAACTCGGGCAGTGTGGCGGTCTTTTCACTCCCCCGGATAAATACCGTATTTCTCGGCGAATAAGTCGCTTTTCTAGACCCAAATTTTCGGTCTTATTTTGTGGGGGTCGTCTTATTGGGCGAGTATGATAATTTGATATATAATATGGTAATGCTTTTTGGGAAGGCGTAAGTAAACTTTTTATGTTGGTTTGCTTAGGCTCGGCAGTGTGGCAGTCTTTCCACTCACCCAGGGATAAATACCGTATTTCCCAGCGAATAAGTCGCTTTTCTAGACTAGACCTGATTTTGTGAGGGTCGTCTTATTAGGCGAGTATGATAATTTTTTTGTTGTTGCCCTTATTATTCAATTCGTACCATAAAATACCTTTGGAGATAGCATCCACGCGTCCTCATCATTGCCATGTTATTTTAAATCGGTAATGTTCTTTTATGGTGGACGCAATCGCCAGTTAGGTTGGACACAATTGGATTGAAATTGAAAGACAGTTTGAATTCTCGTAGTTGTTATGGATTGAATACTACGCTACAAGAAAAATCATTATAGGCTATTTTAACCAATGCATAGATTGAATATTACGCTACAAGAGGAAGTCATTGCATATGCTATTTTTACTAATGCGTCAGCTCAAATGTCTCTGCATGGTAATTTGGGAGTCTGATGTTGATGCGATTTTACCACCCCGACTCATTGGCAGGTTATATGCAAAAACCCATTTTTTTCAGGCTTAAAAACGGGCCTCGTCATATTTACCAGGTAGACTTATTCGCCGGGAAATACGGTATGTAAAGCCTATCCCTTAGTTTTAACTCTATATTCAGAGATCAGTGATATATGACTGAGTGGAGTGTGTGTCAACTTCTTTTCTTTTAAAAATGATGTTTGTACATGTTGAACTCGCTGTTTTTTTCATTCCAGACACATTGGTCTTCTTACTTTATTTATAATATACAGAGTCAACTGTTGTCAAAAATTAATATTTTTCATAACCCCGGCCACATAACTGGTCATTTTGTAACCAATTCTAACAATATTTACCGTGTATGTGTGTATATATTTTTTGTAAAGTGTTCAACATTTTGCTCATAATATATCTAGAGACAAGTGAAGTGATATGTAGCTTCCACATTTTGAAATGACTGATTTTGTTCCAATACAGCGAATAGACCGCACAATTATATCTTGAGTTAGGTAGTAGGCATGGGTTTAAATCGTGATCCTCAAATCTACAACGAAAAGGGTCCGTCATGTTTTTTAACCATATATCTCACCTCATGTTTGGTAAGACTGTATCTGTGTGGTCCGCTCAACAATTCACTATAGTTAGGAATTATTACTATTTAACTTTGTATTTAATTCTGTTTTTAGTTCATGAATCATATGTATGAAGCAGCTGTGGAGAAGGCACAGTCACAACCTGCCGTTCAAGATTTTACTCGTCGATTATCAACTCAAGTGCAATCAAGCTTGCAGAACAAACCGAAAACAAATTAACTGATAAAAATTCCGATGTCTCAATTTGTTCACCTGTGAATTCTTTGCTAAATATTGTGATTTATATATAAATATATTTTTGTGAAAAATCGATTTGCATAAAAGTCTATCACATATCCATTCTATGGACATTATAACACCTGAACAAATACATGCTCGATTTTAGTAAAAAAAAAATTTGTGTTGTGTGTATTAATATATTTCTTGTTGCTATAATTCCTATCTGTATTTTTGTGTGTAAAAGTCGAGCAGATTTCTTCTGTTTTCAAATTATATAGTTGCAAATGGGGTGAATAATTTATATTGTTGTTTGCCAGTAACAGAAGTTATCTGGTGCGCAATCTTTAATGGTAATCCGCAAGAGTAGATAATATGTAATTTGCAAAAGTTCGAACCAAACTTTTCATATTTTTGCTTATCTGCTTTCAGGGTAACAATTTATCGCGTTCACGAGAGTCGCTCTTGTTCCACTATTCCATATGTATAGACTGTCATCTTTGTTAATTTTTTACCTCAATTTTTGTTTTTGTGTGGTGAAAAATATGTTCCATATAGGATATAGAACCATATAGGATATAGAACCTAATGTTTAACTCCCACATCATTGTCAGTCATATTGAAATTTAGTTGTCAATTTAGTCATATTGAAATTTAGTTGTCAATTTAGTCATATTGAAATTTAGTTGTCAATTTAGTCATATTGAAATTTAGTTATCAAATTTTTCACCAATTTTGCTTGCGGTGCTATTTTTCTTTATTTGTTTGTTTGCGGTCGACCGTATTCTGCGAAATGTAGTCTCGAACATGACATATTTTGATGCAATGTTCCTATATGATTATTTATATATTTATCGATTTTGTCTATGGGTATCTTTGGTTAATCTTCTAATCTTGCCATCAAAATGTTAGTTACTGTACCAATAAAAATAATTTTTGGTCTTGGTAGTTGAAATTTAAGATTGTAACCATTTTATGGATTGGTGTTTGAGGAATGATGGGTGTTTTTATTTGAAAATGATAGTGTGTTATAAAACTTAAATTACATATTCTATTACAGGACTGCATGATGTGAACAAGTTGTTTATTTGTAATGGTGTATTTTGCAATGAAAAGTTGTTTGTGTTTAATAGTGTATTCGGCAAAACCTCATTTTACTGTTGACTGGAAAATTTGATGAGGAAATATGTTCTGGGATCTCAATTTTGAAATATAAAGCAAATTTGGACATATTTCTGACAATATAATAAATATCCCAGTTACTCCTGCCGCTGGTGGTGACTTGAGCATTGCCTTTATTCTGTACAATTTTTTTTTGTTAAATTTCCAAATCGTTGTTTTTGGTTAGTTATTTAATAGCCAATATCTTGTGTGTTTGTGACTGCCATTGATTCTTATAGGTTTTTCCCTAAAGTAGATGTGAAAAATAAAGATAATTTATGAAAACTCTCCGAATTGTTCCACTAGGTCCTGCTGGAGAGCTGATAGAAAATAGTGAGTTTTGCCGGGTTGTTAACTTTGTGCTTACGCGTGGTAACGATACAATTGCGGAACTCGGAACCCTTGTTCTAGTTTTCAAGATGGGGCGTTCCAAAATTTGTGCTTGTTGTTGTTTTCGTGTAATCTGATGTGTTTATCTGAGTATTTAGTTTAACCTGCGTGCAGAGGTAAGTTTTTTTTCAATTGATAGCTGAATAATGGTACACAGCGGTGCAGACATGCCTCCAACATTAGGGGTTTTGCAAAATTACGGTACCATAACGGTACCGTATCGGCAGAGCGATCGCGGCACGGACTGCCCTACTGACGGTAAAGTACCGGTATAATAGTCTACTCATTGTTAAATTAATTGAAGGCCAGTTTTATCAATTTTTATCACTGATATGTTAGGTTTTTTTTAAATTTTATTGGTGCTGTGGCGGGTCACGAATAAAACGAGGCGGGTCAGTGGTTCGCCTTCCCTGGACTAGGCCCTATATGTAGCCTTTTATGGTAATTCTGTTTTCTATTGTAATAAAAAGTATGGTACCAGTACTGTAGTTTCAACATCTGGCATACAATGATACATACATACAGACTAGGGCTGGGAATGGTTAACGGATTTCAGATGGTTAACGGTTATGATTTATTTTAACCGCTAACTGACATCTCAGGTACAAATCATCTTCATACCGTACAATATCGTCAAATATGATTACGTCATCGCAAATTTATCTCTTGCGGCGTTTAATTCAAAAAAATATTACTAACTGTGTGGCTAAGGAATCAATAAATGTGAAAAATAATGGAAGTACCAAGGTTGCTGATAATGAAAACTTACAATGATAAATTCAGAATCAGTTTTCGGTCGATTTCGAAATATATTGTTCACGATTTCATTGCAAAATCGGATATTCAATGTCATACAACAAGTGTGCAGTTGATGCCGTTTTTCCTTATGATTTATATCTCGAAGTAGAATTTGCACATCGAACTCTAAAAATTTGTCACATAAATGACGTTTAACAACGGAATCTGGTTTTCTAAAATATTTCCGCATGCCCAAACCAAGCTGCCTATCTTTTGCAGCAGAGGAATCATGAAACTATCTCGATTCGTGAATAATTTTGAGCGATACCGGGATAAGAACACGTGAAATTGCTTTATAACCATTGTGACATGACAAGCTGAAATTATAATTATTACGTCAAACGTCACGCGGCGGTTAACCGGTTAATTTTACCCGGTTAACGGTTGAGGTGTTTTCCCTGAAATTCCCAGCCCTAATACAGACATAAACCTAAGTCTGCGATTACTGTTACAGCAGTACAGTGTTAGGTTTCATTTTATCACAGTGCCAAACAATATTATTGTTATTATTATTTTTCTCCTTCTATTCTAACCCCAGAACTCTGATTAATAAAATTTTGTTTCACAAAGGAGACTATAACAGTATAAACGATCCCTTGATTAGTGGTCAGTGTTCAGAACCAAATGCTTTAGTGTCTGGGCTAATATATAAAAATTTTCATTTTGTCCAGATAGTAGCTGGTACTGTAATATCTAGTCAAAGTGTAATTCGTTGGTTCCACAACAAAAGTACAAAATGGTTCAAGGGTCGTTATCTGCTTGGGACTATGTTGTGTTTGCATTGACATTACTGATTTCTATTGGTATTGGTGCATTCTATGCGATTAAAGCAAAAAAGGAAACAACTGAAGATTACCTTTTAGGAGGAAGAAGTTTACCATGGTTTCCAGTCGCCCTTTCCATGACCACAAGTTTTATGTCAGCGATAATTGTTCTTGGAACTCCTTCAGAAGTTTATTATTATGGAACAATGTATTGGTGGACTGGTTTGACGTATGTAATAATGACTACAATAACTTGCACTATTTATATTCCTGTTTTCTGCAATTTGAATTTGACGAGCTGTTATAAGTATTTGGAACTTCGATTCAACAAAACTGTTAAAATAACTGGAACTTTTGCGTATTTAATTCAAACTATTTTGTACCTTGGTCTTGTTACTTATCTTCCAGCACTGGCATTAAATCAAGTTACATCTCTGAGCCTGTGGGGATCTCTACTTGCAACTGGATGTGCTTGTGTATTGTACTCAACCATTGGCGGTATCAAGGGAATAGTAACGGCCGACTGTTTTCAGCTTCTGATTATGATCATCGGTCTTATTGTTGTGATCGTTAAAGGTTCAGCAGATGCAGGTGGAATGGGGAATATACTTTCAGATGCAAGAGAAAGTGGAAAGATGATTTTTGACGATGCATCTTTTGACCCAAGAATTCGACACTCTGTCTGGTCACTTTTAATAGGAGGAACTTTCACATGGGTTTCAAATTATGGAATTGGTCAGTCCCAAGTGCAGCGTTATCTCTCATGTCGATCACAGCGTGATGCGGTTATTGCAGTTGTAGTAAATTGTTTTCTGCTGAATGCAATTCTTGCATTAGTTATGCTGGTTGGATTAATTTGTGCCTCTCATTTTAGAGACTGTGATCCCTTATTAACAAAAGAAATTTTCCGCCCAGATCAAATGGTCCCACTTATGGTTGTGCAGAAGTTTTCCTCTATACCTGGAGTCACTGGTCTGATTATTTCGGCAGCCTACAGTGGTACTTTGAGTACAGTTTCTACTGGAATACATTCAATGGCTTGTGTTGTATTGGAAGATTTTGTTCGTCCATCATTTCCAGTCTTAAGTGAGCATAAAATGACATTGATTTCCAAAGGGCTAACACTGTTTTTTGGACTTTTTACAATACTTGTTGCTTTTGGGGCTTCTCAATTATCATTTATTTTGCAAGCTGCTTTAAGTGTATGGGGAGTTGTCGGTGGTCCACTTGTTGGTGTTTTCACATTAGGAGTGATGTTTCCTTTTGCAAATGCTTATGGTGCTTTGGTGGGACAGTTTTGTGGCTTTTGTATCACCCTCTGGGTAGCTGTAGGTGCTCAAATAAACAAAAATGCAAACGAGTATACAAACAAACTTGAAACGTCCACAGAAATGTGCAATTTTGCTCCAAGTAATGCAACAACTGTAACCACTTTTACTTCTGCTGCCAATGCCTCAACTATTGCTAACACTGTGGCCCAAGAGAGTGATGGAGAACCAATCCAAATTTATTTTTTGTCCTATCTGTATTATTGTGTGCTTGCTTCTGTTGTAACTATTGTTGTTGGAGCTGTTACAAGTGCAGTCACAGGATTTAATATAACAGACAAAAATCTGCTTTGCCCTCCCGTCAGAAGTTTGCTGAAACGCTTCAATTCCCCTTTCGTTTATGAAGCTTCTGTTTATGAGAAGAAACCATATGAAGGAAATGATGCTTACAAACCAGGAATGCTTGAATCTAGTAAAAGTGAAAAGTTGGAAGTTGAAATGCTTCCTCTAAAGAAAAATGAAACTGATGTTTGTTAATGAAAAAGTGCAGCAATGCAAAAATTGTTTTGAGGGTTTTTGAATGTACACATGTAAAAATGTAGCAAATGCTATTTTGCAGACTCAATTAAAAGCCTAATTCACTCGTTCTAATACAACCCAAGCAAGACTGAGTAGTTTGTTTTCAACAAAGAAAAGACTACAAAATAACATTCTAAAAAGAGGAATTGTGAAACGTCATAAATTTGACTTCAAGTTGTCATCAGATCAGTCTAGTTCATCTACGATTGGCAAGTGACAATTAGCGATACATGTCAATTTTATGCAAATACAAATATTTTCTCATTACCAAAACTAGAAAAAAATAGTACTTTGGTTTCTAGTGCTTTATTTACACATAAAACTCTACCTCTTCATGTATTTTTATTATTAATTTGTTATTGCTGCCTTTCTTTTCATTTTGAAAAATTGGTGGAAAACTTCAAAAATGAGATTTCAATTGCAGAACAATTTATATCTTTGCCCATTTTGATTGAACTTCCAATCATGTTTTCTTGTTATTTTTCACATTTATTATGTCTTTTTTAATGAAATTTGATATTGATATTTGCTTTAATACTGAAGTTTGTAGGATTTGTGGCAACAATCGGTTAATTATCGGCTTATAGAAATTTCAGTATCTTTTTTCTTCTAGTTTTACATATTTGACACCTAAAGTAACCACACCACAAGTATCGACTTACATTTAGAGAGTTGGCTCATTTATGGATTTTAAGATTGGTGTAGCCTAACTGCTCAATCTCACCACAGAGAGAGGGTTGAGCATTGGTGGGAAAGCCTGAAATATAAGTAAAATGTAAAAAAATGCTGTAAAAGAACCCTTTTTGCTGTAACTGGATGAAAACTGTTAGTTTTTCATCATTCAATCATGGATGCATAGCATGCCTGGGATCTTTTAAAGTAAAGATGTTATGATATGCTTCTAACTAAATATGCCTACACAACTTCTTTTTTTTACAAATCGCCACAATTTCGTTGTAATGCAAAGTATATACATGCCGACATATTGCCAATATTTTTTCACAACTCTTTCCCTGTTTGCAGTTACATTTTTGATATACACAAACTGAACGAACTTTGTAACAACTTACCAGAACCAAATTTGAAACTATTTTCAAAGTTCAAAAGCCTGTATTTTTAGTACATAGGGACAATAGAAATTGTCTTCTGGAAAATAGTCAAAACGTGCTGATAATTTACTGATTATATTTCTGGTATATGAACACTGGACAGTGAAGTAGAAAGTACTATTCACAACAAGTCAACAACCAACGCTTTTGACTTGTTAAGATCTTTTGCTAATTTAAGGTGAATTTCATAAACAAGAACTGACCCACTGAAAGAGCGCGCTTGACCTCATACCCCCTCCTCCCCGCACCGCTGCAATTCCTTTCATTCATAATATTTGAAATCAAAACGACAAAGCAAAATTCAAGCATATCAAATTCGGACATTCATTGAACCTTTCTAAATCATAATGACAACATCTTTAAAAAAGGTTGTATTATTTATTGTCATTTTATTTCGATTAAACATAAGAATGAGATATTAATTCAAACTCCTGGTCAAATTAAGCATACTATTTTCGGAATTGATACCAACAATAGTTAATCGGAAAAATATTCAGGTCAATTTTACTCTTTTTTTGGAAAGTAATATGCAAGCATTGGATATCCTTATATTGAAATTCACGACTTGAAACACTTGGATTCAATAGACATTATGAAAACATTAGCAAAGTGTTTCTTTTACATTTGTGCATATGATATATTCAGAAAATATTGCAGTTAATTAATATGCTGATTGATACACTGTAAAACATTTATAAATTCTTCAATGTTGAGGTTGCAATTTACTTGACCCATCCATAAGTGCTTCTTTTGCAAATTTTTTTTTGTATAGATGTGACTGTTTTTTTTTTTTCACATTTCTAGGATTGATGTGATGTAACATATTATTACATTTATTCCTAATTATCATAATTCAAAAATGGCATCAAGAAATTTAATCACTAGGATATCCGGCCTGCAAACAACATTGAACAAGTCGCAAGCTCGGGTTAGTATATCAACGTACATTTAGATTAAATTTAACCAACTGGAATTTAGGTCGTTTAATCTCTAACTAACCATTTTTGCACGATCTAGTTTAAAGATTTTGGCATAGTTTGTCATATTAAGCATTTTTAATTGGCATAATTTGAGGTCCCAATCTCTTAATTAAGTTTCCTCCCCATAGTTTGTGGAATTTGCCATCAACCTATTTTATCAAATATTTTGTTTTATGCAAAATTGACTGCTTAAATTTATCTCTTGTAATGCTTTCTTTGAATGCCAGCCTTGAAACTTTATAATTATTTCATGCTCCAAATAATCAGGATGTTTACAAGTACAATTAACCTAGTTCTCCAACTAACAACAACATACAATTTTCATGTAACAGGTTATTATATTGCATTACAGCTGTCCTCAATCTTATTGTTGTTGACCTTATTTCAGTCTCCTGTCTCCTATTACATCTTATAGCAAGTCTTACACTTTCTGAAAAATGTATATTATTTGCAGTGTTTTAGAATGCGTCTCAATTTGGAAACTATATGCTTTCACTAGTCACGAAGATAATCAGAATTTGTCCAAATTGCAGTTAGATATTCTAGAATGAGTTATAAAAAATATCTTGTAAAATATTTAACTTTTTGAATATGGAAATGTGGAGTTATTAAAATAAGATTAGCCTTGGGCATGTAATGAATACCTGTTTTTAGTGCATATGTATTAACCTTGTTAAACTTCTAGTCCACTTTAAGTTTTCAGTTTAATGAAATTTTGATGTATTTCTATGTTTTTATGTTTGTGATTAATTTCAGATATTGATAACAAGAAGATGCACGACAAGTTGCATGAAAAGATCTGATGACAGACTACTTCCAAGTTTGTAAGTCTCTAGAGTAGTTTTTAGATACTAGTTTCAAAATCATGTTTATTGCCTATTCACGGTTGAATATATTTTCATAATTATTGCTGATTTTTTGTTGCTAAATATTTGTCTGTCTGTAATCTGTAATATTTCTTTCCCTGATCTATTTTTATCCAAATACAGCGTATAAAAAAGGATTAGCTATTTTCAGATATAATACATACCGTAATCAGCAATAAAATTTTCTTTTGTTTAGAAATTCAAATAAAATTGAAAGAACAATTTGTATTAGGAAAGTTCATGGATATGGCAGCCCAGAGGTATGATATGTTGCTTTACATTGCATATTTATTACCTAATAAACTTCTTAGTGCCCAAGATAGTCTCAAATATATTTAAAGTACATTCTAATTCTTTTTTTTGCATAATTTTAATTTCAAGTAATTTGGAATTGAAATTACTAATATGAACTTAAATTTGTCAATCATAGTGTAACTTTCGCCTGGATTTTATGACTTTTTTAACTTTTTAAACAATTCTGAGTTCTAAATAAATAGGTTATTAAAGAGAATTTCTCATTTTATGCTATAGAGCTGTATTTTCAAATAACCCATTTCAGATCATAGAGACTGATGAACCTGATGTTTTGTATAGAGGAATTGATGTTTTTATTAAGAGCCATGAGGACTCTGTACTCCAATCATACACTGACTTTGCTGTTATGGCTGCAAATGAACTTGGTATTAAAGTAACAGGAATGTAAGTGTTTATTATTTTTGCATTGATCTTTTTATGCATTTTTGTTTTTCATTTTACATTTTGAACCACAAAAACCTGCATTCAGTAAAATTCAGCCATACTTTTTCTACTTAATATAACCTGTTCATCAAAAATATTTTGATTGAAATGTAGGTTTCGTATTGCTGTTTTATAATATTAATATAGTTATTGCCAATTTTGAAGGATTTACGAATGGCATTTCATCAACAGCTTCAATTTTTCATACCTTCAAGTTGAACTTATCTCCGGGAAATCTACTCTACAGATGTAGTTGGCCTACATTTTAAGTTTCTATATCTTACTAAATTTAATACATTCTTTGTCAAATAGAGTAAATTGTCACATTGCAGTTCTATCTGGTTCCAAATCCCTAGTCTTCATTACCATGACATCTCACCAACTTCCAGGATTGCCAAATAAATATGCATTCGAAGCCTAAATTATTTTATATTTCTGTGTTTTTAAATCTTACCATTGTTGTTATTTTTTAGACTACATCCAAAAATGATCGTGGATAGAATAACATTATTGAAATCAGTTCATGTTCACAAGAAACATCGAGCTCAATATGAAGCACAAACTCATAAAAGAGTAATACAACTTCAACATTTAACAGGTATTATTTTGTCCATGCAGCCCAAAATGAATTAAACCTAGCTATTAATATTGTAACAAGAAAGTCCACCCTTCAAATAGTTTGATTAAGGCGGTATTCAAGAATTTCTATATTGTTCATCCACTGTGATCTGAATAAGATATCGATTTTAATCGGTAAGTATGTTGATATGTATTTGTCTGTCTGTCTGTTAGATGCACGTGATATCTCACGAAAGCGAGGTTGAATCTGCTTCAAATTTTGCATGTGCATTCATCATAGCTCGGATCAGAAGCCTATTGATTTTTGATGAATTATGTTGTATAATTAGCGAGTTATTAATTAATTAGTGATTACACGGTGTCACTATGAAGTAAGAGCGCTGTTTTGGGGGATCCCTAACCTTGGATCGATATGTCTTCGGTCTCTGACCGATATTCTCGTTTACATTTTTATCGAAATCAGGCAACAATTTTAAGAAATAAATTCTGTGATTTTTTACTGGCCTAATTTCCTCATTTCAGGCTCCACTGCTGATGTTTTTCTTTCCTATATTCAAATTAATATTCCTGCTGGTGTTGCCATGCAAGTTCACAAGGTAAAGTAGTTTTGTTCTCCTTCTTCGCCCATTTGTCGTTTCTAAGTATTATTGCACAGGAAGGTCGATATGTATTGCTGTCGCAAAAAAGAGATCTTACACAAACCCTATGCCCATAAACCCACCCAGCATTGTAGTTTCAATCATAATTGTTAGAAAATGGAACAAATTAGTATTTTAGGGGGAGGCATTTTTGCAGACCATAGGAGACAATACTAGAGTGAATGAACAATGTAAAAAGTATGGCATTACATTTTCTTTATCAATTTCCTGTCGAAATTATGTCTCTATTTTCAAAATGCCCATCTTTAGTTGAAGGCCTGAAATAGATTCTCGCATACTCCAAAATCTATTAATACAAGTTACTTCCTACTTTTAGCGGTTGTATTCCAATTTCATATTCTTTCCCTTGGCTGTGATTGGCTCCTTCATTACACACCCCTTTGCTTCAATTCATCACAGCTGAAGAACATGGACTGTGATGGACGTGCCCGGATACCGGGCCTATGTTAGCAATAATCGTTACTATTTTTACCAGTAATCAGGGAAATTGTCTGCCATCCTGTTGTAGAAATTGATCGGTCCTTAATATTAGAGACTTCCATATCAGCAGTGCCTTTCCCCATTCCAATAGAACGACGGTAATATACACGCTGACTTTTTTTTAAATTGTGATCTAAGTTTTACATGGTTTGTCAGATTAATAAGCCATCAACACTATGATCCATACCGTATGTTGGAAATATTACCTTTCCTGAATTCCCAGCCTGCCAGACCCATTTTGATATATTGTGTTTTCCCTTGTCTGCCTGATCGCAATAGAATACACGTGATTGATTTTACAAAGAAAAACTAGATATGTACAAAGTCAATTTGTTGATGTGGAGATGTTTTGATTAGATTTCACGTCCTGGTACAACAGTGCGTAGGTAGGCAACTATCTAGTGACCACAGTCAGGAATGTGTTTTCCCGAACCTACGTCTTATATGGTGTGTTCGATATCGATAGCTCTTTCCGGATGTTCTAGCACAAGCATCGACAATCTCTTTATACAATTAATATCTATGTCTGTTAAAATTGACCCAATTACGTACGGTAAAATGCGGTAAATGTCCATATGACTGGGCGCCCATCTTGTCTTCTTCGGTGTATGAAGTCATATTGTTTCTTTCAGTATGCAATTGAAAGTTTACCCAAACATTTGGAAAAAACGATGGAAGAAAAATACGATAAAATAACGCCCGAAGATGAAGCGTTGGCAAAGAAAATGAGCGAGCGAATGCGACATTCGAAGTTATCGGAGAACAGAAAATTCGAGGAGTATGATGTTACAAAACCTTATTTAATCGGAACTGCTGGATGAAAAGTGATGCTCATTTTTTACGATAATTATTATTTTTTTCAATAAAGGTTCTACTCTCTCAGTTGTTATTATTTTTGCTGTCACCCGAATAGTAATGTGTAACTTTTTACTGATGAATTAAATAATCGAATGCATATCTACACCTGAGGTTTTGTCGGAGATCACACTGACCATCTCATTCGTACTTGGCGGCTCTCAGCCTTTGTAAAGGTGCATGTCACCATGTTTTATAAAGGGTTAAACGTCCTGCCTTTGAAACCCAGCAATCATCACCTGCAGTCCTAAAACTAACGCCTCCACTCGGTCAGATTGGGACTTGAGATTCAGAATTTGTTCTCAAAGCGGCCTTAATTGTATTCAAAGCCTATCTTCGCATAGGTCATCCCTTCTTCGTCGTCGGACCATTCCTAAATTCATTTTGAACATTACCATTTTAACACTGCTTAAAATGACGAATTCTGTGTCAAAAGTCTGGACATCGGAGTGATATCGATTGCTCCTCTAGTTTTAAGGTTGGTTCCCAGTCGGACGCTGGATCGTGGAGGCGTGTTATGGTGCCGACTTGAACAATATGTAAGGTAGATTAGGCTCAGTTTGCACATGTTAGTATATCTCTTTGCAGTATGTTTTCAGTCATTTTATTGTAATTTAATTCAACAAAAGAATATTCTGAAATGCGACAAGAAAAGGAACAAAATAAATAAAAGAATAATTGATTGACAAGAAAACAAAACACGGCTAAATGAAATATAATTAAATATCTTGTATCAGAATTTGAAAATATATTTAGAAACATGATGCGGTTTGCCGGCTTCGTGTGACTTATTTTGATATTAAAATTAGCGATGAGGTGTCCGTACAGACAAGCTTTGGGCTGAACTGTGAAACGTTAATTAAATTTGTATATTTCAGTTTTGCTGGTTTGTTAAGTAGCCAAATACCATTGACAGAATTAGGTGGCGCCTCACATTCCGCGTGTTTAAATTTTTGGTTTCTTCTCCTTGTTACAACACAAGAGTTTACGAAAGGTCTTTCGAAATTCTTCGCTGCACAAAGCATAACACAGAGGGTTGATTGTTGAGTTAAGATAACAAAGCCAGTATGAAATTTTCCACAGCGTGTCATTCACACAACTTTCGCATAGTGTTGATACTAAAACTAAAATATTATAAGGTAGCCACGTGGCCACGAACGCGATTAAAATTGCCGCCAACATCCGTGCGGCTTTATTGTCTTTACGGGAGACAGCGGAAATTCTATCTTTGACGTTTTTGCTAGTAGCCGCGAAAAGTGCGGTCACGTCGCTAAGACGCGCTGAAGATGACGAGCTTGAAGTTGGAGCCACACCTTCTGACGCAGAACTGGTACATCGCGATAATCCACGCTTCGAAGACGCGCGGCGTTCTGACATGTGACGTTTTTTGTTCAGTTCCACTGCGAGTAAGTTTTCACCCGTTCCAGGGCGAAACGCATCTGCGCTTACGCTTCTGGCTAAGGGAGAGTTTCGCCTAGTCTTCGTAATGGGTGTATTGCTAGCCGATGGTTGAAACGCGATTCTAGCTCCATCTACACCGAGCCCATTTGCAAATGCAAGAGATAAAAATGGCTTAGAAACTTCTTCTGATACATCGGATGCGCCATCTGACTCTTCGTCTTCAGAAGGATTATTTTCTGAAGTCGGCGAAGTCACTGTTACTGCTAACCCGTCGTAATGTAGCGATTTGATTACATCATCGGCATCTCCTTTACTTGCCAAGTGATCGTTCTTTTTCGATAGTTTAACGTCTTTCATTAATGCATGGCTCATTACTTCAGAAAGCAAATCAAATGGATCCGACGTCTTCTGCCAGATGCGTTGCTTATTCACATTAGATTTCAACATTGGTTGGATTTGTTCGTTGGTTCCATCATTATTATCTGTTCCTTCGCCCATGTCTGAATATGTCGCCTGATCTGTCGTCTCATACATATTCTGAGACAACTTTTCAGGCTCTTCTTTCATGACTGAGAGTCTCTTTCGCATTTCTCCCGATTCCTCGTCTGCTTCTAAATATATAAATTATACACATGTTAGGTACTGAATACACAGCTGTGGTCCGAGCACCAACATTTTACGTATGACCTATTCAAACTACTATTACTACGAACTGTTAAAAGTACTTGGATGTAATTGGACGGCACGAAGTATAGTGTATGGTCGTTGATGTTCGGGTAACATTTTTTATTAGAAAAAAATCGCCACTTCAGATTTCTTCTGAGCTATATGAAGCTCAATATTTTGCCCAAAATTTTGTAAAATGTAACGCTTCCGTGTGGCATTACGTCAGACCAGTACGAATATTGAATTTAGATCAATCTGCAATTTATATCGCAAAATCTTTTGCTTCATTTGCAAGGTTTTGCTTACAAATTAGAGAACCAAAATTTAGTTTGTAGCGGTATTTTGTAGTGTAATTTACGTACGTGGAGTAGGCTACAGTCACAGCTAAATATCCCAACAAACTATTATCATTTGCGGAATATATTTTGAATAATTTCTGACCGGCGCTATAAAAGAGATTCGAAAATGTTAGACATTACCTTCAGAACGTTTGTCGTCATCTCTATTACTAGAATTGGCAAAAGCCCTCAGATAGTTCTTCGTAGACGTGGCATTCGATGATCCAGTTCTCCATTTACTGACTGCTTTAAAAGCTGTTCTGTAACGCTGGTGTTGAACATTCACTCTATATATCTTCCAATTTAAAGTTATCATCACAGCTGTTGGAATATAAAATGCTGCAAGTGCTGTGCCAAATGTAACCATCGGGCTTGTGTAGATAAATTGGATATGACATTCGTGCTCTTCAACTGATCTTTTACCTATGTGTTCAAATATATAATGTGAAAATGTTGAAGAAAAATTGATACCCAACTTTTTGAAAAAAGTACGCATGTTTGTTACAAGAATAGGGATTTTTTGTGAGTGAATATAATTAACAGCAGCTAATTGGCGCGGGGGGTCAAGCGTTGATATCACAATTTCCATCGCAGCGCTGATGACTTCGCGGTGTTATTGTCATGGAGGCTGTTGATGTGAAAGCGGATTGCTGGACTGTCAGTGTGGATCAAGCAGGTAAGTAAGGGTTACTTTAGCATTCAATCTTGCTCTATCTGAAACGATGGACCTGTTTAATATTCTTAATTTTTAATTTGACCTTATGCCTATGCTTGACTTTATTCATTTGGTGGTTGGAAGTGATTGTAATGGGCTTAATAACAGATGGTAGAATGCCGCAAAAGACGCACGTCCCAAGTGCTTGGATACTGGCATTCCCGAGTTTTTATTCCAGTGCGTTGTTCACGGATAGGGATGGATTTTCTGATGTGATTGTACAAAAAGTCTTTCTGCGAAGTATGGAATAGCATCAGTGACTGCATGCATTGATTGCAAAACTGCTTTTAGAAATCCAAGTGAGTGAGATTTCAGCAGATGGCTTCGAGGTTTAGCAGATATGGGGTAAAAATGAGCTGAGTTCTCTCTGCACAAATGATGTAATAGAGATATATATAAGCATACTGCCATAAATCCTGGTAAAGGGTATAAATTACCTTCAATAATAGGCCATAACAGAATTGCAGGCGCCCACAAGAAAAAGCTGAGAATCCACGCCCCTGCAATCATCTTCCGTGCTCGGCTTTTCGTTCGCTTTGTCCTGTAAGTCAGCGGTTTTGTTATAGCCAGATATCGATCAACACATATGATCAGAAGATTCATCACTGATGCGTTGGAAGCAACATAATCAACAGTCAGCCAGAAATCGCACACTATTGGCCCCAGCGTCCATCCACCCTTAAAAATACGAAATTGAATGAGAAAATAAGAAATAGCTACAGCGAGAGCTTCAAATATCTTTTTCATAGAGCTTTTGAAAAAAGAGTAGCTTATGTGCGGGCATCTTGCTATTCGTGATATTTTTTATTAATGTTGTCCGCAATCCATATTGCAATCGTGAAGGTGGTGAAAAAAAAATTCAATTTAATGTTGAATAAATAAGAAATTGCAAAGCCCGTGAAATTACAAAACCTCACAATTTAATATGTTTTGAACAAAAATTGTTTTCAGGTTAAATGCAAAACTTTCTCAATATGAAATGTCAGGCTTATTATAAAAAGAAAACATTTGAATATTTTCCTGACAATATGCTTCATTTTTTGAGCAAAGCTGTATCGGCCAATGACGCACAAAAATGGTCATATTAAGGTTTGCCATGATACAAAAAAAATTTGCAATATAATGTTGGAAAAATCCAAATTTTTTATTTACGTAATTCTGCATTATCTATTTAACGTACATTATTATAATTATTTAACTTTGATATTAACATTGTCCTATATTTGGTAAAGCGTAAATTACGTGTGATAAATCAAAAATAAATCCTAACTAAGTTTGATATATATATAATATCATTCACGATGTTTTTGTAGAGCGGCATATTAATATCTTTATCTATACTGAATAATATAAATTGCATTTATTTTTATTCTATATAAAACCTATTTGAGAGACTTATAACTTGTTTGCACGGACTGCCGTAAAATTTAGCCACCAAACCATTTTCTTGGGTATTGATTAGTCTCTGCCTTTGCAACTAATTTCTAGAAAACAACAAATAGAAAATGAGAGACGCGGAACGAGTCGGGCTTGGAATTTTGGTCCAGGTCCACATACAGGTTTCGGTTGAAAAAATAGTTTTGTTGTTTAAACATGATTGTAAGATTTCGATTTAGTAAAACACATCAACTTTGCCTTGGATAATAAACGCTTTAATAAGAGCTCAAAATAAATATATGTGAATATTTTCAGTCGGTATTCATTATTCAGCCCGCTTACAATGGACAAAACTATTAGCATATTCGATTAATATGTAAATCCCATTCTATGGTATATATGAGTTTTAAGCTATATGTTCGAGCGACGCATCCGCATTAAAACATTCTTTATTAGCGAATTTATCCTTTGCTCAATTTAAACTGGGTTTCAATGTGTGTATTCATCTAACTATTATGCATGTTCTTCTTCTGGACATATGTTTTATCACCGTGTCGACATACTGTTTAAGTCACATGATCTTTACTTATACACAAGCGTACTTAGTCCTTTACTGTGCTCTAATCAAACATAATTGGCTAGTGATACTGGGGAGAAATATCCCCTCGAGATAAGTTCGGAGAGGATTGGGTACTCTAGCTATTAAAAGTTATTAATTCCACGGAGTTGCGGGATTCCATCTGTCAGCGGTTTATGCCGTGTAATCTACTTTTACATGCAATCTAAATTACATCAGAAAGGTATTTTTCGTTCCTCCTGCCAGTAAGGAATGCCGATCCTCTTTGTGGTCACGCTGATTACAAATTACGGCGAAAAGATTTCATTCTATGTGGACCTTGATGCAGAAACGCAAGAGACCCGAGTCAACTGTGTTCGCACGAGATGTCGCCCGCAATGTCCGTTCACTTACAAGGGTCAGTCATATCGAATATGTAGAGTCACAAAAGTGTGCTGTTTTTGTTGGTATTGATATCGGAGAATGGGTTTTATTGTTTGCACAATCCACTGTTGATTCAAATCTAATTGAAGGTTTTCTTGATGATATGACTCACAAACCTTTTTCGTATCATGACTACTGCAATCTTATGAAGGCGGTTCTCATTTTATAAAATTTATACATTTTTGATATTTACTGTATGTTTCCATATTTTAAACCGGGTTGCCAATAAAATTAAGTTTCGTTCCGTGTTTGATCGATCGGACAACTATCTTTCTTAATAATTAAGAATAAAAATCAATGAAAACACCCGACGTTCGTTCAAATACGATCGATAAATATGAGGCGATGGGATTGGATCTACACAATATGTAACAAAACAACCTCTTTTTAACGAGAGGGCAATGGGTCTCGAGTTTTCATTTATGCAAATTTTGTCGATGACTTTAACACGGCGAACGACTAGAACCTGTTCCTCTGATGCCCCCGAGTTAATAAAAGGAAATATTATGGCAACAGCGCTTTTGTATAGATTACAATGCAAAACGTAGTCCAAGTTGACAAATATCATAATGGTTTCGCATCATCATTCTAAACATTGATGTAAGGAATATTTGCTACCTAAATCGTTAAAACCACACTCGGACTTCCAGTTCTGCAATTTACATTATCATCTGTCTTTCAAAATAATACCGATGTCAAGATAATCTAATTCAAACGGTGATAAATATTACCATGAAAAATTCAGATAATCAGACACACACATTTGCTTATTAGCCGAAGTCCTTCTCGAGGATAACATGTATCGCATGTTAAGATTAAGATAGCTAGAGGGCATCTCACTGATCCAGTGATAAATACTACCTAGGGCTATAATCCTCGTTCAAGTAAGTCTACAGATTCTTCTAGGCTCTCATCAAAATTAAAAATATTTTTGAAAAATGCAGAGTGATTTAGTAAAATTAGTACACTTTATGATTGTGCCATGCATTGTAAGTTTACTATATTTTCCGTGCAGTATCTTAATCGAACAACCTCTTGCACCACCTTTGACCCGAATGCAAGTAGTCGACTGAACTCAACACACCAAGTAAATCGGTAAAATGGAATTGGTTAATAAAATTTGATGAGACATTTATGTGAGAGAAGTTACGTGAACTCGGAGTTGATAGCCAAATATTGTTCAAATCTTTAATGTAATTCTGCCGTTTTTGTTAAATTTACTGAACTCATATTTGTATTTTTTAACAAATTTAATTTAAAACATTCCGAGAGAGTAAATGAATTCTCCCAACGCCCCAACCACTGTCAGAACTGTCAAATCTATTGAGAAAGCTGACATATTCAATAGCTTTTCTGTGAATTTTCAAGGTATCGCATTTTAGTTTTTTGAATGTGTCTGCGTATAGTGAATAAATCTATATACTATGAAATTATTATATACTTGAAACAATTTTTTACATAGCCTATCACGTCGCAATACATATACTTGCATTTTTTATAAGATACATGGGGAGTTTTTTTATGAGTCCCAGACGGTAGCACAGCTTGGAAAACAACATAATGGTTGTGTGATCACTCAGCAAAAATTGAATTCCGTATCGATCGAGGTAAAATCGTTGTATCGAACATGAATAGACATTTTAATGCCGGAATTAATATCGACCAGTCTCGTGTTTACCGTCAATATTACCCTGACACCCTTTGTCAATAAATGTTCGAATATAAAGTTGAAATGAAATAAAAATAAATAAAAAGTTAATAGTTCACTTTTTCTTGCATATATTTTTATTTTTTGCTTTTCTATGTATTTTGTTCACAAAAAACTCTATCACTCCGTCTATTATGTATTATTTAACGTCCATTTTCAACCAGCCAATGTCGGTATCCAACTACCTAACATCTTCCAAAAGTGCCTCCTTGGGAATAGAGAATAATTACACTTGGTCGTATTGTGCCACCTGATCTCTATCATAAAATATGATAATCGATTTTGTGATGCAATGCGTTCAATCAAGTTTCAACCGAAATATAAGGGATTTACTGAAATCCCTCTCCATTTATAATGTAAATATTACAAAAATAACAATGATCTCAATAACAATGGACTTCACGGATACAATAATTGCTCATTATTTGATGAGGTAGCTAGTTGAAAGTCTGACTCTATAGTCTTAAGCACGAATTGCGCCCATGGATCCGTTTGGTAAATTGTTTTTACCACATGACTTGTTGGCAATTGCTTTCCTTATGATACTGGACCAATGGCTTCTATATTTCAGTTGTGAAAAAACGCTCTTTTCAAAGGTTATCATTTGCATGTATTCAAAATTTCAACTGCATTCAATGATACCCCTTTATTTTTCACAATTCTTAGTTTTAGAAATGCGCCACAAAATGTGTTTTCCGTAAAGCTATTCAGACAAGTGAGTGCCCAAAGACCATTGTGTTGCAACGGTAACTTTTAATCCGTAGCATTCTTTCGAACCTTTCTATCTTGTTATAGAATGCCGTAGCATTAATACGTTTATCTTAAGCGCTCGTAAAATTTACATCAAGGTTTTGTTCCATTCATTTAATATACAGAGATAAATCTTTCCTTTTGGGCCACCATCATCACTCTCCTATGTCGCGACTCCATATCATCGTTAGAAAATATACAGAATAGGGACGTTTACATATATATATCGATCATTTTCTATTATCATCTAATTTAGTACCACTTATGATAAAAAAAAAAATAAAAAAATTTTGTTGCATTACCTTGACAACGAAGGTGGTGAATAAATTCATTGATATGAGACCAACAACGACGTCAGCACATGCGAGACTCAAAATAAAATAGTTCGTTATCGTCTGAAGTTTTTTGTTCACCCTGAAATTAACAAATTAGAAATAAATTATTCAAGCTTCAATATTGGATTTTGAAATTTCTGAAAGTTGTATAAATAGAAACCCCTGTTTATATAGGGTAGTGAGACATGATAATAATACTAGACTTTTTATTATAAGTAATTATCTCATGAAAATTATCCGTTAGTTTGATTTGAATCCCGTGTTGTGTTTGATGACGTCATAGATTTTACACGTTTTGCAGTTTAGGTGATGCAATTGATGATAAAGTTGTTCGGATATTTATGGGAATTGTGTTTGGTCACATTTAACTAAATGGACAGAAATCAAATAAAGTTGTACAGATTAGTTCAATAAATACTCTTATTCATTTACTATACGTAGTGGATTGATGATTGCGCATTACCGAAACTCACGCAATTCCAATTAATATTTTTTGAACAGTATGACTGACGTTATATTTTTCATAACGGAGTTTTGCTATGTCATGTACCATTTTCAATAGCAAACTCAAAATCGCGTCATTGTTTATTGGATAACCAAACTTCGTTAAATATCGAACGCCCGACCTGTCGAGACATAAGTGGGGTCAACGGACAAATTTGTTCGAACAGAGGAATCAATTTAAAGATGCATTGAGAGCAATTTTTGGAAGAGGTCTACTTCAAATAATATATGTTTATGAAATACATAGCTTAATCAAACATTACTTTTACCGGACCTATATTTAAATATCACTCCAAGTATTTTGTAAAGGTGCGATAAAAACTGTAAGTAATAGTGTTTTGAATACATTTTCACATCAATCAATTTCGTCTGAAATTACTGGATACCTGAAATATACTTAGATATTGAATGCTGTAATTAAAATACCTAATAATATTTGCTTGTGTCCAAAACAAAGAAATGTTTATATGCCAACAGATTGTGTTTTTTCGAAACTGATTCTGAGTTCATGGGAATATTTTACAAATATCATATATATATATAAAGTTTTTCTTTCACATTGATGTAAGGGGATCGGAAACCATTTATTTTTAAACTGGAGTGCAAAGGTGGGCATAGTTTCAACTAACTTCATTCAGAATGCGACGGTTCAGTTCAATCCCCAACCAAAAACGAATTATTCAAGTCTTTTACTTAAAAACGAAATTTATCTAAAACCTTCCGGCATGTTTGCTAGCTTTTACATTTTTCTGAAAGTGACTCTCCGCGCTGCTAAATCTAGAATTAAATCGATAGGTAGAAATTGTATTGCCGATTTTCGTCTCAGCACTTGGTAATTGCGATATTACCGAGTACCTGACACCGTTTTTTCTAAATAGTATAACATTTAAACATTCATATTCTAACCTTACCAAAAAAGACAAAAGCGCAATCACTTGCCTGAAAGCTGCTATGACCAACAAATTTCCACCAGTAGTTAGCAAACTCAATCCTATGGTAACGAAGCATATCAATATTGCTACATTATCACTAACAGGATCGAGTTCCATGTTTGCCACGGATACTTCGTTTAGTCTTGGACCGTTTGAAACGGACATATTCCCAGTAAAATTAGCACTATCGTCGTATTGTCCACTTCCTTGATTTTCATTAAAATAGTTTTCCTTTAAAATATTGGCAGCGGAACCTTCTATATCTGCCTTCACTTCCACGTTTGAATAGTTTTGATTTCCAAACTGCATTTCTGATGTTGTTGATGCTGAAGTACTCACTACATTCATTAGTTAACTTTGAAAAATTACAAAAAAGCAACATATCCTACAATAAATCTGTATCAGTAAATAAGTGCAAAAATGACTTCAAAATGTAGTTTATATATACATGATTTTAAAATTATTTCAATATAAATTTTTTTTTCCAACTATCAGTTAGTGACACGCGAGACTGATTACCTATCATCCTTCCTCTATAGTCTATACATTTGCGTGGTGAATCCTTATAATATTTGATGTTGTAGCAAGAATAAAGATGGCTATTCTATGTGATTAGAGAGATTCTTGCTGAATACTAACACAAATGTATGCCTGCTTGAAGACAAATGACACCAGATAAAACGTTGCAGAATATAAATATAACTATTTTTCATTTACTCATCCTTGTTTTTGATTCCTATTTTAATCAATTCGAGATGCCAACATCTCATAGCAATTAAGGTTGTAGACGTGCAAGCCCACGGCCATCAATTAATTTGAATGCATCGCCACCAATATGCCAGTCTTGCATGCCGAGTGAAGATGGATTCCATGTAGACAGACCGTCTCCTTCATTACAGAAGTTAATATTTGTAAGTGTCCTTTCTCCTAATTCTACCTTATATTAAATATAATTTGATAATGCTTAGCTCAACTAAATTAGTCGCGAATAACTTATATGTACAATGAAATATACTGTAATGAAGCCAAATTACTATTATTTTTAGAAGTAATTTAAATAAATATAAAATGAAGTCAAAACTTTTTCACCTCTCTCTTGTACGGGTTATTACCTATTGCATACAAATAAGAAATGACGTATTTCTCGCGTGGGACCAAATTGTCGAAGAAACCGATGGCACTAGTATGGTTTCAATTAAAATCCCGCACATCCTCTTGTAATTCATTAATGTCCTTCAACGGGTACTGGAAACTGATTCAATAATCAGCATTCCTTCAATTACCCAAATACTGTCAACGGCGAGCACGCGTCCACGCTATAGTGGTGGTAGCATAAAAGTCATATTGGGGATGGCAGAATAGGGATGGCAAAATACGGTCGAAAGGTGGCAGATTAGGGATGGCAAAATAGGGTCGAAAAGTCATATTGGGGATGGCGAAATGCGGTCGAAGCGTGGCAGATTAAGGATGGCGAAATGCGGTCGAATGGTGGCAGATTAGGGATGGCAAAATGCGGTCGAAGCGTGGTGGCAGATTAGGGATGGCAAAATGCGGTCGAAGCGTAGTGGCAGATTAGGGATGGCAAAATGCGGTCGAATTGTGGTGGCAGATTAGGGATGGCGACGTTTGAGAAAGTGAAGGGCATGGTGTCAGTGTTACCGTACCGTACGAACATTTTAAGGTTCTTAAGTTTAGCATGTAGCCTGAATGTATCTGCATATGCCAGGATACGGTAATAGGTACCACCTACCGGTACGTACCGTACCGTAGTGAGTACCGGTATGTGGCCCATTACAGCATTAATCTGCCAATGCTAATCCAGTACCTGACGGCATGGGCAGCGTAGAGAATGGCAGTAGACAGAAAATAAGAGATTTAACATTCTTCTGGTCCAAATTAGGCTACTCTGGCAGTTATTTTGGTGGTAATTACAAGGACAGTACCGGTACGGTACCGGTACCGTACCAGACTTGGGACTTTCAATTAATATGGTAACGGTAGACTACCGTATCATCGGACTAGCCTATGCCTTCGCGTTGGAATTATTGTGTGGCAAGATGTAGGCACGAACACGGTAGGCTATGTCAAATTGGGACTGGTAACATTGCAGCATTGTGTGGAGAAAGCGATAAACTAAAAAGTGAAACTGCTAAAGGCATTTGACTGTTTGAGTGAACTCCGCAGACCTAAGCAAAAAGTTAATATGCATTCCAACTATTTGAAATATTTAAATGCTGAATTGTCTAACTTCAAATTAGCAGTGGTGTTGCTCATCGTGCTAAGCCTGTAAGCGAAATAAGCTTGGCATCGCACCCATTATTACTTACACTATGTCAGTCTGTGTAGGTTCGCAAGTTTAAATGTGGGATCGTTAGGAATACGCTCGTCACACAATGGTTATGTGCGAGAGGATTACTGGACTCCTTGTCGCAGTTGGGTGGTTCACATAACCGCTGGTCGGTTACAGCTTCCTCCACCATCTGGTCCATTATCTCTCTCCTGGGATAGATATGTAGATCCTATCGTTAATCCGAGCGAGACACATGTCATGTTAATTAACTTCCGATTCCATTATAAAATTTTATCGTAAATGACATTAAGTCTATAATGACTACTTGAAACTCTGTCAAGTATTTTGATATAATTTCAGATATGAAGATTAAGGTTATCTAGTCTTTAGGGATATTGCTGCAATGACTGAAGTGAGTCTATTTGTGCCAGAAAGAACTTTATAGTTTGCACTATCAACAAGAGAGCGATGCTCAAATATATGGACACGCAGCCTGAGCGAAGCAGTAGTCCAGCTTACCTTTGACGATTCGCTAAACACTAGAAGCACCAATGTTCGCTGACCTCGTGACTCGCCGCGCACGATGAACCGCCACATGGTGGCAATTTTTGATGAGGTCATAGCACAAAAGAAATGAATTCCATGCAGCTCTCAGAAATATTGGAAATATATGAAAGTGATAGCCTTCAGGCAAATCAATCTTAAACCATTGAAAATTTCAAAGCAATTTGTCCAGTAATCAACAAGAAAAGCAGTTTTTCAATATGTGTCAAAGAACAACAACATAATAACAAAACGATCCATAGGTCCACTACATGCCCACATATGAATTGTGACATGGGACTTGATATAGTTTTATCTCCAAAACTATCTCTGTACTTCAAAACACCGATGACCGTCTCACATACTCTACTGTGTATTGGTTCAATTTGCAAATATTCTGAAACTTGAGAATGTTTATGGATTTGAAGTGCTGAAACTTACGTTTCAGTTCAGATTTGGTATCATTGCTGATCATTGCTTCGGGCAACTCTATCGTTCAGCAGACGGGGGTTCCTATTTTGTTATAGTTAACTTTACCCTGGTACAAAAATGTATTGAAGATACTTTCTAACACAATAGCTTCGTGTAGTATTTCACAAGTTCTTGGAATATGATTATGTTCAAATTTCCTAAAGGAACCTATTTAATATTTATTCAGCATTTTAGCTTATAAGGCAAATGTTAAATGAGAAATTAGATACTTGTTATTTGTAAAGGGCATATAAAACATTAAACTTTAGTGTATGTTTGCTAATCCATATGTTAGTAAGAGTTGTTTATTTGCCATAATTGCTTCTATTAAAATAATTTTCCTATTTTTGTTAATGTAACTTGGATCAATCATAAAAATCACTCTCATTTTTAATCTTGTTTTATAGTTTATTTATTGCTACTGTTTTTTATGCAAACTGTATTCCCATTGTTGCATCCAAGGTTATCCATCCAGCTAATCTAAACATTTTTATGACAGATCAACTTTTTCATAGATTTCACCTAATAGCACATAGTCAGCCCTATAGTTATCATTTTATTTACACAAACATTTGAAAGAGTGCATTCTCCTGGTCTGATCCTTTACTTCCACAAATATTTTATCATTTCGACTTGCTACTAGTATGCAATCTCACTTACTTTTGTGATTTCCATTTTCGTGTCTTGAAGACATTCTCATAAAATTCGATTCCTAACCCTACCTAAAATCACTGAGATCACACAATCGCTGAGATTGAATACCTTTATATGTTTAATAGGTGCTCCCGTGTGTGCATCCCGTCCCAGCATGTGCACCAAGATGGCACACAGCCTGAACATAGTATGTGTATCAGGTTAGGGTTATCAGGTTGTACGCCATCTCAGTGCACATACTACGGAAGCGTCGTTTAATAACATAATAGCTCTATTTGTGCTACTGTTCAAATTAATGTCACTGACTTCAACTTGTGTACACAAATTCCAAATATTTATTTTTTTCTTCTAATAACGTGCAACATACTAAATTGTATTTGTTTGAGATTACATTTTTCCAAGATACAGAATTATGTTTTAATTTGCTTTCAGTATTTTTTGCCAATTATTAAACACTATTTATGGGGACTGTAGCATTTGTGTACACGATATTATATACTTTGTCTAGTCCTTGTTTGTTTTGAAGTCAATCAATAAGATCTGATTTTCATTCATGAATCATAACCACTTTGTACTAATGCATTGTCTGCAATCCTAAAATAACAATTTCTCTGCTACTACTCCATACTGTGTTATTTTGTTCTTGTTATAAGATAAACTTGTTATTTATGTGGGTGGGTGCATATGCTGTTATATATATTCTATAATGAACTTCCTGATTACTTTCTGTAGCAATAGTTTTCAGTGTGTAATCTTGAAATCTTGCAGTGAAAATATGTCTTCCCCCAGATAATGTCCTAGCATTTACTAAGTCCTTTGGTTAAGTTCATGTTTTAATATGCCAAACTATGCATGAAAACACATGTAATTGTGTGACAACATTTCAAATCAATATGATATACTGGTGTTATATGCTTTCATTATATAAAATATTGTGAATTAATTTCTTAATAATGTAATAATTTTTTATTGGTTGGATATCCCAATTTTTGTGTTCACATTTTGAACCTTACTGTAAATGATGTAGGATTTCCCATTTTGCATTTATACCCGATATCTTTATAGCATCATGTCATCTCAAATTATGTGCTTCATGTTATCTCAAATTTCATCTTATTATTTCGGTTCCATTACATTTGAACCCACGTACATTTGAACCCATGACAATTGCACATGTATGCTATTGCACCTATGGAATTTTTTTTGTTTCACGGATAGTTAAACCCATACTAACCCTAACCCATGGGTTTTAGCACCCGCATATAGATTGAACCCGTGGATATACGCATGGGTTCAAATGTACATGGGGTTCAAATGTTCGGTCACCCTTTATTTCCGTTTACAACTTCTTTCTTGCGCGCATGTATGAATAAACATGCATGGTTCACTAAAATTTGCATGTTTTCTCATGAATGTCCTGCTTGTAATTTTCTTAAAAGCAGAATGAAAA